CCCTCCTTCTCTCTTATCGTCATACCCTGCCCTACACACTAAACCCGCTTCGAACTTGCATCCGTTTCGCATCGTCTCGTATCTTCTCGCATCTGAGTTTCTTTTTCATCGCTGTTCGGGCACTCACTCGCCTGGGGGAAGTTTTTTTTTTATTCTCTCTCTCTTTCGGTTTCTTCGCTGCCTTGGCCTCCGAATCACTCCCCGTCGCGCGACCGTCAACCGTTCCCGGGTGGCGCATTGGTGTCGCGCGTTACTGCAGCACCGCCTCTTTGCGACGAACAGAACAAGACACAAGAGAGATAATGTGTTTGGCGTGACCTGCTCGAGAAAGACTCTTCGATACCGTACGAATATTCGACTGTTTGCGATTTCGTTCGCATCCTTTTGTTCCCCCCCTTAATTTTCTGTATCGTTCGTTCAGTTGGCGACGCGACTTTGACTCGGCACGTTCCAACTTGCACGAGAGAAGGCGAAAAAAAAAAAAAAAGAAAGAAAGAAGGTGAAAATCAAATAATCTCATCGACCGTCTCCGAAGCGAGACGTTGTCGCAAGGCATGAGTGGCAGTTCAAATCAGTCGAGTTGTACGAGTCCTGGTTCCTACAATACCGCCCAGCGCACCGCGTCCGTCTCATCCGGCTCGTCGCCGCCTCACCACCAGCCGCTTCCCGCCGCCCAGTTCCCGCCGCGCTCGGCGCAGAATGATATGTCGGCCGACGTGTACAGCCCCGGCTCTTCGCACATCTCCGCCTCGCTCGGTAGCGCCTCCACCCTCTCCTACCCCTTCTCCCCTATTACGTTGGATATGCGTCTCGGCGATTCGGACCGCAGCCTAGACGGCTTTGGCCGCGCCGCCCCCGGTGGCGCCATCCTGATGCGCAAGTTGCCCCGGAATACCAGTCGCGAAGCGCTCCGCAGCATGCTCCTCTTCGCCAAGGACTTTGTCGACGCCGACTTCATCGCCACCGACCTGCCCGAGGACAACGGTTTCCTCTGTGCCATCGCGCGCTTCAACACGCTGGCCGCCGCCGAGGAGGCGCGCGCTCTCCTCGATGGCAAACCCAACTCCAAGAACGATGCGACCATGATCGTCGAGCTCTGGAACTCCCCGGTCGGCGGCCGCCGTAACACCATCGATCACACCGCCAATGCGACAGCCACCACCACCACTTCTTCTTCGAATCCGGCATCCGTGACCGCCGCCGCGACCCGTGGCCTCTTTGCCAGCGTTTCGTCTGCCAACGGTCCCCTCTCCCGACAGTCCTCCCGCTTCAACGGTACCTTTCAGACCCTCGAACGTCTGACGGCCGGCGCCGCTCCCTCCCACCCAGACGCGCTCTCGGGGCCCGGCCCCGAGGCGGGCGCTCGACTGCACAGCCTCTTCTCCCCGCAATCGCCAATCGGCAACGGCGTCGGCGTCGGCGTCGGCGTCGGCGTGGGCATCGGCGTCAGCGACCGGCCTCGCGTCACCGGCAAGTCCATGATCGACCAAGACCCCGATGAGGACACCGGCGAGTTGCTCAAGGATCCCGTGGGTTACGCCGAAAGTGGCCATGGTGCCGTCTCCTCCGTCACCATCCCACGCCGCTCCACCAACCCTCAGATCCCCACCAGCCGCTTCGCCAACCTCTCGCTCACAACCTCCAACGCACTGTCATCGCCGCCTTTGCCTAACTACGCCCCCGGCGGCCCGGGTGGCGGAGCAGGTCCCTCCGCCCGCATGGGCGTGGGCCCCGGTCCCTCGTCGGCCTTTTCGCCCGCGATGAATGGCGCCGGCCCAGGTGGTGCCGGTGGCCCTGGCGGTAGTGCTGCTGGTAATCAGATCAACGGCGCGCATGGCTATCACTACGGTAGCCAGCATACCCCGCGACACAGCCTCCCCGCCGCCAACCCCAACGATCTCAACCCGCCATGCAATACCCTGTACGTCGGTAACCTGCCTCCCGATACCTCGGAGGAGGAGCTCAAAGCCCTCTTCTCCAAGCAACGGGGATACAAGCGGCTGTGTTTCCGGAACAAGCAAAACGGTCCCATGTGCTTTGTCGAGTTTGACGAGGTCGCCATGGCCAGCAAGGCTCTGAATGAGCTGTACGGGTACAAACTGTCCAACAGCGTCAAGACCGGCATTCGGCTCAGCTTCTCCAAGAATCCCCTTGGTGTCCGTTCGGGACAGCCGGGCAGTCTGTCCGCCTCCAACGCACTCGCGCCTCAGGGTGCCATCCCAGGCGGAGGCACCACGATGGGTGGCACGCTGCCCAGCCACATGTTTTCGAGCGTCAGTGGTCCCCCTCCGGGACTGGCCGCTCCGCCAGGTCTGTCGATGCCTCTGCCCATCCGCAATGGCGCCCTGCATCCGGCGACGGGCAATCCGCATGCACCACCGCCCCCCATGGCTAGTCCGGGAGCTCCCTTTAATCCCAATTCTGGACTGGGCATTCGTACCAACGGCGTCAACCTCAACGCCATGATGATGCCTTCCCCTCCGCTCGCGGGTGGTGTGGCCAGCAACGGGGCGGGTCCCAACATGAACGGCTTCAACTCATTTTATCCTGATTATATGATGGGACGGTGAACTTTGTGACGACCCCTTCTTACGCCTCTCTACAACTCTGACTTGAGATGCCCGGCATATGCGTGTCTGTATCTGGCTTCTTTTTGTTTTGTTTTGTTTCTTTTTTTTTTTTTTTCAACTCTTCATGATGAACTGGGATATCCGGCGCACTGGGAATCATTTTTCATGAGCTAGAGCAGCATTTGGAGGACTACTCTCCTCCTGGGAGTAATCATTCGGTATCCTGATCTTTTTTTCCTCTTCCCCTGTTCGCCTTATTTTTTTTTTTTTTTTTTTTTTCTTCAAACGCTTGCTCTACAAAGCATGGGAGTGCGGGCGTGGTTCCTTGTTTTTTTTTTTTTTTCTTCCCTTCCCCCCTTCCCCCCCCTGTTGGGCGGACTGCATTGCATGTTGTTGTGGCTTGTTTCGTTCTGTTTTCGTTGATTTTTTTCTTCGTCTTTTACCTATGGTAGGCTTATGAGGATCCGAGTAAACGCATCGTTCATCATCTCAGATTTGTTACACCTCCCTCGCCGGGTTTGTTCGAGTTGGCCCTTTGCTTCAATCCTGACTCCGATGCATGTTTTATGTCTTCGCTATACTGCCTGTCTTTGTCTTTCGCTTCGTGTCTTCCTCTTGTCCCTTGCTTAGTGATAGTGATTCCCCCTTTGCAATTTCTCCATTCCCACGTGCATTTCTGTATGACATATTCCTGTATCAGCCGGGTGCCGTGTGGGTGGATCGTCTCTTTGTTGGTCTTTTTCCCCTTGTGTTGGTTTGTCTTTCATCGTATATCTTTCTTCTCTCATGTGTTCTTTCCCTCCCTCTATTTGCCTTTCTTCTTCTTCTTCTTCTTCTTCTTCTTCTTCTTTTTTCGATTCGCCGGGGTCCACTGGACTGTAATTCTGTTTCTTCACTTGCTCTAATCATTATTATTTGCTCTCTATTCTCCAAATTCTCCTTACAATATCCTTCCATGATTCGAGGCAGAGATTATTTCCAAATATCATGTGGAAGAGGCGTTCCTGCTGCACGGATACAACAATACAGTTTCTGGGTCATTTTCTCTTTCCCAGAGGGACAGAGGCGTCGTCTGTTGGCTTGCTGGATCGTCATCCATCTCTTGTTACAGCCGGGAAATTGCTGAATAGTGTTCCTTTCTTCTTTATTTCTTCGTTTCCTCCTCCACTTTCCGCCCCCCTTTTTTTTATTTGCTCTGGTGGCTCATGTTGTTTTCTTTGCTACTGTATTCAATAACATGAGGCATTTTTACTTTTCAATTGTTACTCTGTAGTTTTTACTCGTGTAGTATACAGTACGGAGTTACCTCGTTCGTTAGCGCAAATGCCAAAAGCTGCCCGGCATACCACGTGATTATTACTCACGTGACACACCGCTATTGGCAAAAGTTTCTTCTCTGTTGTCCCAAATCCACTCTCCATTAGACAACAAGCATCCCTCCCACCATGCCTCCACGAATACAAAGCCACCGTGTTTCCAATTCCCTTCTCCCCTTTCTCTCCTCTTCCTCCTCCACCTCTTCCTCTACCTTATCTGCTTCTGCCTCATGCTTATCACGATATGACTTCTCCACAACATCGGTCTCGCAAACACGACACCGCGAGACCATGTTCAACTGGCTAAACAACGAGGGCTCCGTGTTCAAATACCACGTCCCCGGTGAAACAAACTACGTCACCCGGCTGCAGAAGGGGAATGACGCCTCGCAGTCTTCCTCGCCCGATGTCGGCGTCGAGAACAAGAAGCCGTTCCCGGGCAACCAGGATTTCGTGAGCGAGAGCATCCTCAGCGAGGAGCTTCGCATGGAGATCTACAAGCGTGTTGTCGAGCAGAAGAAGAGCATCCGTGTGGTCAGTGTCGAGCTGCGCGTAGACATGCGGCGAGTGGGTGCTGTCATTCGCTTGGTTGAGCTTGAGAAGCGATGGAAGCAATTGGTATTTTCTCCCCTCTTTCTCTCTCTCTCTCTCTCATCCCCCCCCCCCCCCCCCCCCCCCCCCCCCTACCTCCCTGGCAATGATGAATGGAAAAATTATCGATTAGTCTTGAAGACATTAGAATGGTTACAAACTCCCATCCTGAGCCAGCAGTTTTATATTTCCCTATTTCCATATTTTCATATGCATTTTTCTTGTTTATACTAAGAATATAGGGCAAAAACCTTGCACTCCCCTACGCACGCGCCATCCACGAAATGGTGCCGACGACCCCCTTAGCGACGGACGGCAACCAACCCAGCCACGAGTCGACCAACGACCTGCCCATCCACCGGCTGACGGAGCCGCAGATCTTCTACCCGGTCCCGGAGTCGCGACCCTTTACCCGTGTCGACGCCGGCCGCGTGTTCTCTGGTGCCCCCGCGCTGGTGCACAAGGAAGCGGAAAAGTCGCGAGACCACCTTGCGGCCGTGGACGACCTGGTCCGCCGCACGCGGACTTTCGAGCGCATCGGCAAGGGCGCCAACGAGCAGCAGGTCCTGCAGCCCGCAGACATGCGCATCCCGCACCCGCAGCTCATCCTGGTGGAGAAGGACCGCATGGACCACCCGAACGAGTACCGCGAGCGGGTGAAACGGTACAACGAGCGGCTTGCCGACCAGGACGCCTCGGAGGGGAAACGCCGCGCGGTAGCCGTCGCCCGCAGGGAAGCCACCCTCAAGCACGTCGAGCCCGAGACTTCCCGCTTCCAGTTCCGCATCCAGGATGTCGTGGTCAGCCGCACCACGACGGGCAGGGACGGTCGTGGCCCCAACGCCCCGGGCCGTCGCTATGGTGTTCCTTCCCAGGAGTGCAAGAAGGGGCAGGTCAAGATTCCCACCGAGGTCATCGTTTAGATATTACTAGCACCCTCGGAACTGTTTTTTTGAAACTAGCGTTTGTATAATAGCAATAAAGCCAAATCAAATGTACCATATTAACCATGCTACTGCTACCGCCTTTCATACCTGAATTGAAATAATATACTAGGATATACAATAGTTATAATATCATGTACAAAATAAAAGTCCGTCCGGGTAACAGTAGATAGATATCTGCATCTCGTGTTCTGATGCTCTGATAAGAGGAGAAAAAAGAACAACAAAAGCAAGAGGCCGAGATTCGATACACACAGGATAGCGAGGCTTGGGTATCCAATGAACAAGACAAGGAAAAAAAGGAAAGGAAAAGACAAAGAGAACAGGCCAGAATGAGAGTTATAATAACACCGGACCGGGGATGAAAAGAAGAACAACCTAGCTATGGAGTATCCTTCGGTGCCGTCACAACAGCAGCTGAAGCAGCGGCGGCAGCAGCAGCATCCCCTTCGTGTGCATTCGGGTTACTACCCCCCCTGCTACGGCTCGTGTGGCGGTCCGAGCGGGTGATGACGACCGCGCTGCGCGACGAAGCAGGCGATCCGGAAGAGCTTTTCTTGTGGTGGTGGCGGTAGTGGTGGTGGTGGTTTGTGTGCCCGGTACCCCCGTGCGCGTGGTCGTTGTGACCGCGATGCAGCGGGCTGCTTTGGCTATCGACAAATGGCGGGGAGGGTAGAGGCGAGTCGACGAAGCCGCGCCATTTGCGCCAGCCCTCGAAGTCGATCAGGGCCTGCATGCAGCCCCATTCGGTGACCTTTTGTTCCAGCCAGGGGAAACCGACGGGCTAAAGCTATTAGATGGGTGCGATCAAAAGGGGGAAAAAAAGAGAATACCTTTGTGAGGAAATCATTGCAGCCAGCCGCTAGAGCTTCATGTCGATCACTCTGCAAACTGCTGGCCGTCAATGCAACGATGATGACGGGACTCTTGAACAGGGACAGATCGCCGAGCGTGTCCTCCTCCTTCAGGGTCCTCTCGTCCGGTGAGGTGGCATTGGTGCTCGCCGCACTCGACCGCCCCGAAGCGGTCTTGGGAAAGACACCGATTCCGTTCAAGCGTTCTAGCCGGCGGATCTCCTTGGTTGCCTCGAGTCCGTTCATGACGGGGAGCTGGATGTCCATGAGTACAAGGTGGAACCCGCCCTGGCGCCATTTGCGCACCGCCTCCTCGCCGTTGGCCGCGCATTTCCAGCGCACGCTGAGCCGTTTCATAAACGCCTCCAGCAGCTTCTGGTTGATGATATTGTCCTCCACGATCAGCACGTTGATCGGGGGCACAGTGCCTTCGATCAGGCCGCCAAAGGCTGCGGCTGCCGACGAAGCTGCCTGCGTGCTGGCCTTCTTGTTTTTGCGGCCGGGCCGCGGCGAGGCGCCCCGCGTTGGCGGGGTTAGAGCCTTGTTCTGCGGCGATTCAGGCGGAGGCGCGGGTGGCGTAGGCACCGAGGCCACCGGCGGTGGTGCAGGCTGTCCGCTAGCAGCCGTGATAGTCGCATCTGCAGAAAACAAGTTAACATTGAATCGGAGAATAAAAAAGAGAAGGGCACAAACCGTTAGGGACTTCAGGAGCCGGCCCCAGCATGGTGGGAGAATTGGTCGTATGTCGAACCAGCTGTGGGCGGCGTGGATGACGTGCTCCCCGGCCTGGCGACGGGATAGGCGGTGGTTTCCCGGTGGTCAAGATCGAGATGGACGGCGCAGTGTGTGCATTGGCGCCACTGACGGTTGGAAGAGAGTTGGGTCCGTGTGCATTCGGGGTCGAGAGTTTCGGGTTGACGGGCATGAGAGGGAAATAGTCGCCGTGCTCGCCCGGTTCGGAATGGTGGTAGTATACATTGTGACGGGGTGACGGCTTGGGGGTCCGCCGTTGCGGGACATCGATCACCAGGGCCTCCTCGATGGATTGTCCGCCGGGGTAGTAGGCATCCAGGACAGCAAGTAGCGGCTCTTCGGGGCTCAGGGAGCGTTCCGGGGTCGACTGGCGGTTCGACCCCTCCCGAGGCAGGATACGGATGCACACGTCGGGCGCATCAAAGGTCTTGCCGATCGAATTGGCGTACTTGTGCACCACCATGTCCCTCAGCTCGTCCACGAGGCTGTCTGCCGCCGTAGACACCAGCGTCGCGGACCCACCGGGCCGTTTGACCCAGACCTTGCGGTAGGTCATCTCTGCGGCGGCGGCTCCTGGAAAATCCCCGTCCTGATCGCCGTTGAAGTACAGCGGGGTCGACTCCAACAGACTGTTGATCAAATGTTGCTGGGACGCCGGCAAAAGCGACTGACGTCGGGCCGCGAGACTCGGGCGTTTGGATACGCTAAACGGCGTAAAGGTGGACGGCGGATAGGGCTGCGCGTTTTCAGCCTGCGGGTCCTCCGACACGGGGTCAAGGAAAGGGGTCAAGGGAGGCTCGGGCCTGCCGGAGGCGGAGGCAGAGGCAGAGACAGAGGATGCCTGATTATTCGGGACGGAGGAAGAAGGCGGCGACGACAGCGGCGATGGAGGTTCTGTGGGCGGCGTGGGCGGCGGACGCGAATCGGCGGGCGGTACAAACGGCGGATTGGCACGTTGAGTGGCGATCGGCTCGCCAACAGCGGTTGTTTCTGCCTCCTTTTTTCCCTCCTCCTCCTCCTCTTCAAGTCCCTGCTGCTTCTGTGGCTGCTGTTGATGGAGCGGTCCCCCGTCTTTTGCAGCAAGGCAATCGAAAACGTCCCCCTGATCGGTGGATCCGGTGGCGGGGCCGGCGATCTCGTCTGGCGAGCTCGAACGATCGCCAAAGAGCGAGGAGACGATGCTAAAGGCACGCGACTTGACGTCTCGAGGTTCACGGGAGACCAACGGCGGAGTGAGGCCGCGGGCAGGCAGTGCGGAGGAGTTGAGGTCGTCGACGAGGACACGCGGGTCCGCCTTAGAAGTTGCTGGCACGGCGGAGCTCGACGACGATCGCCGGAACGGCTTCATCAGCCGCGACCACCGATGGTCGCTCATCATAGTGAGGAATAATAGGGACCCTCCGTAGATTGTCTTTTTTTTTTTTAGAAAGCAAAATCTCACCTCCTCATTATCCGATCCATGCAGCAGCTTGAAGGGTGAGAAAAAAACAAGCAACTTCAAGGTAATAGCTTCACCGCCCAATTGTCCCCAAGACGCCCAACACGCAGATGCCAGGCCAGCTCAGCTCGACGCAGGTGTCTCTCCTCGGATCCGATAACCCAGTCCACGATGAAAGCGTCGAGAATATGCTCAGAACCAGGTCTGAGCTCTTCTCGCCCAGTTCGACTGGGAATGAAGACCCCGCCGGTCGGCGTAGCCGGGGAGGCTGTCGTCACTGGCGAGAATGGCTCGAGCGAAATGGTAGGGGGGATTCAAAAATGAAATGAAATACAATAAAATGAAATGAAAGAGAGAGATGAGAGGGGGAGGAAATAAAAGTCAGATGGCAAGGACCAGACCGACCACTGGCTATTAAGTTAAAACGAGAGATCTCCCCATCTTACACATCACTAACAAAGAGCAACGCGCACGATCCACGCCGGCGCCCGTTTTTGACACCAGATCGGGGGACTGGACGGGGTCAGAGCTTCCACAGCCTGACTTATTGGTCTAGGTACGTGGTGCTAATGTCGCCTTACGGAGTAGTTGTATGGAGGAGACCAGATAAATGAAGTAATAAGCAGGATGACTACTATTCACTAATAACTAATCAAGCAGATAGCTACGGAGTAATAATTACGGAGTAGTTGCTCTCCAATGAGATTGAAATATTCGGCGCAAGTTACGAATGACAGCTGGCAACTGACAGAGCTGCAGAGGCGAAACATAATATTCATGCTAGTGTCAACTAGTAACTAGTAATTCGCTAACTAACTAAAGGTAAAGGTACGTAGTTATGGCCAAATTAACTAGCGACTGAGGCTGACTATTAGTTGTAACTACTAACTAATGGTTGGTAATAACTACTCTGTAGTATTTACCTGTCTATGTACAATGCAATGTCTATCTACTATGATTTTTTCGACATGGAATCCCAATATGCAATGCAGCCGTAACTCGTGGGTTTCCGTATGACCAGACAAAAAACGAGTACTATTATGTCTGACTCTCAAGATCGTCTGGTCGAGAAGTGGCGACCACCCCCTTGTCAATCTCTCCAGTGACGTCGGTGTCACTCGTCTCCAGCCCGAGCACCTCGTCGATCGATTTCCCAGTGGCTTTTGCTTCTTTCCGGACTTCTCGGTAGCGGATTCGCCAGACGATGTGACTGATGTAGATGCCTGCTTCGAGGACGATCCTGAGACAGAATGTATTAGTGGTAATACAAGATAATCATGTCAGAGAGTAGGTCGCTTACACAACAATATACATAATTCCTCCCAAGATATCAAAGCTACCTTGGGCCGCTATACAGAGTTAGAAACCATATCCAAGACGGACAGGTCTACAAAAGCAGTCTCATACCGAGCGCAAACAGCGAGAACAGCCCGCCAGAGGTATCAATCGACAAGAATACCCAGTCTGAAGAAATGTTAAAGAAAGGAAAGAAGACTTAAACCAGACACACAGAGATAACTCAAGGTTGACTCACTGATCCCGACGACACGGCCACTTCGCTTCCACATTTCAAAATACGGCGGTAGCAGTCCTGCGCCGAGGAAGATGGCAGCAAACACTCCGACCACCGTGTCAGGCCATCTGATGCCCTTGTTGTACGGTATCTAGTACGTGGTCAGCTGAAATTTTGTCGAAGTACTAAGTATAGAGGATCTGGCTCTTCTCATACCCTCAACGTCAGGATCAGGAGGGCCTCAGCCCCGCCAAACAACAACCCCGTACCCACGGCACATAAAGTGGCTTTCATGGCAGTATAATTACTATGATTCACTGGTTATCATGTTATTCTTTCTGCTCCTGAGGTTCCTGACATACTGGTTGTAATATAAAACCTGGCCCCAGCCTATCAGAGCAAGGGTGCTGAAAATCTGCGGCTGGATCTGTAGGGGAATGTTCACTTCCTAGAGAGACAGAGAAGAGAAGGTTAGCAAAGGACTTTTATAGTTAGAAGAAGCCATTTGATTGAGAAAACGTACCTGCAAGATAAGATATGCCCCCATGGGAACGGCACCTTGGAAAGTCAGCCGGCTCAGCCGAAACAGAGGAAGATAAAAACAGTAGACTTGAAGCAGGTCGTACAGAGTGCCCATAGAAACATCATCAAAGCAGGCAAGCCATCCGTCTTCTTGCGCTTCCAGTTGTGCCAGATCTGCGGCACCAGCTGCAGACACCACAGGACCGTGCCAATGGTGCCGAGCACGTTTGACGCAGGTGTAACACCCGAACCTTGTCCCATGACGCACGAGAGCGGAGGAGTGGTATCTGGGGTAAGTAGAGTGTAGATTTACCGGGTACTCCCTAGTTGACTACCTGGATAGAAGAGATATTAGAGATGGTAGTAAAAGAAGAAAAGGAAGACGATGAAGGGGTTTTTTTTCCTGTCTAAAATATTAAGCACATTTTAGGCGCTAAGTTACTCCGTACCTCTCTCTACCTTCCAACGGACTCAAGCCACGAGAGACGAAATCATCGGCGGTGCAAGTTGGTAGTAGTAGAGCTCTGACGAACAGCGTCAATCTGTGGACTAGACTGGTCGGAATCGCCAAGTGGTTCCACCGTGGAGGCGTGGAGGCCATCATTGGAAGAACCAAAGAGGAGCAGCTATTCCTAGCTGGGCAAACCAGAAGAGAAATGGGCCCTGAAAGAGGCAAGTCGGGGGAGAAGGTCGAGAAGAGGATTTCCATTATTAATTTGATGAGTGATGAGGCTAAAGATATCGAGTATCGTACCTTTGGCTTAGGTGCTGAATCTAGCACTCTGGAGTTCGCACTGTGGGAAATTTTGCCCAACGTCCAAAAGCCAAGGCACGTGGGCTTCTTTCTATCAGATCGACAATTCTCCGAACGTCACACAATTTCTAATCATCACTTATTCCACCGAACCTTGGGTTTTTAATAGGAAGTATTACTACTGACTCGAGATACTATGTGCGATTATCTAGTTTGCTTGCAAACAGGACAATAATATCAAGATAAGTTTCCAGAATATTAAGCTCTATTAAAAGGAACAAGGACTACTTATAAAGATAGAGCTCATCTTAGCTTCACCATGAGACATGGCTACTAGACTCCAACACTACGATGAGGTGCGAACAGGATTTCACTTGTCATCGCTCTCTGGGCGGTTTACTCCCTCATCGCCCTCGAGGGACCGCGCTTCGACATCTATTTTCTAGGAGATTATTATGTATATCCTGATTCAGGAAGTCCTAAGGTACTATTCCCATATGTGTATGATATTGTTGACATTCCATTAAATAGACTTGAGCTTGTGTAAATGCCTAAATACTCGTAGAAGAAACGCAGGCGCGAAAAGTTGCCTCAGGCCCGTAAGCCGTCATGCTAATAATCACATTTTCTATCGTCCTCCTCTCCAGCTATTCCCTTGAATCTCTCATTACTCAAGAGCCTTTGGAAATGTCCGGCCACAGTCGAGTACGCGACCGAGTGAACTTCCTGTGCACGAACCTTCTTTCGTAAGAAAGCCATCAATTCAAGGATCAGAGTGGACATTTGGGCAATCTAAGAGCATTCAACATCCGCCATGATGCCCAATATGACTTTGAGCGCCTAAACTCCCAGGCTGCTTACCTAAGTCAAAATCCACCCTTTCTCTTCCTAGGTACCTCTATCTCTAGAGGAGCTCAACCGCCACCCTATCGACGCCCAGAGTCTTAATAAGGGGTTTTATGTCGACTATCACGCGGATACGTCTACTCCTTCAAAATTAAAGACGAGACTTGATCACACAGAGACTTTCTGCAACTATGTGAATAATGTAGCAACTCGCTTCAAAAGGCCAAGTCAAGCTCCTAAATGCTAGTATTATGTCGCTCCTAGAAACTCTGAAGTTATGAGAAATCAGGTTAGTACTCTATCCAAGGCCCCTTCAAAATTGGTGTATACTAATAGTATAATATAAGCTATCCTAACCCCTTTTTCCTGAGATCAAGGCTAGATGTGCTTAAACAGAGCCCATTCAACTTCTAGAGCACCATTTCAGCCTTAGAGTCCAAAAGGCAAGATAGTCAGTATATCTTTGCCCAAGTTACAGTGCAGGTCTTCCAAAACCCTAATAGTAAAAAGGACTTTATACTACATAGAGAGCTAGCTGCAGTGCTTCTAGCCATGCGAAGTCGTGTCCCCCAACCAATTTTAGAAGACGAGGAAGACCAGGAAGCTTTCTTTGGTGAGCCTTCCATGATCGGTAGGTTTCAGTTGGCTTTTCGGCAGAAGAAACACTTTCCTATCTTGATGCTCTCTTATGTGGGCCCTCAGCATGGACGGCTCTTCTATGCTTACTGGACAGAACACAGCTTGTGATCAGACAATCAAAGCTTTATAGCTTTGAGAAAAGGTCAACTGCACCGGTGGAGTTATTTGCTCGGATCCTTCTGAGTCGTCCCCTGAAAGCAGACGCCCTTCCAGACGCTCTGCCGACGGGGCCTTGAAGCCCTCCGCAAACATCGGCGAGCCCCGATGTCAAAAAAAAAGAGGAGTCTTAAGTCCTCTGAGAGCTGTGAAACTCTCCCTTTGATAAATATGGACTCTATGCACTCGCCGAAAGATGCATAGTTCCAGGTACCTGGTTCTTAGTCTTGTGTCAAATCTTGCCCACTGCGGCTGGCGCTGGAATACCGTGCCTTCTTGAAATCCTGCCGCAATGCAGGTGCCTGGTCTCGGCCAGGCCTCCAACGACGAGCTCGTACCTCATCGTGGTGTTGGACTCTAGTAGTCCTGTCTCATGGTGAAGCTAAGACGAGCTCCTTTGTAGATAACCTCTCCCCGATCCTACCAGTATATAGTAGAACATTTTCCGACTCCCTGAAGGATCTTAGGTGGCAACTAAGTCATCCGGCCACAGAAAATAGATAACTGATGTAGTCTTATTAATGTTTTTGTAGACGAACGCGGCGAAAGAACCCTCGATTGGTCTTGGGAAAGGAAAGCCTTGGATAACGCAGTATGATGACCAGAGATAATTACTCGATACTAGGCACGCTGTGAGTCATGTCTGGAAGAACTTGGATTCACTATATCCACACAATGTACGTTTACAGCATTATGAAAGATTGTAGTAGACATCAGATGTGTCATGGCTGTCCCGCATTACAGACTGTGAAAGCAGAAAAAACAGACAAGAGACATGTACAAGAGAGAGGGAGAGAGGGTGGGAGTACCGAATCATCACTTGATCCAGTCCATAGAAATTCGCTCCGTTGAATAAGAGACTAAACCATAAGTAAGGGCAACAACATGCCCGCGAGAAACCATCAAATGTGTAGAAGATGACATATAGAGCTGAAAAGATGCACTAAAAGAGGGGGGGGGAAAGTCACCAATATCAATCTGAAAAGAAAAAAATAACACAGGCCATCAGGACATAACATGATTTTGGTACCAGAAACACACCGAGAGACATTTTGCTCGAAGGGTATCAAATGAACAAAGAACCGTGGGAAGATAAGACGGGCAAGAAAAAAGCGAAAAAATAATACAACCGAGGAAACATTCAGGATAGGCTGACACCGAATCACAGGAGGATCAGATAATTCGATGGAGCAATCCCGGTTTCCCCAGTTGCTTTCCTTGCCTGCCACCACCTTCCACTGACATCTGACACCTCGAGAACCTCGTGCTTGTTGAAGCTGATTTCATTGGCGTCTTCAGGGTTAGCTTCATACGAGTAGATAGCCTTTGCTCGGTAAGGGTATTCCGTTGGCTGTGGCACCTCACCCGGGTTCTCTGCGTTGGGGTTTGGCGATTGACCGGTCCCAAAGCGAGGCTGCGACGAGTTCCGGTGCTCGGCGCCGGGAGCACCGCCTGGGAAGCCGGACACAGGGGTCGAGGTCTCAAAGCCGCTGAGCTGTGCAGAGGTGTACATTTGAGGGGTGGGAGTGGCTGCCGCGACGGTCTCCGGGCGGGCACCAAAAGCACTCGACATGGGCCGGCTGTTGCGGTAGGAGCCGACAGCATGCTCTTTGTGGAGGGCAAACGAGTCGATAAAACCACGGTGAGTAGCTTGAGGCGTGGATCCGAAATAGAAAATCCAGACGATCTATGCCAGGGGTATTAGTTAACCCATCTGTATTTTGAGATTCCCCCAAAAGAGAGCAGGTAGGGCTTGACTCACAATCACCATGGACAGGAGAATGAAGCCGGCGCCAGCAGCTTGCTTAGCGGGCTGGGGTTGATAGACATCCGTGTTGACAGCGAGAGTAGTGAATACGAGCCCCGCAGCCAGATAACCAACGACCTAGTCGCAATTAGGAACACAGCAAGAGGTTTAATATCCGAAGGAAGCATACCGCGACACCGTAAACAACCCCTGTGTCGGAACCAACAACGATGATGACGCCGATGATGCAACAGAACATGTAGGCGATAGCCCACCAAGCATAGTTGGCATAGTCACTTTGGATGTCTGCGATAATCGAGGCGACGAGAGCGATCAACCACGCCAGCTAAATCCGACAGAGAGACACTCCAGTCAGCACAAGCACACAAGAGCACCTATGCGAGGCGTATCGATGGTACGTACGATAGAAATTGAGATGGTGGCGAGCGCGAAGGGGTCGCCCAGGATGTTACTAGCCCTGAACTTGGTCATCTTGCGCGGAGGTCCTGCAAATGGATCTGGTTTGCGAAAAGATGGAGAAGATGTGGTAGAATAAGTCACCATCAAGGCGGATCTTGCAGTGGTCGACTGATTGCGTGTCTGGTTATCAGATAGGGAAGAAGAATGGGCTAGGTGTGTAGTCTTCAAAACGTCTCTCGTATGTAGCGTTTAGATTTTGTTTCCGCAGGAGCTTGGTAGGGGCGCGTGTCACGATTGCAGCACTGGATTCCTGGTCAGTCGGAACTTGACGAGAATCTCTCGGGATACCATCATGGGATATCTGGCCGAGAGACAAAAGGTGTGGTGGTGATTGACGTCGTACCTTGGGAACAATAGGATCGAGCAGCAGCAGGACGAGTGTTTTGACCCGACAGGGAATCGGAAAACAACCGCAAATAAGTCTCCAACGAACGAGAGACCAAGGAAGCGACTGTACTCGGAGGTTGGGATGACGTGGGGGAGAGAAAACAATTGCCCCTTGCAGTGACGCGAATCAGCACCAGGCTGAGGGATGGATGGAGACGGCGGACAACAAAAGAGCGAGGGAAGGGAGCGAACCCAACGGAGGGGGGGAGGGGGCAAAAATGAAAGAAGAGAAGAAGATGGTCAAACGAGTGACTGTCCACGCAGAAAACCGATCGCACAGAACGGGCGTGTGTGGAGGAAAGATGTGCTGAAGAAGGCAGCGAAAAGGAGAGATTAAGGTGGAGGAGGGAACGAGGACAGGGTCGGAGGTGGTACTTCTCCTCCTTGTAGTTAGTTAAGGTACTCCTCCGTACGTGTGTGCTCCGCTACGTACGTTGGTTTCACGGAGTCGATGGTACCTGAACCGCTCAGAGGAGTGGGCCACGCAGGCAATAAAAATAAAATACTGGTAATAAAACTCTCTCCATACAAAATCATATCAAATTTAGTACCTAACTATGAGCTAGTTAAGGAACTAACTAACCAACAGTCATCCAACCGTCGTCTAGTTGCTCTTGGCCGGGTTTCTCGCCCCGGAACACACAGACACCTTTTCGCCATGGGACTGAGTGGTCCAGACTTCCTCGCAAAACCCACTCTTTGCCAGGGAGGCTGTGCTGGCAGTGAGTGACATGCAGCCAACCCAAACTGGGTCCCACGGACAGGGCGTCTGGAATCCCTTATTCCTGGAACTATTGAAGGGTGGTTGGTTGGTTTGTACCCGGCTTGTCAAGTCTCAAAACTTCTGGAAATATCGAATTATGGCGCTGGGAAATTACCTAGATCCGATTTCGTGTCTACGGGGACAATGCCCGTCGCTGTGGCTGGACTGACGACGATCGCCCCTCTTTCATTAAATTCGCATACTCTGTAAGGCCCGCTTCTCACACCATGCTGACGACGACAATGACTTGACAAGTGAAACGACCCGATGAGAAACGGCCGGGGTCCAGCCCTATAAAAATGTTATCGGGATCTGAGTTTCAGAGTACGGTCACTACGGTGTAGTCAAATCTAAAAAAAAAAATTCTAAAACATAAAACGCAAATCAGACTTCAGGAGTCAATAACCAGATCAAAAGGGTCTTGTGGGATGAGAGAAAACAAAACAAGAGGAAAAAAGCCATCAGCCAGGGCCGGCCCCGCCGGCAACCAGCTGCAGCAGATACGGAGTACGGCTCGGCCTGGTTTGCTGCTGGCTTGTCCTACACGGGGAGATTACTCTCGTCCGACTCGAGCCAGTGACCCTATTCGTCGTGACATATGAGGCACTTGTGGGAGGTCTCCCTCGTTTCTTTTATTCTCGGGTGTCTGCATCGTTCGCTTGCCATACTCCGTACCAAGCAAGATCCAGCTACATCGCGCGATGTGTGCCACAAGATGCATAAGGTAACATGATGGTTCCCTACTGGCCTATCGTCCTATATCTGCAGACGACACTCGGACATCTCTGGATCAAAACATCTCGGTCTATAAGGTAGGAAGAGAAGTGCGGACACAGGAGCAAACCAAAACAGAGCAGCTCCGCTGGCTCTAATCACGCTCTAGAATACATTCAAAATCAGACACTGTACACAACCATAGCTCGTTAGACAAGAAAGTAACAGTCACATTATAATTCTTTTGCCCGACGTTCGCGGATGACCTCTTCTCGTCGAACTTCCCTCTCAACATCCTCCAACCGGCCCTCCCACTCCGCCCAACACTCCCCCCCACCCACCAATCCAATCTCATACCATCGCTGTAGCAGTTTAGCCGTCCGGATCCGTAGCGCAGATACCTCCTTCGCCTGCTCCTGTTGCACCTGGGTGAGCTTGTTCAGTTTCGGCTGGAGTTCGATCAGGGACGCGGAGATCTGCGCGTCCGGAATGGGGAGGTCCGTCAACGAGCTGAGCCGGGACGAGGTCTCTGGAAATGCAGTCGCGTAAGATAGGACAATAGACGCGAGGTTCTGGGTCGTGAGACCTTCGGGAGGGTTCTGCGATGGCGTCGAGCTGAACAGCTCGGGGAAACGGTCGTCTTGCAGGCTTATTAGCAACGAAAGGTCATCTTCCCCATAATTATATCGATATACGCTTGGAAAGAATACTACTCACGGAGCTGAATAACTTCTCGAACAGCCGGGATGCTCTTGCTAAGCCTCTCCAGCTCCCTCTCCAGACGAGCCAGTCGCCGCGATGCCGTCTCGTCAAGCGTGTCGGGTTTCGGGGGCGCGGCGGGGACACCAGTCCAGCTGGTGTCTCCAGTGAGGAGGTAGTTGAGGCGACGAAGCCGCGCCTCGAGGAGTTCGATCGTCGCGCCTGCTATCGCATCGCTTTCGAGTGTCATCGTCGCTTGTGTTGTTGATTGGGGAGATTCTCGCGGAGGTTTGAAAGGCCCCGATAACCAGCTAACTAGCAGCTACAGCTCTCCACATGGATGCAAACATAACAAATCTTATCTCTAAGAAGGGAGATTTGATTAAGAGGCAGAGCAGAGTATTAAGTAAATATTAATATTAAATAAAGGAACTCTTTTAATTTTCTTATAACTTATTTACTTTTAAAAAATATATATATATTGTCATGCTGTTTAGAATATTATAAGATTGACCTTTATATAGTTTTACCATCATAGTGCTAGTTTATATATTCAACACTTCAATAAAACTCTAGATATGATTGCTAATTTTGCAAATTAGGAAAATATGTTATGACTCTAAGAAATCTAATCATAAAGAGGGTATGCAATAAATTAGCCAGATGATATATAGAATCCCAAGGACAGCCTTCACCTTTCTACGACTGGTTTTATTGCTTCTTCGGTGAATTCTCGATCTTCTGCCATCCCATACCAAAGCTCGAAACGAAAGCAATACAACCGCCAGCTGCGGCAAGGTACTGATTGGCTTGTTAGCTTTCAACCAGGAGTGAACAACAAGGTGTGTTGACTTACAAAGGTTCGAGTAATTGCAAGATTGAATGCAAGTAGCACACCAGGAAGATCTGCCTTATCTGTAACCGTTCGGAATGCAGTAGCTCCAGCCGCAACAATGGCCTCGACATTGGCATTCGGAGCATACTTGTGCAGAGCAGAAGGAAGCGAATTGTCCATGATTGTCTCCGCAACAGAGAGAAAAACGGTCCCGCCAAAATACTGAGTAAAAAAGATTGAAGATGTAGCAATGGCAACCTGGTTGGCTGGGAGGAAGGACTGTACAGCTGTGAGGGGCTGGTTAAAATGGTCAGCCAAGGTTTTTAAAACCATATAAAAATCGGGGAAAAGTGAATGTAACACATACCATTTGCATTACGGATCCCCGGCCAGCGCCTGTCAGTATCTGATAGCCAATCCAAGGCCCGGCGCCAGTCCATGGGTAGAATGTAGACATCAGTCCAGCACCAATTGCGCTTAGCGCACTTCCAAAGAGTGCCCACGGGGTGCAGCGTTTAACAACCTGGACTGCCTAGAATTAGCGTATTATCTGAGATGGAGTGATTTTCCTGTGACGAACCGAATTTACCAGCAACCACTGAGCCTATGGCTTGGGAAATCATTGAAGGCAGAGTCCTTACTCCGCTCATCGTAGGGCTAGCTCCTTTAACAGCCTGAAACCAGAGCGGGAGATAGTAAGATAGCATGAACAGAGCTCCCATCTGGAAACCAGCGACAAGGCATCCAGCGGCCACGAGTCTGTTACCGATGATAATCGGTGGGATCATGGCACGGTCGCCCCTATGCCACTGCCACCCTGCAAAGATACAAGCCATTACAAAGGAGCCACAGAAAAGCCCGATCACCGTAGCAGACTTCCAGGGGTATGTCGAACCGCCCCAGTTGAGAGCTAAAAGGAACATGGTGCATGCGGGGGCAAAGAGAGCAAATCCGATAAGATCTAGTTCTCGAAGAAGAGGCATGAAGTTCTGTGTAACTGGTTTCTTCTCGATCTGCTCGGGAATCCTCATGAGGAGGAGAAGGAGGCATGCAAGGCCGCCAGGGGGAAGATTGATATAGAAACCTTCACTTGATGTCAGTTGCTGAAAGAAATACACTACGATAAAAGAATAGGTAGTATCACTTACACCAACGCCATGAGGCATGCTGGGTTAACGCACCGCCAACGACAGGTCCAATTACAGAGCCTGTAGCAAACCCGTCAGCTCAACTCTACCATTGCCCGTCAATGGTACGGTAGACTGACCGATGGAAGATATGGCAATACCGATTCCGACGTAAACTATAGAGCGGTCCTTCATCAGTACACAGACCTTGATATACTGGGGGATATACTCACGCGGTTTTTTATCTCTTGGAACCGCAGCAGCGATAATCGTGAATGCTCCACTCAACAATCCTGCTCCACCCATACCTTGAACTGCTCTTCCCACGATAAACATATTCGATGAGACTGCAACCGCACTCAGGAGGGATCCGAGCATAAAAATTGATTGGAAGACCAAGAACGTGGCCTGTCAGAGAAGAATTAGACACAATGGAGTAGATCGAGTAAGGATGATGCTGACCAAGACTCACCTTCAGAGGACAGAACGTATAGATCTTGCCTGTAAGCGGATTCAAGGCACAACTGCGACGGGACAGAAAGATATCAATCAGTCCAAAGACCCTCTGGGGGCATGATATCATCTTTGTGACCCGTTTCAAACGTACTTTGTGAGAAGAGCCGCACTGCCATACCAGCCGATGTCGTCGATCGAGTTAAACTGGGAGGTGATTTTGGGAACGGCCTTTTGCAGATCCCCCACGAATCAGCCATGTTTATGCCACCTTCAAAGAGAGAAGTCACTAATGCCAGAAGTCTTACCGTTGAGACAATCGAACCGTTCAAGGCGATGAGCAGGATGGTGAAACAGAGGGCAAAACTAAGAAGCAGTAATCTGGCGCCAGATAGGGTTCCATCCCCGCCATCAGCATTAGGCTTTAGCAAATTCTTTTCAATATCTGGTCCATCTGTAGCCTCAATGTTATTGGTACTCGTGGTATTCGGCTGGATTTCTGTCGTCTCTGAGGGCGTATCACTGTTTGTATGCATCTTGTTTTTACTTCACGATGAGACTCCGCTGCTGTTTTCCAACTCTTCTGATCCAGAGACAGAGAGCTACTGTGCCTATAGGCACTTTAATATAATGAAAATTCATGCTCCGAGTGCTCCGTTCTAAGACATTGCTTGTCATAACATAGTATTGCTGCGAAAAGGATGTGGTCAGATCGAGAAGACTCCCATGATCCTCGCGTTAGCGTCGGAAACGGGTGCTCCGTGTCCGTTCCTCTCTCCTATCTGGTACCGCAGTTTCATCCATCAGCTTATGTTTTTCTGAACGGAATGCGTCCCTTTTTTTTCAAGGGGTGCTAAGTAATACTGCCCGTACGCCACACGGGTAGTTATATATTAATTTTAGCGTATTTGTTGCTCTATTCCGACTCCGATGGACGAAGCCGCCAGTGGCCGAGGGCCAACAGCCTGCCATCCCTGCGCGAAGGCCAAAGTGCGCTGTGAACCGTCAGGTAGTGGCTGTGTTGTTTGTAAACGGTGATTTTAATCCAAAATTGGGGTTCTGAATCGAAGGCTGATGTCTTTGCGCGTGAGCCAGATGCATGAGGTTGAATAAGGAATGCACCATCCAAGCTCCCGGGGCCCATAAACGCAAGAGGGCCAGAATTCCGTAATGTTTACCTTGGCATATCAATACGTCCGGCCACAGGCTAATCGAAGTCAATGACGGCTCAGCGAAATTGCTCGTCTTGAAGAAAAACTTGATGGTGTGGCTGCAATCCTAGCGGCGTCCAAAAGAGACTCAGATGACTTGCCTCAGACAGCCCAAAACACTGTGCCCAGAGGTGAATGGCCCCTAGCTCCGGCAGGCTTTGGCAACAGTTCCTTTTCAGACGATAATTTCTATCCAGACGGTGACGAGGCGCAATTAGTTCTGGACGCCTATCGGCAGACAATGATGCCTTATTTCCCATTTGTTGTGATACCGCCGAGCATAACCCCTCTCGAGCTTCGGCAGGGCAAACCTTTCTTGTATAGGACTATCATGATGATTGCATGCCAGCGTAGCTCAAGCGATCAACTGGCTCTCAGTAACTTGGTCAGAGACTATTTCATTCAAACAGCTTTGGTCAAAGGGGATCAGAACCTGGATCTGCTTCAAGGTCTGCTTGTTTTCCTAGGATGGTAGGTGCTCCCTGAGATCGCCCATTGCAAGTACCTTATCTCACACCAATGCAAATACAGGTATCATGTCCACCTACAGTTTCGCGCCCAATTGTCCAATCCGGTTCATCTATTGATGGGTTTGGTTGTGGACTTGGGCCTGAATAGTCCCACCGATGTGCGAGGAACCACAGGACTTCCGCTTCACTTCTTACGAACTTTTTATTTCGAGACACAGAACCAGAGAGTGCGCACTCTGGAGGAGAGGAGAACATATCTCGGCTGTTTTCACCTGATTGCTACGTTAGTGCAAAGATCCGGCCTTGTCCTGACATTGTTCATTGATCTTCTGACATTATATAGAATATCATTGTGCAGCCGAGATATGTCCCCATTAAAATATACCAAGTACACGGATGAGTGTTGCAACGCACTTAGCGAGATGAAAGAATACTCAACAGACGAGTACATTATTTACCACATACGACTGCACCGAGTGGGTGAAAAGATTCGCAGAACGTTATGGGATGATCGCTTCGACATCACTTGGAATATGTCAGCGCCGTTGGGGATGTGTGTGCGATATTTAGAGATAGAGCTTCAACGGTTCAAGGATTCAATACCTTTCGACATGCCCCAGCAAGGTGAGTGACTACTCTTGTTTCAATCTGGTCATGGCTTGTGGGCCTTATACTTGATATTCTGCATCTGCAAACTGTTGGCCCTTTTCTAACAGAAAGAAAAAAACCTTCCAGCGCTACTTCATCTGTATGTTCATACCCTTGAAATATCCTTATACAGCATTGCACTCAGCGACAACCTTTCGGATGGAGACTATAGCGAGTGTCAAATGACTCGCTTTAACATCCTTCACTCCTGCTCAATAGCTACGAAGGCTTTCTTTGATCTGATTTCAAATTTCAAGCCGGAGATGTCCATTGGCATGCCGTACACGTGTTGGTCACAGTCCAGTCAAGCAGTCGTCGTGCTCTCCAAGCTTTCGCTCTTGAAAAACGAAATCTGGGACGAAGATAATGCCCAAAATATGGTTGACTTTACCAAAGAAATTGATAGGATGTCGAGTAAAATCAAAGCGTTACAATCTTGGGATCATGGTGGGAAATTTCGACATTTTGTTCCAGACCTCCCCTTGAGAATTGAATCACGACTACAGTTCATGAGAGAGATCTATGAGAAGAAAAACTTTGCTCTGGCCGAGAGGAAGCGCAATCTGGTCGATTCAAACATTGACCTGAATTTGGAATATCTTCCCTCGATGCCGATGTTTGATCTGCTGGACGGAAATTTCTGGCACGAACTTTTTTGAAACGGATACTGGAGAATGGACATGTATTAATTATACGAGTCATATTATTATCTCTCTTCTGAAACCCTCTGAATATATGCTGGCTGTTGCATACTTGGATGTATAAGTTTGTGATATCTACCTGCTGCTGTTATTTTGGGCTGCCTTCGGCTTTTGCTTCAACCCAAGCTGGAAAAGGGGGGATTCCTTCAGCTGGCTCCAATTGTGAAGCAGCATGCTGTTGAGATTCGACTGAGCAACGGCCTCCTTTCCTCTCACCCAGACTTCCTTCTCATAAGCCGTGACTGCTGGGTAAAGTGAGCCTGGTGATTTATTTTCTAATTTGGCGATCTCGCGACCAAGGAAGGCAGCATCCAGGATCGCATTGTTCAGGCCTTGCCCACGATCTGAGTGGGGAGAGGTTAGTTACATTGTAAAATTTTCAGATCGTCATATTGGCTAAAAGGTGGACTCACGGAACGTCATGGGATGTGCTGCGTCTCCAACGACCGTAACGGTGCCATTGCGGTTATCCCAAGGCTGTGTTTCCCAGTAGGACAGTCTGCTATGCCAGACTTTGGTCCCTTCCGGGAGGCTCTGAAAGACGGAACGGAATGGCTCTGCAAAGCTGCAGGTTATTTCCTTCAGGCTCTCAAGAATTGCATCGCCAGACAAGCCTGTGTCTTCGTTGGAAATCCACGAGATCATAACAAGGAACTCCCACTCTCCTGGCTCTCCCTGTGCGTTATGAACTGTAGAAATAGAATGAACGTCCTATTTAGAAATCAATTCTTCAACGGCAACGTAAAGGCCTCTACTTACTCCCGACCCAGCCGAAATAACCATCAGGATGGAGGATAAGACAGTATCGTGGGTGAAGCTCTTTGACTGCCAGCGCGACTTCGGCAGGCAGACGGGGCACTGAAATCGAGGATACCACTGGCGAAGGGTTTAATGCAGCCTCTTCCTTTCCGACAAGAAATTCACGGACACGCGAATGGGCACCCTCGGCACCAATCAACAGTCGCCCACTCGCTGAACTGCCATCTTCGAATGTGACGCTAACAATACTTCCATCTGTGTCAATACTCGCCAGACGCTTGCCCCACTGGCCCATGAATGTCAGTCTTTCGAACCTGACAATTGATGCCAGTTCAGGGAGGAAATAACAACATGTTGGCTTACTTGGACATCAACTCCAGTTGCAATCAGTTCGAGAAAGGCTCTCCGCTTCAGGCGAAGACTGTACGGAGCAGGAAAGGCCAGGATCCTTTCGCCCGTTTCTCCGTTGAAGGAAGGCAGGTAATCCGTATCTGCAGGCTTGTGCAAGTCAACTTGACATGTCTCAAGCTGATTGATAAGCTCCGGCGGCAGGCATTCCGACAGGTTTGACTGGGCCCAGTACACGCCATAATTCCAGTCTCGTGGCCGAGCATGGGGAGTGGCGTCCTGTTCGAAAACCGTGCAAAGGATATTTTCCTATAGAACGGGGGCAATCAGATTCTCACTCTAACGACTATTCTTCTTTGTCCACAGAACCGAGTCATGTTCGCACCTTTTTCAAGATTTGAGCTATCAGCAGACCAGCCGCCCCTGCTCCAAGTCCGCAGTTAGGATCCCAATTGGATACGAGGGTCTCGAATGCGCTGAAAACCACTCACCAGCTCCTATGATCAGTACACGATCGTGATCCTCAGCGACTGACCCCATCGTGACACTGGTCAGCCTGGTATCTCGGTGGCTTTGATCGGCGAGGCCAAGAAATTGTTGGAAGAAATCACAAATTTCGTCTGTTACACAATCGCTCACTACTAAATAGGATCTAGTAGCCTTGAGAAGTGAACACCACTGCCTTTTATAATTGCTACTCACACAAACCAAGCATGGGCCCCATGGTCAGCGTCTTCCTATGATAGCTACCGGTCACTTTTGAACTCGACCATACTACACTACAGTATCAGACTCGATGTTCTATACCAGGTATACTGACTAACTCGTATTTTCGACCCAACCCTGACATGTGAACGAGGACCATGATGGGCTACTACGGAGTACATAGAAAGAAAGCACTGTACTCCTCCTGGTTTACCGTCATCTTGCGGTGCCCGCATTAGACTACTCATTAGCGTGGCATGGGGTTCGATGAATAGACCTCTGAGCTCTGGGTGATATGTCCGTGCCCTACTTCTCATTGTGAAGGGCCTCTGTCACATAAGGAGAAAGTAATATGCATAATGATAAAGTAATCAGAATACTCTGCGAGCCTCTCACAGGTTAAGAAAGCCCGCAGCTAGGGTGGTTGATTTTCAATGCCACTCGCCGTATAAACTCTAGTAAACGCGAAGTAATTTCACACCATACACTTTCTTCACTTTAAAACCCGGAGCAAACCCGCTGCAATAATGATTACTGGTCCAAGAGAAGGAGGAGGAGGAGGAGGAGAGCAGCAATCCGTTGCAGCTGGTCCGAAGGAGACCTCTCCGACCCCTGCAATATCCCCAGCCCCACCAGACGAGCTGGCTAGAGAGTATGGCATCAACACCGAGGTAAGGCTGCATACTAGTACTGATTCTCCTATGCTAGGTTCACCCTAGAAGCTCTCGCCTATGACCTGGTATCTTGTTGCTGACCGAAGATTGCCTTGACTAGGTTCCTGAACCGACGGATTTTCCGGATTTGCACGATGGTGATGACGACGATGGAGGTATTGAGAGTGATGGCGACTCTGTTTTTGACGAGAACAGCATCAACTCTGAAACCACATCACTTAATTCATCTGTGATAAAGTATAGGGAGGAGATCGGACGACGATACCATGCTTACGGTTTGTCTAGAGCTCATTTCACAAGACTACATTCATTGGGTTGCATCTGATCTCAACTTTAAGGGACCATGGAGCATTGGGGTCCAAATGACGAACATGCTCAGGAGCAACAAGATCTGAGGTGGGTTTGTCCTATGTGTACTGCGGAGCACTTGGTTATTTGCTAAATTCGATTCATTTTGCAGCCATCACTTGTGGACGCTGGTTTTGAATGGGAATCTCTATCTTGCTCCAATCAGAGATCCAAAGGTTAGAAGGCCGCCCTGACGGTGCATATCCAGTGCTGACTGCGGATGCAACAACTGCAGAGTGTTTTGGATCTAGGAACCGGTACAGGAATCTGGGCTATGTATAATAACCCCCGAAATCTTTTTCCTAGAGATAGTATCCCTCTGACGCCAGCAAGTGATATGGCCGACGCCCATCCGCAGGCGGTTGTCAAAGGCATCGACCTGTCACCGATCCAGCCGTCATGGATTCCCCCCAATCTCAAATTCGAAATCGATGACTACAACCTGGAGTGGCTCGACAAGGGGAAATATGACTTAATCCACGGACGTGAGCTACTCGGGACCGTCCCAAACTGGGTGGAGTTCTATCGTCAGGTTCTTAGGTAGGCCACAACAGCCATTCCTTTCCCTTCCTTTTCTTGTAGGATTTATCAACCTCTCAATAATCTGTTATGTTGTTTAGTGGCCTTAAACCAGGCGGCTGGTTCGAACAGGTTGACCCGACCATCTTCCTCGTCTCAAATTACGGCACTCTACCCCCTGGCCACGTCTTCCATCAATGGAGCGAGCTTATGGACGAGGGAGGCCGTAAGGCGGGCCTGGATTTTAATACCGCTCACCACATCAAGAGATGGCTCGAGGAAGTCGGATTTGTCAACGTCACGGAAGTGAAAATGCCGATACCAGTTGGCAGTTGGCCTAAAGATCCCCGCCAGCGAGAGATCGGCGCCTTCAACCAGCTCCGGATCGAGCAGGGCGTGTTGGACTTTTGTGGACGCAGATTCACCAATAATCTTGGAGTAAGCTTCTCCATCACATGCCCACAGCTGAATATCGTCTACCCAAGTCTCTGGCTGATTCACCACAGTGGTCACGAGTGCAGCTTGAAGTATTCTGCGCCGCTATGAGAGACGCAGTGAGGGATTCGAAACTCTTGGCTCATCACTACGCGTAAGAAATTCAATTTTACTGCATATTTTTGTTAGAGAACTTGGGAATTATCGTTATTGATACAATTTCAGGTATTTTGTCTATGGCCAGAAGCCTGGGAATCTTGGAAATGAATGATGTACATCATATGGATGGATAAGCTATCTTGTTCCAATACCAGGAATCCCCCAGTATTGAATACAGTATTCCGTTTGAGGTCCATGAAAAAAAGAGCTATACTAGTAATAATTTTACATTTCTGGAATCTTGCACCTTGAGCAAGCCACCGAGCAAGGTGTGGAGCCGAAAAGAAATGCCTCAGTTGAAGAGCCGAAAGCAATATACCTCAGGCTAGTAGTTATAGCTTTGTAAAATTGCAGCGTGGTACATGTCAACCTGATTCGGGTACCTTGCACCTTGAGCATTTGGCATGTACTGGTGATCGACGGGTCCACGAATGATAGCATTAGGGATGTTTTGAACCATCCCAGAATAGTCACCGAATGTAGAGCCTAGAAGCTGAAGATCTTCTGGCTGGGGATTCACTCGATTTATTGAGGTCCGAGGTTGTTTTCGTAGTCTTAGCTTAACCCCTTGGTCTGCAAAAGACTTCGAAAGGAGGGTGGACTCGGCCATTCCAGGGAAGCTCTTCGGCAGCGATACCGTGAATGGTTCTGAGATAATGGACTTCAAGTTCGTGACGATACTATCGTTCTGTATTTCGAAGAGCGTAAACTTTAATCGAAACTCCCCAGAGATCCTGATGGAGAGATCTCCAAAGACGAAGAAGCCCCCATCGGTATTATCCAGATCCTTCAGATGATGGAGGGATGATACTGACGTCCCTGCTAAAGCTGTGGAAGAAGAACCCACTGGAGCCGGAAGATCCTCCGTGGCATGGCAGACGCTGCAACACAAGATATAGTAAGGACTTTGGAGGTAGTGTTGCGCAAGATAGCTGTTCTGTTCCTTCACCTGCAGCTGCACAATCGGTGGCGGATCAATAGGTTTGCGTGCCTTCTCCTTATCCCCCGCCACTCGTGCCCGTTCAGGCTGTTGGCGAATGATCAGGTGGAAGTCTGAACTGTCGTTTGGTACCATTTCCGAAGGTTTGTCGGTTTTTGGATTAATAGGGACGCTCTCCGGCGATTGATGTATCAAGTGAGTTACCTTGATCTTCTCACATTTAATCAACGGCATCTCTACTTTAACACGGTGACTCATCTCACTGGCTCGGAAGTATAATATAAAGAATGACTTATGGATGACGCAGTAAGTACTCTTACTTTCTACCAGGAGTCAGTATTGCTGCCTCGATTGAGCGGACGTCTTCTGCCTACCTGCTTCTCCAGTAAAGATATCAGGACACGCTAGTTCTTGGTATTCATACTATTCGACATCTATCACTGGTAAAGAACTACCAGTAGTTAGCATCGAAGAGAGAAAGTCAAATGTACCCAAGCGATAAAGGGATTCTGCAAGCTATCCTCGACCGTAGTGTGTGAGCAACCAGCTACTCGAAACTTACTGCACGGATCGATTATAAGCTTCATCCGCTAGGCTTCAAGTTCCTCGATCTTGGAAAGTTGACGTCTAGTAAAGCAGGTAGCTATTTCGGTGTTGACGGTACCAAGTGAAAGTCTGGGGGTGGTTCCAGGGTAGAGCTGGTCGCTCTTTCCCTGTCCTGGGGCCCTGGTTGATCTACTTTCCTTTTCTGGGGTGAACAGCTGCCTGAGGTTTGTGTCTGCCTCAAGGCCATTTCTGCCTGAAAATCAGTGATATCTTACTCTAGTTATTCTCTTGCTTTCCTTTCCATCTTCCTCTTCATCTTGTTACTGATCGTTTAAGCTATTCTGTGTATTATTTACACTGCTTCTCTCTTTATAACACTAAATCCTTATTACTGAACAATCTACCATATCAAAGTATCCTGATACTTTATATTCTATTCAGAAAACCTAACTCCCTGGGTCTCAACTACTTTTCATCAGTAACTGAAGCCTAGAAAGATCTGCTCTCTTTTATCAAATTCCAGTGAAAAACGGAGCGTCTTAAGGCTTATCTTTCTACAGGCCATCTAGCCTAGGAAATGAGTTGCAGTAAGATGGCCCCGAAGCTTGATACCTCCTCGTCACAGGGGAAAATCGTCAACATGACCTCTTCAATTCTGAGCTGTCCCTCCATGGAGAAAAGAGGCGGCACTACCTCTAGTGATCCAGCTGAGCCACTCACACCACCCGATGACACGTCTGTGTCGTTGCCGAGACCGTCTTTTGATATAAGACAGCCAGATTTGAAGCTTCAAAACTATACGACGCTCACTCATAAGCCTACCTCCACGGCAACAATTTCCTCCATTTCATGTATACCCTCGTTCGACTCCTCTGCCTCTTCTAGCGCACCCACGCCTGAAGCTTTGTCTCACAAGAACTCATCTCGTTCATTCCGGCACTTCTTCCGCCGTTTCAATGTCAACTCTGCAGAAAATCCAATTAAGAGCTCTGCATTACATTCAGATCTACCAGAAAATGCGAAGCCCAACACACTGGCCGTCGATATGGGTATGGTTTCCTCCCTGCCATCTGTTGACGACAATATTAGAAAGGTCTCCATTCCAAACTCCTCTTCTCTGCTTTCCACAGGCCTCAATGGTGACCATGAACAACAACCTCCCCATCCTCCTAGCGCAGGATTAAAACTACGAAGTACAGACTTAGAAACCTCTCAGGAAATCTCAGTTGACTTCTGCAAGCTTCATGCTGAATATGTCAACTCTAGCAGGATTCCAGGTAGACGAGGAAAAGAGGTTGGAGTCGGTACCACATCTACCGTGAGGGTCATGTATGAAAAGGGATCTTCTAAAACTACCCTTTTTGCAGTCAAAGAGTTCCGCAAATGCGCCCCAGAAGAAGATAAGAAGGAGTATGAAAGATGCATCAAGTCTGAATTTAGCATTGCGGTTAGCCTTGACCATCCCAATATCGTCAAGACGGTGCGGCTTTGCGTTCACAATGGTCTTTGGAACCAAGTGATGGAGTATTGCAGCCGAGGTGAACTTTTTGAAATTGCGAGGAGAAAATACATCCGGGTTGAAGACCAAATGTGCTTTTTCAAACAAATCCTTCAGGGTGTTGCCTACTTGCACGACAAGGGTATCGCCCATCGTGATATCAAACTCGAAAATATACTTCTCACCGAAGAGGGTCACCTCAAAATCACCGACTTTGGAGTCGCAACAATTTTTCGGAGATCTCACCCTGGCATGGAATCCGCTTCGGAGCAGGATCCAAAGGATTCAGGTGAAATACGCAGATGTAAGCCAGGATTTTGTGGAAGCTTGCCATACGTTGCCCCGGAGGTGCTAGCTGAGAAAGGTATGTTACACCAGCTGAGGAGAAGAAATGAGCCATTATTTCTCTCGCTGACATATTTTATTAGGAGATTATGACCCCAGAGCCATTGACGTTTGGTCCTGTGGTATTGTCTGTGTTGCCATATTGATGACCGGCAAGCCATGGAACGCGGCCCTTCCAGAGGAACCTCGCTATGCACAATTCTTGAAAGGGTGGGAAGACTTTGCCAAACTAAAGGCTGGAGGCAATCCTACTATCACAGGCCTTGATATCCCTTCCTGTGGACCATATTTCAAAGCTATTCGCAAACCATCTCTCCTACGCCTTGTATTGAAAATGCTGCACCCTGATCCAAAATACAGGATTTCTATCCATACAGCATTGAGACAGCGTTGGGTTAGGGACATCGAGTGTTGCTGCCCGGACCCAAAGGACTTGCCGAATATAGACTCTTCTACGGACAGTTGCAGGCCAAAGTTTCTAGTGCAACACAAGCATTGCCCAATTGAAAAGAGAGGTCTGTTTAAATGGTAACTTTGACGTTTCACTATTGATGTTCAGGTATCCAAGCTCTATATCCATCAATAGTCAACTTATGATATGTACCTGTCAAGACCAAGCTTGATACTTCTGATACTGGAAGACCAGTGATTCTAAATAGGTTCTTGCTCCTGTTTATGCTGACTTTCAAGTCCAAATTCGTGATTTCAATTCTGAGTGTCCCATACCTTGCTATCTCTTGCCTTTGTTGATTAGTATTGTTGCTCTCAAGTTCTCGCTGTGCCTCTGGATAGGAATGATGATACATGTAATGGATGGAACGCAGTGTATGGATTGTTTCAATTCAATTTTTTTCTCTTCGACTCTAGTTTCTTTGAATCGATTGGATTTCTTTGAATCGATTGGAATTGATATGAAGCTAGTGGAAATCTAAAGAAAATACAACCCTTCCTGATATGTTAAAGGAATTGGACGCAATGATTCGTGGTCCAGTGGCGTTTGTATGAATTATTTACCTGAGTTATATTTTTTATTACACTACTATTCTATCATAATGGCTTCAAATATGATAAGACATAAGATATTCTTTTGGAGTCTGCTGAGGCCCCGGCGTTCGATACCACCAAGTCTTGTGGTCTAGTATCCGTCTCTCTTCAAATTTGTTTTCGAATCTACGTACGATGTAGGTCCCGAGATACGGCATAGTTCAAATATATTTCCCTATTCTATGATTTCTCCTTCAACAAGTCGACAGCAAGCTCCTTGAGTTTGAATTTTTGGATCTTCCCGCTTGCTGTTTTGGGAAAGGAATCCGAAGAAGACAGAAAGAAGACATATTTGGGCACTACAGAATTAACCACCGCAAATTCTTTTATAAAAAAGGGAAGAAAATAAGACAGCGTCGAACATACCGAGATGGCTGCTTAGCCTTTCACGCACCCAGAGCTTGACCTCCTCGTCCGTGATGTTCGACTGATTGGTTCGCTCACGCGCTACCACAAAGGCCGCGACGACCTCTCCGTAGCGGGGGTCCGGAACCCCAACGACAGAGATATCCGAGATGCCCGGGTGCGCGAGGAGACAGTTTTCGATCTCGAGGGGGTGGATGTTTTCGCCGCCGCGGATAATTAGGTCTTTGATTCGTCCGGTGATGGAGATGTAGCCGTCGGGTGACATGGAGGCTTCGTCTCCGGTCTAAGTGAAGTATTAGAGTATCGATATTGGCAAGAAATGATGGATTGCAAAACTTACATGCATCCACACCTTGCCATCTTCGTCCGGGTACATCACTTCTATTGTTCGCTCGGGGTCCCCCCAGTACCCCTTCATAAGGAGATAGCCACTGACTGCTAGTTCACCCTTGGTGTTGACGGGGAGTATCTCGCTCCGATCTGCTGGATTGACGACTTTGGCTTCGACGTGAGGCACCAGGCGCCCCACGGAGTTGATGCGTTTGTCGAGCGGGTCGTCGGTGGTGGTCATGGCGGAGACAGGGCTCGTCTCCGTCATGCCGTAGCAGATGGTCAGTTCTGTCAGGTGGAGGATCTCGTGGAGTTTCTTCATCAGCTCAGCGGGGATACTGCTGCCAGCAGCGATGCCGGTACGGAGGTACTGGAATCCTTCGTAGGGTACCTCCCCGCTTTCGATCAGATGAAGTTGTTCCAAGAACATCGTCGGGACGCCGTAGAGCGCCGTACATTTCTCCTCCTGTACAGCATTTAGCGCTGCGCCGGCGTTGAAAGATTCCGAGGGGAAGACAATTGCAGCGCCGTGTGTCGCCGTCGCCATGTACCCTAGTATACAGCCAAAACAGTGGAAGAGCGGAGGAGGGCAACAGACGATGTCTTCTGGAGTCAGGAGCATTCGATCGCCGATGGAGGCGCCGTTGTTCAGGATCGAGCGATGGGAAAGGCATGCAGCCTTGGGCATGGCGGTTGTTCCAGATGTGAACTGGATGTTCACAATATCGTGGGGTGAGAGATCTCGAGGCCCCAAGGGGTCTCTGTCCGCTGCCATCCCGGACATGACGGAGAGGAGAGGGGTAAGGACACGATATTTTGATACATCTACTCGGCCAGCAGAGTTATCCACAAATATGACACCTTTTAGTGAGGGAACTGCGGCTGAAGCCACCTTGGAGGCCGAGACATCCTGGACAATTTCTTGGACGAGGGGGAGGTTGCTTCGAGGTTCTTTGCGAGGGAGATTGGCCTCTGCGCTGATAACCAGATGGCTGGCACCGAGATGGCTCAATGCTGCAATGACCTGCGAGGCATTAAAGGAGGGATTCAGAGGAACCTACAGAATAGTTTCAGGTTAAAGAAGAGTCGATTTGCGGCTTGAGAGGGAAGTGAACACTCACAAGAATGGCACCAAGCTTGAACAATGCATAAGTGATCTAGAGAACTGTCAGCTTGCCCTGTCTCCTGTGTTCAAATAGGTTTCTGTTCAATCTTTGAAAGCCGTACAATGGCGTATTCAACGGAATTGCCCAGCATAACCCCCACGCGGTCTCCCTTGCTAACACCCTCGGCCTCGAGGCCTCGAGCCAACGCATTACTCTTCTCATCGAGTGCTGAATAACTCAATCTCTTGTTCTGATGCCTCGCTACCACACTTGGAGAGTACCATCAGCCTTTTTTTCTGCCCGAAAAAGAAGGTGACGAAGGTGTTTAACTGACGCTGTCTTATCCCCGCATTGCTGGACGATCCGCGAGAAGTGATCCCCAATCGTGGACTCAATCAAGGGCGGCTATTCAGAATTAAAGAATCGAGTTAGAGATCAACTTGACGCAAATGAATCAAGGAAAGATAGTACTTATGGTGTGTGTACCTCAGATGGTCCACGCGCATAACTCTGGGTCAACAACCCTCGTTTGAAAAAGGGCGAAAAGGTCGAAGGATATCTCCTGCGAGATGCCTGCACAGACCTGCATCTTGGTAGAGAGGTATTTATTTTCGAATTGAACAAGTAGCCACGCATATTGTCTGTCCCTGTTTATTTGGCTTCTTAGTAAGCTTATATTCAGAAGGAACGCCGGTTCGGAAGTATAGATGAGTATATATATTCAGCGGTCTGGAGAGCCGTAACCACTTCACATTGGCTAGAACAGGTACACCGGTTCTCAAAAACAAACCAGTGGAACCTGTGCGACCATGGAGAGGCGAAGAGGTGAAGAAGTTAATACTAGGAGACGGTTATCCATGGAATAGAATGACTTGTAACCTTCCCCGCATGCCTCGACACGAGAAACGCGGGGTAAATAATGAGCTATGGTCTGTCTGTACAGGGATGGAGTATTAATAGTGTTTACTCTAATCATCTAAATATCTAGTTGTACACTCTACTATCATTTCATCATTGCTGCCCTGAACTGATACCGAGAGCCCCTTGCTTCTTCACTGTTACTAGTGATTTACTGTTGATATATAGTAGTAACAAGAAATTATAGACGATCTGAGCTAATGAGAGACAAGAACCAATTAGAAAATCAGGGATGAAGATGACACAAATAAAACAATAGCTATCTATCAGGTAGGTAGGTAGGTAGTTAGTTACTATTGCTACCTTCTGATTCACTGTGGTAAGATGAGATGCACCCCTCCTCTCCACACTTACATGTTTTATTCTTCCAATAATCTGAGCCATAGTTGATGGTGATCTCCTCATACATACCAATGTCTCGAGAAGCCTCGACCGTCATAATCGTCCGATTTCCCACGGTCCTCCTCTCGAAGGAGGTCGACGCGTTACAGGAATGATTGATATACCTGGTCCAGTTCCCAAACCGCATGGGAGAGATCACTGCGATGGCTGTCTCGCTATCTGTCTTGCTCTGCTGGACGAGAGCGTACACCGGATCGTCGTCATAGTCATCAGGGCAGATCTCACCAGCAAACTCACCGAGAATGTCGCCAGCCTTGAAGTTGGCTAGGGAACGCACCCCGATCCCCTTGCCGGGGTATTCGACCAGCTCGACCATTTCACCGGCGCGTGAGTCTAGCGTGCAATCGCATAGGTCTTCGGAAGAGCAAATATCACAGGTACCGTCGACCGATCGGCGTTTGGTGGGATCTTGGGTTTTGGACGGCCAGAACTTCGGTCGAAAGATACTCTGGTCGATATGGACTCGCTTGTTGCCGCTGGCGTCGGTCGGGACACGGAGTTTCTTGTTCAGCGCGATATACACTTCGTGGGGGTGATCAGCCCGGATCTTCGGTCTGGGCCGTAGGCGATGGTCGATCTTGCGTGACCTATGCTTCCCATGCTTCAGTAACGGTCCGCGCCAGTCCAAGCCTCGCAGGCGTGCAAAGGTGCGGATGCTGGTCATGTTCCGGGCCATCAGGCCGAATAACTTACGCCGTAATTCACTGGACCCCATACGGCAGACTTGCCTGAAGGCCTGGGACCACGCGCAGATGGCGAAGATCCGGAACCCCACGCGGCTCCAAGCAATCCGTACGGCCGTCGCCTCGTTGAGATCTTCACTCGTCGGGAAGTTCTTCTGCAGCAGCTCTACCTTCAAGAGTTCGTTTACGGTGATAGCTCGGTCCACAAATTTGGCGGCTGATACGCTGTCCTTCTCGTAAGGGAGCGGGTCGTGACCGCTGGATGCAGCCTTTCTGTTCAGACAGACAATTGCGATGTCATGGTAGATTGCCGCCAGTATCAGCAACGTGTCCGTGCTAGTATATTCGGTCTCATCGGAGGTTTCAACGGAGCTGGCGCGGGCAGAGGAAACACGCGAGGAACAGGAAGAGCCGTCTGGATAGATTCTTGTCCGCGAGCCGAATCTGACCCTCTTGCGGGGAGATGAGGGAGAGATGGTGGTATCCGGTGAGCTGGAGCTTCTCTTCCGTGGCGAAGAAGACAGGCTGATCAGCGAGGAACTTGGACTTCTCCTCCATGGCGAGGAAGCAGACATTTTAGCTAGGGATGATATCAGTATACTTAGGATTTTTTTGTCGAGAGAACTTTGGTCAGTCTGTAGGTTACGATCGTGCGGGCAATAATTGTTGAAAGGGACAGTCCAAGAGCTTCCTTCCATTTGGGCCATGGCAAGCTTATAACCACATCAAATATCGGATCCCACAAAGGACTTTCTTCTTTCTTCTTTTCATTGTTTCTTTTTTAAATGTCCGATACTTGTTGCTTTCAACCTGACAATCCCTTTCGGTCCATCCTTTGTCAGTCCTGCCATGATCCTAACTTGAAGGAAACAACAGACAAAGAACCTGCAAAAAAGCTATAGAATCTGTCAGCATAATAAAGAATTGCTTCTCTATGGCCAGAGAGAGTCAGAGACACGTTTATAATATTGACAAATAAAAAGTGTCTATGGCAGTATTGGTATAAACTGTGTTGCAGGCGAGGTGGGCCATCTTCCTAGACTAGGTACGGAGTACATTCTGAAGAGACAGCAGCTAGGAACTAGTTACCACCTATCAGAGATAATCCCGAATAAAAGAAAAATCACCACTGCAAATGAGAATGGCTCGATTAAAAATATCCCATAATTACTGGGGTAATCCGTACAAACAACTCGTCAAGAGGAGGAGTTGTCGGGTAAGCGAAGAGGGACCGGCGAGTGGAGCATCTTGTCATGTGGTGGGGGAGTCCCAACTACGACGACTACTTAATGCCTACCAAGTAGACACAGAAGCGACAGAAAAAGGGCATCCCCATTGCCAGACCATCTCTTCCTCGCGGTAGCAGCTGGTGTCTTATCCTGCATGCAAAGCAGCGGAGAATCAGCCATGGGGACCGAACCGACTGAGGAGGCCATCGCCAACTTCGTCAGCTTCACCAGCACGACGCCGGAGATTGCGGTTCGCTTTCTCAAGGTAAGACGGCTCTCGTCTGAGGATTGAGATTTTTTTGTGATGTCGACTCAATTGTGCTTTTCTTTTTCTTTTCTCTGCAGGCCCATAATTTGGACTCGGCCAAAGCGATCAATGCCTACTTTGAAGATCCGACCCCTCCAGTGCAGTACGAGGTGAGACCGAGCGCCACACCGAAAGCACCGTATCAAAGTCGGTCACTGACTAGATAATATTTGTTTTGATATCCAGGCACAAGCCTACTATGAGAACCAGAATGTGCCGTGTACGTTTCCTACGTTTCCCGCCAACCGCCCCGTTCGATGAGGGGTAAGCTGACGACGATCGTGTTAGCCTTCAAAATAGAGCATACAGATCCGGTTCAGGGCCCGAGTTATGCAGCTCCTTCACGGCCTCCTTCGAGAATAAATATGCATGATGCTGGCCAGCCGCTGCAAGGTCCGGATACGGCAGACAAGGGTGAGACGGTCTTGTTCCTGGTGGGTGATGAGTTCCGACGGCTGACTGGACGGGCTGTTGTGCCAAATTAGGGAATCCTGAAAAGGGATTGTCACTAGCGGAGCAGGAAGAACGTGAACTGCAGCAGGCTATGGCCATGTCACTGAACCAGGAAATCGGGCCCCAAGAGACCGGCGTCACATCAGTCAATCCAGCCACGTTTGGGAAAGCTACTCGCGATTACTACGAGGAGAATGCTTGGGCGATGACATTGATTGACTCCAGCGCGAGAGAGATCATCATCAGTCCGGATCCTGAAGATCGCAAGCGAACAGACGATCATCCCGTGTTCATTCGCCCATCTCAGGACAGCCCATATCTAGGCGGATTGGTGACGATCCTCCATTCGATTCCCCTGGCTCGCGAATCCCTTCTGTTGAGAAGCCATCTTCTTCCCAATTATGGCCAGGACTCGCAATGGTGGAACGGACAATCCATCAACCTGCCCAAGGTGGTGACGATGCAGAGCGCACAAGATAACGACATGGAGTGGGATGACATCCTATATGAGACTCAGAGACTGATGGCCTTCCTGGACGGGACGAACCGCGCGTTCGGAAGTAGCGATGCTTTGGTTTCCCTCAAGGCAATCTCGGATAGCTATGGATCAGAAGGTGGCATTGGCCGATTCCTGGAAGCCTGGCAAGGTGCAGCGGTTCGAGCAACCCCGGACAACCCATTGGCTGCCACGTTTCTCTCACGCGCTTTCAAAAGACCGCTGGCGGAAAGCACCGAGCCCATTGCCAAAGAGTTTTACACTCTGGACCCCTTTGTGGACCGGTCACACGGCCAGACGTTATATGATGTCCTGGACCGAGCGGTGTGGTCAGATCGACCTGGCGAACAGCTCGACGATGTGTGGTTGGAACATGTTGCTGATGTTCTGACGATCAAACTAGAGACCTCTGACAATTTAGCAAACTCTGTCGATGTCAAGATCCCGTCCATCTTCTACCCCGATCGTTACCTTGAAACAAACAAGGAGCTTGCCCGTGCCTTTCGTCAAGAGAGGCTTCAGGCGATGCAAGAGATAACAGGTCTCGAGACTATGATCAGTCGGTTTACGATGACGAGCCAACTCATTTATACTGGCCTCGAAAAAAAGGATATCTTACAGAAATCTGCGGAAGCTGCTCCTGTGGCCATGGCTAATAATATGGCTGATAGCGCCAGTCAGGAGCAAACTAGCCCTGAAGAGACAACTCCAAAGTCTGATCGACTAGTTCAAGAATTGAAAGACGCAGCTCAAAGGATCGAAACGAAGCTAAATGGTAATGATCTGTTCTCCCTCTCCACTCCCAGAAAGCCAGAACCGCACACAATTTACTAATCACTGGCTCGATAGAACTTATACTTAGCCGAGCGGGCGCTCTGGAAGACCTTCGGAAGTACACCAAGATTCTGACTGAGCCGTCCGAGTCCGAGGCACAATCTCCCCAGCACAGATATACCTTACGAGGCGTGTGTACTCAGCCTCACATCACCTATGTACTACGACGCCAGGCTTCCCCTGATGCCGAAGATTCGGCGATGACTGATACGAAGCCTCAAGATGAATGGCAATGGTGGAGAATCAGTTTTTCAACTGATGATGGAAAGACACAGCAAGCAAAGAAGACTCAAAGCGGTAATACCCCCGCTGCTCCGACGAATTCAGACGTGGTCGGGTATACGGCTTCCAAAGTTCGCGAGATCGAAGTCTTGCGTGCGGCTCGCGAGGAGTCCAAGAGCGTCATGCTTGTCTACGCTACCAGCAACGCAGTGGATGCGCCAGTGGAGGCCCTTCCATCTCAACTTCAGGTACCCAATTCCTGAACGTTAGCTAAGAGAAGAGGAATGTTAACGACGTTTCTTAGAAATTCGTGAGTCAGGATAACGAACTTTTCGATGCGGAATTCCATCCGGCACAAGATATCCCAATTGCGAACGAGGAATATATGGAGGGCCAGATACCCTTAATCACAGGACAGACTGGTATGTCGATTTTCTTTCCTTCCTTATTTCTTTTCTTTTTCTTGGCCTTTTTTTCTCCTCTACACATCATACACAACGTTCCCCCCCCCAATGATCCAAGTTGAAACTCGCCCACCAACCAACACCACGCTACAGCCACGGATGAGATCGGTCAGAGTGTTAATGTGTTCGACTATGAAGTATCCTCCTTTGGAGAAGATCCGGCTCCCCGCGAGGAGATGAAAGAACGAGGCGGCCCGAGCTTGCTAGGCCAGCATATCGCTACGGCCACCGGCACGCCTGCTGGTACTGGCGCTGTGTCATCGTCCATGCCGGTTGAACAAAGGTGGGATGGGCCCGATGATGATCAAGACGGGATGGCAGACCATATCGAATACACGAAATGATAGGTTTGTCGAAGTTGTTTTTTTTCTTCCTCCTTTCTTTTTTCTCTTTTAGTCTGCCGTGTGTGAAAATTAGAATGAAGACAATTATGAGCAGAGGGCGGAGATGATCAATTTGATTGTGATTTGTATTATAACTATCTGTAAACCGTCTTCAGTATATTCTTTCTGATCCTACTTTTACCATTGGAGAGATCCAAGTCTCCGAAATAGATACGATGTTCGCATCAGCAGATCATCCAGATGCTAGTCAACGTGATTCGCCAGTTGTCCATATACGGTACAACTCGGGCGCTCGTTTCCTGGCGAAAAGAAGTGTTCGTGGTAGGGATGTATAGTCGTGGTAGATGGCAACCATCAGGCTAAAAGCCCCGATGGGACATTGCAGTGCCAGCAATCTTGACTAAACCCTAGCTTCAGCTAGCACAGACGGCGGTGGGAATGTTCTCGAATGAGGCCAAGCATCTGACGGTCGAAGAGAGACCTATCTTCGGCAGGGACAAGCGCCAGCGCAAGCTCCATGGTGGACATCTGAAGAAGTTCTTGTCCGTTGTTTTCTGACCCCTTCTAAACAAGAGCGAGAAAAAAAAGAAACGCTTCTCAGAAATCTTGAACACCCGTCTCGCCCTGAAGATGCGACTGGACATTATCGTCCCCTTCTGTATTTTCGATAACCCATTCCGGCTCTTCATCATCGAAATATCGCTCTTGCTCTTCATTCCAATCATCGTATTCCTCATTCTCGTCCACGGTTGTATAATCGAAGTCTCGGTCTTCACCCCTCAAAAACCGTAGCTCCATATTCTGTCGCCAAAGCTTCTCTCCTTCTTCCTTGTCGAGGGGAATCTCGTCTCGGTCCTCGGCTAGAATCTCCCCGTTCGGACCACGGGTGTAGCTGAGTATTGAGTGAGGGTCTGGATGCGCGAGAGCGTCCAGCTTAGCCTCTGATCGCATGATGTCTGTCTGCAGAACACCTGAAAACCCCTTCGCTCGCCCCTCCGCCTCTCGTTCTTCTGTTGTCTGGAACCGACGGATCAAACGGTCGTACAGGAGAGGGTCTGTAGAGCTGTGTGTTAGCAGAGTAATGTGTGCGCGCGTTCTTAACCGCAAGCCATAAGACCCCTGGTCAAGTCAGCAAACAGGAAAACATAGAGCAAGAGGACCGGCTAGCTCGAGTTCAGCAGAGAAGTATTCCGGGTGCGCGTCTAAATAACGCTTGCGACGGTTTCGCACTTGCATAGCGGTAGGCGTTTCCACCGGCTTGCTTGGCGGTTCAGAATTCTCCTGCGCATCAGAATTCATATCTTCCTCCGGGTCCAAGGGCAACCAAGGCATTGTATAGCTGTTTCCCGGTGTTGGGAGACTGTAGGAACATGGTGAGCGGGGGGAGGTTTCAGAGCTTGTTGCCTTTTGCGTCAGCGGAGCTCAGAAGGGGCCGGAACTCAACGGACTAAGCTTGACTTGACCTCAGGAGAAAAAAAAAAAGCTCCCCCCTTTAACTCCACCTCTGGCCAGCAAATTGATTATCGCTCGACAGCTTGAATTTGTTGGATTATGGATTAGCAGTGTTCTGCGGAAGATAAATAATGTAAGGCCATCTCTAGACAGAGTGATTCTAGGCTTTCTTGGTTGTCGCTTGTGCTGCTGGCGTATCACCAGAGCTTAGAATATCTGCACCCACACCATTTGAGGTGATTCTAAGAATATTATGTGCTGATAGCGTTCTCCTAGCTTTAATCCAGAAGGGTATCCCAGCATAGTTGTCAACTGTGAATGAGAGAGTTGCTGGTTTGACTGTCGACAAGATGGCCCCTTCTCAGAGAGCCCCCCCCCAGCAAATCAACTGGGAGAGACTGGCTAGAGGCCTGGCTTTGCTTTTTCTGGCTGCCGCTTACTCTCCAGTGATTGTCTTGACCCTTTCCCCGGTGTATGGATCCTATCCGTCTACCTTGTTCCACGTCTGGGGAACACCGGTTGCTGGCGCCGCAGGATGGTTCCTGAAGGACTACATCATCGGCCTGTCGCGTCGACAGGCTCTTTATTGGATTCCGGTTGTGGCATTCTGGATTCCCACGGTGGAGTACTTCCTCTCGCAGCTGAGTACGACTTGGGGGACACCCGCCGGCCCTGCGGTCACTGAAATGTTGACCTACTATCCCTTGATTCTTTTGTCGGTTGCCTGTGGTGGCAAGCTGATTCAATCGGCCTTGGATCTGAAAAGCCGTGGTGATGTTGTGGCTGAACATGTGCCGTTTATCGGCTCTTATATCGTTTACGCTATTGGCGAGAAATTTGCCAAAGCGTTCATTGCCAAGGTTATTGGTTCGATGTTCTTGTTCTCAAGCACGGGTTTGCAGATTCTCCTGGCTATCCTGTATGCTGCCACGGTTCCCTCAAAGTGGCTGCTCCTCGCGATCCCATCTATCCTCTTTACGCTCACCTCCAACGTTCACCTTCCATTGGGATATACAACTGCCGCCCTCAACTCGGCCCTCGCCGACGAGGGATATCATCTGATTGCCCGGCAAGAATCAACAACGGGCTACATCTCTGTTCTTGATAATTTAGACGATGGATTCCGCGTCATGAGATGTGATCACAGCCTTCTCGGAGGACAGTGGACGAATGCAGAGGGTAGCTACAACCCTGTCGTTCCGGATCCCATCTACGCTGTTTTTGCCACTCTCGAGGCCATCCGGCTGGTTGAAACTGAGCAGGGCGAGCCTCGAACAGATGCATACAGCAAAGCCCTTGTCATGTAAGAATTAACCTTGATGTTCACGTTGTTATGCCCAACCTATACCTAACTTGGTAAACAGTGGCCTGGGAGTTGGGACCACCCCGGCAGCTTTGATCAACCATGGAATCGAAACTACCATTGTTGAGATTGACCCTGTCGTGCATAAATTCGCTACTGAATACTTCCATCTGCCGCGCAATCACATTGCCGTCATTGATGACGCCCAGCGTTTTGTACAACGCTCCATCGCTGATTCAGAGTCAAAACAATATGACTATATTGTTCACGACGTATTCACTGGCGGCGTTGAGCCTCTTCAGCTTTTTACTCTCGAGTTCTTCAAGGGGTTGGACGCGCTCCTCAGCCCCGACGGAGTGATTGCCATTGTAAGTTGTCTTTTCAATGTCCGTCGACTTCTTTTCTAATTTTTTCGTTACAGAACTATGCTGGAGATATTACCCGCTACCCTGCTGCGTTGATCGTTCGCACGATTCGGTCCGTTTTCCCAACCTGCCGCATTTTCCGTGAAGCTGGACCCTCTGGCGAGTCCGATTTTACGAACATGGTTATCTTCTGCAAAAAGGCCACATCCACGCCCTTGAAATTCCGAGCACCAGTCGAGGCGGACTTCCTCCGAAGCAAGGCGCGCAAGTCGTACCTTGTCCCTGAGAATGAAATCGACGTTACCAGGTTCGACACAATCGAAAAGGGTGGAAGAAGATATCTTGTTTCCGAAGAAACCGAACGCCTGAAGCACTTCCAGGACCAAAGCGCCATTGGACACTGGACCATTATGAGAAACGTGTTGCCTGACGCTGTTTGGGAGAGCTGGTGATGTAGATCTGTGTTTGCGAGCGAATAAGTTTGGTTTCTCCTTTTTGAACTATTGAAAAGCATGGGTATCCGATGCAAGAACAGAGACTATCTATATGTACTATATCGACATGAAAAAACATTGGAATAAAAAAAACACAAAGAAATTGACCCAGAAGACCACTACAAGAAGGAATATGCTTGCCAACCCTATCTTCATTTGTTAAAAATTGCCTCTTCATCCTCCGCTATCAGATTGGCCTTTATTTTCCGGATATCTTCATCGTTGAACTTGAGGACAGTCTTGAGATATTCTTCCACCCCGCCGTACGTCTGATCGAGCCATTCCATGGATGCTTTGAGATTCTCTGCTTTGGCCGAGAGCAGCCGCTTGACTCCCTCCCTGTCACTGCCGATCTTCCCGTCTTTCAGCAGCCCCTCTGTCACCGTCTCGACCAGGCTTCCCAGCCCCATTTCCGTCAGCTGGTATTCGTTGGCAACCATGTTCAGGTCCTTGACGCCCGCTAGTCGCAGGAGCAACGCGACGAAGACGCCTGTGCGGTCCTTTCCACTGGTGCAATGGACCAGAAACGGTTCCTGTGGTCGGTCCCTCACGTGCTCCAACACAGTCCTGTAGGCAGGGTTGCCCGATCTGAGGATCTCCGAGTATGCGTATACGAAGCCACTGGGCCCCCGCTCAGACATATATGCTTCTAACCGCTGGGCCAGCTTCTCCGGACTGAGGTCTGTGGTGGGAAAGACGGGTATATGATATCGGACCGCGCCGGGGACCGGCTTCGGGGGCTCCTTTTCAATCTCCAGGTGCGAACGGAAGTCATAGATGACCCGGATCTTGAGGTCGGAGACTAGTACCTCGCATCCGGCCGGGGTGATTCTCGTGGGCAGTGCGGAGCGGTAGATGAACCTGCGCCGAACGGAGCCCCGGCCTGGTGGAGAGACGGGATAACCGCCTATATCACGGAAGTTTGACACTCCAGGGACATGATGGAAGGGTGGACAGGGGAGCTTGGGGAACAGGGCCGATGCTTGTGAGTCCATTGTTATGTGTTCACACGGTCAAAAAAAAAAAAAAAAAAAACAATGATGGTCAACTTGATGAAGAGGGGAAAAAAAGACCAAAAAGACCCCCCCAAAAAAACAAGAAGAATAGCCGACCTATGGGTATATACCCTGGAGTAAGTCAAGATAGATTCTAACTCTGGGGCACTGCAGCGAGGTTACTCACTGGGACCTGGATCGACACAGCCTAGATTGAGTTTTGCGGAGACAGTGATCTATCGCAACATGTCAACAAAAAGCAATCAATGGCCGGCAAAATCCTCGGAAAAGGTACAGAAAGCTGTGGATTGATATGACGACGACCATGGCCAGGCTAATGCTAGGGCATGAATTAGATTGCCTACTCGAGCTGCGTGCGACCCTTTCGGGGACCCTCGTGGAGAACATCCTCATGCCCTCATTCCCACTTTTGCGGCTACTCCGTACGCATCGTGCCCAGCGCCCACTGCCTGGGCCCGATTAGCAACGGGAAAAAAATGAAACCCTGTGGGTCATTCTTTGCCTCTCGTTCTCGTATCACAGAACCGCTGTGATCGATGAGAGGGGCCTGGAGGGCCGTGAAGGGCGAATGATATGCGAAAAAAATCTGTCCAGTTGCGATTCCCTCCAGAGTGTACGCAGTAAATGCCAATACTACCTACCTACAACGGTATTCTGTACAAGATGTCTTGAATCTTCCGGTCTAGAGCATCCTGTCATCCAGTCAGACTAGGTATCTGGGCGATCCACTGGATGTCGGTAGGAGTCGTATTTCCACCTTGAAGGTATACCCTACCAGTACGTACGGAGTAGTCGTACTGCTAGTATGGAGGGACTGGTAGTAACTATATGGAATAGAAATTAAAGTACAGAGTAGGCCGTACTGCAATCTTTTTTTTTTTTCAAGAGTACAACCTGTTACCTAGGTAGACTCCACTCGCATCTCACATTCGAGCTCTCACCCGAGCATCATGCCCGAATACAATCCGGCAATCCCACTCGATGATGTCCTCTACAGCGAGGGCTGCCACGTCATTGGCACCGCTGCCGGGTGGGAAGGACGGAGAAGAAGGGACTCGGTCATCCGCGGCGTGGAATCCGCCCCTCAGGGCATTATTTGCCGTGGTAGCCCGTCTGTCTAGCCATCGGGTGAAGATCTCCCACGCGACCTGGTCATCGTCGCGGATCGCATCGGCGGCCAAAAGGGTCCCACAGACAAGCCATCCCAGTTGCGAGAGGATGTCTCGGCCATTCAAACGCAGGCTGTCTGCGGACTGGGACTCCACATCGTGCACGAGGCTTTCTAGGGTCCGATGTAGGAATTGGATCCTGGTTACATCCAACGAGCCTGTGGTCGTCTTCTTGATTACTGGTCGTTGATCCAACACGGCGCGGATCCATTGGCCCAGGCTGGCAAGGATGGCAACCCCCTCACGGCCCTTGAGCACACGTACCAGATCGTCGGCCATCACATTTGTGGTCCCCTCCCAGATACTCAAGACATTGGCGTCGCGGTACAGTCGTGCGATGTTTAGCTCCGGGTCTTCGTTCTCCAGATATCCCACTCCTCCAAGAGACTCCATACATTCGGCCAGGCCGGCGATGGCGGCGCGAGCTGTGACGGCTTTGGCGAGAGGGGTGATTAGCCGTAGTAGATGTCTAGGGAGAAGCGAACCCGCGTTCTCCTGTCCCCTTGCTCGAGAGCCCAGACCAAGCAGTTTGAGGTGGTCGATGGGCATGGTTTCCCCGTCATTCTCGGAGATCCCAAGGAGAGTCACCAGGAAGAAGGCGAGATGCATCATGGCACGATACTCGACATGCTGGTGGGCCAGGGTCCGGACATGCAGCGGGCGGTCGATGAGCAGAGCCCCGCCAGTCCTGCGCACGCGAGCGAAAGCGCGTGAGACCGCGAGGCCGCGCCCCCACAATCCCACGGCGGACACCACGTTGTGCACACGGGTGATGTTGAGGATGGTGCTGATCTGCTTGACTCCCGCGCCGGGCGAGCCGAGGATATATGCACGCATGTCGGAGAGGACGAGCTCCGCGGTTGGCACGGCGCGGGTACCCAGCTTTGACTTGAGACGCTGGATCTGGACGCCATTCAGCTCCGTTGCTGGCGTGGCAGCGACTGTCGGAGAGGAGGCCAGATCCTGTCGACGACGACGCATGGGTGCGTAAAACGCCGAGAGATGGCCGCCGGGCGTTTTCGCCAGCAGGACCGCCATCTGCGAGTCAGTGGCGGAACTAAACCATTTGAAGCCATCGATCGACCAGGGACCCAGGGGAAGCCCCTCTGCGTCGCAACGATGCTCCTGGGCACCAGACGCAGGTGCAACTCTTTTTGCCTGGGTCTCCGTGTGCTGCACGTCACTTCCTCCCGGTCGCTCCGTCATCCATTGTCCACTCGTCCAGGCCGTCTGGGGGTCGCGGGAGGTGAGCCTTTGAAAGGCATTCTCGAAAACAGTTCTCTCCGTCTCGGAGAGCGACGGCGATGCTGTGTTCCGCTCCAACTGGCGAGACAGAAGTCTAGCCGCCCCGTCCGTCATGGCCGACGGGCAGGTCACGATCGCACTGCTCCCCGTCCAGAGATGGTACTTCAGGAATTGGTATACTCGGCTATAGGGCCCATAGTCCTTCTCGTAGGGAATCGCAACCATCCCCTCGCGGATCCCGATGGCAGATAACCCCCGCCACCCTTCCGAGGTGACCAGCGAATCCCCGCGGTGGCCGAAGCTGTCCCATGTCTTGGTATAGGGCGGATGGCGCTCCGCATCCTCCACAAGGCGAAGGACATCGGCCTCCAAAACTCGAGCCCCGAACCGGGCGAGATCGCCAGTCAGTGTGTGTTGTAGTTCGGTAGGAAGATAACCTGCATTTCCATCAGCTTTCCTCCTGTGCTAAATTTACCGATGCCACTCCATCCAATAAGCATACATGAAAAGACCCTCTTGTAGGCTTCGTCCTCGTAGAACGCGTTGGCAACCTGAGGCGTGGGCTGCACGAAACCCGTCGTCGCACTAGATGGCAAGGGTGTGGATTTCGACGCAGAAGACATTTTCATCCAAGTCTATCCCGGTAATTACTATATCACTTAACCTCTTCCTCGGAAATCTCATCTGGAAATCAAGGTGGCGTGTATGAAGAGAGGTGTCGAGGAGTTGCAGGCTGAAGAGTGCGGAGACAAAACAATACCGAGGCTTAACACTCGTATCGACACATGCGCAACGGCTATTATTGATGCTCATAGTTAGGGCATTCCGGTCTGCGAAAGAAAATGGTATTTCCAGGGCTGCTTGCGCTAATCAGATCTCACTTGGGGAAATAGAGAGGAAGAGACAGAGAGATGGAGAGAGAAAGAAAAGAATGGATATTGATCATAGCAAGTGCTATTGAATATCGACGCCCATGAATGTCGCCAGAGCACAGGTTTATAAACCAACCGCCACACCCCTCCCAAGACAACAAGAAAAAAAAATGAACAGGAGAAATGAAATAGATCACCGCCACTCCCAGTCTCAGGTCCCAAAATATAGTTATGTACCGTACGTAAGAAGGTGGAGGGAGAAGGTATATTAGAATACAGACCGAATGTACAAGAGCGCCAATTCAGGCAGAAGGACTGCCGCGAGGGCTTCCACCGGGTTTCTTCACCAGACCGGCAAAGAAGTTGGCTAACGCCTGATTGTGAGCCTTCTCGTCTCCGACAGCAGTCGTCAAGCTCTCCTTGCGCTGTGTCCGACTGGCTTCTCGTTCCTGTATGTGCAGTGGGTTAGCAGTGCAGTTACAGGGGTGTTGCAATCCGTGGGATAGCGGCCTCTCGCTTACCTTGAGTTTGCGAAGCATATCATCGGCGTCAACCTGGATGCCGCCCATGTTGAACTGTACGGGCCCAATATGTTCGTTGACCCGGCCATTGTCGTCCATAGGTGACATCTCCAGTTTTGGTACTGGCTTCGCGGTGCGGTCCCGCTCGTCTTCCGCTTTGAGCTGCTCCAGGATTTCGAGCTGTTGGGTGAGGAAGCCCTGCATGTCGACTGTTTCGATCTCAACCTTGTTGATTCCGTTTGCTCGGCCGCCGGTACTAGAGATGGAATTGTCCCGCTTTGGGTCTTGGATGGTCTGCTCATATATTGTCACAGCACTAGATCCATCGACTTCTCTTGCTGTAGGATCGGTATTGGGTGCGCTGTCAGCGGACTCATTCATGACAGGCTCGGGAGGATCCTGGATCTCGATCGACCAGCCTGTCGATACCCCTTCCATGTCGAATCCTTCTCGAATAATGCGGATCTTCCCCCACGAGTCCCAGTTGGAAGGTACCAGAATCTTATCTCGGTCAATGACGTTGTGTTTCAGTGATTGTCTCTTGAGGAGCGAATGGATCCCGAGAGATGAATGGATCAAGCTTTGCAAGGAGTTGGCGAGGAAAGGGGTAGTGTAGATGAGAGAAGAGCCATCTACATTCAAATGATTAGCATGCAAGAACGGTGCGACTCTGGAGAAAATCATGCGTACGCTTCAAGAGGAGAGTACGCATGAACTGGAGGATGAAATCGAATTCTTCTTCCCGCCAGCCATGATCCTTTTCAAGCTTCTCGATCTTATCGGCCTGTCAACAGAAAACAACCGTGTCAGCAATGCGCTTCAGATGGGATTGTCATCTTGTGGAACCAACGTACCCCTTGACAAACGACACACATGGGAATCCCCAGCCCTTCGTCCCATTCGCCTGGGCCTAACGGTATCGCCACAGGGCCACCGGAGCTTGCTAACCCTCCTGGACCGGCTGTGCTAGCATCCAGGCCTCGTTTCCGATCCCGCCATTCCGTCATGACCTCTTCCATGACAATTTTAGTCTCGTCGTCCAGTGAGATCAACACATGTCGTAAAAGACGGACCCATTCTCTTAGTCGCCGCGCCCACGTCCAGGGCTCCGACCAGTCTAGCAGGATGACGACGAGTGTTTCGGGGACCGAGTGAGGTGTAAGGAGCGGTTTGAGAAGAGGAGCAAAGGACAGCGAAGGTTCGGACAGGAGGTACGCAGAGACGCGCGCGAGGGTATCTGTAAGAATTGGAAACATGAGCCTTCAGCCGCAGAGCATACCTGGAGCAATTTTTAGAATTACCTTCATGGTCTGCATCCAAAACATCCTGGTAGGTATACCCCAGAGCAAACTTGTTCGCAATAGGCGGCGTTTTCCCCCTCCGTCTCTCATTCCGTAAGCTCGGGTCTGACGTGTCTGCAGAAAGAGTATCCAAGAACTCTCTCTGACTGTCTGATGTGCCTCCTGAAGGGGGAAAAAAAAACAAAAAAAAACACCGTCAGCCAACCATCACATCATAGTAAGCCAGAAACCCGAGGGCTATCTTTCATCTTTCATAGTAAGCTGGCGTGGATAAACAAGCCAAACAAAGACACACCTAAAATCAACAGATTCTTCTCTGGTAACCGTTTCCCGTTCGCAACACTATCTAGCATTGACGACCAGATGTTCTTCTTGGGCCCATCCCGGCTCGTGGGTCGACTGTTGTTTCCGGCCACTGATTTGGCATTTTGAGTAGACACCGACATTATCTGTCCGCTTTCTACCAACCCAAAGGCGCGCAGTTCATATCAAACCCGATCAGAACATGTAAATCAGATGTCGCGAGGGTCGTGACGCGTGTTTGCCGGGATTCGAGGGGTGCAGCTTTTTGATTTTGGCGGAGCACAATTAGGGGAATCTCAATGAGGGGGCCCCAGTGGTCGGCGTGGTCGTTGCAGGAAAAAAAAGAGAGAGAGAAAGAAACTGGCTAATATTATGTCCGATGGATCCTGGAGACTAGCTAACTGCTAGTTCTGCTGGTCTATGCTGGGGGTCATCGAGAAGCAGCTGGTGTTGGAGCTGTATCGTCATGTAAACAGTTAGGAGACTCCGTCCGTTCTTCTGGCGGCGAGTGGGGACCTTCCCGTGGTGTTCGCAGAAGCATTGTCGTTTTCCTACCTTGCGCCTCTTACTTGTCACTGGGACGACGCTGGACCAAGACATCGATAGGTCATTAGACGCTGAAAGACTGTGAGGAAGAGAAACAGCAGTTCAAGGGGGAAAATTACCAATGAATTCGATTCGCCAGGTACAAGCACTCAACAAGCGCGAGCTTGAAAATGCAGTGTACGTCCTAGCTAGCCGGTGCAATGCGCAGTTGCTTGTTAATTTACTAGAATTTCATTGCTGACTCTATCCTTTTTTATATATGGCAGACCTCCAGAAGCTTCGTGGCACGCAGACTACCGGGATACGGCGTACATTTACATTGGTGGCCTGCCCTTTGACCTGTCCGAAGGCGACATTGTGACCATCTTTTCTCAGTACGGCGAACCAGTTCACGTCAATCTTGTTCGCGACAAGGAGACAGGGAAGAGTCGAGGCTTCGCCTTTCTAAAGTACGAGGACCAGCGAAGTACGGATCTTGCAGTCGATAATCTGGGTGGCGCTACAGTGCTGGGACGGATATTGCGCGTGGACCATGTGAGATACAAAAGACGCGACGATGAAGGGGAGGAAAACAATATCGCACAGGTTATGGGAGAGATGGCGGCGGAGAATCCACGAGAGCGCGATCGAGACGGGGAAAAGAGGCATCACAGGCGGCGCGAAACCCGTGACACAGACGACGATTCGACCCGGCGGCCTTTGCTCAAGGAAGAGCGAGAACTCGAAGCCCTGATGCGAGATCATGACGAAGAGGATCCGATGAAAGAGTATCTGATCCAAGAGAAGAAAGAGGAGGTTGCTCGTGCTCTGGAGAAGCTCAAAGATACTGATAAACGGTCTTCCCGGAGACGAGACGACAGCCGGGAGCGAGCCAGCCGGCATCACCATCATCGTGATAATGATCGTGATCGCGATCGGAGAAGGCAAAGCCGGGAGAGGTTGCCTTCGAGGGAAAGGAGATCCTACCGGGAGACTTCTTCGTCAAGGAAAGAGAAATCTTACAGGGACCGATCGCGGACACCCGAACGGCGAAGACATCGTGATCGGAGCGGCCGGGATCGTTGATCACTCGGAACACTGCAGGTATTCTACGAAGTAATTGAGGCAACAATACGGTTCCTAGGAAGTATGAGAACGAGACATGGTATTCGACTCTCTGCTACTTGAAAAGCGGCAACTTTGAATTCCGCAAATGAGGCAAATCAGAACCAGGGCATTATGGACATGAAGAAAAGCGATGAAGCAAGATCACTACCCAGTCCGCGGCCTGTACTGGGTGACCACCAAAGGGAGCCGGTGACTCACCAGCCGTTTCCATTCTTGGCTGTTTCGAGAAGAGCGAGCTCGATATACCGCTTCTCAGACATATTCGGCGAGAGTGTATCCGGGATGATCATGTAAAATAGCTTATTTATTATAGTTAATGAGATCTTCGGACAAGAGAAACTCCATTGGAGCTCCATTTCAGCCGCCGCCTAGATATCGCTTCCAGCCTTCTCTAATGCAATGTCTCCGTCCATCATCCCCGTCGCGGAGGACAAATTTCTCCCAGCGACCTTCCCGTCCAGAGCCGATGACGACGATTGTGCGTTCATCCAACCAGCCGATCACGCCCTTGGGCGACCTTGCTAGCGAGGACCCCAAGGGCGGTGATGCATAGTGGGAGCCAGGCGGTGTCTCGTCGCCCATTTCAAAGTGTGCGCTGGCAAATGAGTAGATGTCGGAGAAAACGCGGGGCAGCAAGGGGATCTTTCCAAGGATGCCCCATTTCTGGTTTGTGACCTCGTCGGAAGCCGGGGACGGCGACTGGCTACGGCGGGACAGCGCACGGGGATGGGGGAGATCGAAGATATGCAACGTCGACTTGTCCGACGTCACTGCCAGTAAGGCATTAGACGGCGAGATGGCGAGCGAGAAGATGACGGCATGGTCCACGCCCCGGCGGAGCTCGGCAATCTTCGCGCAGTTACTCGTCGAGTATACTCGGACCAGGGTGCCCTAAAATCATCAAATATCAACCACCGCGGGGTTTGCCAGATGACTGGGTATAGAAAGACCTACCGCTTCGCTTGCAGTGGCCAGTACCTCCCCATCAGGGCTCAATGTCATCGCTCGTAATGGCGTGCTGTGGGCCGGGATGATGCTAACATTGCCGGTCTCCAGCTCAACCAGCTGGACCTGTCCCGGCGATCTGCCGGGGAAGGCTAGAAGCTTCTGCCCCAAACATGCCAGTCCCAATGGGTTATCTGAGGTCTCGAACACGGAGAGTTTTTGCGGCGGATTGGTGAAAGCAAATATGTGGATGCTGTTGAGCAGGGTGACCACGATACGCGACTTGGACAACCGGACTCCGAGGACAGACGTGCGAAATTCGAGAGTGATGACTGCCTTCTGCTTTGCGTCATCCCAGATGACGAGCTTCGTAGTCAATACAGGATGGCGAGTAAAAGCTGAACGGTGCGCGTACCTTGTTCTGAGGGAATTTGGGCTGTTTCCCGCCTCCTACTATGGCAAGGTAATTCGACTGGCCGAGCATCTCGACCACTCCGATCCCAGCATTGAAGTCTGCATGCGCCAACACCCCGCACAGGTCAGACACCCTGCCTTCATTGCGGACTCCGACGAGATGAGAATGAGCATACCTCTGGACACCTTGAGCTCACATGGATCCGCACTAAAGACTTCATCGAAGCGACTAATGGTCAGTGGTTCGAGTTAGACGAAAAAAAAAAGAGGAAGATAAATAAAAGTAAAGCTTGGTTGAGACGGTGATGCATACCACAGAACCCCGTATCCAAGCCTACAGAGAAGCAGCTGCTATCATGGTTGAAGTTGGCCGATAACGAATACGGCCCAACCGATTCATCAATAACTTGTCGAGTATTCATGGCGATAAACCCCTTGAAAAGAAGCTCTGATCTTCCACTGGTAGTCCCCGGCTGGATCACAACCCAGGCCGCTGAGTATTAACTATTGCTATCTTCCGATAACTACCTGGAGAGAACAGAGATAAGCGCACTGAGCGCTGACGAAAACCCCAGACTTTCGAAGCGAAGCAACGCTGGCATCAGGTTAAAATCGACTCCCTGTGCATCTTGCACGTAAAGGACGACACGGGCCGGGAGATCCGCTGGGTTCAGTAGAGGTAGTGAGTGGTGACAGTGGAAGTGGAGGTGATGAGGAGCTTCTTGCTTCCCTTCCAAGTCTCGGAGCTTGGGCGGAACCGGACGACACCTGAGGTGTCGGTATTCATGCCTGAGGCAGTAAATATGTATGCCTTACTGCCAGGTTCAGGCACCCGGCCGAACCCCTGAGTGATCACTACGAATAACGTTGCTGTTGCACAGTCCGGCTTTCCAGCTCGCTATCAAATCGATCCACGTCGGACAAGAGCCTAGTACGGAGTGCCTTTGATCCATGAAGCAACAGGAAATAGACTACCTAGGCGGTACTAACGGCGAACGGAGTACAATGGGCCTGGAGTCAATAGACCCATTGAGTGGTTATAGTCGACCATGGCTGTTGAGACCAGGATGATACCTCATAAATACTGCTACTCAGTATAGTAGACAGAGCTCTATTCTGCAGGAATTGCAAACCTGCCAGCATCCAGACGCTATTGAAGGATTTATTGGCCATCTGCACGTAGAAAGGGGGGCCCAGCAATACCGAAGGGGAAAAGTGAAGACGAGCATCCGCTGCTGCCCCCTAAAACCAACTCAACTGGACCTGCCGTCTCGTCTCAGGAGAGCACCACATCCACCCGACCTTCTCCAGCTCCCACTTCCTCACCTTTCCTCCGCCGTTCGTTTGTTGACCCTCGCGCCTCGAATCAACTTTGCACCTCTTGCCAGTGTGCTCTTTCTCACTCTCTCTTTTGCACTCGACCTCTTTTTCCTCCGCCTTCTTCCTCCCCCGGTCGCCCACCATGTCGTCTCTCAGCGCGGTATGTTTGGCTCCTCCCCTTTCTGGCCTCTTCTCGGGCTTCCCCAGCTTCAAGCATGGGTCCCTTGCCTCCCCCCTCACAAAATACTCTTGCCCCTTCTCGCCACGAGTCTCGTATGGATATGCATTGACGGAGTATCGGCCTGCAGATGAAGATTCGTCGCAAGAAGAATGTCAAGAAGGGTATTCAGTTCAGTCTCATGGTCTGCGGCGCTAGCGGAACTGGTATGGGCTGAATCACCCCCCTCTAAGCGATTAATACCATCGAATTGACCACTGCTCGCTCCCTCACACAGGTCGCACAACCTTCGTCAACACACTTTGCGGAAAGAAGGTGCTCGAGAGCAAGGATTCTGACGATGCCGCCAACGCTCACGTCGAAGAAGGGGTTCGGATCAAGCCCGTCACAGTCGGTGAGTCAGGGCCCGCCCACTGAGCTCTGATACGGGCCGTGATCCTGGTTTGGATGGCTAATGGGGTGGAACCGTGGCGATAGAACTCGAGCTGGATGAGGAGGGCACTCGCATTTCCCTAACCATCGTCGATACCCCCGGGTTCGGTGACCAGATCGACAACGAAGCAAGGCAGGTGGACCCCCTTGGCCACGAGGAAGCCATACACTTGTGGCCTCTAAAACACCCTCGCTAACAGCTGACACAGCTTTGGAGAGATTGTTGGATACCTTGAGCGTCAATACGATGACATCCTCGCTGAAGAATCGCGCATCAAGCGTAACCCCAGATTCCGGGACAACCGTGTCCACGTCCTGCTGTACTTCATTACTCCGACCGGCCACGGTCTGCGTGAGCTGGACATCGAGCTGATGAAGCGCCTGTCGCCCCGTGTCAACGTCATCCCCGTCATTGGCAAGGCCGACTCGCTGACCCCGGCCGAGCTCGCAGAATCGAAGAAGCTTATCATGGAGGACATTGAGCACTACCGCATCCCTGTCTACAACTTCCCATACGACATTGAGGAGGACGATGAAGATACCGTCGAGGAGAATGCCGAGCTCCGTGGTCTGATGCCGTTTGCCATCGTGGGATCGGAAGACATTCTGGAGATCGAGGGCCGCAAAGTGCGAGCCAGGCAATACCCCTGGGGTCTTGTCGAGGTTGAGAATCCCCGTCACTCCGACTTCCTGGCCATCCGAAGTGCTCTCCTTCACAGCCACCTGGCAGATCTCAAGGAGATCACTCACGACTTCCTCTATGAGAACTATCGTACCGAGAAGCTCAGCAAGAGCGTCGACGGCGCTGCCGCGTACGTGATCATCTCATTCTCCCTGAAGCCCCCGCGCCTGACAACTTGAGCTAAACTAACTCCAATAAACAGGAACCAAGACTCGACGATGAACCCCGAAGATCTTGCCTCTCAATCCGTCCGCCTCAAGGAAGAGCAGCTTCGACGCGAGGAGGAGAAGCTCCGCGAAATCGAGCTCAAGGTCCAGAGGGAGATTGCTGAGAAGCGCCAGGAGCTGCTGGCTCGCGAAAGCCAGCTCAGAGAAATCGAAGCCCGGATGGCCCGGGAGGCCAGCCAGCACCGAGTCGACGAGGAGGCCAACGGCGAAGCTTAAATGTACCAATACCCTGCTGCAGATTCATCGTTTGGCGAAAGGAGAGACCGGCCCAGTTTGCGCAGTACGATCACCGTAGGTGCCAACATAATGGAACTTGCGGCGCCAAGGTAGAGAGACTGTGTGTAGAAATTGGGGCTTTTAATATTGACCACTTCCTCTTTTTCTCTTTTTTCTTTCCATTCTTCTTGTTCCCAGTTCATAGTATTCTATCGGGGGGAATTCAACCGTTTCGTCTTCAGTTGCTCTCTCTCTCTCCACCAGCCTCTGCTTCTTGCCCAGAAGAAGCTGGGCCACTCTGGTCATGGCCATCTATTCCTAGCGGTCTTCTATCCTTTTTTTTTTCTCAGTCCCTTCCTTTTCTAACCGGGATTCTTCCTTTATTCCACCTGTTATTTGCAACGCCCGTGTTTGGTCTTATACCCGGGTCAGAGATAGCATGTTTTTAATCGTTTTGACCGTTTGAATCGCACCTATTCCCTATGGCACATTCGAGCACGCCTCACCCCTTGACAGGGCAAATCAAATTTTTTTCCTCCCTCTCGTCGGCTTGGATTCATCAGCCCATCTTCTTCGGTCTTCTATTCTTATGCCTTGATTACCTACTTTTAGCAAACATGAAAAGTTTCTACAGTCTCGGTATATACGGGCTCAGTACTGATCATTTCTACATAAGCAGAGTTATGGAAGTGATTTCTTGGTAAAAGAGTCAACAAGAATCTTACAGAGATACTCAGGCCTACGGTGATAACAGGTACAGGCAAATACAAATATGAATGAGTAGAGAAGGAAAGACAAGGAAACCGAGGAACAGGTAAAAAGGTAACGAGAAATGGTATTTGCGCTTCAATGTACATGGAATAGATCGAGGATTGATGAGGAAATCCGTCCGAGTGAATCAAATCGAGTTGGAACAATCGGCAAGAAAAAGATTAGAAGAGAAGATAGAAGGAAACAAGAAAAAAATGAGAATGGAAAGGGGATAGAAGATCAAAGGGCGAAGAAACACCTCTGAAGAAAAACAGGCAGTAAACCAAGATTCCATCCCGAAGGATATGGAAGCAGAGTGAAAACGGGGTCTGTTCTAAACTATCGTAGACATTCCAAAAAAAAAAAAAAAAAAAAAAAAAAGAAAGAAAAACAAGGCGGGAAAAAAAGGAGAAATGAGAAGAAAAAAAAGCAGTGGAATTGACAAACTAGTTCTGCGGCTTGTTCCAGAAATCCAAGCTGGCAACCACATCCTCGCCCGATTCATCTTCGTAAGCGTAAAGAATCTAGGGATGTTAGCGAGGCCAGATGATTATTATTTCTTTAAAAGGGGCGGGGGGGGGGGGGGTTACCTCTCTTGTTGACGAGTGCAACATGCGGATATTCTTCCCGGTCATGATATGAATCAGCTCACTGGTCTCGATGTGTCTGATCTCGATGAAATTCGGCTCGAAGGCCAGGATATACGGATACGACAAGGCAAACGCGCTGGGGTTGCCCTCCCACGAGATCCGCCAATCCGGCCGGGCACGCCAGCCGTTGCGGTTGACAAAGAAGGAGAAGTCGCTGTAGTTGAGCAGGAACTCGCCATTCATCCGTTCGATGTGGATGGGCTTCACGTTTTCCTTGCGCGCAACGAAGTCGAGAGACGTGTCCGCCTGGTCCAGGAGCGACTGGGTCTCTGTCGTCTCGAGACTGACAACTTCGAACCCACGAGCACAGCCCACGCACAGAGTTGACCGGAGGAAGTGGATTGACGATGATTCAGCGGGGATATAATATTCCTGTTCTTGGTCAGCATTCGGCTGAACAAGGTATATAGAAAGATCATTGCTTGCTTACCTTGAATGGCTTCAGGGTATCCTGGCCACTCTGGAACATCTTGCTCACGGCCGACTTCTTCTTGCCCTTGGCCAAGTTGTCCATCGGCTCGTAGACCTTGATCGTAGTTGACAAGGCCGATGTCTTCACAGAGCACACCAAATGACGGCCCAAGCCGATGCCAGCCTTGAAGAAGTTCGCGTGGCCCTGGATCTTTTTGGGCCTCTTGGCCAGTGGATTTTGGCCATCGCCTACTTCCAAGGCCTCCATGGGGTATGAAGACAGAGTCTTATTTGCAAGCACCAGAAGCAGTTGGTACTCATCCAGAGTGTCGATCTGGGTGACCTGGCTAGCATCCAGCACCCGTTTTGGTTTCGCGTTCTTATCTTTGGGCCACCGCTCGGACAAGTAGATGCCACTGTCTGTGCCGTAGACTAGTTTCCTACCGCCGTCTAGAAAAAAGTCAGAATTTGAAGTGAAGGACAGATACGAAGGGGTCGACATACCAACTGGAACAAGACAATTGACACGATTGACTGCCGAGAAGAAATTCTCGCAAAGAATAGTCTTGTTATAAAAATTGCTGTTGCGCTCCCGGAGCTTGCGCTGTTGCTCTTCGACCATTTCGATGAACTTTTTGCGTTGGCTCGCGTTTGACGCGTACAACGTTTGCTCATAGCCGCCCTTACCCAGATGTCGGAAGGTGATGGGCAGTCCATCCTTACTTGCAGGCGGGTTCGCTGCACTTTTGTTTGGCAGCAGGCCAGACGAGGGCCTCTTGGAGATCCCTAGTCTGGGAATGACTTCGTCCATCTGAGCAATCACTAGTAGCTCAAGGGGGATGGGGTTCTTGGCCACCTTATACTCCTCTCGTTTGTTAACAACCTTGATCTTAACCAGTAGCACCGCATGGTCAAAGAGATAGGCGGTGACTTCAGAGCTATCAGTTGGCGTCTTCTTAAAGGCCATCTTGGTGAGCATTTGTCGATTTTCCTCTGTCAGCTTGAGGTCGACATAATCAAGCTGGCCGAAATTCAAAGCTGCACTCAGCTGTACCAGGTTGAAGTGGTTCTCTGCCTTTCCACTCTCGGTATTGACTCTAGAAAGGAAGTCCTTGATCAACGCGATTGCCTTGGGGATATCTTCTTTGTCTGGATCGCCATCGACCGTGTACTTCGCGACCTGTTCGAGGAGCAGCGGGTATCGAGCTAAACGAGTGGTGGGTTTCGTCAAGTAACCATTCAGTTCCAGCTTCCGCGATTCCTTGAGCCGTTCGGTCTCCTCAACAAATTTGGCAAAGGCAGGATTCGAGGCTTTTTCTTTCTCGAACTCATATCTACCGTACAGTTGGTTGGAGCCATATTTTATGAAGGGGTCAAAGCGTGGCACATGGTGAAGGAAAATATCACCGATAGATTTGACCACATGGCTTTCTTTTTGTCGAGCGTTGAGCGATTCGGAGAGGGCGCCATTGACTTTCAGAACCTCCAAGCAGTTTCCAAACACCGTCCGGATAAACTTCTCTCGGCGGTGCTCCGGAATCGGGGAGTGGCTGCCAGGTGCCAACGCTTTGAGCGGCCGAATCCAGAAATCGCGCAGGTACTCCAAGTCCTTGACGAAGTCCCGCTCAGTGTACATAATCTCAAAGATGATCTCCTGCCGCTTCTTTTCCCGATCATCGAGGCTGTCGGAGACCTCCTTGGGGACCATGTTGATCCACAGCTTCTGGTCATCATTGTCGTCATCCCCGTGCAAGCTCGCCCGAGAGGTCGAGGATCGAAGTCCGGGCTGGGGTTTCAGGTTCAATCTCGCTTGCTGCTCCAGTCTTCTAGGACAAGCAATAGAATAACAGAGATTGTCCCGGGTACAGGTCGGGGAATAGCATTCGGTCAGCAGGGTGAATACTCCGTTGACTTCCGAGCTCGGTGCTTCCTCTCCCATGGTCTCTTTGAACTGATAGATTTCGCCAGGGGCGTCGCGTAACCGATGGTCGTAAGTCACATCGTGGAAAAATTTCTGCGCATCCAATGCACGGCCCAGTAGAAGAGCCAAATTCCGATCCGTCGTTTTGATGATGTATCCGATCAGATCCACCGCTTCAGCACCACTAAAAGCGTTCTGATATGACAATCCATTTTTCTGTCGTTCACCCAGAGCAATCCTCTCTCGAAACACATCGGCAACCCGAGAGAGTAGAGCTGGGTACACTAACGGGACTCTGCTGCGACGGACGGATGAACCAGCCACGCCTGCCGCTTGCCCATTCGGCTTCCAATTCGACTGGCTTTGCATGCTCATCGTCCGGTCGGGAACAATGGTGGTCGTGGTAGACGCCATCGACATGGTTCGTGAGGAAGTCGACGCCTCACTCGGCGGCCGGGATCGAATGCTGGGGTCCGGGGTAGTGTTGACGGGCTCCACCTCATTCATCGGACCCAGGTACTGCTCTGGCCCTGATGGAGGTCGCCGATTGGGGATCGGGCGTCCGTACATGGTATGAGGCATCTCACGTTCAGTACGATGTGATGTCATGGACATGGCCCGCTCATTACCCCGCTCCGGGATGGTGCGACCCTGCTCAGTCCGCAAAACGGAGGAGTGATAGGGCTGCTGACGGAATGCAGTGGCAGAGGTATGGTTAAAACTGCTTGGTGGCGGTTGTTGGTGGGCCGGTGGTCCTCCTATTCTTGCCATTGATCGTGACCGGTAGGAATCCGTGTTCAAAGCCGGCGGTGGCATGGCCCGGTTTTGTCCTGTAGGGTCTGTATACTGGGCCGGCCGTGAATCTAGCCGTTGGGGGGCAGGGTATGCCGCATAACGGCCGGCAAATGGCCGTTGCGGGTTGGGAGGATGCGGTTGCGATGCCATGGGCGCAGATCCAGGGTGTGCCTGATAATATCCATTAGACTGCCCTGGTGGGTACCCGTTTTGCGTCTGGCGTGGTTGAGGGTGCTGGTTTCGTTGCATTTGTGGGTGCACTCCGGACGACATGGTGTAGGCTCGCTCTGAACCGAATTGCGGCGTTTGGGAGTTCATCGTCTGAGACCGCCCCGGTGGCGGTGCCCCTCCGAAGATCTCAGAGAAGGCGGCATCCCGTTGAAACGACGAGGCATGGCCGTATGCGTTTGGCCGGTAGTTCCGGCCGTTTTGGCCTCCCAGATCCGCCATTTGTCTCTTTCTCTCTTTCTCTCTCTATCTCTTCTTCTCACACCTCCCCAATGTCACGCGGAAGAATGAAGAGGGTTCAATCAATCTGGTCACTGTACACTTGATCTGATTCACTCGTCGTCGTCGTCGTCGTAGTCGTCGTCAGGCGTCGTGGGACTCAATCCCAGGAGAAAACGGCTCCCCCTCGGGCCGTTGAGCAACTGTCACAGAAGAAGATTTTTCCCGTATGACCGTATGAACGGCACTAGATCATACCTCCGCAGGCTCACAGCCGGAACGAGGCGCCCACACCTAGTGCTGGCGGTGGATGACCAAAGGGCGCAAGGAGCCTTGAGCGCAACCGCAAGTCAGGGCTCCTGCAGGTCATACCCTCAGAGCATCCTCCTCAGCCAGCCGCAGAAAATCGACACGCACACCCACACAGCCTGTCGGTCGAAAACACGGAGGCTCCGAAAAAGCAACAACAGAGGGGGACGTGTTGCGGAGAGAAGAGGGGAATTTCTTGCTGGCTGTTTGGGGGGGGGAGGGGGCACTTTCAGCAGGCTCCGTGATGAAAAGCACGGGGGAGGGGGCCAGGTTGGTTGGGTTGGACAGGCACATGTCGAGGCTTAACTAAGATAGGCCAGTACGGCGGGCCAGGCGTGCACCTACGGCTGAACAAGTTACAGGTAACTACCTCACCTACCAGGTACCTCACTCACCAGCTGCCTGTCAACAACAGAACCGGCAGCTCTTCGTCTGTTTATTTCCGGGTGAGTACTGGCCGGGATAATCGTGGGGTTGTTTGGTTTGACTGTGGTGTTTTTCGATTGCTGGTTGCTGACCCCGAGTGCGTGCCGTTTTAGAGCTTCGGTGTCCTCAGTCGTCGTCTCCTTGATCGTCGCGGTACAGCAGCGATATCTATTTCGGCTTGTCGGTGGACGTGTCTGTTTGCTTGACGATTGTTCTTTTTTTCTGCGTCTCGTCGTTTCGTCTAGATTTGAGTGAAGCTCTGTTCGAGCAGGGTCGGTCATAATGGCAGAAAGCGAGCTCTCCCCCAAGTTCGCTCCTTTCTTCTCCTTCGTGCGTATCTCCCATATTCTTCCAGTGTGATGGTGTGTCTTTGCTGATGGGTTTGGAATTGATCTACAGGCGGGAATTGCAGCAGCTGTAAGTCTCTCTACGATGTCCACTGTTTCGACTGATGATAGGACTAACCAGCCGGCAAGATGATCTTTGGATGTACGTTTCCCTGATCTGTTAACCAAAAGGAAAAAAAAACCCCCCCATAGGAACAAGACGCTCATGATATATACAGCGATGGGAGCAGCTTATGGGACTGCAAAGTCTGGCATCGGGATTGCGGGTGTGGGAACTTTCCGGTCGGATCTCATCATGAAGGTACGAGGGCACACTACCTAGCAGGCCACACGACGGTCGGGTGGCTAACCTTGGGCAGTCTTTGATCCCGGTGGTCATGTCCGGAATCATCGCCGTCTACGGCCTGGTAATAGCCGTCCTTATTGCGGGTGATTTGTCGCCACCACCGACGCAGAACACCGACTTGTTTACGTACGCGCTTTCCCCCTCCCCGACCGAAACATATATCAAGATGCGAAGTTGACAAATTGACTAGAGGATTCATGCATTTGGGGGCTGGGTTGTCGGTCGGCCTCGCAGGTCTAGCGGCTGGCTATACCATCGGAATTGTTGGCGATGCGGTGAGCAACGATTCGAAACAAGCTCCGATCGGCTCGGGCGGCTCTAACAATGATTTGCAGGGCGTGCGCGCGTACATGCAACAATCCCGCGTCTACGTGGGCTTGATTCTCATTCTGATTTTTGGCGAAGTTCTCGGTCTCTACGGGTGAGAGATTGTGCCTCCCAAATGGATCGATCATTCCCCTCCCACTAACCTTGCATGCAGCTTGATTGTCGGTCTGCTCCTGAACTCCAAGTCTTCCAGTTAAACAAGTGCTCTTCGAGCACCCTCGAGTCCTACCTCTCTTTTTGGATGAAACCACGATCATCCCTTTGACCTCTCCCCGACCGGATCCCCGAGGATCCCCTCGGCTCACTCGGATCTGCCACGGCCCTGCTATACTGGATTGGAGGTTATTACTTATGAACCTGTGTACAAGTATCTACTTTTTTTTTGTATTGGAAGTTGAAACGACTTTGTTTTGTTGGTATAGATCCCAGGAATACAAGCATTGTTTGTAGCCCCGCTACGGGTAACGTCAGAGCACTTGCACTTGCTCCCCTCCCGGAATAATCGCAGAACGACAGCTTCCAGGCATCCCGCCGCAAAACCACCCTGCCCCTCCCCGCGCTTGCCGCTCCTCGTTTCTCTGACGTTCTTGTTGCCTGCGACTGGTCTGCATTTGCATTTTACCTACTCCATTGTTCCGCGTGTCGAGATTGTTCACCCCGTTTCTTGCGACGTGTTGAGACATGATCTCTTGCCATCGCAATGGCCACCGAAACTGTCGAGCCGTCGACACGTAATACTGCGCCACGCGCCCCGATGTCGCCAGCAAAGGATGGTATCTACGAGAAGGAGAAGGAGAAGACGCTGGCCGCCACGGTGCGACCGGCGCATCAACGGGCTGTAAATCCTTTTGTGATCACACAGCGTTCTGAGGAGAAGCAACTAGGAGTATCCGCCAAAGGCTTACGGCTCAGTGACTTGGTTCTAATCAAGACGCTGGGGACTGGTGAGATTCTTTTTACCAGCTCCCTGCTGACTCCCATGATCTCTCGTTGACGAGTGCCGTAGGTACCTTTGCGCGGGTCTGGCTGGCACGACTCAAAGGAGAAGAGGAGAGGAAAAATAAGGTCTTTGCATTGAAAGTGCTGCGCAAGGCAGACGGTAAGCGAGTTCTTTTGTCCGGAAAACACCAACCGCGGCGCTGACACGGTGTGTTCAATCCGCCTAGTCATCAAACTGAAGCAAGTCGAACACGTCCGCAACGAACGTAAGACGCTGGCCGCCGTTGCCGGGCATCCGTTCATCACGACTTTAATAGCGTCCTTTACCGACGAGCAGTCTTTATACATGCTGGTGCGCGGACCTTGCTATTCGTCACGCATGTGCTTCAAGAAATCTATCTGACCGGGATTTGTTTGGGTTTTCCTTCTTAGCTGGACTACTGCCCTGGAGGCGAGATCTTCAGCTACCTGCGCCGGGCGCGCCGATTTAACGAATATACGTCCATATTCTACGCCGCTGAGATTACGATGACGATTGAGTTCCTCCACGATGTCCACGGGGTCGCCTACCGCGATCTGAAACCGGAAAACATACTTCTCGACGCCGACGGCCACCTGAGACTCGTTGATTTCGGTTTTGCGAAGCAGGTGGGCAACCGGGAGACGTACACCCTCTGCGGTACACCTGAGTATCTCGCCCCCGAAGTCATCCACAACAGCGGCCACGGGCTAGCGGTCGACTGGTGGGCGCTCGGTATCCTCATCTACGAGTTCCTAGTGGGACAGCCGCCGTTCTGGGACCAGAACCCTATGCGGATCTACGAGCAGATCGTTGAGGGACATGTGCGGTTCCCGCATAGCATGGCCCCCGCCGCTCGGGATATCGTCTCAGCCCTGTGCAAGACCAACCCGAGCGAGCGGCTAGGGCACATCTCAGGCGGTTCTGCGAGGGTCAAGGCCCATGCGTTCTTCAACAGCGTCAACTGGGACGACCTTTACTATCGCCGGATCAAGGGCCCCATCATCCCCCGGGTGGACCATCCGGCCGACACGGGAAATTTCGAAGAGTACCCCGATCCGCCGGACCCGAGCAGTCAAACTCCCTATACGGAAGATTTGAAGAGAAAATATGAGCCTTTGTTCAATGATTTTTAAAACCAGACACGACAAAGTGAGTATAAACATACTTCTGAAAATACGACAGTAATCGCCATGACCCGATATATACACCTGTGATGTCCATCTATCTATCTACCTTTTTGTTTTTACTGCTTGGAGTTTACGGCCGATCTAATCTTGAAATCCTTTCCGACTCAAATGGCTGGACGTTGAATCATCTCCTCCAGCTACACGCCACACTTTGCCATTTGTATATAACTTACTAAATGACTGCGATGCGTTGAGTTATGAGCGGGTTGGGGGTTGTTACTGTTGCTGTTGCTGCTACTAACATATCCCTGGAATAAATATTAGTTTCAACACTTTACAGATTGTCAAAGTCATCAAACCGCCGCCATGGTGACCTGAGCATGGAGAGTAGAGTATACGAACGAGACTGAGTAAGAACTGGATATACAGGAACTCTATTTCGTGATATGCATGTTCGATTTCCACGAACACCAAAGCAAACAGACAGATAGATGGATAGACAGCTTCGAGCCGTCTATATTCCCATTGACACACACATACATGCTATATAAATTTTCATTGAGAAATCAAGAGTAGATTTTAAGAGAAACAGGCCAGGGAGAGACATCTGGTCGTTCGTGGGGGGAGGGGGAAGGCATGCTTCCTCCTACATGGCTGTGGATGATCCTTAATAGTCCGACTATGTTGTCGGTGAGGGGGGGATATAATTTCTTGCGGGTTGGTTGATGGAGCTGGGAGAATAGTAGTATTTGTATTTCATAAGGACGGATCGGTTTTCCAGGATCCTAGTAAGTATTGTTAGTTTGACGGCAGTTAATTATATATAGGAAAGAAACAAAAAAAAGGGGAAGAATACCGTCAAAGTCATGTCTGACAAAAGCCATAGGATCGTTCAAGTCGCCAGCGCCCATCTGGTGGACGCCCGGGCTGAAGCTGGTGATGGGCAGGACGATGACATCGCCGACCTTGCGGTGGTCTTGCTGGTACGTAAAGTCCTCGTAGGTGATGTTCCTGGTGGAGCCGGGCTCGACGTAGAAGTACTCTTCGTTGTTGAAGTAGCGGAAGATGGCGTCCGTCCAGGCGGCGGGACCCGTGAACTCCATGACTGTCTTGTCCATTTTCCCCGTGTATAGGATGCCCTTCTTCTTCATCCGCAGGGCATCTTCGGTGATGGCGGCCACGAGGTCACGTAGGATCGGGTGGCCGGGTTTGGACTGGATCGTCCACTGGCAGAACTGGATCCGGCGCGAATACCAGTCGTGCCAATCCGGGCGGTCCGGGTCGGCCTCGATGCCCACCACGAACCCTACGGTCGACTGGTCGAGCTCTGCAGGCAGCCAAACGGTCGCCGGCTTGAGAGCTGTCGTGTCGATGTCACTGTAGATGCCGCCGCGGGCGAGCAGGATGAGGTACCGGAAGAAATCGGCCTTGAGGACGGGCAACGGCATCGCCTCGAACGCCTCGTACACCTCAGGCACCGCTGCGTAGAGATACCGGATCAGATGGCCTTGCGTATCGTCCCCCACCACCTCGTGCACAAATTCCGGGTTCATCTGGGACCAGCTGGCCTCGCGCGGTCGCAGTCGCTCCTGGAACCAGACCGACGACGGAGCGTACTTCCATGTCTGCCAGATGTATGCAGGAAACGGCGCCTCGAGACGGTAAGGGAACTGGTATCGTAACCGATCGCGGAGACTCGCACTTGCCGGCGGTGCGCTGGACAGGAGCTGTTGCTGTTGCTGTTGCTGCTGCTGCTGCGGTAACCCAGTGTCTTGCTGTTGTCCACCGGGTGGTTGTTGCGCGGGAACACCGGGTTCGCGATCAATAGCGACAGTGGAATGCGTCGTTCGGAGGAGGAGAACAAAAGCGATCAGACACACGGCCGCAATCAACGACCGTCGGAAGGTAAGCATGGTGGTTTCGTGGCGTGGCCAGATTGCGCCCGGCCAGCGACAGAACGGCAAAGAGGCGAGTAGTTGCACGAGGCCAGTTCTCTCTTCTCACCTTCCAACAGTCGAACACTTCATCGAAAAGAGAAAAGATCAAAGAATCAAAGTCATCATCATCGGCATTTTTGCTGCAGAACGACACGACCGCCAGGAGACGAAGAGGGAGCAGCCGGCGGTTACAGCAGGGGATCTCTACTACTCTCTAGTCTGTCAACGGTTGACGAAGTTCTGGGCTTGGCACTGACGAGGATGCGTCAGTCAATGGCGACAAGTTCCACTTCCCCAGCATTTAGCATCTCCCTTGGTCTAATTTCGCATTACCCTTGGAGAGACTGGTTCGAATTTGGATCCTGCGGTTCAGAAGAGATATGCTACATATGTAGTATACCCCCTTTGTTGGGGATTTCTTGTTCGTTCATGTTCAGTCTGTGAGAGTCTACCCTTGTCGTTTGCAGACAGCCGCGTCATTCTTCTCCCCACTGCAACGTTTCTTCCAGGTTCCCACGATGCTGCTACGCGCGTCAGGATTGGCCCGTTATAGTAAGATCGTCATTTATGGTGGCTTCCAAGGCTACTAGAGAGAGAGAGAGAGAGAGAGACGACTTTGGAGCTGCTCTGAGGGCTCTTGTCGCGATGGTTTGTTGACGTTTAGCCTTAACTTACTCTCGTTTGACACAAGACACAAATAACAAAAGGCTGGAATAGAATGGCTAATAATAATAATAAAGTGGAAAGTGGCGACTAACTAGCTGCGATGGCTGAGTGATAGGTATATATTGGCACCTCTTATCTATCCTACCAAGCCAGTGTTCAGCAACAACTCAACCTCACGAAACGGTTCTACGTATGTCGTTATCTGGACTGGGAAAGTCTAGTCTGGCATCTGGAGAACGTAACGACCGACAATTGTCTGCTTGTCTGTGTGGGGAGGGGAAAATTAGCAGTGCCACAGCGTTTATACCGGGGTCGGAGAGGCTGGCTCACCCATCAAGTCAAACACGTTGTTGAGATCTTTCAAGGTCGCGGTTTTGAAAGGGATATGGATCAGGCCCCGGACAAAGAAGTCGATTGCCTCGACGCTATCCTGCCGATTGCCTTTATAACTCCCCTTGATACTGATCATCCGGGTGACGGTCTCGACAATGGGGGCCTTAATAAACGCATTGGGAGGCAGGCCGACCGCAACGACGGTACCGTGAGATCGCACGTACATGGGAGCCTGCTGGAATGGCTTTTCGGACATGGCAACAATGATCGCCGCGTGCGGCCCCAGGCCGTCAGGAGACGCTGCGCGGACATCTTTGACAATGTCGTCACTTTGGGTGAAGTCAACGTATACCTGGGTTAAATCAGTAAGCTGTGTGTGCTGATGCAGGGTGGCAGGATATACGAGTGCCTCGCGCTGCTTACTTCTGCCCCTAGATTCATGCACATCTGTTGCTTTTCTCTCTCTTCGTCGATCGCAATCACTCGGAGGCTCATTGCCTTCGCATACTGGAGAGCCAATGCTCCCAGCCCACCCCCAGCGCCGACAATGGCAACGGACTGACCCGCCTGAGCCCCGGACTCCTTTAAAGCCCGGTACACGCTAATTCCCGCGCAGAGAATCGGAGCGACTGCGTCCAACGGCACATCTTTCGGGATCCTCGACACATAGGCCGCCTTGGCTGTGCAGTACTGCTGAAAGGTCCCATCAACGGTATACCCGGACATCTGCGCATGGGGACACAGGACTTCTTCGGCTTTCTGGCAAAATTCGCAGGCCCGGCACGAGTCATGCAGCCACTTGATACCGACGTGGTCGCCGATCTTGACCTGGTTCGCCAGCTCCCCTCGAGCGACGACCATGCCGGTGCCTTCGTGGCCACCGATGAGGGGCATCTTCATCTTCATCGGGAGCTCGCCCCTCATGACATGCAGATCGGTATGGCACACGCTGGAGTATTTAATCTTCACCAACACTTCATCCGGACCCGGCCTAGGAACAGGAATCTGCTTGTAGACAGCAGGGCCGCCTACCTGTTCGATCACCTGTGCCCATTGAGTCTCGGGGACACCCATTTGATCGACCCGTCAATATGTGTAAGAGTTCAACCAGGAACGGTAGGAGAGAAATATATTCCGCTACCATCTACAGGATTCAGGATCAAGTCGGAGTTTAATTCCTTTTGAGGATGTCTGTAACTCATAAGTTCTGCGGAATTGCTTGCCGCTGCGAATTGCGTCACACAACCATATCACCTTCTCGCCATACGAGATGATGTTCCAGAAACTAAAACGAGGCAGCAGCTTGAATACTTTGTTGGAGTAAACTAATCTATTTGCCTGCGGTGCTATTTATTTCTGTTCTATGAGGAAAGAATGATATTATACCATCACCTTGAAAACAGAGAAATGATTTGTTCTCTGGCTCCCGAAGAGACGGTCCAGCCTGCCAACTCAGTGAATATTAATTTCACAGCATCTAACCCGAGTGTCGGACAGAGTCCTTTCGACTAAGCATTGGACCGAGTCTCTATCCGTCATGCAAATATTGAACACTAGTTACAGAGGCCTGCTTCCTTGAACCCAGCGATGATGAAACTGAATCTCATAGTATATTACCGAATTATTCTTTTTGCATTAAAAATCCCAAGATCCAACTTGAGTTGATTGTGGCGAGTGATGAAAGACAGATGATGGATCGTCAAGGGCTCGAGTCGAACAACTTAGCCCTCCAACAGGATGGCACTTTTATTTCTGTTGATAACGATTAGTTCGCGTCCATAGAGAACAGACGTCGGTCATGGAGTCGTGAACCACTTGTCTTCTGGGCTGCATTTGGACTCATCATTCTTGTTATCACACTCTCCCTTACGCTCACGCAGCATTAATTCAGTCTCGACGACAGGAGCTACCACTATGTGGAAGCTAACCGGTCAGACTTAGTGACCGACAACTTCCCTGATCCTGTTCTTCTTTACAATCAAACGTGGTTCGCATACGGCACCAACCCGTTCAAGGACAGCTCGCAGGGCCCGCGTATCCCAGTTGCCAATTCTATGATACCTAGATAAAGTTAACCATAAATAGATTTCCCTACACTTACCAATTGCCTTGCCTCTTCATGAAATACTCCATTCTATCCATCCATAGACTCCAAACTTGGAACCTTGGAATAGTTACATAGTTACCTAAATAGGTTAGGCCCATTATTGAATGCTTATTAATTCACCGCCTAGAACCCAACGAATTAGAACATTTACAGATGATGCAATTCGTGAATTCTGCCGGACAATCTCATCTTTCTCTCCGCCTGCAGAATTAGGAAAGCAGCCATGGCACCGCGACTTTTTATATCAACACTGACGTCGTTTCTGTTTTGTCGTGATAGTTTCGCTGCTTATAATCCTCTAAAAACCATGAGACCAGTCCAGCGGGCTACTCGCTGCGTTTCTCGCAGCCTGGCGGCCGCCAGAGCGGCCAGGCCCAGCAGCTCATCTCTGGAGGTGGGCCGCCCGCTCGCCAAAGCCTTCCATACGGTTTCCCTCCGACAGTCGCCGCCATCCCCCGAGGCACTCTTGAAAAACTCATCAAACCCAGCGCTCTCATTTCCGTGTCTGGATGCGCTCGATGCAAAGTCCGCCTTGCTCTCTGCACGGTCGCTGGAGTCTGGCCCCGAGCCTTCGTACACGACCGGCCACCATGAACAGTTCCATTGTGACGAGCCGCTGCTGTTAGATTGGGGTGGGGTGCTCCCGCAGTTCGAAATCGCGTACGAGACCTGGGGCCGTTTGAATGCAGACAGGAGCAATGCCATCCTGCTCCATACGGGACTTTCGGCGTCGAGCCATGCGCACAGCACCGCCGCCAATCCGAAGCCGGGCTGGTGGGAAAAGTTCATCGGACCGGGCTGCCCAGTCGACACCGACAAGTACTTTGTCATTTGTACGAACGTCATCGGGGGTTGCTACGGGAGTACGGGGCCCTCGACGATCGACCCGTCGGATGGGAAACGGTATGCCACGCGGTTCCCGATCCTGACCCTGGACGACATGGTGCGGGCGCAGTTCCGACTGCTGGACTCGCTGGGGATCCAGAAGCTGTATGCCTCCGTTGGGTCCAGCATGGGCGGCATGCAGAGTCTCGCGGCGGGGGTTTTGTTCCCGGAGCGCATCGGGAGGATCGTCAGCATCAGCGGCTGTGCCCGCAGCCATCCGTACAGTATCGCCATGCGCCACACACAGCGCCAAGTACTGATGATGGACCCGAACTGGGCGCGCGGGTTCTACTACGACTCCATCCCGCCGCACTCGGGTATGAAGCTCGCCCGGGAGATCGCTACGGTCACGTACCGCAGCGGACCAGAGTGGGAGAAACGTTTCGGCCGCAAGCGCGCCGACTCCAGAAAACAACCGGCGCTGTGTCCGGACTTCCTCATCGAGACCTATCTCGACCACGCGGGCGAAAAGTTCTGTCTGGAATACGATCCGAACAGTTTGCTTTACGTGTCCAAAGCCATGGACCTTTTCGACCTCGGGATCGAGCAGCAGACGCAGACGAAGCAGCGCCGCGCCGAGAACGAAGCCAACATCGCCCGCGGAACCGCATTCCTGGGTACCAGCGACGCTACCTGTACCCTTACCCTCCCGGCAAAACCCTACGAGGAACAGCCATCCGTCACGAACTCCCTCCCCGCCCTGGACCAGTCTGTCGCCGACCAGCGCGGTGCAGCTCACGCCGACGAACCCCCGCAAGACCTGGTCGCCGGTCTTTCCCCGCTGAAGGACCACCCCGTCCTAGTCATGGGCGTCGCTAGTGACATCCTCTTCCCTGCGTGGCAGCAGCGCGAGATCGCCGAGTGTCTCCGAGCAGCCGGAAACACAGCCGTCCAACACATTGAACTAGGCGAGGACTTGTCCCTGTTCGGCCACGATACCTTCCTACTGGATCTGAAGCATATCGGTGGGGCGGTCGAGAAGTTCCTGCACTGAAAGCGGGAAAAGAAAAGGGAATATAAATCTATATTCTTTGCGCGAAGCATTCCAGGCGTTGATTTTACCCAAGGATACCTGAATATACTGCTACTCTACTGTTATGTACATAATCAAACTATACGATCAACACGACTCTTTTTGAACTGGAGTATTCTTCCTTTCTTCTTATGTAAAAACTCATCCTAGCGCCTATTATTACCTCTCCGGGAATGATTTGCTACCTAGTGTATGCCAAATTCGTTGGAATCCTGTACAGCGAATTTGAAGTCGCCATACCCCACCAACATAAACGACGCCCAGTAAAATGGACTCGCCAGGTCCAACTGATCGAGCATCATCTTGGTCGTGGCCAGCACGTACCGGGCATCCGATAGAAACCCGGTGAGGCCGTGGTCATCGCATGCCGAGTCCATCGCGGCCCACGCGTCAAGGAGCCCGTCAAGAAAAAGACGGACACCCTCCGTGTCGAGACGGAGCATGTCATGCTGCGCGCGGCGCATTGCTTCCGCCAGGCTGATGGCATGCTGGTCCTTCAGTTGGCGATAGAAGAGCGTCATGAGTAGCATCGATCCAAAATCGTTTACTTTCCACAGCGTGCCGATATAAGCCTGGCAGCCCGTGCCGAGGACGACGTGGGTAAAGCCAAGCACCTCGTTGCTGAGCGTGGCTCTGCCCAGGCCGCTCAGGCAGGCGGCGAAGACGAGCAGGTGCGCGCGGCTCTGCACCTCCAGCAGGTCGAGCACGCGGAACTCCTCGCCGATAGAGATGAAGGACAGCAGCGGGTGGTGGTGGTCGACATCGCCGTGCGTCCCGATGTGCAGCACCGCACTCCCACCCTGGATGTACTCCCGGAACTCGCGGCGGGTCACGCGAGACGCCTCGATCGGCCACGTCGCAAACAGGCGCGCGATATTGACTGCCTCAATCCGTGCCATGTACAGCACCTGCTCCTCCTCCTCCTCCTCCTCCTCATCCCCATCCTTGCCGTTGGCATGTCGGGTTGCACCTTCTACCGCAGGCATGGCTGATGTCTTGGCGAACACAGAGACCGTAGGCGCTGCGGTTGTTGCCTGCCGCCGACTCAGATGGTATAACACGGTCAAGCTGGGGATTTGTGAGACAGCCACGTGTGCGAGAAGGGGCTCTCCGTCGAAAGGCAGAGCGGACAGGGGGAATGCCGTCAAGGGGTCAGAGACAGAGAAAATGACGTGTGTTTTGGTTCGGATCGTGTCTTCAAAGGGTTTTAACAACACCGCAGAGATCTGTTCGCCTAGCTCGTCTACTTGTCGTTTGCGCACATCCTCCTCGGAGCTCTTGATCCCAGTCATCTGCTGCATGAGACCCAAGTATTCGAGCACTGGCCTCCGAAGGTCTGAGACCGTCACAGGCTCTTCGCGTGCATTCTCGATACCAGCGCTTGTGATTGCAAATATGAGGCTTCCGTGCGGTGAAAACGACGCTTCGATCACCACCGCATTACCAGGGATGCAACCATAGAGGAGAGCAGGGTCGACTGAGGCGTTGGTCGCTTGGATGAATTCCTCCGTCGAAGCTGACAGTGAATTGCCAGCCAAATCTCGCAGTTCAGCTTCCAATTGTGCCTGTTCTCGTTCCTGTCTTTCATTACGCACTCGGAGAGCTTGAAGGTGTCTGAGAGCCCGCCTTTTGTAGGTGATCTCTGACAAAGTCTTCCCGCTGGTGGCTCCTGATATGTGGTCGACGGTTTGCAAAGAGTCGAGCACAGATCGAGCCCGAGCTTCTTCTAAGAATAGCAAAGCATGGTCTCCCCACGATGCATTCTCGGAATGACCATGTTCATAAAACGACAGTACTGCCAGCGGGATGCCTGCTTGTTCGCACCGAAGACAGATCTTTGTCAACGTCAAGAATACGTTGACCAAATGGGTTACCAGCGAACTACCGCGGGCATCTGCATCGATGGTCGCGGTGCGACGTAGCTCGATTAACTCGCGAGCCTTGAGCAGTTTTCGAAAGGCCGTCTCGGGGTGATCATTGTTCAACATTATTATCGAATAATCTGCCAAGCGGAAGATGAAGTCTGACGCACTTTCAACTATATTCTCGAAGAAAGACGGCGAGATCTGAGAGATCGTTTGAATGAGCTGGTACCCTCGTTTCATGTCACGGGCCATGACACACACATTGAGCGCATTCCCCGCGATATCAGGGAATTCGCCTTGAAGACCGCGACCTTCCAGAAAGCGCTCGAGTAGATCATTGAAGAGCACAGAGTCTGTCATGGAGTTCAAGACGACACGCGCCTGCCGATGATCGCCAACACGGTTGTAGGCCAGAAGCAGAAAGAAATCTCGGGAATAGCCAGGTTCCATGAGAGACATTTCATTAAAAAAACTGGCAAAGGCCTGCTCGGCATCCGCCAAGTTTCCATCTTCCAAGTGACGGTCAAAGGTAATTTCAGCAACAGCGAATTTCATGTGTATGGCATTAGCGACTAAGCTGCGTTGCCATAGGTTATGGTCGCGCAAACGTGTCGGCAGCTTTGCATCGTCTTTCTCCAGGTGTTCGCGCATGAATTGGAATGACTTGTCATGCTCGATGAACCAGGCATGCTGGGTTTGCCATTCTTCAAGGACCTCCAGCTCCTTCATCCGCAAATACATACTCTTTGCCTTGTTAAGAAAGGAGCTGATGATTTGGAATCTTTGCGCTAATAAGCCCCTGCTTTCCATCTTTCCCAGCTCGGTATCTGGAGCGTTAGAGATTCCTTGATCGTAATAGCTGAGGACGCTTTCAAACATCTCGCGAGCTCGATCAATGAAGAGAATAGTTGCGGCGGAGTTATACATGCCATGTTGCATCCATGCTCTGGCTGCCAGAGTCTGAAAGGCAGGCACAACATCCCCCAAAGCTATGAAGCACTCATAGGCGCACTCATAAGCCCTAGTGGCCATATCGAAACGACTGAACTTAGCATACTCGTGTTTCGCGAAACGGAGCATCACAAGGCCGATAAAATGAGCAACCTTCTCGTTTCCAGCATCCACGCCCCATTTTCCTATCTCGGTGGCTCGATCATGGATGGTTGTAGTATTGACCCCTCTGCTGATGTCGAGGAGGATCTGGTGGCCCAAGACGACCATCAAGTTGGCCTCGTCCACACCAAAGAGCAATTGTGCTTGATCCAGCATTTCACCTGCTTCTTTGAGCATTGTATGTCTCGAGTCATCATCAATAGACAACTGACGAGCTAGCACATGAAGACAGCAAGCTTGACGAAGAAGTACAGCCGCTTGGCCGCGCTCGCAATTGGCTCTTTCAAAGAGACTCAGAGCCAATGCATACGTCTCTTGGGCCTCCTGAGAATAGTCTAGAGGCAGATGCAGCTCATATGGATCCCAAATGTGTTCTTCCCCCACAGCAGATGCCGAATCAGCTGGAATCAGATTCAACGAGACGGGACTTGCGAAAGGCGGCGAGAGGCGGCTATCCGCTTCCATCATCTTACAGTTGGCCATACCAGCATAATCACTTATATGTTCGTACGCGGTGTAGCATCTATTCAATTCTTGAGCTGCAGATGGCGATCGACATGCGAGATGCAGTTCCAAGATAAGGCGGGCCAGGTAGTTTACCAATGGGCCCGCATCAGAGAACGGCTCAAGTCTTTCCTTCAGGGAAACCATGGACTGTCCCATTTCTTGTACTGCAGCTTCTGCGTTGGGGATGGACTCGTTCCATGTGACGTTCGAAAACTCGTCGAACTCCGGTTTGATCAAACGTCTTGCCAGGAGTCTTGAATTCTGCGGGAACCACGAGACAGTCGCTATAAAGTTCCCATACACTCTATCGATTGGATTGGAAGTAGCCATGTATCTTTGCATACCCTCTGCCCGCTGCTCAGTCATTTGGAGAATCCCAATGATATCCCCCAGCATGGGTATATTGGCCGCCTGCCCGAACTCCTGGTAGAAACGAAGGCAAGGGGGATATCTTCTGGCGAGGTCAATCCGTAGACGATTATTCACGTAGATCAGGCCATAATTTGGAGGTAAAACATCAAGTAGTGACTGTAACCGATCCCGCGAGTCGTACGCATCCTTCGGTCTGCCGATGAGAACGAAATAATCGATCGCGCAGCGCAGCCAGCTCGCCTCATTTTCTGGATCTTCAAATGATGTCTCTTGGCGATATCGATCCAGCTCGTCTCGGGCAGCCTGGAGGTTCCCGCGATACTCCTCTGGCCACAACGATCTGCCACAAAGGCCGAAGAAATTAGACCTGTCCATTAGGAGCTACTGCTGAGATAGTAACCACAATGCACATTTCACTTCACGGCACCCTGAGGATTTACCTTTAAATCTACACAAGACTTCTTTGATCCAGAATTGAAACCGGCCCCGCGCGTCAATGCAGGGTCCAGCCCCGCGATCTAGGCCTTGGGAGGTCACGGATGCCTAGGCACGAACGAAGGCGTGCTGATAGTCAGCTCAAGCATGGGACCTGGTCAGGAAGTCACTTATTGGCTGGTAGGGGGTGGTCGGCGAGGCTGTGTAGCATTCTACCGATCTCGGAGATACAAGGGTTGCAGCACTTGGTCCCCCGTGCGGGGTGAGACGGATCCCTCTATCCTCGTATCTTTCTCTGCTTGCATTGCAATATTGTGTGAGATGAGTGGGAGCGACGAACGGTCTTTTTACCTATATGGGGTGGGAGAGAAGCCCGAGGCCCTACCGTTGGGCAGTCTGGTATTGGAAAAATACTGGCAGCCCCTCGTCGCGCGACATTATACGCACAATGTGTTGAGGTACCTTCCACATAAGGTTGTGAGAGATGGCGGATTGAGTCGCTAAGCGAAGCATCTTCGCAGTGTAGATACCCTCGACCAGTTTGCGTGGTCAAGCCAGTTGGGCCCGTGTACCTTCCACGGTCGTTCGAGTCTCGCTCCCTCTATCGGACTGAAGGGAGCGGACATCGCCAATCTGTCTGTTGGATGGAGTAAGGACCGAGAGCGGGTGGTAGTGGCCAAGTCGGGAGCTCGAGTGATATTGAAGGAGTGCGTAAGACCTCGTTGTTTTGCGTTTTTAACCCGCGATCAAGAAATCTTCCCAGACTTATTCGGGTACCAGTCCTGAATCTTTCCTCACAAACCAAGTCATTCCCAATCCACGTGCGCAGGAGTGTCTCAAGCTTTGGCTTTCCGCCGCCCGCAGCCAATATGTCCTCAACTTCAAGTTCGCCCGGCGACCTAAGATCTGGATGTTGACGGGTGTCTATCTGTTGGAGGGCGCCCGTGCCGTGATCAAAACCGAAAATGGGTCCAAGGTGTCCGCAGACATCAGCTCTAGCCTCATAGGCTCCTTATCAGGCATCCCAATCGGTGGAAGTATCTCACTGTCCGGAGAGGGAGCATGGCAGCTGGCGGTGGAATTGGACGAACGGCACGTCTGGGCAGCCCAGTTCCGCTTGGTTGACACAAAGTACTATGCCGTGTCTGACAAGTCGGCAATGCCAATTAAGACAACCTGTATGGGATTATACAAGGACGTTCTCAGTACAAACATGCTTCGCAGAGCACAACACCAGCGGCGGGAGGGCGTCGAGTTGGGCCTGGAGCCGGAAGAAGACGGTAATCCTGATGAAAAGCTGACAGATCAAGATGACGAGGAATCCCAGGAATTCTCAAAGCGTCTGGAAGCTGCAATTGCAGTATTTGAGGGTGCCCCGAAGCATTTCTTAGATTAGTAGAGCCGGGTTTCAGGCCATTTGAAAGGTGTCCATCATTTATGTTTTATGAGAGTAAACGTGCATTTCCCTATTTCATTTGGGAATCTATGCTATCTTCAATGAGGAATGTTATCCTGAGACTGCCAGTTTATTGTTCATGAGGTTCAGGCATTGAGATGAGTTGTTGAGAGAGAGCCTCGCAAGACTTGCCTGGTGAAACTCAACTCACAGTTTCTTCACGTGACCATAGATCAATGCTATTACATACGATTGCCAGAACAATACCAGCTTTGACGATCTAGATGAGTCTTGTCTCTATTTTAATAAGAATGGACTTCACTATGCTTTCGTCAGTGTTTTTGATAAGCTGGAGGGAAGAGAGCCATCGTCGGCCAGCGTCTTCATGTCACAAGAGCATTTCTGGATTGAGATCGTTTCCTAAACCCGACAGCTATATAACTTCAACAACTCATCCGTTTCTCAAATATCTCACCACCTCTTGCACGCTGACTGCCCTCAGATTAGCTCTCAGGTTCTCATTGGTTTCCAGGCTTGTAATGATGTTAACCGCGGACGGCCATCTCGCGCCGGATACCATACAATTTTGGCTTTTGGTCATTAACCTCGTCACTGGGCAGTCGCGTCTAACACGGTATCCTCAGATAAGTTATCGGGTTCTCGTTTGCTTCCATGAATATAACAAAATTAGCCCTGTGCGGCCATCTCGATACCGAATATCATGCAATTCTTTTAGCGTCTGGCCATAGATTTTGTCACAGGACAGACATGTGAGGGAATGAATAGACTCAAGCTTAGTCTTGCTGGAGTACCTAATCCAACGCCTGTCTAGTTAGCGAGATAGAAGAGAGAGTGCATCTCATGAAGCATCATTCATGAGAACATTAATCAAAGCAACGGTGCTAGGATCCTCTTGCGGCTGCATTCTATCCCGAGTTAGAAGATAAATTGGATAAGGTCGGATAACAGAATGAAAATGTTGCTACTGGTTCCGGCTGAACCTGGCGAAAATGTGTGGGGAGTTTGAGTGATGGGATCAAGTACATCACTTGCCAGATCAGATTGAAAACTACCTTTTTTCGTCGCTCTTCATCGGCATACTCGACATCGTTTCCTTCAAGAGGCAGACAGACGGAGCTCGCTTGCCTCCAACGGTGCGACGATCAGCTGTCATCATATTGGCATCAGCACTTGATTTTAAGGGTGCTGAAGTAATCAACCCGTATGTGTATGAGGATGGTGATGGGAAAAATAATTGTGTGACTTGTAGTTTTGTGAATGTATAAGCTTCCGAATCCTAGATTTGGAGATGTTTATTAGTGCATGAGATCAACATCAAATGATTTTGGCAAGAGTTTTGAAAGATAATTGAATCCTTCTCTCCAGGTCTCTAAGATCTCTGTTCTATCTCAATCACCCATGCATATATCTGACGTCTTCTTCCACTTGTGCACGCACAAGGAATGAAGTCCATCTCTTGAGGTGATCTCAAGGCAGCATGTCATGAGAAGCTCTATTGTGTCAACAGGTATCATCATGGAGGCCAACCACTGGATTTCATTCGAATTCAGGATAGCCTTACTTCTTCATTATTTAAGTATCGATCCTGGACATCAATACATCACTGTCCAGCTGTTCAGAGACCGGGTTGTTCATCTCAAGAGTTAGCTATGGCAGGAAGGGAGAAAGGAGAGAGACAGCAGTTTCGGTCCTTGAGGCTTGGAAGCTAATCAGCACGTGACCACTCATGCCGCTATCGTGGAGTTCTCCAGGCGAAGATCTTGAAATGATGATCGATTCAGTTGTGTTGGCCACAGTGCTTTTATAATGGAATCTAGCACTATTACTGCGTGATATGAGTCTTCTGAGCTGTCAGGCTTTGGTTTTGGGTCAACCCCGCGGAGGAATACTGCAGATTGGCTCTCTTCACCACCACTGAACGCTACCGTCGCAGAAGCAACTGCTTCAAACCGGGCAGGTCCACTGTCTGAATAAACTATTCCTGAAAAGAAATGTCGTCTTGGATCCAGCGTCAGGCTGGTTCTCACCAGACCCAGCTTGTCGCCACGGCTGTTCTCTCCGGCGTCGCTGTGGCCGGCACCATCTTTGGATATCAGGCATTGAAGCGGAAGGAGGCTCTTAAAGACTTGAAGGCCTCTATCCCTATTATCAATGACCAACACCATGCTGAAGATGTAAGCTATATGTCACTTTCACTTATAATTGGCGATTTTGGCTAACCCATATCCACTCATCAAGCTTACAGAGTATGGCGCCGCAGCCACTATACAGATGAGTAAAGAAGATGAACGGAGTGCAGCTCTTGCCCGTAGAGCGCAGCGGGGGGACTATGACGACGGTAAGACGGGATTCAATATATACCTGATATTAAGCGGAAGCTTACACTTGGTTCTCTCATTAGATCTGATCCTTGAGCAACTTGCTCGTAACCGCGTATTCCTTACGGACGAAGGCCTTGCGAAGCTTCGGGGATCGTTTATAATTGTCGTCGGCTGTGGCGGTGTTGGATCTCATGCTGTGGCCGCTCTTGCACGCTCTGGTGTGTCACAAATCCGTCTTATCGACTTCGATCAGGTTACTCTGTCCTCGTTGAACCGACATGCGGTCGCTACATTGGCGGACGTTGGCACACCCAAGGTACACTGTATCCGAAAGAGAATGGAGCAGATTGCTCCGTGGGTTCGATTTGATTGTCGGAACCAGCTGTTTGGCAAAGCAGTTGCAGACGAGCAGTTAAGCCCGTGGAGCCTTGCAGAGGGTGAACCGGGCCGCAAACCAGACTACGTCCTGGACTGTATCGACAACATCGGCTCCAAGGTCGAGCTACTACATTACTGTCACACGCACTCATTACCCGTCATCTCAGCCATGGGAGCGGGCTGCAAGTCGGATCCCACACGAGTTGTGGTTGGGGATATCTCTTTGACGACAGATGATCCTCTTTCACGCAGTACGCGCCGCCGCCTTAAGGCTTTGGGCGTGTCTACAGGAATTACGACAGTATTCTCTACTGAGAAGCCGGGCCCTGGCAAGGCGAGTCTTCTCCCACTTCCAGAGGAGGAGTTCGTCAAGGGCAAAGTGGGCGAGTTGGGCGTCCTCCCTGAATTCCGCGTGCGCATTCTCCCTGTTTTAGGCACCATGCCTGCAGTCTTTGGCTACACCGTGTCCAACCATGTGATCTGTGATATCGCGGGTTATCCTAACGATTATATTGTCGGAGCCAAGGGTCGAGACAAGCTATATGACGGGATCCTAGCGAACCTGCAGGGCATGCAAGAGCGGCTAGCAAAGCTCGAGGCCGGCCAGGACCCCGTCGGGCTACGAATCCCCGTCAGCAAGGAAGACATTGCCTTTGTCGTCGAGGAGATCTGGAGAGGCAAGAGCGCCATCACTGGCCTGCCCAACCGTCTTGTCCTCGTCCCCTGGTTACGCCCTGCACGCGGATTCGGCGCTGATCCGGAATGGGAGAAAAACGGACAGAAGATTGTTCCGTTACGCCTGGCGGAACTCGTGTGCATGACTAAAGAAGAGGCCACGCGCCATGAGACAGAAGTTCTCCGGGGCGGTAAAAAGGTTGAGGAGCTTTACGATGAAAAGGTCATGCAAAAAGTGACTGAACGGATGAAGGAGGCCGAAGATCTTTATGAGGCATATAGATGAAATTGACTTGAAGAAATCAAGACAATCTAGATTCTCTCCACTATCTTCAGTATATAATCAGCATCTATATATGATCATGCATACTCCGTACCTTAGGTAGGTTAGGTACCTAAGGTAAGTACCTAGGTACCTCCCTATTAGGTTAGTTCCTGTACTCTCCCAAAACGGTTAGCCTCTTTCCAAAAATGCAACGGACTCGCGACCGCGGAAGATTGTAATGCCGGGACCGCCTGTCCAGAACCGGCAACCAGGCACAAGGGTCCATTCTTGGCGTTATGAAGGCCCTCTCCGCATTTCCCAACCCTGTCATCATGAGCTGAGGCGGTGCATCCCCCTTTTGAATCTATTTCTCGACTACCTGTCACCTGTTCCATCGCCGTGATCCTCTGTTACGATTGAACGGACGACCGTCGGCTGCTCCGCGCCCTTTCCCACCGGAAATATCGATGCCTGCTTGAAGACCCCCAGAGTGGGTTGAGAACCGTCGCTTTCACGCCATCAGCCCAGCATGGCGACTCTACTTCGAGATCACGATAATATGGACGTTTCGTCAGACAGCGGCTCGGAAGATGGCTTCTATCCTCGGTCCTCGTCGTTTCACCTCTCCCAATACTCGCGCCCGCTGATCGATTTCGTCAAGAACGAGTGGCAGACCAATTCTAAATACCACTACCACTCGGCATCATCATCGCCTTCGAACACCTCAGACGCCCCACGGTGGGTGCAGATAACACTCTCGCTGATTGCTGCCCCGAGATTCCGGCGCTACGTGTTGGTATATGTGATTCTGCTCATCTCGTGCTGGGCGTGCTGGAAACAGGTTCTGTCTCCCCGGCTGGAAGAACATGCCGCCCTGATCAGCTCCTTGGATGTGCACACCAAGGACCAGGTGGGGGGATGGTTCGGGACAAATGCGCTCCCCCAGTTTGATGACCTGGTCAAGATCCGTACCTTGGACCCGTCTCTCCTGCCTTCGGACACGAAGGCTACATCGGGACCGAGCCAGCGACGGTTAATCGTCGTAGGTGATGTGCATGGATGCAAGGCTGAATGTGCGTATAACCAGATGTAATATATATATATATTGCTTGATGCTGACGTATCAGTGGTTAAATTATTGGAAAAGGTGTCCTTTAACCCCAATAACGGCGACCATTTGATTTTCACCGGCGACATGATCAACAAGGGACCGGACAGCCTTGGAGTCGTGGACCTTGCGCGCAAATACTCTGCTTCGTGTGTGCGCGGCAACCACGAAGACCGAGTTCTCCTACTGCGACATGAGATGTACGCCGCAAATACATTGACCGCCGACGACGCATCATCGGCGGTGGACAGCAAGGAAGAGTTCCTGTCCACAGACTACCAGGAGCGCAAGCTGGCGCGCCAACTCACGCATGATCAGGCCAAATGGCTCGACACCTGCCCTGTGATCTTGAAAGTCGGACAGATCCCCGACATGGGCCAGGTGGTGGTGGTGCACGCGGGCATCGTCCCCGGTGTGCCTCTCGAGAAACAAGACCCGGCCAGTGTGATGAACATGCGGACCATCGACCTTGACACACATGTTCCCAGCTCGTCCAAGAGTGGCATGCCATGGACGAAGGTATTCCCCCCCCCCTTTTTTTTTTGTAAACATTTCTTTCTCTTCATTTTTCCATGACTGAACTTCATTAGTTGTTCAACAAACACCAATCATTGCTGTACTCGGACCTAAAAGAGTCCGATCCAGACGCCAAGGCCAGCACCACGACAGTCATCTACGGCCACGACGCCAGCTCCTCGCTCAATCTGAAGACGTACACCAAGGGTCTCGACAGCCGGTGCGTCAAGGGGGGCAAACTGACCGCCATGGTGATTGGAGATGGAGGAGAGTCAAGCACTGTATCTGTCAAATGCCGGAATTACATGGATGGATAGTCTAAGGTTATATTTCTTTTTTCGATTATATATATCTAATATTATATATTTACTCTTGAAGAAGTATTCCAAAACCCATCAACCTCCCAGACAACCGGAGTGGTAAAATCCTCGTACCAGACTCCCCCCAAAGAAGAGGCCTTGACGTACCCGAAGCGGAAGTACTCCGGATCACTTTCCACGCGACGAGTCCAGTTCCAGGCCGGAACAAGGCCCGTCGCGGGGTCCCTGTAGGCCTGGAAGCGCTGGACGTCGTTGACCAGGACATTTAGCCCGTCTGCATCGGATGGGAGGGTGAGAGACGAGAAGTCAAAGAAAAGCGAGTGGTTCGAGAGCACGGTTGGGGCGGAGACGGCAGGTAGTAGACTGCCGAGCTGGCCGCCTTCAAGGAGCGCGCCGGGGGTCTGCAGGATACTGTCGTACCCCCATCTAGCGATACCGTTGACGAACATGCCGACCAGGATACCCTGGTAGAGCAGACAGGGGCGAGTCTGCATGGTTGTGCCCGGGAGGAAAAGCAGGGCCAGGATGTAATGGTGGATGCGCAGGTTCATGCTTGGGACCATAAGGAGGAGGAACAGGCCGGTCAGGAAGAGCCCATACAGACGCAGCATGGTGGGGAGCCGGCCCTCTGCGCGGAAGGCGAGCGCCTGCGTGATCACGATGAGAAGCAGGAAGGAGATGATGACGATCAGGGCCGGGATGGCGCCCGGCTGCTGCTGGATGTCGTGCGGGGTCAGACGCGAGATGGGGATGCGGTCAAAGGTGTCGCGGTTCAGGGCGGAGACCCAGCACCCGCCCAACCAGAGGACGGTCCGGTCCCAGACGGCCGTAAGGTCTGCGAGCGTGTGGCGCACGCAGAAGTGGTAGAGGACAAACCCGGCGAGGGCGGTGGGTAGGAAGCGGCCGAGGGCGAGGGAGACGACCTCGTCAAAGTCGGGCGAATACACGGGCTCCGAGACCAGGGCGACCTGGAAGAAGACTATGACGAAGATCGAGGCGTAAAAGGCCGCCGGCGAGGTGATGAACAGTGACAGCACAGTCGTCACCGCCAGCGAGAAGCCGAACAGCCACCACCGCAAGTCCTGGCAGCGGAGGTCTTCCCCATCCTCAGCCGTCCGCTCGAAAGTGAAGGAGAGGGGGAAGTTCGAATCAAACCCGATGCTGGTGATTCCATGTTCCGACACGGATTCGAACGCGCTCTGCTCGCCCGTCCGGCGGAGGATGCCACACCCGCCACTCGCATCCGACACGAGGCCTGCATGCAGCGCGGCAGGACAGATGGCCGAGTCGCCTCGATAGTAGTGGGAAGAGGGACCACCCCCGATCACCCGATGCCGATAGTTGACCTCCTCGTTTCCGACCGTATATGGCTCGAGCAGAATCGCCGCCGAGCATCCAGCCGGACAGCGAAAGGCAAACGCCTCGCCGTCGAACGGGCGACAGGCGTACCCATCCAGCCCGCAATCAGTAGCATTGTTCCTAACATTATTTAGATTCATGCCCTCTCTATACTCTGTATGACTGATTAAAAAGGTATTGCTTACCACACGTTACTGTAACACGACAGCCGTACAGGGGTCCCGTACCCATCCACCTGCAGACCAGTCACAGACCAGCGCAGGGCCAGAAAAAAAGCGATCCCCCAGGCAGCGACAGCAATAAATACCGCCGCAATCTTCGACGACCGTGAAGTTAGATATCGATTCACCAGCCGGTTGGGCGCAGTCTGCCATGCTGCGAACCACGGCTGGATGTGATGTTTGCGCGGGGGATATGGTCCGCGCAGCCACGCGAGGAAGCAGTTTGAGTTTCGACCAGATCTTCTTGATGCTGCGTATTCTCCTCCTCCTCCTCCTCCTCCTCCTCCTCCTTCTTCTCCAGTATGATGCGTGGCGTGTGTTGGTAGGAGGGGCTCGCGGTTGTCATTGTCACTGCCGACCGGGTCCGAACGAGCAGAGTCGAGGCTGGCGCGGAGAGGGGAAGACGCGTCGGCGCTCTGGAGGGGATAGCTATGCTCTGAGGGATCAAGCATTTTTAAATATCTCAGGCATGCTATTTTCTTCTCTCTTGTCGTCCTGGTATTGTCGTGTCCATGATGACTGGAGTAAATGTCTTACGTGGAGACTAGTTAACTACTAGATAGCGAGCGAATTAATCAACTCCTGAGGAATTCCAAACCCCAACTTCTACTGGAGGATGAAGAGTATTTATTGTTTCGTGTCCATGGTTACTCGGTAATCAATTCAATCCAGCCGGATTCCTCATTTTATCGATCCTAGAGTCAGTAGTCAATAGTTTGAGCGTATAGTGATGGCAGCGAGAGATATCAAAGTACATTTTGCTCGAAGTCGTCGCAGTGCTCGCAGTCCCTGTATGCGTCTTCTCCGACCGATCCTTGTCAAAGACCTGCTGCGCCGGCATTTTGTTGCGGTCAAAGGCGACGCCGTGGGTGAGGTGCTCGCTGGGCGAGGAAAGATCGTCTTTGATCTCAGTTGAATTCGAGTCGAGAAGGGCCTCTGAAAGAGTGAGATTGACTTGATTTGGTATTATGGCTTGTACCTACTTGTTGAAGGTTCTTTGCGAGAGAGATCCGACATGGCACTTGTATAGTAGTATAGTAAGTATTGAAGTATAGTAGCTAAGTATAGTAAGTATATAAGTGTTGAAGTATTTAGGTATAGGAAGGTAGCAGTATTAAGTACTATTCATATAGCTACTATCTTGTACTTACTACATTACACGTCACAACCGGACAAAGGAAGTAAACAATTTTGGCTAACTGAACGCTCAGGGTATTAAGCTGGAAGTCCGTCATTATGTATCGTAATGTTGTCTCATAGTTCTCCTCTCTCTCTCTCTCTCTGTCTGTCTCCCTCTCTAAACAGCAGAGCGTCCCCAGCGACGGCGAGAAGATCCCTCATGTCTCACACGGAAGACAAACCAGAGTCCCTAGATAGCTGTCAGTACTATATCTCGAGTGTCTTCTATAGACTGGGTACTCACCAGCAAAGCAGAAGCAAGCCACACGATCGCCGACAGGAAACTGAACGCCTCAGCGGTCTTCCAGCGCCCACAGGACGAGTTATTCGTGAACAGAGTCCAGCGGAAGACACCGCCGCAGTCGAACTTGTGGATGGCGTTGACAAGGATACCAAAGGCAGCGAACCAGGCAAAGGAGATGACGAGGTCAACTGGCATATGTCAGCAGGGTGTTTGGACAGTGTGGTGAATAAATCCTCAATTCATACATGGCCAGGAGAAGAAGCCCCAGGAAAAGGGTATAAGCCAGAGGAGTCCCAATAGAATGGACAAGCCGGCCACCACTTCTGTATAAATCCACCGCGCCTGTGGCCAGACGTTGCCGTGAGTAGTGAAATGGGCGAGGTACCAGCCGATCACGCCTGCGACGATCTAGAACGTGTCAGACTAATCAAGACCAAGAAGAAAAGAAAAAAGAGAAGAAACATACAGCCGCAAAGACAATCTGCGCGACGCGGAGGGCGATCGAGACGATGCGAGAGATGACAGGCATTTTTCGTTGTGGTAGTGAAGTTCTGTTTCAATATTCTTGTTCGGGTGCTTGCGTTCAGCTCTTGTGTCGATTCTGTTCGGCTCTGATTGTCTGTTCAGTCGATACTCGATAGAATCGACGACTTTATACCTCTCTCAGTCAACTAACGTGTGATTGCAGCCACCTGCGCACTTCTCAGGCTTTCCCGCCGCTTCTTGGCCTGATCGGCGGCGTCCGGTTTTTTGTTGCGATGAGCCTTTTTGCCTGCATCGGTGATTCGTTCCACGTCCATGTCCTACTGATATGCCTGGTATCTTTACTATAGCTCCATCTTTGAAATACTTAGGTATGCTCTTGAATATCTAGGAAATACATTCCTTCTACCGTTCGCCATGTCTATTCCCTAAGATGTCCTTATAGAACCATCTACTCTATAGACAGCGAACGCCGAGTTCGTGGAATCGAATCATGATACAGTTTATATACATGACGTCACCACCACATGACATTTGGGCGACTTCGAACCCAACAATGACGTCGACTATCAATAATTGATAGATGTTGAATAGCACTATTAATTATACTAATTCCTAGGTACACAGAACTATACGTCACTCCAGAAACCATGCAAACACCTTCCGGAAGACCGCCTTTGCCCCTGTCTCGATAACATCACCATGACAGGGAACCAACCGGTCAAAGTCCCAGGTTTCGATCCGCCGCATCGAGCGCGTGAAGGCGCCCCTGTCGGCCTTGGAGAGGATGTACCAGGCAAACCGCTGCTGCCAGACCGCCGCCCCCTGCGTCGACATCAACGGCGTCATCAGCCGGGTCCAGAGCCCCGCGCGTGCCCCCTCGCTCGTCCGCGAGTACTGCTCCCACGCCGGCAGGTTGAAGAGCAGGTCTGCCTCGATGACCGTCCGCGAAGGTTTATGCAGGAAGACCAGTTCGCGCGACCCATGGCCATACACGTATTCTGTCTCGAACTCGGCGTCGAACTCCTCGTCCACTTTCACAGTCTGGTGGGGATCGTTGTAGCTTTCTTTCCGGAACACATGCTTAAAGGGTGCTTCTTCCTTGAATTCCTCCCTCCCCTGTCTCTTCTCCCATAATCCCTCTGGCGCAATAATCTCGGCGTCAGGGTACGCCTTCTTCCACGCCCCCACGAGTAAATGGTGCTCCATGTCCGGCGCGGCGATGTACTTGACTCGTCCGCCCATCGAATCCACCGTCTCGCGTACCTGCGTCGTTAGTCCGACGGGGGAGAAGACGGCCAACGAGCCGGACTTCATTCGAACTACACACAAACAAATAAATTTTATCAGCTCAGACTTCTAGTTGTAGTGTTCTTTAATGCTACCTAATGTCCCCCGCCCGCCGAACTTGATCAGCCCGAAGCGCGCAAACGGGAGGCTCATCGTGATGATGTCTGGTGTCACGGACCGGATCACCATCACCTCGGCTGGATTCGAAGGGAAAAGCATTTTGTAGAGACAATTGTCGTGATAGTAGTGTACAGTAATAGAATGGTGGTGGTTAATGGGAATGGGGAGTTGGAATGAAAGAAATGGTAGTAACCGTGGTGAGGGAAAGTTTTTGTCGATGACGTGCAATTTATTCGAAACTTCCGTCTTGCTTCTATTTCAATCATCTCAAGTCCCGCTTGATTACTGATTCTGATTCATTCTCTGCCTCCATCTGAATCTAGAACAATCAGATGCTAGAATATAGTGCTGACATACAATGCATAACTAACTAGTTATTCACGACTATTCATTAATACGGAAGACTACCATGTGCTCATACGAGTCGCAACATAAATCATAATAATTCTATCTACACTGTACAGGGTATCTCTATCGGTCTTCTGCACTCCTGAAAGGCACAATCAGCCGTACCACCCCTGGCGCGTCGTCTCAGGCGGAGCTGCCTCGGCACGGTGCGGAATGACGGATTTCTTGATACCATAGACTTCGATCAGTTTTTCCCACGTTTCAAAGTCCAGGCTGAACACCGCTTGGTGTTTCTGGATGCCTTTTTTCTGTGCTTCGCTGGGTGCGTATGGCTTGGCGGCATCTATATAGTCAGTAGAGGGCCACGAGAGAAAAGAAAAAAAGAAGGAAAAGAACTTACGAATCGTTGGTAATCCCCTGCTGTCCGTCGCAATGCCCGCCAACCCGTCTCGCACCAGGAAACTCACGTAGAACATATTCTCCACGCTCTGCCCGAAGGACTCTGGGTCGAGACAGAAATGGAACAATGGCACCCCGCCGTCGTCGGCTACGCAGTGCTGCTCCATGACGTCCTGCACCACTTCTGCAGGTACATCTTCGGCCATCTGCGACATCTCGGCCTCGACCGCCTGCTGGCCCTGCAACTGCGTCTGCGAAAGGAGTTTGTTGATCTCCGCGCACATCTGCGTTAGATTCGACGTTTCCAACTTGTCGAGATCCTCTTCTCGCAGCTCCTGTGGCTTGACAGCCTGTGTCGGGTCGATGCGTTCGCGCGCCCGTCGCTGAGTCTGTTGCCGCGTACGCTTTTGTACCGACAGCGGGCCGAGTAGGAAGCCCGACACGCAAGGCCGGCCGTTGTGCGGGAAACACGCCGCCCGCCCCAGCCAGTCCCAGTTCATCGCGTCTCCCTGATCGTCCTCGCTGTCGTCTGGGTCACGTTGGGTGCCACCGGAGGGTCGGCCGTGGCGGCGCCGCTGTGTACCAGCCGGCCGTAGTGATGTAGAGGAGTCCGTAGAACCCTGCCGCATGAACGCAATGCACTTGGACACGAATTCGTCCACATCAATACCTGCCGCCGAGTCGCCTAGTGCTAGGTGCGCTGTCTTTTTGAACGACAGGTCGGCGGCCGACACCAATAGACGTGAGTCGATTGTCGCGTCCGACGTCTGTTTGACCTTATGGAAGTACTCGTTCGCCTTCTCCACCGTCTTGAGGATCCCATCGTTACCCTCCTGCATGTACTCCGAGCGTGAGTCTAAAACAAGTCGGTGGTCAGCAAGAGCTCTTTTGCAACAATCCTTCCTTCTTTCATAAAGAGCTTCATCTAGAATTACCATTCAGATCCCTCGAGAGATCTCTCAGCCCCCTCCGCACTTCCCTCCGTTCCTCCTGGTCCTGATCAGGATCAAAGTATCGACTTTCCCTCCTCCGCTGCGACTGGCTCCCGGGAGTCTGAGTCTGACTCCCTTGGTCGGTCAGTCGTCGTCGCTTATTCGACCTGTTTAATCTCGCAGTACTTGACGGGGGCGGCATCGCCTGAGCCTCGCTCCCCTTCGCGGCACGCGCCGCCTGGGATCTAGGCGTTGCCATGTTCTCCTTGTCCGAATGGGATGCTGATGGCGAGGGTATCGTATCTGTAGACTCTTGCGAATCTAAACTGTCCTCCTGGAGCAGTCGCGCGGGAGCAGGTCGCAGAGTGCGTGACATGCTGGGTTTTTTGGGCGTGGGCGTCCCCTCTTTCCCTTTGTTCAGCACGCGCAGCCTTGCACGAGAGGGGGGCAACGTAATTAGCTGAATGACTGGGGCGCAGATAAGCCAGGTACCTAACAATGAAAGAAGTAGATCCTGTTTACTGGTTAGGAAACAGCCCAGCAGGATCCAAAACTCTTTGTCGGACAGGGAGGTCGCCTCGCTGCATCGGGACCTGTTCTTCCCCCTCTCGAAGGATCCTGAAGCGCGTCGCAAAACGCTTAAGGAATCAGAGACGCGTATTGGTCACGTGACGCTCCCCACGTCATCCGTCGAGCGACCAACGCTCAATAATAATGATGATGATAACACCAGGATTCGCTCGTTCTCAAGTGCCTGTGTTGTTTTGCCGGCTAGCAGTGGCAAGGTGAGGAACGCCGCTCTGCCTGCCATTTTTATTATGGAATATTTTGGATAGGATACTACCTAATGATGGAGGCCTTTACCTTCGCCGTCTCCACGAGCGTGGACTTACCGATTAATGTGAAGATGTACGTGTGCCTATATAGTGTCTTGATTGTACAGCGATGGGTTCCATTGCTAATGGTGTTTTTGGTTGTTAGTGGTACATTAGAAGGGAAACAGAAACAGCTGCCCTTCTCGATGCTCCTGAAACATCCGGAGCTGCGGCATATGGGCTCCTCGCAGAACCCCATATCGGACCTGTTCGCGACGGTGCAGCTATGGTCGGACTCGAAGCCGCTGGGAGTGCCGATGCAGACCTCGTACAAAACCTTCAAGGCAGCTCGGTCGTGGAACGAATGGTTGGCGATGCCCATGTCGATCAAGGATGCGCCGTTGAAGTGCCAACTGGCCATCACAATCTGGGATCTGTCCCCCTTTGCCGGGCAGGGATTGGACGGGCACTACGTGCCGTTTGGCGGAACCACCATTTCCTTGTTTGATGACGAGGGGAAGCTGCGATCCGGAAGACAAAAGTGCAAGGTTTATCGCAACAAGGCTGCAGATGGCCTCTCGGTAACGACGACCCCTTCGAACCCGCCTCCGAAGCGACGGAAAACCAACGGTTCCGATGGCCTGGCTCCATCAATGGAGGAGCTCGAGTTGGAACGCGTGGAGATCTTGATCAAGAAGCACGAGATGGGCGAGATTCCCCGGATTGATTGGATGGATCAGCTGGTCTTCCGTCAGCTGGAGAAGCTCAAACTCAACGCCGAAGAGGCGGCTAGGAAACGCACTCTACGTATGAAGGCTGCCAAAAAGAAGGAAGGACAAACGAATGGCGTGGGTGGAAATGACTCGGATGAGGACCAGGCCGACGACGAGAACTTCATCCTCTACGTTGAGTTCCCCCGGTTTGATCACCCAGTCGTGTGGGCCGACCATGAATATCCCCCGCCTCCCATCTCATCGCATATCCAGACTGGGTCTGTTAACTCCAGTACTGCCCCCAAACCGCTACCAGAAGTTCGCCTCGGGCCAGGAATCGAGGGAGCTGATAGCATAGACTCCATGCGCATATACGACCCCGAAATTGGACAGACGGGCAATCCGTGCGAGGACAAACACAGACGGTTGATCCGCAGTCACCGCACCGGGATCATGGACCGAGACCTGAAACCGAACCCCAAGAATCGTGACGAGCTTAACTTGATTCTGTCATATGAACCCACGCAAGACCTCACCGCGGAAGAAAAGGATCTTATCTGGCGGTTCCGCTACTACCTTACACGTGAAAAGCGAGCGTTGACTAAATTCGTTAAATCAGTCAACTGGCGTGACGTCGGCGAGGCCCGCCAGGCGGTTGATATCCTCCCGAAATGGACCGAAATCGACGTTGACGATGCACTGGAGCTTCTAGGTCCCACGTTCGACAACGCGGCCGTCCGGTCGTATGCGGTAGAGCGCCTCCGAAAGGCCGACGATGAGGAGTTGCTGCTGTATCTGCTACAACTTGTTCAGGCTCTCAAGTATGAAGACAGCTCTGGCGGAAGTCCCGAGGAGGAGGGCGCGCCCGATTCCTCGCTGGCCAATTTCCTCATCTCCCGTGCCGCCAACAACTTCAAGCTGGGCAATTATCTGCACTGGTATTTGATGGTGGAGTGCGATGACTCCAGTCTGGGGACCCTCTCGGTCCAGCGGAGACTGTTCGCTCGAGTCGAATACTACTTTATGGTTGAGCTCGATCGGATCCATGCGGACCAGCGCAAGACCTTGCTGCGACAAGCTGAATTCGTTACCATCTTGTCCAAGATTGCCAAAGATATCCGTTTCTCCCGAGACACGCGACCGCTCAAGATTGAGAAGCTTAAGAAGTACCTGCGGGATCCTAAGAATGAAATGGTCACGATTGATCCGCCCCTACCTCTTCCACTGGACCCTGAGATCCTCATCAACGGCTGCATTCCCGAGGAAGCCAACGTTTTCAAGTCGTCGCTCTCTCCCTTGCACATCACCTTCAAGACCTCCGACGGCCGCAAGTACCCGATTCTGTTCAAGGTCGGCGACGATCTCCGCCAAGATCAGTTGGTGATCCAGATCATCACTCTGATGGACCGACTCCTACAAAAAGAAAATCTGGACCTAAAGCTGACGCCATATCGAATCCTGGCAACCAACTCGACCGCCGGGGCGATGCAGTTTATCCCCTCGACCTCCCTGTCGGCAGCGTCGGCCAAGTACAAATCCATTCTGGCGTACCTAAAGGCCAACAACCCAGACGAGAACGAGCCGTTGGGAGTGCGCAAGGAGGCAATGGACACGTACATAAAATCCTGCGCAGGCTACTGCGTTATCACGTATCTTTTGGGCGTGGGCGATCGGCACCTGGAGAACCTCCTTCTTGCGCCAGACGGGCACTTCTTTCACGCCGACTTTGGCTTCATCCTCGGCCGCGACCCGAAACCCTTCGCGCCCATGATGAAGCTCTGCAAGGAAATGGTCGAGGGCATGGGCGGCACCACCTCCCCGCACTATCTCCAGTTCAAGCAGTATTGCTTTACCGCGTACACCACGCTGCGCAAATCCGCCAACCTCATCCTCAACCTCTTCAGTCTCATGGTCGACGCCAACATTCCCGACATCCGCGTCGAGCCAGATAAGGCCGTCCTCAAGGTCAAGGAACGGTTCCATCTGGAGATGTCCGAGGAAGAAGCCATCCGCCATTTCGAACAGCTCATCGGCGATAGCGTCAACGCCATCTTTGGCGTCGTCATCGACCGCCTTCATGAATTCGTGCAGGGGTGGAGAGCATAGCATTATCTTTCTGGCGTTCAAGTGACTAGAGTTGGGAGATACCCAATGATTAGACGATATGTATATATGGCCCCTTATTGAAGTCCCCATTGTAGTTCTATCTCTTTTTTGATTTAGAGCAAATCCAGCATCATACACTCTCATCCGGGATGACTAGTTCTCGTCCCCAGCTCTTCGTCCAAGTGAAGCTGCAGGCTACTCCGCGGCTCGATCCAGCCGTACCCGATATCCAGGCTAGTTACGCGTCTTGAAGGCCGATCCCACCGTCTAGGCCATCGCCATCCATGGGAGTCAGATTTTTCAACGGCGTTTGCTGATCACCGTCTACGCCTTCTTCTCCTTCGGCTTCTACTTCAGCCCGTGAGGCCATCTCTTTTGCTGAATCCTCGTCATCTTCCGGACTACCTTCTCGACAGGCCCAAGTATCCACGAAACGAAGCACCTCGCGTCTCCACCAGCGTACCATCACCAGCAGACGGAACGGAACAAGAGCAATGATCAAGATCGGGAAGGCGGGTGCTCCGCGGGTCAGAGTAAGAATGAAGATCACCACCGTGATGGCGATCTGCAGGAGTGTGTAGAGGTGGATGGGAAGATATGAGGGGTTCGCAGGAGGATGGTCATCTGCGGCTCGCTCCTCAGACAGCCGCAGAGATGCCGGCAAAGCAGGCAGTTCGGAGGGTGGAGTGAGGATATAGAAGGTTCGATATAAAATTGGACTGTCGCCATTCTTAGCCGTTTCCTCTGTTTCCTTTCACTCCTTTCTCTTCCCCTGAAAAAAACTCACTTCACAGATAGACTTTGCTCGCCCATAAAGAGGAAGAGCCCAGCGAGCACGCTTGTCGGCGTCAACCCAAGGACTTTCATCAAAGGCGGGCTTAGAAAGGCAAGGATTGCCGCAGCATGCAAGAGGGACGACCATCGTTGCTCGTAGACTCGTCGGACCTTGCGGGCTTCAACTTTACTTTCCCCATCGACAACCACCGTGACCTGTTCGTGCTCTGTGTGCATCAAGGATTCGGAATGTAAAGGGGCCTGTGGCAGCAGCCCATTTGCAGGCGGAATCCCAAGAATACCGCACAGCGCCGTTGTAGTCCCTAGCAAGATGATGTCCCAGGCGAACCCACCCGGTTTCTGAGTGCCATAGCGGTCGATGGTGCAGATGATGGAGCTGACCTCATGATCGAAGAAGAAAAGAACGGTGATGATGATACCCGGTATAATGGCGGTAAAAATCCAACTAAGCGGGAGTTTCCAGAACTCGACGAAAAATATCTGCCGGTCTGGTGAAGTGGGCTTGAGGGAGGTACTCACGGCAAGGGTCATTTTATCCAATTGTGCCAGTTCCCCTACGTGCGGCAGGCCAATGAAAATAATTATTGAGATGGCCGCAGCATACTCGGTGAGACCGAGTCGGACATATCGATGGAAGAGGGGGCGCCAGCTCTCGGCTGTTGACAGGAAGATGGCGAGCAGCATTGTCCCGACGGCGCCTATCACCGCGTACAGAAAAGCTGCGAAGGATAGACTGTCGTGTGCTCGCTGCAATTCCTGGATGGCTTTATGAAAGTAGATGATGCTGTTGAGCAGAGAGAAAATCTCCGTCGCGAACGTCGTCACATAGCGCATGGTCCAGTCGTGGGCATTAACAATGGCCAACACGTAATGCAACCATGCAGCATGGATAAGAGACCAGGCCATGAAAGGGAGAAACGGTATCTGGGAGCTTTCTCGTAAACATCTTTCAACTGAGAAGACAAGCCATCGAGAATAAAGATGCCAACCTGGAAGACATCTTGGCAGAGAGAATATATATTCTCAGCCAACACGGAGAACGGACCCGTCACACCCAGGATGGTCAATGGCTGGATTGAAAAGCTGCCTCCATCTTAGCATAAATATGTCCCATGATTTTGATACAGGTAAATGCCAACGCAAACCCTACAGAGAAAAGATAGTCCCACAGAGACCTGTGCTCAACACGACCTCTATAGTACCCCAATTCTTGCCAGTCGAGACATATAAATCACTGGCAAAGGTGATCCCCGGCAGCAAGTTGGTGAAGAAAACATAGACGGCACTGGCAATTATTAATTGGTTGAAGACCTGCCAGTCGGATAACCATCGTCGACGCAGACCGAGTATATCCTGCTTTACCAGCCGGAAGGGACGTAGACGCCCGCCGGCAGACACAGAACCCCGCAACGCTCGCAGTGGCCTGCGCGGAGTATGTTTCGAGGGAGCGATGAGCACATCTACTCCTTGTTCTCCCTCTACCAATCTATCCCCTTCCTTGCCTCGTCGTCTGTGAGGAGATCGGTGGCGCAACGATGATCCGCGCATCGATGGTGGGCGAAATGCTGATATCAGTGACATGAGCGAGCATAATATTATCCCAGATAGAATATCAGCAACATGAACACTCACAAGATTGTGAGAAACACAATAACAACCAAGTGACGCTGTTGGACCTCATTAGGCCTCACTTGACGACGTCATTTATTCGGGCATATCCTCACCGCCTTATGTTCCGCTTTCGTTTCTATCGGATATTTTTTTCTAATTCGGATCTTGTTGTTGTTGTTGTTGTTGCTGAGCCCATCCTCGCCAGAGGGGTTTATAATGCCAATTACTATTGGTTTTCTGAAAACGGGTAAATAAGCAAAGATCATGTTCTGCAACCTCGTTTCGGACCGATACCTACATCTCTACCACGCGACAGCTGTTCCATGATGGCAGCCAGCTTCGTTCCACGCCATGTGTTCCCTCACTATGCCTCCGTCCCGAGGTCGTATTTTCTGGGTCACCATCGTGCAGGATTGAGGAAGATGAAGGAAATGCTGTCATCGATTGACTATGTCGTCGAGTGCCGCGATTTCAGAGCGCCCGTCACCTCGATCAATCCGATGTTTGAAGAGGCCTTGGGGGAAACAAGACGGCTGATTGTATATACCAAAAAAGACTTAGGCTGCCAGCCCGACTCGCCCGTGCGACTACAGGTATGTTGCGAAGATCTGCTATGGGACTTTCAAGATCAAGGACTAAAGCTTCCGCTGCAGATGGAAAAGAAAATCCGATCTTTCGACCAGCGTGGCGCCGTTTTCTTCGTGAGCTCCACATCTCGCCAAGACATGTCTCCGATCCTTAAGCATCTCCGGAACGATGCTCAGGGCCCAGATAAGCTAGTCGGTTGTCGTGTCATGGTGGTGGGCATGCCCAATGTGGGCAAATCGACCTTAATTAACAATCTGCGTAACCAAGGCGTGAAGCGCGCAAAGGCAGTGCAGACCGGAGGTCAGCCTGGCATCACCCGCAAAATCGGGACCCCGGTTAAGATCATCGAGAGGGAGAACGAGTCCCACGTCTATGTGCTCGACACCCCCGGTGTTTTCGTGCCTTTCGTGCCGGACGCAGAGAAGATGCTGAAATTAGCTCTCTGCGGCTGTGTGAAGGATGCCGTGGTGCCTCCTGTCACACTGGCGGATTATCTGCTCTACCACATCAATCTCCACAACGCCCAGGTATACGAGCGATGGTCAGAGCCCACGAATGAGGTTATGGCTCTCTTGAATCGATTCGCACGGCATGCTGGGCATCTCTCCAAAGGCGGTGTGCCGAATATCGACCTTGCAGCCCTCCACTTGATCCAGAAATGGCGAGCAGGAGACCTTGGTCGATTCCTCCTCGACGATCTGAGTGCCGAGGAGCAACGTCGACAGGAAGAAGGTCCAAGGGGAGCCGTGGTTATGAGTATGTCTCAGGCTTTGAAAGCGGACAAGAAGGCAAGGAAACAGCGGCCCATGGAGACTAAAAAGTAGATGAAGAGGTAGAATAGAAAGATGTTTACATTTCTTATTTTTTTTTTTCTCAAAAAAGAGAGCCCGGTGCTAAATAGAGATGAAAAATCACATGGATACCAACACTGAACGCCTGGAGTGGAAGTCAAGGAGGTTAAAGGAGAAAACAAAGACCATGATACCTACATTGCCCCCAACATCGTCATGGGAGGGGGGGCAAAGCTAGGAAATCTTGTCCAGGAGACGGCGTCTCCTGCGATCAACGAGCTCCTCTTGTACCTCGTCTAAAGTGGGAAGCCTCCATTCCACCCCGTCGCCGGCATCGCCAGGCAACGGCTCCCATCCATCCTCAGCATCCTCATCCGCTTTACCACGCAGATGTTCCAAGGCCTCTTTCTCCTTCTGCTTCTCGTATGCAAGCAACGTCCCATCCTCCTCGTCCAGCCCGTAGCCGAAATACGCGGCGTCGACTTTCTTCGTCGCAATGTCGCCGCCGCGGCCGACCCGGCCTTCTTCGTCCGCCTCTTCTCCCGGCCGCTTCGTCCGTCTCGCCGCCGCCTCAAACATCTCCTTCACCCCAGGCAGTTCCCGTGCCCGGCCGAAATAGCGGTACCCTTTACCCCCGCCGGGGATCTCCCGGCCTTCGTCGTCGTACACCCGTCCCGAACCACGCATGTAGTTCGGCCCGCCGAGGTTTCGGATCTGCATCTCCCACGTCCATTTCTCACGCATGAGCTTGTTGATCTCGTCGTTCAGATCGCGGATCTGGTAGTCGCTCAGGCTTGGGTCTTGGATCCGCGACACCTTGCGCGAGATCTCCTTCAGCACCTGGCCCCGCCATTTCTCACACAGTGGGATCGTCGTCACCGAGGTGATGGCCTTGGGCCGTCGAGTGCGGCCAATGTCGATGATGCCCAGATCCGCGGCTTGCTGGGCCCGGAATCGAAACAGCATCGACTGCGCCTTTTCGCTGTTCCGCGCCTGTAAAGCCGGGCTAGGTAAGCAGGGAGCATTTCCTTTGGCATTGAGCCATCCAAAACGGACTTCTCGAGGGTTAGACTGACCATGATGGATCGTGGCTTTCAGATTCAGGCCGTGAGTGGCAGGAAAACACTGACAACCAGGGAGGGGGCCGTTGGGGGAAACAGGACCCTGTGCAACGAGCCTTCAAGCTTCGTTGGACGTTGAAAGTGCTAGGCTTGGCGGACGCCAAGATCTTCTGCCAATTTGGTATCCACTCTTTGATAACCACCTATTTCTTACTACATGATTATGGTTACTACATAGGATGGGAAAAGGCATGATTTGAGGTTTTTTATGGTGTTGCTTGCATTAATCTGGTCGCTAATATTTGAGCAGACCATATATATACGGGAATCCCCCAAAGAGGGTCGGATAACCATACTGAGGACTAACTATCACCATGAACTTACTTGCCAACTACCAAATATAAATATCCCATGCCTCCGACTCGATATAAGCAAAGTCAAGACGCGAATTCTTATTAAACAATATGGCGAGCTCAGAAACACGGTCTTTGGAAAGAAAGACAAGCGAAAAGATAGAAAAATCCACGCAAACAGCCCACTGTATACTATGAAGAAAGGATACATAAATAAAAAAAAAATCAAGAAACAAACCAGTCATAAGCATCCAGACATATACACATGAAATAAAGACAGACTCGCCAGCAATCCCGTGTCCCTGTCGTGGCTGTCTTTCACATCCATCATCCCAAGTCGTCAAGAGTCATTGTAGTCACCCTGTCTTCAGGCCCTGCATTGAGTCAATCAAAATTTAGCGCCTGAATTCCAGCAATGTAGTTCTGGGCAGCAGGACAGAAATGTCCTGCGCCGTCGTGATTTGTCTTACAAGAATCCTTTTGTGTTGCTGGGCATCCGCTGCGGAATATCCGAGCTCATATAAGCACCGCTACCCCGACGGCTGCCAACGTCGCTGAATGCCGCCATGGGCCCACGGCCCACGGCGCTCCCTCGCTCAATCCGTAGGGCCTTCCAGCCATCCAGCTCCCGCTCCAATCTTAGGCCCTTTTCCCGTTCCTCACGGAGTTCGCGTTCCGCGCGGCGGACTTGGAACTGGTTCTCGGAGTCGGTTTGCTGGAGTTCTTCAATCTGGTGGAGCAAGCGGTCGATCTTGTCGCGAGCTTTGTTCACATCGTCATTCAACTGCGCGTTTGCCTTGTCACGGCGGTCGATCTGGGACTGGAGATCTTTTACGGTACGATCAACGTTTCGTAGAGACCGCTGTTCGGCGCTGTGCTTGGCTTCTTGGTCTTCAAGGTGCGTTTCGAGCTAGACAGACGAGTGGGTTTAGTAGACGGTACTTTGGTTGAATGGATGGGCGGGCAGAGTGTTGGTATTTACCTCCTTGATGCGCTTGTGCAAGAATCGCACATCTTGACTTCCAGACGAGTAGCTCTTCGTCTCCAGATCAACACACCGGAGCTGTGCCTCCTTCAGCTGCTTTTCTAGAGTTGCCTTCTCCTTGAAGAGGTGAGCGTTTGATTCCCGCTCAGCCGTAACCTCCTTTTGCATTTCCGTCACGAGAGCTTCGGCGCGCCGCATTTTGCCCACGGCAGCGGCAGAGACATCCTCATGCTGAGCCAGTTTCGACTTGAGCTCCAGAATTTCACGGTCCATGCTCGCAGCATTGCGCATGGCGGGGCTATCGCCCTTCGCGAGATCTTCCAGCCGTTCGCCGGCTTCGGTCAAGCGAGCCTCAAGCATCTTTTTCTCCTTGAGAAGCATGTCGCGTTCTCCCGACATATCATCCACAGAAGTCCGCAGGCTTCGCACCTGTGACAAAAGGGATACAACACGGCTTTGAGCTTCGTTATGGGCGCTGACGGCTTCGTCACGTAGTGTCGTCACATCCTGCAGTGTGATCTCCATCCGCGCCTTTTCTTTGGCCCAGGTCGAACTGTTGAGGACCTCGTTGTCCCACTTGGCGCGCAGATCCTCGAGTTCTTCACGTAGACGGGTGTTTTCTTCACGGACGTTGAGGATTTTTTCGCGCTCCATCTCCAGCTCGGAGTTGAGCGTCTGGAACTCTCTCTGGTACTTCTTCCGAGTCTGTTCCATAGAGGTCTCTTTATCCTCGAGGTCTATCGCGCGTTGGTTCCGGTAATCCTCCAGTTCATGTTGTAAACGTTGCTTCGTCTGGATAGCTCCCTGGAGCTCAGCGGCTTGATCTTCCATTCTGGCCTCCAATGACTGAGTCTGGCGCTGAAGGTCCTCAACCATGGCCTCCATTTGCTTGCGTTCAGCTATGATTTGCGCATAGGTTTCCTCTGCCTCCTGAGACTGAGACTTGGCAAACTGCTCAGCCCTCGACGCTTTCAAAACAGCAATCTCTGCCTGTTCTAATTTGCTGAAATACTCGTCCGCGCGACTCTTGTACAAGCTGAGACTGGAAGCCAAATCGGCAGATTTTGAACTCTCCGCATCCAGGCGGATTTGCAGGTCTGAGAATTCTTGAAGAAGCTGGTTTCTGCTGATGACGTCCTGTTCCCGGGCCAACTGTAGTTCTTGAAGCTCCGAATTTGCGTCCCGAAGTTCCACTTCGAGTGCAGCCTTGTTGCGTTTGAGCTTTTCAAAGTGAGACTTTGCTTCACCGAAGTCGGCCATGGCGTCGTTGTGCACTTTGAGGAGGGATCTCCTGGACTGCTCTTGAGAATTGATCAGTTCGTAGAGTTCCTCGTGCGATTTTGCCTGCACATCGCGCAACGAGAGTTCGCCAGAGCGTATGCTTTTTTCCAGGGCAGAGACTTTCTTGGTGGAATCATCAAGTTGCTCGTGCAACCGGCCGTTCTCCCGCTCCAACAACTGCATTCGTCGGACCGAAGGGCTGTCGTCTTGCCACATATCGCGAGGTGGTGCCGCGCGTTCGAGCTGGCTTTGTAGGTGCTTGTTTTGCATCTCGCTCATCTGCAATTTGTTTTCAAGCTCCTCAATCTCTGCGGCAAAGTCCATTTTCTTCTGGAACGCAACGGTATCCACAGTTCTATCGGATCTGGCAGAGTCGTTGGCGCCATCATTGATGTTGTACCTCCGGTTAGGGGTGGTTGGGGTGGTGAACTTTTTCATGCCATTTTCGGAGTTCTTTCTCAAATGCGTTGGCGTGCGGTTACCTGGGATTTGATTCTGGTCGATCTCTTCAAGCAAAGCGCGCTTTGACAAAGAGTAGCGAGCATCGAGATCCTTCATTTCATCCTCGTGTCGACGACGCATTTCGGCAAGCTGACTTTCAGCCCTAGCATACTTTTCCTCGCTCACTTGAAGTTTGCTCTGTACTGATTCGAGCATCTGCGCAAGGTCCACCTTCTTTGATAGATCTGGGCGAATCGCATCCCATGATTTGGGAACCTCTTTGGCTTCAGGCTCGAAAACCTTATGTAACAACATCAGTTGCCGATGCAAATCTTCAATTTCCTTGTTCGACTGATCCAGGGTAGTCTGAAGCTTCCGTGTATTGGCTTGCGCTTGAGTTCGGAGCTGTCTCTCGGTTTCCAGATTTCGGTTGGCTTCCGCCAACTGGATGCTAGCCGTGGAGGCCGCCTTCTCAGCGTTGCGGCTCGCCTTGTGTTCCCGTGCAACCTCATGATTCAAATCCTCCATTGTGAGTGACAATTTTTCCTTCTGCTTCTCCAAAGAGGTTATGGAAAGTTGTGCGTCTCCGAGCTGACGGGCCATCTTCTTGTTCTCCTCTTCTAGCTTAGTCTTCTCTTTCTGAAGAGTTGTCACGCGAAGTCGCTGGTTCTCGCTGGCTCTGGAGGTCGTTCGAGCAATGTCAAGGTTCTTTTGTTGGATCTTTGTGAGAAGAGCCCTATTGTCGTTCTCCGAAGCTGTGAGTCTGCCTTTCAGCGTGACCAGTTCTCTCTCGAGGCGTTCCTTATGCTGGTCATGACGAATGCGGAACGCGTCCGAGTCTGCAATGACCTGAGAGAGATCCTGTACTTGGCTAGCGAGGCGTGTCCTTTCAGCTTCAGCTTCATCCAGCTGGTGAGACTTGACGTCTAGGTCTTTCCGCATGCTAATGAGGCGTTCTTCGGCCTGCTTCATAATCGTTTTCTCGATCTGGGCTTCGGCACTCATTCGAGCGTCTTCGACCTTGGTGAAACGCTCGCGGAGCTTAATGAGCTCCCCTTGCAGATCTTTACGGGCTTCCTCAGCAGCGACACGAGCTTCAGTAGCACGACGAAGAGTATCTTGTTGAATATACATCTCCTTTTCGATGATGATCTTCGACTCATTGAGAGACTTATATTTGTCCGTCAAATCAGCAAGGTTATGTTCCGCAAGCATTTGAACGTCGTCTCTGGACTGCCTTTCACGGCTAAGATCCCTCTGGGCTTGAACGAGCTGTTCCTTGAGGTCGCGGATCTGTTGCTCCAGCAGTTTTCTGCTCTCCCCAGCCTCCGCATCTTCGGATATCTTCTCTTCCAGAAGTCTCTTCACGTCATTAATCTCGCGTTCCAATTGCGACTTTTCGAGCCTCAGGGTGTCTGTTTCCGTCTGTGCTTCTCGAAGGCGAATTTGCACATTCTCATGACGTGTTGACAGCGATGCTTTGTCGTTTTCCAAATGCCGCTTTTCCTCCTCGTGTCTCTTGGTGTCATTTCGTAAGATAACAAGCTCACTTTCTTTGCGTCTGAGCATCTCTTCATAACCAGTGGAGGTGGAGGATAGATCGGAGATCTGCTGGCGAATTGATCGATTTTCCTCCAACAAGTCTCGGACTTGTTTTTTGGATTTGTCGAGCTCTTTGGAGGTGGTGGCGAGCTTAACATCAAGATCCTGATCGGTCTTCAGCAGTTTGGCTTCAAGGTCCCGCAGTTTACGTTCCTTCAAGTTGAGGTGACTCTGAAGCATTTTAATCTCCTGGTCCAGATTCTCAACCTGCAATTCCTTCTCTTGAAGGGTTATTTGTGTCTGCTGGGCCCTCGAATCCAGTTCGTCGAGGCGTGATTGCAAATGCTGCTTTTCAGCCTCAAGTCGCTGGATGATTTCACCAGCTTGCTCTAGCTGAGTCCGGCGCAGATCCAACTGCTCATCTGCCTTTTTCTTGGCCGCGACCAGCTCATCTAACTGGTCTTCAAGGCTTTCCTGATCAGCGATTGCTCCTGCGAGTTTCTCACTGAGCTCGACCTCCCGATTCTGGAGTCTCTTGAAAATTTCCTCCTTGTCCAGGGCTAGAGCACGCTCGCTCTCTAGTGTTTGTTTAATACGCTGAATTTCGATCTCCGTTCGTCGCCTCTCCTCATCGAATCGCTGACGATCAGCCAGTTGTTGCTTCATCTTGTCCTCTAACTTCTGGATTTTCTCGTCGCGCTTCTTCACCTCGTTTGCAGTCCTGGTCTCTCCGAGAAGAGGCTTCATCTTCGAGAACAAGCGCCACCAGGGATTTGCTTTCATATCCAGGTAAACGTGGAAGTTTTGCTGGATGATTCGAGTGGCTTCCGCACGATAAAGACGTTTGTTTGAGATCCGCCGTTGAACGAAACCCCGGGCCAGCGATTGAAACCGAGTCATGATCTCCCTGATCAGCTTATCACGCTTCTCCTCTAGCTCGGCTAGGACGCCGGCTCTGAAGAAGACCTTTGTGAGACCGACACGGTACCATGCTTTATCCAGACCCAACTTGTCAAGCATCATTCTTGCCGCATTTTGTCCATCCAAGTATCCTTTCGGAAGGTTCTGACAGAGTACCTCGTAGCGCTGGCGGAATTCTGAGAAGGGGAGCCTGTTTGGGAACCCAGTACGAGCGATTCTGATACCCTCGAGGACACCGTTGCAGCGCAGTTGATCAAGCACGAGGGGTCCGTTGAATAACTTGGCACGCTTCTTGTGATTCGGTATAATACAGCGGACAAAATGAGGATGCGTGGAGTGTAGTTGAGACATTAGGCTTGAGAGGTTTTCTTTGTGTCGTTGAGCAACAGTTCGGAAAAGTCCCTTCTTCACGCGGCTCTTGGGATAATCGACACCTTCATCAGTGTCTCCGCAGTCTGCAAAGAGATTAGCCACATGGCTATCCTTCGAGGAAGCCAGCAGGCGCGTTATATTGTCATTGAGTGGATCTTTGTTCTTCTCAAGCCAATCCTTTGTTGTATATTCGACTTCGGCGGCGTAATGCGTTAGAACAAAGCCTTGACTTAAGCGCGCAGCTCGATATTTTGGTGATTTCCTATCCCAAAGCGAGTGGAGCTTCTCTGTGAACGATTTGTCCGTCGCTTTGGGCATGACACAATCTTCATCAAGACAGGAGAAAATGCCGATTGGGTTTGTCAACTCGATCAAGTCAATTGTCGGCTGCAGATCTTTCCCAAAGTCGATGAACTGCCACTCAATCTGTTCCCTGGCGTATTCCTCTTGCTCCAAAACGAACATGTGGTGATTGAAAAACTGTTGGAGCTTCTCATTGGTGTAGTTAATGCACAGCTGTTCGAAGCTATTGTTTTCGAAGATTTCAAAGCCCGCAATATCCAAGACACCAATAAAGAAGCTGTCCTCACCAGCCATGGTGCTTCGATCCAGCTGGTCATTGAGTCTGCTGACAAGACTGCCGAAACCACGCTCGTAGATTCCCTTTGCCAGGGCATCCAGCGCTAATCTGACCTGCTCCGGGGTTTGAACCTTTTCAACCCACTCCCGACCGGCCTTTACTTTGGGGTGGAGCAGGCCTTTAACGAATGGCTCTGGAGCTATTCCAAGGAGCTGGCAGGCTCTTTCCAAACTGCCTTGAGCGTCCGGCGCCAAAGCAGCCTGGTCTCCACGACGACTTTCCTTGATGATGCCGATGTTACCCAAGTGTAGGACCGCCGCAACGGTTCGCAGGATGCCCATTTGGTCCTCCTCGGAAAACTTCATCACGTGGAATGCCTCGATCAACGAGTTCCATTCGTCCACGTCGGACACCCCAGCGATGCGATCATTTCCATCTCGGGTATAGGCAAAGTCCTCGATCTGCAGGTTGGAGAGAAGCAGACTTGAGCGCAATTTGGCATCTGCACCCTGTAGAAGCTGATAGAAGATATGGTAGTTCCGTTCCTGCGGATTTGGCTTTACGACTCGAGACTTCTCGAGCAAATACCAATCAATCGAGGCTCCAGATATCTGGCCAGAGCGGGAGAACTCGATTCGAATAAACTTTCCGAAGCGAGACGAATTGTTGTTCCGGACGGTCTGCGCGTTACCAAACGCTTCTAGAATGGGGTTGGCTCTCAGAATCTGCTGTGAAAGAGTCGACAGCTGCTTCGTGCCTGAGCGAGCGTATGGCGTATCGGTTGTGGCCACTGCAGCCAGGTATTGAATCACTTTCTTAGTGTTCTCGGTTTTGCCTGCTCCTGACTCTCCTGTGACCAGAATACTTTGGTTCTCGCCTTCTTCAACCAAATTGCGGAATGCTTGGTCTGCCATGGCAAAAATGTGTGGCCGTGTCTCTTCCCGACTTTGCCCCTTGTACATCTTAATGTATTCATTCGTGTAGATAGGAAGTGGGCAGTAGGGGTTGACCGTCACCAAGAACAAGCCCGAGTATGTCTACACGCACGGTTAACACCTTTTCGCAATTCCGCGCGCCGCTTAAGTCGGAGAAGCACTCACGTATATCAAGTCCGACTGATACCTAGTCTGTAGATTATGCACGACCGAGCCTTCGTTCAGATGTGTGAGTTCGGCCATATCGTCGGCTTTGTCAAACTTGGCCGGATTGACCTTATCGACCTGTTCCACGTCGACTTCTCGTTGCTATACACCAGTGTCAGTAAGCGATATATCTCCAGGTTCATCAGAGGGCAATACATTTCCGTCATCAGAGCGGACAAGCAGCTTTCCGCCCTCCATTTCCTCGACCACTAAGCCTCGCACGAAGGCCTTCTCAGGGTCTCGCAGCCACACATACTTGTTCCCCGAAAAGTCGTTCTCACCCTCGATCCCCCGGATCTCGGCAGCCCCTCGGCGTAGCTCTTCCGACTTGATAAACTCTGGTGCAAACGTCCCAGACGTCCCGTTATTCCTGGAGTTCGATCGTTCGCGTGTGCCGGGCGCCGAGAGGAGCGTTGGAGAAAGTTGCGAAACTGAGGAATTTCGAAAATGAGCTTTCGCCCCTTCCGTTCTTCCGGGAGATGTCATGATGGCGGACTTCGGTCGTGCCTGCCTTGTCTGAAGCCCGGGTGACGGCGACATCGAGCGCCCAAACGGGTTGGCTCGTTTTGGCGAGCCATTTATCTGAGATGGCAACATTCCTTCCTTTCCTAGAGCTCAGACCGAGTTCATCACCGCGATGGAGAACTATTTGATGGCTAATTATGCAGGGTCCTTGCAGACGTAATATGCCGGAACCAGAAGACGACAGCGGCAGCGAAGCTGGCGTTAACAGTGGCGAAAGGTAATTGAGAAGACAATAGAGAACAAAACAGCACGGAGAAAGGACACAGAAAAGGAATACACTCCAAAGACAGCAGGCTATCTCGTCATCAGATCGTTGGATTGTTGGTTTGATGAGGACTGAACAGACTCCCAGCTCCCACCTGTTTGTTTACATCTCCCCGTTCCTCAGGCTGCGGGAACTGGTCCGTGCACACACTAGTCCAGATACGACCAGGGATCTAGAGTCACATGACTCCTGGCTTGGCGCCGGCGCAACCGAAACTTGAATCCGGAATTTGTTCGCTGTCGATCACAGTTGCTTCGAGTGTTGTCCTTTGCTTCTCTAGCCTGAGCAGGAAGCGTCCACCGACCAGGCAGACTTCTACTGGGCCTCTTACCATTTGTATTTTTGCTACGCGTCCTATTTGATTTCACTTGTGTATTTCTCGCGACGTTAATACCGCAGAAAACCCTGCCTGATTTCCCTCGCTATTCCCCCCCGTCTACAACAGTATTTTCTCTCTACGGTGTCTAGTACGAATATGCCTGGAACAGCTGTGATGATCGGTCGCCAACTGTTTTGATAGTTTTCAGGAATTCAGTGTCCTCTCCAGTATTTTCCACAGATTCCCTCACCGCGATGTCCAACTATCCCCCATCGCCCTCCTTCGGGGCCCCGTTTAATTACACCCCGTGGCCTTCACACTACCCTCCAACACCAGGATCGAACCTGGGGCCTCAGAACCTGGCGTTTCCATCGGATTATTCAAACCCAGCCCAGCAGCCACGAATGAACGTCAACCTGCCTGACTATAATAATATGGGCGGTTTCAACGCAAATGCGCGAATACCGTTGCCTGGTCTAGGAGCAGCTCAGCATGCGCCGGCACCGTTTCTCCCACCAGGATTCGCTATGATGAATCAACTAAATCCATCTCAACTACCACCTCCTCCATTCCCTCCTGTCCCAGTACCCTCAGTCAGATACCCGCCAATGCCGCCGCCTGTTCCCCCTATTCAGAGCCAGCAGCAACCTATGTACCACCCAAATATTCCTACCTCTAAGAACAGCCACCCGACAAACGTGTCTGAGATAGAGAAGCTTCGCGCCCCGATAGTTGTCGAGGATCGTGAGGAAGGGGAGTTGAGTGACGGAGAGGAAAGCGCGTCGTGTCAGAAACCCGGCAGTCGCAATCGTTCCTCCCTCCCCGCCGCGTCGCAGCAGTTGAAGGATCTCGGCAGCACCAGAAAATCAGGATCTACCCAACATTCTAATGCTCAGGGAACTTCGGGCCCCGCACTGCCTTCACATATGCCCTCTGAGAGTGAGACGGATTCTGAAGATGAAGGCAAGGCTTCATCTTCTGAAATTGGGTCCCGGGACAGAGACAGCAGCTCCCGTAATTATCCTTCTCTGCGACTCGAACCTGATTTAGCTTTTGCTAACCAATCATAGCGTATAACCCCCCTGTTTCAGTAGCCCTGGATTCGCCGGTTGTAGTTGCGACCGCTGTGTCAGAGGCCCCCAGTACGTCAAAATCGCCGTCTGGTGGTCGGCTTCCCCACGCTTCTTCAACCCCCCTCTCAGAACCTACCAAATCGCATGCGCAGCTCCGCGTTCAAGCACAGGGTGCTCTCTTGAGCCTAGCGCCTCATAATATTCGATATACAGAGCTCGTCCAGGAAGGGATTAATCCAGTTGTTCTTAAACGACTTTACGAGGAGGTCGGGATAAAAGTCGCGTCACCACAATCGCCCACAGACTTGGACAAGGACAATGTCAGCTTGGGGTCTGATATATCTGTGACTCCGATTCAGAAACCTGACGTGGACTCAAATCAGTCTCTTGCTCTGTCAGACGAACCAGTTTCGATTCCCGTCCTCTCCGAGAATTTGACATCTGAAAAGGCCAAAATGGCCAAAGAGATTACCCCAGCGCTCCCACAACCCGATTCACAAACAACCACCAATAAGCCGTTGGAGAGGAAAGAAGTCATTGCACGTATGCTCGCAGCAAAAGCAGCAAAGGCCTCAGCCCCATCCCCTGCTCCCGTCAAGACACTCGTCCAACTTGAAACAACCACTAAACCACCTCCAGCTGGACCTGAACCGGATGAAAGGCTTGTTTCGATAACCCCCTCAACTGCTACTTCGGCCAAAGACGTAAGCGTGAAAGAAAAAAACAAAGCCCAGACAGAGCTGGCCCGGCAAAGGATTGAACAGTTGAAGAAACAAGGGCTTATGAGAAGTCAGCAAAAGACTCAGGTAGAGGTTGCCCCTCAAAACCAGTTGCCTGAGTTGAGCGAGAGTTTGCAAGTTGTCGACCAGGCATTCACCCCGTCTCCATTCCAGCATCCTCTCCCTAGCCGCCCGCCCGAACCAGGGTCTTTTTTCGGACATATCCCTGGGTTATCTATGATGCACTCACAGCAGCAGTCTTCGTCTCAAGAACCGGCATCCAGGCAAGAAGAGGTATTCGCTGCTGAACTAGCAACTCAAACCCGATCCACACACCGCAAACGCCCAATCGCGTCTGACTTTGATGAATCGTCCATCATTCCAAAGCGCCCTTTCGGCCAGTCTGATGATGACAGGACTTCCGATGAAAAGCTCATTATCGACATTAGCGATGACGAGAATCTGTATGGCGATGATGAGGATGGACTGGACCTTGAAAGCTCCACGAATCGCATATTTTCTGATGATAGAGTTCCAAATGGTCCCCAATTTGCCCTTCGAAGCCAAGCTGCGTCGACAGATTTCTCGCTCGGCAGATCCGCAGGATTGAGTCATGCACGACCTTCAGCCTCTTCAACCCCCCAGACGCCGTTTAGAAATAGTGATCATGAAGATCTACGTCGGAAAGATCTGGAGATTCAGGCGATGCGCCGACGTATCGCTGAGATGGAGCAACGAAGGAAAGCCAAATTGGCTGCAAGCCGAACAAAATCACCCGGGCCTCTGGACTCATCTACTTCGCCGTCAGGAACGTCCTCTCCGAGCGATGTTCAGTCTGTGAAGAGCTCGGGATTGTCGCCTGCCGAGCTATCTACCAGTCTGCCGATACTTGGACGCAAGACTCCCTTAAATTTAGCTTCAGCAGATTTCTTGCGGCTGGAAGCCTTGCGCTCAAAGCTTCAACGAAAGAAGGAGATAGAACTTGGCCTTCCCGATCTAGACGCCGAGATTCTCAAATCTGAAGAGAAACTGGCTGAATGCAGGATAGACGAAAACAATTTGCTCAGAGAAATAACGAAAGGCAAGCAAGGCAGACAGCAACTTCTCCAAGAACTGGAATCCTTGGACACAGAGGTTGATGGGGTAACATTTGACGACATTGATGCGGCTGAAACCCAGATAAGGAACGAAGATGTTTCCCAATTAGTTGAAGAGGGTAAGTCTTGACTGTTTTCTAATTCGAACTATTTTCTGGAAAGAGGGTTTTCCAGCGACAGCTCAGCTGGATTGACACTTCTCCATGCTTACACCATGCTAGCTCCTAACCCGGTTCCTTTGGTATCCCCAGATAGCGAAGATGTTACCATTCCGGATGCGCCTAATCTCGAGGACACTCCAGAGGAAATAGCGGTTGTCATCCCAAACCCAAACGGCATATCTGAATCAGGTCTTCCGGCAGATTCTGTTATTCCAGCGTCTTGGGCTTCCATCGAGCCTGAGTTGGATGCACCTGTTGATGCTGAAGTGATACCTACAGTAACCGAGTCAGGATTCAATGCATCCCCTACCCTTTCTGAATCATCTGGTTCAGCAATGGATGAGTCAAGTGATTCGAGCAGGAGTACTCGTTCGCCATCTGTTGATCAGCAACCTTCGCGTCAAATATCCGCAGCCGCAGCGACAGCCACCACATCTCCGGAAACAGCCCAAACCGAGGCTATTGACAATGTTCCAAAAGCTGATCATCTTGGTCCCATGCTTGTCCCGAGCCCTGAACTTACTAGGAATGTAGTCCCAGAGCCTGAAGCGCAACAGTCTGAGCTCGATGTTGAGAGATTGCAGTCTTCCCGCGAGTCATCAGTGGCCTCCGAAGCTTACGAGCCTCCAGAGCCCGAGGTGGCATCAGAATGTGGTGATGGTGTTGATACTCCTCCCTTCAGCCCCGCGCCTCCTGAACCTATAGAGCCTATGGAAATTTCCATACCCTCAGACACCATTACTACCGCTGACTCGCCGCTAATGGGGACGGTCCAGGAACCTGATCTTGATCAAAACCAAGCCTCCCATTCTTATATTCTTGAAGTACGACCCTAGACCAGAGGGTTCAGGGAAGAAAGCTGATCATCGTTTCTTTATTTAGGATGAGTGGCCATCAGAGCAACCAAAGGCAGCTTTCTCTCCCTATAGGAGCCCCTTGAAGATGTTCAGAGCCTACCGCTACCACCCTAACTTTTCTCAAAATGTCTCTGGGGGCTACCGTTCTCTGACATACAGCCATAACATTGACCCCATGAGATCCCTCTGTCCCTACGAGGCCGATGGTGGCGTATGCAATGACCACTCATGCGAATTCCAGCATTTTCGTGATATAACTCTCAGCGGTGCGTCGACAGCTTCAGAGCACACATAATTCTCTCCTTTTCTCTCTCTCTCTCTCTTTTCATCACATTTCTGCTGGCTTCTCTTCCCTATCCTTTTGACTAACTATTCTAATACCCCTTTGGTTAATTCCTCTCTCCTGTTGTTTTGCCTGTGACGCTGTGTTCCTAGCGCTTCCCTCGATAGCCTCCCTTTGATTACCCTGGACCGCGCAAGTGCTGACAGGTAGTTATATTAACCCGTCACAGATGACAAAATTTTGGTCCAAATGGGCTCTCTTCGAGAGGGCAAAACGCCTGAAGAGAAAGACGACTATATCACCGGGCTGAAGCAGATCATCAACGATATGCGGCGCGACAAAGTCAAGGATTTCAACACTGTGGCGACAGAGATAGCCGCCTACCGTAGACGTTTTCTTCAAGACGCGTCGCGTATCCTCCCCCTGTAACAACACCGCAGCCATCTTCTCCTATTCCAATCATCCCCCTTCGATATCTCCCACAAACCGTTACAAAGGTGAGCCACTGCATTGCCGTCATTTGAACGTGCCAAAAACAAGACCACCAAGTGCAAGGTGTCGCGCCACAGGCTTGCGATCCCAAGACAGGTTCTCACTGGAATACACTTGTCTCCTCTGTTCCCTTGTGCCATCCCCTTGTTTTCTTCCTTCTTCTTTTTCTATTTAATCTCCCTGGTACATACTTTCATCTTCTTGTGCTACATAAGGGATATTCCTTCTTCGCCATGCGAAGTTGTCTCTCCCACCGAAGGGTTGATCTATTATTGCTGCGTGGCATGAGGATCAATGAGGGAGGAAAGGCTTCTGGAAGGATACATATATACGGCTTTCGCAAGCATTGGAGCGTAAGAAGATGCCAAACTTGCCCCTTCCCGCAGCAGAGACAACTTTTTAAGAGTCGATGACCATCGAATCTTCTGCTCATTCCGCCCGCCAGGTCCGATCTGGTGATACTTATGATACCGCAAATGGAAAATATATGGTTATTCTATCCTACTGCAGGGCTTTTCTATTGTAGTTTCAACTCGTTTGATAGACAATGCAAATATTATCCTAGATACTGTTTATCCAAATCTCCTTGAATACAGATACTAGAGACCAGTCTGCAACCAGCTTTACTGATCCAACAAGTCGGGCGCACCAGACGCCCGGTAACCACTGAGTAGTTACGTACTAGGTACCTAGGTACTGATTATTCTCTGCGCCCCGTACCCACAATCCATACCATTAAATATCTCAGTGCCTCATAGACAGAGATCAGAACCTCGACACTCCTTTGCTAGTTAGTCTCGCAGAGGCTCGGCCACAGCCCCAATGGAAACAACCACATTTTAGTTTGTGAGTCACATTGGCATAGCGAAGGCCGGGGGGTGGTCTGTTGTTCCCTCGTGCCTCATATTCCATTGTCCTTAACAGAAAAAAAGCAGGGCGTAGGAAAATAATCCGAAAAAAAAAAAAAGAAGGCAACGGACAAGCCACCGCCGAGTTTCAGTAGTGCTTACTCGTGGGAGCCATCTGACATCACCAGTAGGAAGGAGTATTGACGGAAGAAAGTTTAGAGGGGGAAAAGGGGCTTAAAGTGAAAGAGGAAGAATAATGGTAATGATCAAAACTTCACAGGGGTTAAGATTCATTCTATCCCATCTCTTCTTCCTTCGTGGGCGTCCAGCGCGGGCACTGGCATAGCCACGCACCCGTTGCCTTATTTTCTTCATTAGCACCCAACTTCGACCAGTTTTCTCTAGGTATTTTTCATTGCTTAGGTTTACCTAAAATATCTAAACAAGAGGCTCAGCAGAGAGCCAAAGGAAAGAAGACTTGGAGCTGAAAAGCAGAGAGAAAACCCCCCCCCCCCCCCGCCAGTTCAATATGGCAGGGAGCGATGCCCACGTTCCAAATGGCGGTGAATCCGTCCCTGCTTGCCTTAGTCATCATCCTGGCCAGGGCCTCAGGTCCTCAGCTTGCGGCTCTCTCTTTACCTTACAGCGCCACTCCCTTTTGATTGGGGCTCCCCTTTTACTGATTATCCTGACGTCGGCCCAAAGATCACTACAATACCTTATTAAATAACAACCCACGCAGGTCAGGGGGGAAGTGGGAAAGACAAAAAAAAATTACACAGTGTATTAAAAGTGGAAGACTCCGAAATTTTTCTGACTCTGAATCTTGACGAGGCTCTACGGAGGACTCCGTACCTCGCATTCCAGGCATCCAAAACTCTCCTCCCGCGATGATTGTCCTGCTCCAAGCCAATGGACAGATCTGCTTTGAGCCTCCTCAGGGTCTTTCTCGTCGGATCAGTCCGAGCCATTGACCTATAGTATTTACGTAGGCAGCAATCTCCACCACCCGTCGTGGGACTGGCCGAATGACGACATTGGACGTTTTTTTTCCCTTTCCTTTTTCTTTTTTATTGCGCGAGGCATACTGGAAAGATACAACCAAATTCAATTCATGACAACTAGTCTATTCTGCTGTTAAATGATTCCAGCTATTTGATTTAACTATAGATATATGATTTCACGCCAACAATGTTGTTTAAAAACCCGAGAAAGGCCAGCCCATGAGGAAAATGAAGAGAAAAGAAGAAGAAAAGGAAAGGAAAGAAAAGAAAAGAATCGAAAAGAAAAGGAAAGGAAAGGAAAGGAAAGGAAAGGAAAGAAAAGAAAATAAGAGAAAAGATAAGGAAAAAAAAAACAGAACATCATTAATGAGTCATATACTGAAATCCAGGGCCTGCCCTTGATTCATGTCCCGAAAATGCAATCATGATATCCAAACCCAACTCCTCGCTGTTCTGTCCAACGCAATGCCGTCAATTTCGAAATTTGAATGACTGTACGACGCAAAAATTTATCGACCATCCTTTGCCGGTGGTGAGTCGGCGAGTCTCCCGCATTCAAAGGTCAGTCGCTGGGAGGGCGTCTATTTGAATGGCTTGCAATATTCGCACGCCACATGATCGCATATTACACATCGCTGCTGATGGTCGTAAACTTTGGGACCGTCGCCGCATTCGCAGCAGAAGTACAGGTAAGTGGTGGAACAGACATGTGCAGACGGTGCAACCAACTCCATGAAATTGGCCTGCGCGAGATCGTTCACGAGTGGTCCTCGCGCAGATGGGCGGAAAACATCGTCCGGAACAGCTTTCGGACTCGAGGTTGAGTCTTTCAAGCCGTGCTCAAAGTGTGAGTGACCCATGTCCAAAACAGCGGACGGGCAGGGAGACACCGCATCGTGGGAATGATGATTATCAGTGCCAGTTTGAGTCTTTTGAACACGGCAGTTCCCACAGCGTTTTCGGTGACAATCCACGCAATGGTCGTATCGAAGCTCGTGGGGTCCGTAATCGCAATGGCAACAGTACCAGAAGGTGGTGTAGGGCATTGTGATAGATGGCGAGAAAGAATCTGGTCTTTGGATAGATGGCAATGAGGAGTTTGGTCTTTTTGAAGGATTCTGCTTCTGTAGATTTTGAGATGTTGTTGGATTGAGGGCAATGAGGGATGCGAATATAGACTTATGTAGTCTGGCTCGTGAAAACAATTGAACCCAGGTGAACCACCCAAGGCGCTCCTGGAGCCTGGCTGAGCACCAATAACCACCAGTATTCCATATCTAGCCTGTCCAGCTGGCTAATGACGACTGCGAGGCATCCTCAGTCGAGTATCAAGGAGGCGGATCGAGTCGAGAACATTGAGACTCCACCGAGTTTCTCCTATAATGGCCGTAAGTCGCAGTGAAATGACCAGTCTGGATTGCCCGCTCCCTCATAGTTGCACAATTTCCAGGCAGAAGGCAGATTTTCTGCCCGGTGCCCTGGATGGAGCCTTGCTAAGGCTTGCGCCCATGGCTGCCATAGGTATCTGGGGGTACTCCACCATCGCCAGGCAACTAAGGCTCCTTAGGCTTGTTTTCCTTCTCCTTTCGTAGATCTCAGTGACTCTTTCGACTCGCAAGTGACCGAAGTAGGTTGCTTTGGATTTGGCGGGTGTCATTCGGGGGTATTGTTGCCTAGGTTAATCGGCCACCCAAGGCAAATCGGGTTCCAACCCCCCCCCCCACGCCTCAAGACTCCAGCGAGCACCACATCACCACCGGTTAGGGAGAGGGAATTTCATGTGCAATGCGCCATTTCAAAGCATAGCCGATAAAGTGAGCCTTCAGATTAAAGAAAAAATAATGAGTCAGAATTGTCACAAGAGTCCTTGGCTGCATTGGGAAGGCGTCGACGGCATAGGGAAGGATCACAGACACTGGACCAGACAAAGCGAATTCAAAAGACTAACCAATTTCTCTTAGAGACCAGGCACCATGTTCGATCGGAGGTACCCGAAGAGTTTCCAATTGCAAAGGGTTGATCACTCCTTCGGGTGAAGGAAGGAGGCAGTCAGCCAGCGTGCGGGTGTGCAGGTATTCAGGGGTGGCAAGTTGTGAAAGAAATGACGCAGCAGCAATGAGGCATTGTAGCCTGAAGAGCCGAGTGCTACTTACTTGCAGGGTTTTGTCATGCAATAGACCAGAGAAGATTGTGCCTTCGAAAGTCGTGAACCGCATGTTTGATGACACCTTGGCTGCCAGACGTTTTGATGGCTCTCAGGATGCAGCACCTAAAGACGATATCGTACCTGATTTGAACTCGAGTGTTAGGTATGAATTCCGGTTGCTTCACTCAGTGTGTTCACCTCGAATTCGATCCAGACACCGGTTGGATTCTGGAATGACAGCACACACGGCCATATCACCACAAGGTCTCCTCTCTCACAGGTCTTCGCTCTCACTTCAGTCTTCTTAAGTTCTTTTGATGGAGCGATAAGAGATTTCTGTCATCCTGCAAGCTCGGATGGTAAATTTTGACATCCATTTGGTTAGTCGGATTTCTTCAGCTGATGAATGTTCACTTCTATGGCAGAAGTTATTGGGAGTTTCTCAGTATACTCCTGGTAATACTCCATCCCCATATATAATAAGAGTAAGGGCAAGCTTTATGTCTCCTTCATGGTGCCCTCTTGCGGGCATTTGCTCTATCATCACTCAACGGCTGAGGCAAGACAGGTATTGCTTCATTGCTGGTACAAGAACATTGAGATCACAAAATCGAACCAAGCAGACATATTGGATATAAGAGCTCTGCATATTGGGACAGAGAAGCTCTGCAATCCATTCTTGCACCAGAAATGGAGTGTTTAAGTCTCTGTTCCAGCTGGTCGCTGCTATTGAAGCTGTGCAAGAGAGAGAATTGCAGAGTCCAAAACAACGTCGAGGGCAGCCGACGATTTAAGTAGACTGGGGAGTCTCACCACGGCCTTAGACGGGAACATGCGGCTCGTGCTATCAAGGCTTCCCACAATATGAGGTGCTGTAGTACAAAAGCACCAGGTAGAAAGCTCTCCGCAGGCATGAAGACTGCGGCTCTAGATGTTCTCAAGGCTGCGGCGGTTGCCCACCCATGCTATTCGGCTAGATCTTCCCAACAAGAAATAGGATAGGATAGACAACCCTCGAGTTTAGAAATCAGATGAGCATTGATTCGCAAGAAAGATAGGACCACCCCCGCACCTGACCAAAAGTGAAGTTCAAAGCGCGCGGGTCTTTGAGCCTCACCTCAGCCTCGATCAACTATGGCAACCTAGACATTTGTAGACTATATTTGAATGGGAGGAGTCAGAAGTGTGATTTATTGTTGTTGTCTTCGTATATTTTCTGTCGGGTTGTTCAGAAGCACGACTGTAGGTACCCGATGGGATTACTGTAGCAACCTAAGTGGGATTCTTGGATATCCTGAGGCACAAACCAGGCACCAACCACGGGTGTTCCAAACGAAAGGACTCTGCCGGCGGGAATAACAGAGAGTAGGATCATATGATAGGATATAGCATTAATGACCCAGTATCCTTGATGGGACCCTTTTATCTACAGCCTGTCTCATGATGCCAACAGTTATCGTATCAAGAATAGAAGACGTAGGCTTCAACAACGCGTAGTCTGCACGGACCATAAATTCCTATAGAGCCATTCAGTATTGGGGGCCTTGGGACCAACATCTCGACAGGAATAATTGGTGCTCAAGGTGTCTTTAGAGCCGCGCCCAGGCCCTTATTTCGTAGTCTTTTTCACCATGTCATCTGACAGTTTTCTCGTCCAACCGGTATTATTCTGCTCTAGGTAGAGCCCGAGCCGTTTTCGTAAACTCTGAGATGTAAGACAGCCTCCTGAATCAGCGGTCTGATAGGAGTCCTAACCCACTGGCGTAAGCAGTGGACCCAATAGACCCAGGAAGTCAAATCTTCAAACGTTACGCGTGTTCGATATTTAGGCATTCAGGCTTGGCAGCCCATCGTTCGCATGCCGGTAATCTGTATTTATTCATCAGAAAGCTTGTGGTCTTCATCTCGAAAGATCTAACGACAGATTTGTACCTGTACCAGTATACTACGCATCGTAGTATTGATAGGACAGCTGCATTGTGGATCAATATCAATTATACCCAAGCCATCGCACTCTTTTCAAAAAAGGCTTGGCCTTAATGCAAGGAGGAACATCAATATTAGAATAATCGTGCAGGTGGCAGGTGCAGGTCGACAGGAGATCGTGTCAGGACTCAACCTGGAACCATAGATGAATCACGTGCCGGCCGATCTTCCCTAATGGGGCATTACGTCAACATTTTATGTGTTTGCTCTGTTTGTCTCATTTGTACAGGTAACAAATAATACAGATGACGTCCTGTCACGGGATTCTTGCCAACTCCTTCCTGTCAGACAATTCCAACTGCTGCATAATGCGTTGAACACCGAGTCAGAGATTTACAGCTGCATTCTCTATCTGTTTATTCTACCCTTTGAAAAAGGAAATAAATTAACCGGCTTTATTCCATATGTAGATCGTTCCATTTACGCTCATCAGAACCCCTAACCATTTTCAGGACTCTCAGATGGCCCGCAGTCGCGCCGCTGAGAAGCGAGTCAATTTAGCGGTTGCGAGAATCATTCCTCCGGTTCTATTCGGCGTAATTATATATGCGTCTTATGACTTGACTAAACAGCTATGCAGTAAGTGTTCTCTTGTCGCAGTGGGTTGTGTTGATTTCAAAGTGATTGAAGTGCTGACGGCGCGCTTATCGCACCAGTTGACTACCTGATCCATCCCTCCACGAAATACAGTCGTCATGCACGAGTTGGTATAGGTGCTGCGATTCTTGTTATATACTATATCCTCTTAATTCCAATGGTTGTGAGCTACCTCCGACTGCTACAGAAGGTTCTCTGGAGTCCCGACTATCTCCCGCGGGGAGAGAAGCCCGCACGCGACCAGAAAGACTCACGGCCATCGCATAGGCGTCGGAAGCGTCGGAGAAGTGAGCATGAAAGCAATAAAGTCCGAGACGCAGAGAAAGGGGATGATTTCGACTCGGATGTTGAGCGCGGGGGGTCGCTTCACTCTGGAGGCAAGGCGTTTCCCCTTGACGCCGTAGGCTTGGAGAGCTTCTACACGAAGGATGTTTTCGTCTGTCAGAGAGATGGGCGGCCGCCGTATTGCTCCAAATGCTCGCAATTCAAGACGGATAGGGCGCACCACTGCCGCGAGGTTGACCGGTGTGTGCGCAAGATGGACCACTTTTGTCCATGGTATGAACCGCTTGTTCTGCTATTCAAAGACGGGGAAAAAAAGTCCAATCTCAACTAACGCTGTCAGGGTTGGCGGCGTGGTCGCCGAGTCGAGTTTCAAATTTTTTATTCAATTCCTCGTATACACAGCCATGTTTTGCATTTTTTGCCTTGTTGTCTTTGCATACTTTCTGGCCGAAGCGAAACGAGAGGTAACGAGTCTATCTTCCGGTGTTCCCTCCTGTGTCCATGTCTAACCTCTCTAGACCGGCAGAGTCAACGCTCATTGGGCTGTTGGAATTGGACTGTAGGTTTCTGAACTTATGAATGGCTACGACGACCTCTGCTTACGTCTGAGTCAGGAGCGGTCTTTTTGGACTATTTTCATGCGGAATGACGCTGAGCTCGCTGCAGCTTGCCCTTCAAAATCTCTCTACAATCGAACACATCGACCATCGGGCCACAATCTGGACGCTGGCGATCCGGGTCCCCGACCACCTTCTGAACGCCACCGAGTCGCAGTGGGCTCCGACATTCCGAACGATCACGTATCCACTACAGTCTCTCTCCCCACCGGCCGAGGCCGAGCCAGGGCCGGGTCCTGGCCAGCAAGAAGATTCGCTCAAACCAGACGCCGAGCGGCGCGTCTTTGCCATTCTCCAGACGCGCCAGGGCGAGAACCCGTTCGACCTGGGCAGTCCGCTGAAAAATCTACAGCAGGTGATGGGGTACAGCGTTTTGGACTGGCTGCTCCCGTTAAGGGAGAGTCCGTGTACGGACCACAGTAGCGAGGAGAGCGCTTTCGCCTTGGGACCGGTAGTCTCACGGTTGAAACAGGAGGCTTTTGGGGAGTAGTCCCTAGTTTATAAATATCGATAATTGCATCATCATGATACTTTTCAGCTACGTTTAGGATTAGAAGATGATTCTCTATCATCATAGTACTGTCTAGCTACATATGCCAGGACGAGGAGGTCATAATCATCATCATCATCATCATAAAACTTCTAGCTACGTAAACTAGGGCTGAGACTAACAGCATCAACCATAACCATAGAATCGTATCATCAGTAGAAAGAAGAAGAGACTAGAACAGAAGAGAGAAGAGAAAGAAAAGAAAAGAAAAGAAAAGAAAATCGTATCGTCATAAACATCAGGTGGTAACATCATAGATTCATAATCATTCAACCTCCTCTGCCTCTCGCCTCAAAGCAGAAGCCCCTCTATCCTTCCCCCTTGCCAGGAACCGCCTCTTCCCAGGTCTCGTTTCCAGATGGGCCGGGATGGAAGCGACATCCTGCCCTGCCGCGAGCATTGTATTCCTCATTTTGGAGCGATATGCGTCAACTAATCAGATTAGCCGCTTGTAGAGGAGAGTAAGCTATATTTTATAAGAGAAAAAAAAAAGACGTACGTGATTTCTGCATGAATTGCGTTCTGCCGGAGAATACCCTACTCTGGCTCCAACTCATCCTATACCCGAGCTCATTCAAAAGGATATCCCTCCGACGTCTATGGCGGGAAACCTTGGGGACACTGATGGATTCGCCGTCCAGAGAAGGGGCGAGGACGAGGGTACTTCCTTGGAGAACTGCTTCGGTGGGGTCATCCGTATCCGTTGTCGTTTCTGCGTAACGACCGCCACGGGTCACGACGGGAGTCTTCATCTGAACAGGGAAATAGGCACGCGGGTATACCGCGTTCGATAAGCGGTAGGAATCAGGTATCTCGTCCATCTGGACGGAGTCGAGCGTTACCTTGACCCGCACGCGACACCCGCGTTGAGCATCGTCGACGAGGATGAATTTCCGTCGTTTGCCGTCGGGGAGGTGGCCGAACAATTCGCCTGAAGAAGGTCTTTCAGCATCGCCTTCTTCTTCATTCCGATCTTCTCCTTCTCCTTCTCCTTCTCCATGCACGATTCTGGAGTGTACTTCTGCTGATGCAGCAATGCTGTGGCGACCAAGTGTTCCTGCGCTATGGATCCCACTTTCTCTCAGCAAGGGGGGCATCGAGGGCCCGCTTCCTGCGGAGCTCACGCCGGGGTACGATGGGTATCCGTGGAAGATCTGGGCGGGGCGGTATGGGTCAGGGCTCGGGCCGGCGGAGGGTGCGTGCGCGTGTGGGTGCGTGGGCCCAGGCCCCTGTCCCGGTCCTGGTCCGCTCGACGATGGGCGGTGTTGTTGTTGTTGTTGTTGTTGTTGCTGTTGTTGTTGGTGGTGGTGGTGGGGTGTCGTGTAGTCGACGGCACCTGGGAAATGTAATACATGAGACTAGCCTACATCATAGAATAGAGGAACAAGGGTGGTTGGTGTGCACAATGGTAGAATGACATAAATAACAAGGGTATGGACATGGTAGTAGACTTGGGTATATGGGTATGGTAATGGGTATAGGAGAGAGGGACATGAATGGGGAGGGATGATAGGCTGAGCGTAAAAGTACATCATTTCATCGCCATCCATCTGATCCAGTACAATCACATATCAAGAAGAAAAGAAGAAGAGAAGAAGAAGAGAAGAAAAAGGTCGGAAAGAAAGGTAAGAAACAAAGGTAAGAAAACAAGATTGAAGAAGAGGTATAGATGGGAAAAAGTATATATATAAAAGAAAAGAAGAAATATCACATATGGTGGAACATACCGACTTCCTCACCAACATGCCCCTCCGGTTGGGCATGGTGATGGTGCAGCTGATGCGACAAGCTCAGGGGCCCGATCCCCGGCCGGGCGGGGGCGGCCATGCTCCCTGGCCCGACGGGACCAGCCATGTGTGGGGGTGGAGGAGCCACTGCAGCGGCGGCGGCAGCGGCGGCGGCAGCAGCAGCAGCAGCAGCGGCAGCGTTGGTCTGAACATTGCGGCGGTTCACCTTGGCCATGCGGCGGACGCGGCGGCTGCGCAGGCGTGGGTCCTGATTGCTGTTGCGCCAGGAGTCAACGGCACGCTGGATGAGCCCACGTTTGCCACGCAGAGCCGGGTTGAGTTCGGCGAGGGCCCAACCCACGGCGTTGCACTCGGTCTCGTAGACGAGCCGGTTGCCACGGTACTGGTCCTTGCTGCAGCAGGCGCGCGGGTAGACGCAGTTCTCCGTCTTGAACTCCTGGCTGAGATTGTCCACGCTGACGGACTCGACATCGCACCGGATCGTGTACTCCATCTTGATCCGGTCGCGTGAGTACTCGAACGCGATCCACTGGACCCCGTTGCTGTCCTGGCGCACGACCAGCGGCGTTGTCGCGGGGATCGGGCCGGGCGCCGCGCTCGAGCTCGCCCCGATCGAGGAGCTCTGGTGCACCGCGGTGGGCCCCGCCGCCGACACAGCGTGTGGCGGGTTCAGCACTGTCCGCTGCGGCGGCGTGTGTTGCGGGCCTACAGGCTCCAGCTTCATGCTGGGGCTGGTCGTCAGCGAGCCCCCTACTACTCCTCCACCTCCGGCCTGCTGCGGCGGGGGCGGGGGCCCCGAAAGACTACCTGGCATCGCCGTCGATGGCAGTGGAGGCGGTGCAGGCGGTGGCGGCGGTGCAGTCGCGCCCGGATGCGACATATGTGCCGAACTGGGCGGCATAATTAACGGCTGGGAGGTCATCGGGTGCGGCTGGGAGGACGGGTGGTGTGACGGATAGCCGGAGGGTTGCACCGGGTTGAGTGAGGAGTACGGGGGATATCCGTACATGGGAGAGGTCATCTGCGGAGGCTGGCTGTACAGGCTACGACCGTGCTGGTCGTGCGCCTGGGAGGTGACCGAGGCTGGTGATCCAGATTGCGGTGTGTGATAGATGGGTGGGTATGGGCGCTGCATTTGCGCAGACGCTGCCATCAGGTCGGGGGGGCCTACACAATTAGCAATCTTTCTTTCTTTCCATCTTTCCCCATTTTTGATTTTTTGATTTTTTTCATTTTTCCTCAACTCACCAGTAGACTGGTACTGTGCCGGACCGCTGGCCGTGGTGTACGCAGCTGACGGGTGTGAGGCGTAATACGAGGGCTCTGGAGGCGGATGGCCGTAGTGCGACTGAGGAGGCAGCACGCCGTTTGCCAGAGAAGTCGGCGTCGCGTAGGGACCCGAAGCAATGGAGGTCGGCGGATGATGAGGGGACTCAGAGCGAGGAGAGTGATGCTGATGGACAAGACCCACGGATCGAGGGTGGTGCAGACTGTGCAGATGATGCGGTGCGAGTCGTCCCGGAGCACTGTGGTGTCGAAGCTGAAGAGGTCAGCACAAATCCCGGCAGCAACCGCGTGTATCATGTCTCCGGTGGGTGAGAGCAAATGAGTGAGAGAGTGAGTGGGTGGGTGAGGTTGGTATGGTCCTCCTGTAGACGGTACGAGTGTTGTCGTTGTCGTTGTCGTTGTAGGAAGAGTATCCGGCGCGCGTGATATGGCTGCCTGAGGGAATATTCAGGCATCCATAGACCACGGCAGGATCCAGTAACTACCTTACCATTCAGACAACCAGGCCATACCATGGATCACCAGGAGGTATCTCGACCGCGAACAGCTCGACGGTCTATCCTAGATCTCCAACGACGCAATTCGCCCGCATCCTGGTCGCCATGAGGTGGTTTGTGGTTGTTCCATGGTCGTCAATGCAATGGCCGCCGGTCCATACCATCTATGCTGTCCATGCTTTCTCCGCGATATCCATCCAGTCCGGTCTACCATATTCCAGAGGGGGGATCTCTCTCTCAAAGGCAAAAGGCAAGAAACAAAAACAAACAAAAAAAAAAAAACAAGGAATGAATCTCCCAAGAAGGAAAACGAGTCTCTCCAGAGTCTCCATGCAGGTACTCACCGGATCATCAGACGCTTCTTCCTTGTACTTTGCGGCAGGCGGAGGACCCAGGTCCGGCTGAACCATGCTGGTCATAATTGACCGGAGATTTCCTTTTTATTCTTCTTTCCCTTTCTCTTTATGGTTCCTGAACCTTCTCTGGAAAATTCCCGGGTAATTTTTTTCCTGGTTTCTTTTTTTTTTTTTTTTTTTTGATCTGGGTTTATTTCTATTTTTTCTTTTTCCTTGCTGAACTGTTGGAATTGAGTTCAGTCGGTGAGAGACAGGCCAGGTATGACGACTGGCCGCCGGTCGATCTGAGACGGGGGGAGGGGAAACTTTGAACTGGGCGGCTTTGCGCTGCTTTGTGAGGGACTCTGCGATGCGGAGGGTCCAGGGTAGATAACTACCAGGATAGGATGATTTGGAGAAGATAAATAATAAAAAGATCAATAATAATTTAATCAAATGGATCAAGGAAATGCTACTCCGTAAAAGACTCGAAAAAAAAAATAAAAAATAAAAAATAAAATAATAATAACAGTAATAATAATCAAATAATAATAATAGTAATAATAATAATAAAGAACGCCCAGAGCTGCACGAGACAGCCCTCGAGTGACTGGTGGGGATCTCAGGATGGGCTTGTAACTAGCGGGAACGTCGTGTAATATTGCCGGGATGAATGATGTGCAGGATGATGGTTTTACCAGAGCTGTTACATATGTAGTAGAGCTGGGTAGATCATGGATAAGGTACTCTCAATAGGCAAATGTCTGGTATAGTGAAGTATTGGATATATAGAGTACTCTGTAGACGCTCTCCTATTCAAGGTACGGAGTACTCCGTAGTAGTACTATTAGAAATAGGTAATAGGTAATTATGTATCTTAGGTATCTGTATGTCTGGTACCTGTATTAAAACGTAACGTTGCTGACATCGGCTGCCCCACCCGAGTCTTGTTTCCAGCTAGCCAACGCGGCTGATTGGAAGTCGAGAGTAGTACTTCGTACAGGTACCTAAACTACTAGGTACTAGGTACCTACCTAGAAACTACCTCTAGCTACCAGGTAGTTAGGTACCTACAGTAGGCCCCTATGCTATTTATATTCTCTATTACAATTATATAAAGTCAATCCTCTATACTATGTAGTATATTCACTATTTTCATTCTACAGAGTAAATATACATCCTATCTAAGATGGTTACTAAAGTGTACACTGTTCCTCATCATACGATGTGTAACGGTGATCAGTCCCCACTGCACCTTGCCGACGTTCGAGTCCTTCCCAGCTCACCAGTAGTTGCAGAGCAATTCCTCGGACTTAGAAGGGCCTCCGGTCTAGCTCAAGGCTAAGACGCGGCGCTAATCTGCCGATGGGGGGGAAGGAAACAACCCTCTCCGCAGTCAACCAGTATCTAACTATCCAGTGATCCACTGTCCGCACAGCCAGAGTGTTCCACCCGCTGTCGTTAGTGGCGGCGCACAAAGGTGATTGACATCCTATGGCCCAGCCCGATCTTATTGATTATAATTTATTATGTAGTATTATTATTATTATTATTATTATTATTATTTTATATATTTCAAAAAAAAACAGGTTATCAAATATACTTTCTCCTTGCAGAGTCCTCGTGCCTTTCAACCATGTGAAAGAGGACGCTGTAGGTACAAAGGGTTAGGGGGGGAAATATACGAATATCCAAGGGAGCTGTAAGTGTAGTATTTTTCTCTCCACTTGCAAATTATGACTTAACTATTAACTCATTATTTATAATAGGTAGGTAAGTACTCGTGTTTAGTTACTACATAGGTAACTACAGGCAGTACGTCTGTATCTGTCCCTATTGCACTAGTAGTTAGTTAAACTGCTCGTACCTAGCTAGCCTACTAGTACTCCGTACCTAAACCTACCTCTACTACCTTGGGTACTCTCCGTACTCTCCGTACGGAGGACTATCCATCGAGTCAGCCAGGCACCAGGCGGCAGGCGAGAGCCCCCCCCCCTCTCTTGTGTAATTGGCTCGGCGGACGGGCGGGAGGGGGAGGCGTTTCCAGAAACAGGCTAGCAGCCGGTTGTCGTCGTAATCGAGCAAACTATAGGCGTTGTTGGAGTGTAGCAGTGAAAGTTTAAAAAAAAAAGAAACATAAAAGAATATACTACAGTACAATTATATAAAAAAAGAAAAAAAAATTAAGAAAGGAAGAAAACAGATCAAAGAGAAAAGGGGGGGAAAAGAAAGCATAAAGGAAGAGAAAGAAAAGAAGGGGAAAAAAAAAAAGCCCTCAGTGGCACAATGCAGGTTACTCTCATCCAGTGATGGAGAGGTACAGATATTCTGTACTCAACTCGAACTCTCACTAAAAAACTCTGTAATATTGTTTTCATGCCTACCCAGAGTCCAGACCTCTACTCTGTAGATGAAACAGCACGGAAAATCCTCTCATGGTGGTTGAACTCGGTGCTAAATTGCTAGCTACCTAGTGGCGCTGATGGCTGATGTGATGGCAGTGGGGATGGATGGACTCCCGTCATGATCGATGCAGGGTGTTTGGAAGGGCTGGTCGAGAGGTCCCTCCCCCCGTTAGCGCCGGGAGGATGTACCTAGTAACTGTATGTATTGTACTGTACTGTCACTTTCGAGTAACCTCGACGGAGGAGTTACCTAGTTGATTGACTATTATCCGGATTCTACGGAGGGCTCGCAGTGGGAGAACTCTCCGTGGTCGGGACACCGGACAAAGTCGGGGGCTACGAAATACACATGAGCTATGGAGGTACTTTTTTTTCATCATTCTCATATTCTCTATCATTGTTTTTTTTTTTTCTTTTCTTTTTTTCCCCCCTTCTTTTCGTCACTGTACGAGGTGTTACTGTAAGATTGTTCTAATAACCATCTGGTAGTTAGGTACTAGGTACTAGGTAGGTGCCTCCAGCTAAGATACACCCGTGGACTCTTGTGTGGACTCGGTTCCCGCCGCACACCCCTGGGCGGATCAGCCAAGCGATCTGGGGGGCACCTTTACTCTCTGGAGTAGGGATCTGATTACGGAGCAACATGTATGGACCACGGATTACGGAGGACTCTGGAGATATCTCGGGTTAAAAAAAAAAAAAACCCCCCCCTTGTGTAGGATTATCGAGAATATAGGGTAATGGATTATCCATGGAGGAGATAAAGCATTTAAATATACTATATAATTGGAATACGGAGATGAGACATTTACTGGAGTCTACTGTAGTAGTGTCTCTACGTCATTGATACGCTAGTTAGCAACCTATCTCCTCGGTACCTAGGTATAGCTGCGAGCTTGTACGAGTCCGGAGTAACGGAGTAGTAATTTGCCTCCTACACTTAGGTAGGACAGAGTCGAGGGCAGACCACAGAGCACGGAGACTTCTTCTCTCAGATCTGAAACATGGATTGCATGCATCTAGCTCCCCACAACGATTAGTAAATACGAGCTGAAGACACTGCGTATGGAGTACTAGGTAGACTAGCTGTAGCTAGCTATGTACCTACTCTGGAGTACTCTGTGGTACTCTATGTAGAAATTATTAATCTATACAAATTATCTCTGAATATTTACTATGTATCTGTAGAATTCGTACATTACAAGTGCCTAGATATGTTCTCTGTACTCAACTCTATCTATGAGGTAATATATTGGCAAGTATATTCCAAGATACACCGTCCTCCTCGGAGTCCTCCGAACTTGGTAGTTAATTAACTAGTGCCAGGTACCTACAAAGTACCTTAGCTACCAGGTACCTAGTTACTCCATAACTAGCTCCATGATTAGTTACTCTAGTACATACCTAAACTACTGAGGTATCTAGTTCAGTCCATGGTACGCCCCACAGATCCACTGATGCTCTTTGTTTGCTGTTCTTTGTTCCTGTCTGTAACGGCTGTGCGGCATCTATGCTTTACTCAGCAATATCTCTTAAGTACACAGTGCTCTGTTATTTCCACATAACTCTTAGCATTCCACTGTTTATATACTATACTATATGTAGTATACTAGTTATAAAGTTAGTATAGAGTAACTTAGTTATAGAGTAACTACATAACTACTCTATCCTACATATTTATGTGTTTTATGTACTATGTAGTAGCTAAAGGCACAGGCTTTATGTCTGCTTAGTCAGGTATTAGTCAGATTATTGATTAGCTAACTATGTCATACTTCACTTGGAACTGACCAATCAGAGACTCTTGCTTAGTCGATGATGTATACCTGCCTACCTTAGTAGGTAGCTTTGCACTTACCTCCCACTGTGAATGACTGTCCTGATTGATAGTCACTATTATGGCCCCAGACTCTCCTGTCTTCAGAAACCATCCCCCTGCTATTTCCACCAGACCTATCTTCGCAAAATCGAAGGGCTCAGCTACTAGAAAGTATCCAGACTCTTAGTAGTGCTTTATAGGGTCATATATTTCTGCGATACCTATTGACTCGCCTTCGACAACCATGTCGCGATACCTCGATCACAGCCTCTCAGACCCGACCCTGTCAAGGACCGTTATGAGTGCAAACGCATTCGTCGATCGAGCTGATCTGGAAGCCCACATCAAAGATCTAATCACATGCGTGAAGACCAACCAAGAGGTGGTCGTGACAGACTTAAGACCGTCCTGGGGGGAGGAAACCATCGATTCGATCAACCGGTCCAACGACGGAGAATCAACGCGGCAAGTCATCAAATATTCATGTTGATATTTCTTCCATGTTGTCTCTTGTACTGACTTCCAAAGGAAATCTTTCAATTCAAAGTCCAGGGTCCTACGCATTGTCATGATGCCGACGGAGCTCAATGCATGCCACCAAGACTGGCTCTTCGTCTCCATGGCAAACCTCCGGAATAGTGGCGACTTGACAGACAGCGAGTTCCGGCAACTCCGCCTTCGAGTCGGGACCAGTCAGTTACTCCATATTTCTCATGGCGTCCTACTGATATTCCTGTAGCGCTCGAGTTCCGTTCTGGGCCCTATCGCGGCTCGCGAAAGGAGCCGGACTTTTTCCTGCGAATCGACCATGAAATATTGCCCCCTCTGGCAATCGAGAGTGGGTGGTCCGAATCACACCAATATTTGTTGGATGATATGGATCTTTTGCTTGTAGGTGGCGATGGGGAGATCAATACAGTGATCATCATCAACTGGGATTGCAACCGCAGCACGAGACATGTGAGTGGCTTCGTCGATCTGTATGTGCGAGATCAAAACGGCATGCCGGTCCGTCGCCAAAGAGAGGTATGCAACGACCCTTTTATTTAATTTGATTGACCCATTAATCGAAGGTTAGGTTGTGTTCCCTGCTCCCGCCCCGACACCGATTCCACAGAGACTGGAGTTGACGAGACAGGAGGTTTTCGGCAGGCATCTAGTTCCAGATACAACTCGTACTGGGTCCCCCAGTGCGATGGTGTATCTGGAACTGGATATACTTCGCCAAGAGGCATCGGAGGCACTGCGTCATATGAACCTCCTTCCTGCATAGCTCACTTCTCTGATTGAATCTTTTACCACTTGTCAGGGATATTGATTGTCCTATTGGTAGAGTATTCGACTATCTTGACTAACCTCTGCTACAGTCAGTATAGCACCACTATCACATCTATAACTAGGGGCTGAAGCAAGTGATAAGCTAATCTAATGACATGAAAACCTCATCCCTACACCTCTAATACTAGAAGTAGAAGACAGGATGTACCTTCATTTGATTTTCAGCTAATTTGTACCAAGGTAGCAGTGGCAGTGGAAGTGGCCTGGATGTGCGTGGGAATGTACTATTAGAACCGTGGTATCAAAGTACCGGGAACTAGCTCGGCTCCGACGTACCATACAGTAATACGAAGCAAACTTACAACCTACCGACTATTATTAGTACGAACTAGATAATTACTAGTTAGATAAACGACTAGATTACTGCTACTACATTAGGTACCTACTAGGTACCTAAGGTAGATACTAAAACATACAGGGTAGTCGGAGCACTATTCAACGCCATAATACGGAGGATTAATATGTCATGACTCGCGTAGCCGCACCGGAAATTGCTAAGCAACGGCAGCCTATTCAGGAGAAGGTCTCCAAGCGTCTGGCCACCAGTGCTTACTTCCGACGGAAGTCTCCGGTAGAGCTAGGTAGCTATTCGCTAACCAACCAGTTGAGTTTCCTACGGAGTAACTAATTACATAGTTAAGTGAGGTGAGCTCTAGACTCTCATGTCTCTGCAATCGGAAAGCATAGACGGCAGTTAGCTACATAGGTACAGGAGTACCCTACCTACCCATACTTGTTGTAGAATAGAGATACAAAGTACTAAACTCTGTCGACTACAAAGCCTCGGTATCGTTGAAAGTAAAACTAAATAAATTAAATACTCTCCGTATTTTCTTACGTGGTGTAGATAAGGTCTCCGGGGGTCCCATGCTTCCCGCCCCCTCCCTGTTATACTCCAGAAGCTTGATCGATAAAATAAAAAATAAAAACCAATAATTCATATGGAGTACTGAATACTATGTATCTAGGTAGTATGCACTCCGTAGTATGTACTAAACAGACCGTCTGGAATAAATGACTGTATTCTAGCAACTAGTAGTAAGTAGATATGTCACTTGTAGTTATTGAGCACGACGAAAGTAGATACCTAGATAGTTACTCCGTATCTGTACTAGGTACTCTACTCTGTACCTAATCGTATAATGTATCTACTCTCGGCGTCCGGTCAAGTGCTCAGGCGTGATGCATGAGGTGCTCTGTACTGCAGCGGAGGATATTACGCTCCTGGACGAGTCACTGCCGATCCCAAATGTACGCCGAAGTTTATCTCGGTCGCATGGGTGTACGGAGTATAAACTACGCTGTACGGAGTACGGCGTATACGAGGTCCTGGGAGTGCTCTGTGTACTCCGTACGGAATACTCCATCCAGAGTAGACGAGTAACACCGGGAAGATTAGCTTAGGGTAGACTCGGCGAAGACTAGACTCATGCGACGATTAATTTAAAGAAAAAAAAAATATATACTAGTAGTACAGTAGTTAATGCATGAATAACTACCTAGGTAAATGTTAGCTGAACACTAGTTTTGCTCATGGCCCCTCAATACGCAGGACCTCGTCTCCCTCGTCCTCGTCATCACTCGACGAGTCCTCCCTCCGACCGTGCCGTCGTTGCTCCTCTCGCCGCGCGCGTCGTTCCTGCAGGTACTCTTGATACCGCGCATCTAGAACATGGTCAGTCTTTAAAGCTAGGTCTAGAGGGGAAGGACAAAGGAGAAAGTGAAAAAAAAAGAAAAAAGAAATAAGGCGGGGCAGGGGGGGGGAGAGAGAGGAGATTAGTACCTCGGATTTCTTGAGTCTTCACGGCAAACCCCTGGATTTCCTCCTTGGTCAACACCCGTAGTACAATCACATAGTCCGACCGTTCCTCGAATCGCTCGTGCGCTGCCTCGAGCGCCGCGGGGTTGACAAGTCGGCGATCGATCTTTGTCCATCGGGCGCCAGGGGGGATGCCGTTTTTGTGCGCATCTTTCAGGGGGGCCACCCCTTCGCGTACAGGGTTGGGTTCCTCCGGGAACCTCTCCCGCGGCCGCTTAAGGATTCCCTTGGGGGCTGGATCTGGCCCTTTATTGTTGCCTACCGGCGGATCGACTACTGCGATCGCCTTTTTCGCCGTCGTCTCGTGGGACTCGGACGACGTCGTCGACTGTTGGCTGGTGGGCACTTTCCGCCCCGAACCACTCTCCGGGTCGTGCCGCGATCGTGACCGCCGGCGTCGATGTGGCTGCTCGTCCGCGGTCAGGTACCGTGATGATGACCGGCGCGTACCGCCAGAGCCCTCTGAATCGCTATGGTGCTTGCTGCTGCGGTGAGCCGAGGGCTCACGTCGGTACTGCCGTAAGTCTTCGTCCGACGTGTAGGCGTCGGAGCTCTGGTCCCTTCGTCTCGACGACGCTCGTCTCGATCGGCTCCGATGGCGACTGTAATTCGGGGCCAGCAGTGTTCGATCATGATCAGGATCTCGCGACGACCGATGGCGGCCGTGCTCGGAGGGAACCTCGCGGTGTTGTTCGAGGGCGTCGTCTGAGTACCCGCTCGCGAGACCAGCGGTACCAAGGCCAGTTCCTGCGCCGGCGATCACCAACTCCCCCGAGTTGTGGCCTCTCGAGCTCCGTTGTTCATCCTGACGAGATCGGCCTTCACCACTCCCGCCATCCTCATCGTCATCATGGTGGCGACGCCGGCGTCGCCGATAACGATGTCCGCCGTCGTAGTCTTCTCGGTAGGACGAGTACCCGTCTTCCCGTTCCTGGTGGAGCGACACTGGTGCGTGCTGCTGCGACCTGTGTCGCGAACTGCTCGACTCGCCATGTCGCCGTGACCGATCATCCCTCTCGATTTTATCGAATCCCCTTTGGGATGGTGGTGGACCATTGACCCGGAGGTCCTTGCGTGGAGGCAGTGCTGGGAGGTATTCCTCGAGGCCAGTCATACTCAGCGGTCTTTCCTTCCTGGAACCGGATCCCCGGCTGAGCCGGGCGACAGAATCCTTCTCGAATTGTTCCCTCGGGTTCGTGTAGGAATATGCATCGTAGTCGTCAATATCGTCTCCTTTGCGAAGCCCGCCGGTCGGTGGATGGCGCGGAGAGCTACCGGACCCATGGGTTCGGTACCCTGAATGTACCGGCCGATGCCTTATTGTTCGATCACTGCGGCCTGAACGACCAGTATCACTCGCATAGTCTGTGCTGTAGACCCGATGAGAAGAACGTCGTCCATGGTGCCCCGACGCGGGCATAATGTACCGTTCCGCGCCATCTCTAGACGAGTGCGGGGGAAGCGGACTAGGAGTCCTCCCGTAGCTCGAGGTGACAATGGGGGATTGTCGCAGACTAGGGGACGATGCCGGGACGGGCCCGCGTAGCGGACTACCGGCAAACGTATCTGATGTGGTACTGCTTCTGGGTCTTGAGCGAACAGCGTACTCGGTTCTCACTTTGGTCGAATGGCCAGGGTCACGGTAGGTTTGTGACGAGACCGGTTGTACTTCGAGCGTGGGCTCGACATTCACTCTCGTCTCATATCCCACAAACGGCGCTTCGGACGAATATCCGTCGAGACGGTGCCGGCTTGCGGAGGAGTCGTATGGATCGAACGACGGGTTGAGAGACACGGTTCCCGTCGAAGCACGCATGGGGTCGACCATGCGTCTGCCGCCAGCGGGGGACATTGGACGGAAACGAGAGGTAGAATGCATGATGGAAGGGACTTCGCAGAAGCGGGAAGGCTATGGTGCAGTAAATATATAGATTAGCAGGGTACTTCCGCCCGTTATGACTCTGTCGTGTGACAAGAATCGCACTATAGAGTCTCCCGATCAGACTAACAAAATGGAAAAAAAAAGATAAAAAATAAAGCGATCTCCAGATCTGTCGCACTGACGAGGGCGAGCGCCAGGCGGGGAGGCAAAAATGCTGATGAATCAGACCGGATGAGGGGTTCCGTTCTGGGTCTCTCGCTCTCTCCTCTTTTCTCTCTTGGCAATGGCCACCAGGAAAAAGGCGTCCAATACCCAGTCGCAGAGGGGTGTTCCTGGACAGCGTTTATGGCCGAAGGAACAACAGTAGAAGAAGAGACGGATAAAGAGAGACGGACGTCACTTGGGCAAGCTGTTGAGGATCGGCGGCGGTTGTGCAAGTGCGGCGGGGAAACCCAATACGAAAAAAAAAGGATATCGCACAAAGGGACTGGGGACTGGGCGCTGGGCGCTGGGCACTGGGCAGCCTGACGGTCTCAAAAAAGATGGGAATCCGATCCGGATGACGACAGGAGGGTCCTGGCGAGGCTTCTTCTTCCCCACAAGCACGTACTTTGTATCTACTCCGTACCAGGAAAGTTGTCAACACACGGCAGGAAGCATCTCGGACAGTTCCATGGGGCGGAGGAGGAGCAAACTTGGGTCGAACGGGCCACACCCACCCACTGTAAACAATAGAAAATTGTCCCTTTTTGGTGGATAACACTGCTCTTGTGTTCCTAATCGTCGTCAAACGTGCTGCCGAGAACCATCCTTGGAGCCCCGCGTGTGTCTTCCTTGATGTTCTTCAAGTTTCAGCTCTGGCTGACGGGGGTCTCGTCTCCACACTGACCAGTTAACTAGTTAGTTAGCTACCAGCCCGTCTGTTAATTAGTATCAGCTCTCTTTTTTTGTCGCCACTAGTTTAACGGCCAAAAAACATGACATCACTTCACGGCGAGTCTTATCGACGTAGGGCGCCGTAGGCGAGGATAACGCGTACAGGAGGTGCTTTGTCTGGGGAGGCGAGATTCGAGTAACACGGAGCGAGCAGCGTAGTCGAAAAGAGAGATCATGTGTGTGTGTATGTGTGCAAAGCGTCTTCTAATAACCCAATCGAGGATATCTCAGCAAAACATAATAAGGAGCGTGGAGACAGCCAGTACCTCGTTCACTGCCAGCCGGCATCCGGGTATTGGACAGGGCGAAGGGATCAGCGCAGAAGTGAAGCTGACAGCAACCGTCTAGCTAGTGGATCATTGGTGAAGAAGCATCGGGCACGCATATAGTGGAGCGTACCTTCTCTCTGCTAGAGCGATATGTGGTTTATTGCATTGCCCGCAAGCTTGGTGTTGTGTTGTCAGGCAGAGCTGGCGACGATGCTGCCCAATTTCTCAACACTCGGTGGCACCACGTTCAATCCAAGTGGGTAGGTAACTATTTCCCGGGCAATCCACGAAAGAATCAGCTTGCTTCGATTCATTCCAATAGCTAAGGTCAGTGATGGACGTAGTGGTGGATTGGGGGGCATGCTGTACCTTTTTTTCGATTGCGACACCAGATCAAGCCTTGGGTAGTCAGAAGTTAGGGAATCTTATCGAGAAACATGCACAGTACCCAAGGCATTCAAATCGTATGTCTTTTTCAGCTTCTGTCGCCGATTGTATCAGCAAAATAAGGGGAAGCGAGGTTGAGATAGCCTGTTCGTACAACAGACACGGTCTTTCACAGAACCGGTTCAGGTGACCGCTCAGTAACGCAACAGCTCACAAGGGGAATCTTCTCTCGAACAAAAACCCCTCAAAACCTCAATGTGCAAGTTCTGGCCAGATTTATTTCACCTAACTCTGAGCCTAAACCCCTCAGGCCTCATAAATCTTCACAGCCTCCGTTTTGCCCGCTCGCGCATCGCTTGTTTCCAACCCGGTGTCGACCGGCGTTGCAAGACTCAAGGACATTTTTGCATTACTGAGAAGAGGAAATGCCTCATCTTGAGGGTGAACTCGGTGGTCAAGGGAGCATCTGTTCCCTGTTATCTTTTGAATTCGTCCTTTTTGCACTATACTAACGATTCTCTGAGTTTTAGGAAGGACAGTGCCCAGTTTCGAGTCTAAAACATGGAACGAGTATAACGGAATAGAAGGCACTCCATGCACACTTAACACACAATTGAAGAGACTCGTTTGAATCCTTGGAGAGACCTACAAGACAGATCGGAGTTTGGATCTGGAAACGCCATTTCCCTGGCTTGCGCTGTCTGGAGACTATGGCTGAGTGCGCAACCAGGGTGTCTTTGCACTGCATTCGTTTTGATGAGCAGGACGCCCGCCTTGACTGAATTTGCACTGCCACGGAAAAATGAGCTGAGTCATAGAAATGGGTGATAGTCAGTGTTTATCCCACGTTGTTTTGGGGGTGGAAGCTTGAGCAACACCTCGTTTCGACGGATATACGTGTCGCATTCAAGATCGTCAAGGAGGCGTATTCCCGGTTATTCTATGGTTAATGCCCTACGAAGTCATCCCGGGTTGCGTTCTCGGTACCGGTGAGTTTGTGGAGCTGCTGGCTCCTGAGAGAGCAGGTATGGGTTGGGTACTAGTTACTCTCACCCGGATTGTCTGCCAGAAAGGTCAATGAACTCACCGGAATGTCCTCGTTACCGGTTGGTGAGGCAGACTACTCTAAGAGAATACGTATATTGAGTTGCCGTCTGCCAGTCTTATGGAGAGCATACTACGGATTCAAATCTCACAGATACAGATTACCTCTGTCACGGTACTTGCTGTACTTGGATATATAGCTACAAGAAACAGTTCTACTTGAAATTAACAATCCACACTCTCATCAATTGACTATATCGCGGTTTACTCGCAGCCCCAAGAAAAGACACTCTCCACTCTCCCGTTAGGTCTCCACCACCAGCGATGCCTCCTCAAAGAAAGACCGTTCAAGTTCCCCGCACAGTTCGTCCGGAGCTCTACGCTGATGGACCACGGCCACCGCTGCAAGGCTACTGGGTGTGCTGTAGCTGCGAAGGTGTAAACACGCCGCATCTGTCCCCGGAGCGCTGTCCAGTCTGCGCCCACTTCAAATGCTCTTCTTGTACTCTTCTTGGATAGATCGAAAGAGGAACACAGTACTCTCCTATAAGGCTTGGATTAGGGGATACCCCCAAGCTGCTCGGGGTATTTTGAATCTTGTTTATCATGGAACTCTTTCTTGGTTGTATACCATTGTTATTGAATTGATCCTGTATACTATATGAATTCTCGAGGCTTAACCTTTTCTGGTTTTTCTTATTGCACATGAACTATCATCCTGCTGTATTTTATATTTCGGTGTCTTTTTTTTTCTATCTTCCGGTACTAGCATAACTACATCCAGCATAACTACCTAGGTATATATCAAGTCAATATTTTACTCTTGTGAAGAGTAGTACTTCTTCTTCCTACTAAGCTCTTGCCATTATTGTACCCATTCAAGGCTGAGCTGCCAGATATACATTCCTCTTTCCAGATTTCCATCTTCTCCTCTCAATAATGATAATGAAAACGGAGGAATATCAAACCGGGTATGTTCTGATTTCGGTAGAGTCGCTACTCAAATACAACTGTTGTAGTAGTATGCGCCGAAAGCGGAGAGCTATTCCCTATCAGGACTAGTCAATATCAGAGTCGGATATAGTATCACGTGATGTTAGCTCCGAGAGACAGTAACACAGAGACTAGACCGACAGCCAGCAGAACTGCGGTATTAAGCACTATGCGGTATTAAGCAGTATATGTCAAGTTTATTTAAATTAGAATACTCATCTTAATTTTGTTAGAAAAGTCAGAGCTCAATTGGTTCTTTGCTCTACTACAGTAAATACTAGGTTAGTGCTTTCGTAATGTAGGATGGGTGATCAGGGTCCAGTCTAACCTCTTTCGGATGGGTGTCCTAAGGTAACTGCCCTGACAACGGCAGGTGCAACGGACCAGTCACCTGCCGTTTCGGGGGGCCCTGCGGGGTACCGCCAACAGTTACCAAAACCCAAACTTGGAGGGTGCCAACAACGACCAGGAAACTGGACGGTTCTTGTGCATCAATTGGCAGTAGCTGCTACTATTATTATTTCCAGCCATGCATCCAATGGGCCTGCGCTCTGCTCTGCCAGACGCGGTTGTCGGGGACACAGCCGCCGCCATCATCTGCCTCTCGGTGTCCTGAGGCTGTAAGCTCGTATCTCCGCGCCTCTTACCGTCTTTCGCCGCTTGCAGATGGTTACCATGATATTTACGCTTTGCTGTGCTGTGTTGTGCTCGGTGTTGTCCTGCTTGCCCTCTATTAACTAATTTTCTATCTCCAGTACACCTCTCTTCCCTTCCTCCCTCCTTCCCTCTCTCTCTGTGGTGCCTGTTTAATTCTTTTTCTCATATTTGCCGTCAACTGTGTCTACTGAACTGGTGTCAGAGCGAAGAGGGTGTGTCCTACCACTTGATGGTCAGCTCTGTGGAGGACTGGGGATTGGCTATTTTGATCTGTTGAGCCTTGACCGAATCCCGAGACTATTAATTGATCTCCTAGTGAGGAGGTGATAGAAGACGTTTTTCTACTCTATATGGTGGGTATGATATGACAGGTCTTCCCCCCCATCCCCGGCCTTGCTTTTTCTTCACGATCCCATCTTTCGACTGTTTTCTTTTACTTTTCTTCTTCTTTTTTTATTGCTATCTATCTAGCATTTTGGACTCTTCAGAAAAAAAAAACCAAGCTTGATTCGGCTGTAACACTGTGTGCTGATGATTATCTCGCAGGTGCTGTCTACCTCATAGTGCATACAATATCGAGCCTCTCCAATCAATACTATGTCCGGGCCCAATAGGACATTTAGCTTCAGCCAGGGCGATGAACACCTCTCACGCTCCGGTGGCTCGGTCATCTCTCCACTTCATTCTCCCGCAAACAACACATACCACGATGACCTGTCCCCCATTTCCGAGATAGCGTCTTCGATTCATGATAGCGACATGCGCGATGCACACGTCTCTCCGCCTACATCGGCACATGGGGACACCGGTGGAGACCGGGGCCAGGGGCTGGGGTATACACAGTCGATGCGAACAACATCAACGGTCACTCCTGGGATGGATAATTTCGGTCTATCAGCAGTCGGAGGAGGTATCAGTGGCATTGCCCTCGGGGTTGCCAATACCCACGACCGCCTCAGCGGTGTAGATGCCCTTCGGGCCGCGGATAGCGGTGCTTTCGTCGGATCAGCTGAGCGAGACTACTATACTACCGGCTCAGAGAATCCATATATCCCACCGTCACCAGAGACCGGTGGACTGGGAAATCCAGGAGCGAATTTAGGAGCTCAGGATTTGTACGGATCCGAGGTCCATCTCGGCGCAGCTGCCGCCCCAACAGGCCAGTTGAGTCGAGAAAACATTTCTCCCCATCTCCCTCCATCAACCTCACTGCAAGATGGTCCTTACCAGAGACAATCGATGTACACTTCGTCTAGAGACAGTCCCCTATATATCAATCCGGAAGAGATCGAGGATGATGGGGATGATGGCTTCTTTCCCGACCCGGAGCCAAGATCCCGTCTGAGTCTCGGACGCAGTCGCCAGCGTGGCTCACTTTCCGCTGCCGCCGCCGGAGGGGCCGCCGCCGGTGGCTTCTTCAGCTTCTTGGGATTAGGGAAAAGAAAACTCGACACCTCCCCCGCCACAAACCCATCCTATGGGCCTGTTGCCGGGGCTGCTCTCGAGGCCGGGGAGAAGAGACGATCGACAAGTTACCAAAGCAACGGTGCGAAGAAGAGGGGTTGGTTTGTGGGCATCGGTCTCGGCCTGGTCATTGTCGCTGCAATTATTGGAGGCGCCGTCGGTGGGATCCTTGGAAACAAGAGCCATTCTAGTTCGAATGACGGCACTGGTTCGACTGGCTCTGCGTCACAAGACGACACTGATCTGGACAAGAACTCGGCGGAAATCAAGTCATTGATGAACAACCCGAACTTGCACAAAGTCTTCCCGGGCATGGACTACACGCCGTGGGGGGTACAATACCCGCTATGCCTCAAGTATCCACCATTGCAGAGCAACGTCACCAAGGATATGGCTGTTCTCTCGCAGCTGACAAACAATGTGCGCCTTTATGGTACGGATTGTAATCAAACGGAGATGGTTCTCCACGCGATCGAAAAGCTGGATTTGACGGACATGAAGATCTGGTTGGGCGTCTGGCTAGATACTAACACGACAACCAATGACCGGCAACTCAATCAGCTGTACAAGATCGTCGACTCGGTCAACGACACGTCGATCTTCAATGGAGCCATTATCGGTAACGAGGCTCTTTACCGTGCAGGCCCAGACGTCGCCACGGCCGAGAAAAATGTCATCAACTACATGAAAGACGTCAAAGCAAACTTTACACAGAGGAACCTCGACCTGCCCGTGGCGACATCTGATTTGGGTGACAACTGGAACGCGGAATTGGTGGATGTGGCCGACCTGGTCATGTCGAACGTGCATCCGTTCTTTTCCGGAGTCAATGCAGACATTGCCGCCAGCTGGACGTGGACGTTCTGGCAGCAGCATGATGTCGTTCTCACCAAGGGAACCAACAAGACCCAGGTCATCGCTGAGACAGGCTGGCCGAGCGCCGGTGGAAACGACTGCGGAACCGACAACACGTGCACGAATTCGACTGTCGGCTCGGTTGCGGGCATTGAAGAGATGAATCGGTTCATGTCTGATTGGGTCTGTCAAGCCCTTGAGAACGGCACCGAGTATTTCTGGTAGGGCAAAAACAACCCCCTGGGACTGCTATGACTGACAATAAAAAAAAAAGGTTCGAGGCGTTCGACGAGCCGTGGAAGGTCATCTACAACACTCCTGGCAAAGACTGGGAAGACAAATGGGGACTCATGGACGCGGCACGCAATTTGAAGCCAGGGCTCAAGATTCCCGACTGCGGCGGGAAGACGGCCTAATTCTGTTGCTATCTGTGAACTAGCAGGCATGGTTTTTGGTTTTGCTCACTGTATACTTCTGCTGCTGGTGGCATGTGTGTAAATAAGTGGCTTGGGTGTTCATCTTGCGGCGTTGGCTAACTAAGGCGTTGGCGACGGTGGTGTTACTGTGTTGCTGTAGTTACTGTAGTTACTGTTCTAAGAATCAGATGACAACCATATGTGCATAATGGGTATATGATAGGGACTATTCATTTATCCTCCAGTATAAGCGCATGTTCCAAAAAGCATGCTCTAGCTCCTCGAAAACCGGCAGTTTGAGCGAGCCCACGCCTTGCAAAAAGGTATCCAAGACAATCGAGTCCGTCGATTCCAGGGGTCCGCCAAAGACGAGCGCAGGAGACCTAGGCAAGAGACGTTCGAGATGTGACTTTTCCGCGCCGGGGCAGAAGAGGAGGGACGACTCGTTAACAAGCTCGAAAGCGGCTGGATGATCGACTGCTCGGATGGAGAGGGTCTCGAGGAGCTGTTTGTCGAGGGTGTTGAAGACAGGATCTTGCGCACAGACATTTACCTCTATATAAGATATCAGTATGAGCATTTTTCATAAGAAGAAATATCTTTATATGGACAAGAGGGAGGAGGTACCGAAAAAATCAGAGACGGTCGCCAACGCAGCAAGCTGGTACATCGACACAGAGCGACGGTCAACCCATCCCCCACGAAGAAACCCGCTCGGACTACCCAGTCCGATACAGATGATGGAGGTTATATCAGCTGGAGCTGTATGGTGTTGGTGGTTCTCGAGTTCCCTCCGGACAGCCGCGTAGGTCGCTGAGGATTCCCATCGGGCGCGATGAAAGGCGAACTGCTCCGTCAGCTCGGTGAGGGTGAGCCCGCGCGGGGGTTCCGCGGGGGGCAACTTGATCTCTGCTTCATTTCCATTGTCCGTGTTCGCGTCTGTGTTATTTGTATTGTTTGCGTTTGCGTTTGCGTTGTTCTGGTGGACGGCGCGGCGGGCGTGTCGGGTCGTGGTGACGTGCGTCCAGCCGTGGTCGTCGGTCACTTGGAGGCGTTTCTGTGGGATTGGTTTCTTTTTGCGAGAGGAGTGGGGCATGATGCTTAGTCCATTTTATAGATATTATTCTTGATAGTAGTTCGTATACCTAGTATACAATGAATGTAGTATGGGGGAAAAAAATATCTATGATGAAAGAATGTGGGACATCAGAGGTGAAGGTCCACTACGACAGATCGACTCCACAACTGAACAAGACAAAGTGTTAGCTTACAGTTGATGCAATTGTTTAGTGTATACCATCAGAGGTCAAGGTAGTAATGAGTTTCTGATATTAATAATGCATGGGTGGGTACATGACCATTTGCATCTCCTGTCCCTGCTCGACTCGGTGCTCGACTTGGGCGCCGCTTTGCTGCTGATACTTGTGCAGAGTCGCTCGTTCGTTTATTTGAACTAGAGCCGAACTCTTCCAGAGATGGAAGTCGTCACAAGAGGGGGTCCCCGGTATAGACACAGGGGAATGCATGTACTACATGGTAGGATCTACCTAGATAGTTAATGTAACTACCTACGGAGTACCTCCTAGGTAGGTATGTAGGAGGTAGTTACTTAGTTAGTTATCAAGCAGAGATGTTTATCGCTTAGTCATCTTGCTGACTCAGCCAGTTCCTTACCAGCGACATCATTAATCTTCTCCTGTTTGTTCTTATGCCGATGACTGAGTTACTATTAGTTTATTAACTATGGAGTTGACTGCAGGCTAATATGACACTAATACTAAACTAATTAGCTAGTCTTGATATAAAAGAGCTTGTTGATTCTGCAAATAATATGTAGAACTAATAAGAAATATGGAGTAACCATCCTCGCATCGGCTCATAGCTTACGACATCATACCACGCACCACCACATATCCATCAGGAGACGAGACAAGTATATCAACCAACGACTATTCTGACAATATTCCGCATATCCTCTGACAAACTCCATCTAAGCGCCGTGCTGTTGTTAGTGCCGAAATGGGCGCTTTGCCGTCCACGAATAACCGCCCGTATCGCCCACTCGGCACTCGGCGCGGAAGTGATGGACGTGCATCGTGCCCTGTCACTGGCCGTTGTCGACCTGCAGGCTGGTCACATCCATCGTCCTGAGGGGACCTCAAAAAAGTCTTGGTCTGCTTGTTTCTCGTCTTTTCGAGATGATCGTCCAATTTTCTTTTCTTTGCTGTGTTGCGTTCGGTATAGAACCACCTGGAGGATAAGCGGGCTGTCCTCTTCTTCCCTCTCCATCATAATAAACAGCAGCAGCAGCAGAAGCAGAAGCAACAGCAGATGTCTCGATTACTACTCCTCATCCTCGCCATCTCAGGCCTGACGAGCCTGGCACAAGCTCACACCGTCATCGTCTACCCTGGCTACCGAGGGAACAATCTACACACAAACGGAACCGTCGCGGAGGCCAACGGACTAGGAACAGCCTGGTACAATGATTCCTATATCTACCCGTACGGCATGATGTGGGAATATCCATGTACGTAATCGTCCTTTTTTTTTTTTTTTTTTTTTGTGGGAAGAAAAAAACTGATAATTCAGGCGGCGGAATGCCCACGTCTACAAATCGCACGAAATGGCCCGTCAAGGGCGGCGCCATCTCCGTCCAACCAGGCTGGTTCCAGGGCCACGAGACGGCCTTGATCTACATCAACCTTGGTCTAGGCAGTGTCCCCGAGAATATGAGCCATGTCATGCTCTCGCCGTTTCAGATCATTGGGCCCTCGGATAACCCGTACCCGGGTACCTTCTGTCTGCCGCAGGTTCCCCTGCCGGCCAATATGACGGTCAACGTGGGCGATCATGCAACTATCCAGGTCATCGAGGTGGCAGTGCACGGGGCTGCTTTATATAATGTATTACCACTGTTTTCCTGGTGTCGATGTTTTCTGTGAAGACGAGGCTAATATAATTAGTGCGTCGATATCGAGTTTGCCGAACCCAAGGACGTCGCAGAGGTGACGCCCGAAAACTGCTTCAACTCGAGCGATATCTCGTTTGCAGAGGTGTTTACGACGACTTCGTTAAGTTCGGGGGTGGAACGGACGGTATCAACGAGTTTCCTTTTTCTTTCCTTGCTATCTCTGGGGGTAGTATTATACAATGGCGTTTAGTTTTTCTTCCCCCCTCCCCCCCCTTTTTTTTCATGAAAGTATATAGGAGTTGGGTATGGCGTTTACTCGTCTAGTTATTTATTTGTTTTCTCGACAGCTAGCAATATCAATAATCACATTAGCCACTTCTACCGGGCATTCCTGCGGCGCCCAGTGCCCAACGCCGTCGAGAAGGACAGCGCGGCGGAAATCCAGACAGACGGATCCGTCAAGCATCTTTTCCAGCGCCCGAGGCTCCTGGTAGGTGCCCCAGTCGAGCCGGCCAGAGACATACGCACAAGGGACCTCGATCTTCTTGCCGGCGAAGAGGTCAAAGTCGCGCGTGTGCTGCCCGCGCGTCGCCGTCCGCACGCGGTACCAGTTCAGTCCGCCCTGGAAGCCCGTGCGGGCGTATTCGGCCGCATAGACGGCGAGCTCGCTGTCGGGCAGCCAGACATGCGACCTCGCTTGTTCTTGGGCGGATAGCGCGTCCATCTCAGCGCGCACGGCGGCGGGCATGGTCGCCTCGACGGGCATGATGTAGTACGCCGGCAGGTGGAGAAGGGAATCCGCAGACCATTTCTGCAGTGGGTGTGGATTGTTTCCCGCCCACGACCCGCTCTTGAGATGGAAGTAGTTGCGTAGAAAGACGTGGAGGCCCTCTGGCGGGTTGGTCATGTCCTGGTTCGCGGCCGGGGTCGAGTTGTACCATTTGTAGTGTTTTTTCCCGAGACGACGCAGAGCGACACGAACGTCTCCTGCCGCCGATTCCACTCCAGAGCTACCATCATTTCTATTGTTATAATTTTCGTTATTTTCGTTATCTTCCTTCTTGCTGGTCTCTGGCAAAGGACTCCCGTTGAAAGGATGGCTGAGCAGGACGAGGCTGTGGAAGAGATCGGGCCGGATCAACGCACACAACGAAGCAGGCACGGCACCGCAGTCGTGGCCCACGACACATCGGACAGCCCGGTATCCCAGGGCATGGACTAGCAGGACGCAGTCGCGCACGAGGGTTGTCAGCGAGAAACTGGCCAGGTCCACAAAGTCGAAGGAGCGCGTGTCCCAGCCCGTTGTGCGGCCGAACCCTCGCTGGTCCGGGGCCACGGCATGATACCCCTGCGCGGCGAGTAACGGCAGGACTCGCCGCCAGGAAAACGCCAGCTCGGGAAATCCATGCAGCAGGAGGATCAGCGGTCGGTCGTGGCCGGGGGAGAATCCGGCTTCCAGGAGGTGGAAGGTGAGGTCGGAGGTGACCACCGTGCGGCTGCTCACTGCGGGGGGGAGATGATCATCTAGAGACATGGCTGTTTATAAAGCTAATGGCTGATGGCTACTCATAGCTTATCTGAATATGATTCGTACGGAAAATAATTCGGTATGTCTGCATAGATATGATTCCTGCCTGCATTGCATTTATACTGTCCTGTTGGCTGCATATCAGGTTTAGGCATATGGTTTAGCCGTGACGTTAGACAGGATGTACAGAAAACGGTGTAATGAGTACAAGTATTAGACATCGTACAGAAGGTAGAGATTGTGTAGCACAGTAATATAGATTATTATATAGAGGTAGAATGAGGATACTGCTGTAAAGACTTGGGCTAATACTACATATTATGGAGAACTGGGATACTATTCATTTCAATATTACCTCAACCTGGTATCGGGGATTACAGATAATAAATACTAAAATGAATAGTAGTTGTTTTATATTTAAGATAATTTTATTAGATTGTGTTGAGAGTACTCTCTACTGTGGTTTAACTATATAAATCCTACTACATGAATAAACTATTTTAACTATATTTATTACTTATAAAATCTCAATACAGAATTGATCAAGAATGAATAAATGAATAAATCAATAAATCAATAAAAGAGCCATAATAATTAGAATAAAGATCTTCACCAAATCTAACCAAGGTTGTCCGAGTTTCAGTCATGACGCAACGCCAGCTGTCGCTCGTCCGCACGTTTTTCCCCTTGGCCTGCCGCCTCACATTCGCACCTCTCCTTCTTCATCCTCTCCGTCCATCCCCACGGCGCCTCCTGTCCTCCTGCGCCCGCCCTGCCGCGCCCCTGGTTGCTGCCTGTCTTTTATCTGGCCCCCAGGCTCAATTGTTGCTTCAATATTCATCGTTGCAACCATCCGTGGGTTCCGCCGTGGGTCGTTTTTCTTGTGTGCTTGATTCTCGCGAATTTTTGAAGACAGTCCGGAGTCGATTTGATACCAGAGACCAATCAATTTGGTTTTTTTTTTGTTCTAAAAAGAAAAGGAAGAGTCCTCGTTATATATTGTCCGCCTGCCTAGAGGCCGAACGGCCTCGCACCACCACGGCGGTCCGTCAGCCATGTTTCGTCGTCGGCGGAGCTCGTCGCATCATCAGGTAGACTGCAGTCCATCATCTGATCATCAAACCAAATGCTTCTTGGGTGCAGCCGTGCTGACTTTTTAGCCCCTGAGTACCGCCTCCTCGCAGTCCGCCCAGTCCGCTGCCACCCATGCCTTCCTTAAATCCCAACCGTCGACGACGAGCCTCTCGTCTGCGGCCGCGGCCGCCGCCCTGCGGAGTCTCACGCCGACTCCAACTCCGGTCGACCAGGTACAGACCAAACGCATGCAGCGCCGTTCCTCCGTCTCTGCCCACCCCAACCCGGCTGCCGCGGGGAGCCGTCCTGGCAGTGCTCGTGCCCTGCGTCGCTCCAGCAGCTCCGGCTCCATGACCTCCAGGACTTTTCGAGACCAGTCGCCTCGGCGGCCCGCCACCAGTGGAGGGCCGGTCGAGGTGCCGCCGCCCCTGCCGGCCATGCCCCAGGCGTTTTCCGCCCGCAAAGAAGCCCCTCGACGTTCCGTGAGCATGGATCCCTCGATGCGCATGAATCCTGCCGCCGCCATCAAGACCAGGCAGTCGGGGCGGGGTGTTAGTGTCGATCGAGAAGCCAAGGCGATCTCGGCTAAACCGCCGCCGCACCGCACAGTGCCCATGGGTACTCTGCCGGAGGTCGAGCGTTCGGCGAGCAGGAACTCGATCAATTTTTCCTACCCGATCAATGCGCGGAATAGCTCGCCTCGCCAATCGCCCGTCCTCTCGAATTATCCGAATCCAACAACTGCCACCGCCGACCATGAGGATCGAGCATCTCCCGTTAACGGGCTGTCGTCGGCAGAGGTGGGATTTGTCCAGGAATCAGTCATCCAGGCGTCTAACCGGCCCGTTCGGAAGAGATCGAAGCTCCTGGCCCCCGGCAGCGTGGAAGGATCCCATCTCGCGGCAACATCGGCGGGTGTACAGCCCACAGAAACGGCGGTCGCTGCCGCCCAGGCCGCGAGCGTTAACGGCAACGGCAACAAGAGACCCGAGCCGAGATACGATGCATACACCCGCGTCGCTTCACCTGCAGGAAGCTCCGACCACACCGACTCTCTCCCTTCATCACCGTCGTCGCAGAAGGCACAATCTGACCCGGGTGTCCGTTGGGACCCGCCCACGCGTCCCCCTTTTAAGAAGCGCCCGTCGACCGTGCCGGAGGAAAAGGAAGAAGAGCAGCGGGCGGAGGCTGCCGAGACCGGAGATGAATCTATTGTTCATCGAAGTGGTGGCAATGTCGCCAATGGATTGTTCACCGGTCCGCAACAGGCCAGACTGGCCGAGGAGCATCAGGTCTCATCGGCCGCGAGCTCTCTGCAGAGCTCACCGATCGGGGAACGGGCGGTCGGCTTACATTCACTGGGCGAGTCACGACCCATCAGCCCGACGGTTGCATCTCGCATGGCGGAACTCCACCCGGAGAGTTCGCAGGTCCCTGCCCGCCAGTCGAGTAGTCCCGGGCGATCGGCGAGATTTGCCAATCGCCTGTCAGTCACCGGAGCGGGTGATGTGCTGCACGAACCGCCCCCCCGATCGGTCTCGCCGGCCAAATCTGCGTTGAAACATCCTCAAAAAGACTCGTTGTCCCCAGACAGACGACCCGGCATCACGGTCCGTGTCGGGCAGACCCCCAGTGAGATTTCCGATGCTACCTCCATTGCATCCGATGAAGGTTCCCGGTTGGGTTCTCGGAAGAAGCATGCCAAGGTGAGCTTCGACGATGAGGCCGAGGTCGTCGGCGTGGCGGCAAGCCCTCCCACGTCGCCCGAGGATATCACCCCGGACTCGTCGCCACCGGGCAAGACCAAGTCCAAGGCGCATTGGTTTAGTATGGGCCGCAAGAAACCCCAAGGTGGCCTAGACCTCGCCGACGGAGACGAGTTTGGCGACGTTCTCCGGCCCCGTCCCGCCCTCCCATCCTTTGGCAGTATCCGTGGAGCAACGAGAGACCTGAACCAGGTTCTCACAGAAGATCCTATGAGTGATGATGACGAATCAATCGCTTCCTCCACCCACGCGGAGACGAGAGCTCTGCCTCTCTCCAGTGATCACGCGATTGGTGGTATTCTCGTTAATGCCCGTCCAGCAGCTGACGCGGTCCCCGAGCATCATGCTCCTGACAAGCTCTCCGATACTAACACTACTACTACTACTACGACTGTTAAACCTTTTGTGGATGTGACAGGCGTGCCTGCAGTGGAGATTGAAGATGCATCTCCAGTCTCGTGGCCCGGCGATGATGACCGCCATATACCCGCGCCCACTGACGCGGAAACCGATAAAATTGTCAGATCAAATTTACCTATACCCATTATTGCAGTGCAACCGGCTTCTCCAGAGTTGGAGAAGGAGAGGTCAAGCCTTGAGCTCTACCGGGTACCTGGAGGTTTCCCAAGATCATCAACCCATGAGACGCTTGTCAAGGCCACCGCACCTAATAATCAGCCAGCGGAGAAAGAGGCTCCTCCGCCCGAGGCACCTTTGGAGAATCATACAATCGACATTGAAGATGATGATGACTCAAGTATTTACAGTGATGCCGCAGAAGATCTGCTCGACATTGAGGGCGATGGCTTCGGATCAATCAACGCCGTTGTCGAGAGCCCAGAAGAGCTGCAGCCAATGGGATTGGCTCTGACTACTACTTCTGCTGCTCCGCCCTCTCCTCCCACAGCATCAGTTCTCACGCGAGCTGAACCTGCGTCGCCAGTTTCTGACGAGAGAGTTTCTCCAGTGCGCGCCCAAGCCAATGCTAGAAATACCAACAAGGCGCCATCACAGTCTACCCGGCTGTCAATGGTCGTGGCTCCCGATCCGCCATCATCGAAGAACGACACGGACGCCCTGCCGTTCGTTTCACCGTACCCTCCATTTCCCCTGGCCGGCAAAAATAACGCAGGAGAACCATCACGTTCTAATGGAAATGGGAAAAAGACCAAGCGACCGATGTCCGTGGATGCTTACGGGAGTACTACTACTACTACTACTACTACTACTACTCGACTGCGCGACGCAGGACCTATCTCGGATGGTCGGACCAACGGTAACATGACATCTCGCGCCGCGCCCACCGCTGCGCCGGAACGACGTAGCAGTCAGAGACCCGTGTCTATGGGTCCGGGCTTGCAGATCAACGGACGGCCCAACGGTCAACCACGGAGGACGATGTCGAATGGAAGCGACTCGTCGAGTAGTTTCAAACGATCTCCTTTACCACCGTCGAGGGCGCCGGAGAAGAAGATGTCCATGAGACGGACGATGCGCGACGGCAGTCCCCGGGTGCAGTCTCCCACGGCGCGCCCGATGTCGCCGAACGAGCGGAAGCCCTTTTCATCCGCTGTAACAACGGGGTCGATGCGCACTACGATGCGACGAGGCGGCGAGAAGCCAGCTGCCTCCTCCTCCTCCAAGGCCAACAACGCCAATACCTCATCGCGATTGACAAAGGCCTCTGCAATCCGCTTTGGGTCCCGGTTTGATGACTCGGACGACGAAGGGCACGCGCCGCGGACGTTCCGCAGTCGGTTTGCGGACTCAAGCGATGACGAAGACGATCAACCGTCGGTCACGAGGAGTAGGCACCTGCGGCCTGTCCGTGGAATCCCGCGGCAGAATGGCGCGCATGACGGGGACTCGACGGAACTGGAAGACAGCTCGGATGATGATGATGATGATGATGATGATGTCGGAAAAAGGCCCGCTGCGGCCTCCGCTTCGATCTCCGCTCCCCGCCCGGGCCTGAAGCGCGAGAGACTGTCGGATCCATCTGGACTGGCCGCTGTGGCGCGGTCGCGGGGTGTGACTCGCGAGGAACTGCAGGACCTGATGCGGCAGCCGAGTCGGAAATCCGGTCTTCTGAGCCGGTTCGGACGATCGAAGAAGCCGTCGATGTCGGCGAAGAACGCCAAGTCCGGCGAAGAGTTTACGCCTCATTACGTCGCGACGGTGACTAGCAACATGCCGGTCGAGTCGCCCAGCTCGTCGCCTCGACTGCAGAAACGGATGTCCAAGAAGCCCCCGCCGCCGCAGCCCAAGTCGACCCCGACCCCAACAACGACTTCGAACAACTCCTCCTGGCCGCTGCGCGGAGAGTCCGACCGGCCTCGCACGGCGGACGGGGCGGGACCCAGAGTCCTGTCGCAGAGTCCTGTTCCGTGGGAATCACAGGTGGCCACGTCGGACGTGATGATCACCGGGTCCGGGCGGAAGAAGCGGTTTCCATCTCTGCGGAGAGTGTTTGGATTGCGATGACTATCCGTGCATGGAGACTCATATTTCGTACTTTGATGATTGGCCATTTGACTTTTGACCTTCTCTGACATATTACTTTGATCTTATTGACTTTTTGACGATTCATGTACAAGATACAATAAGACTGAGGACAGTCTTGTTTTGATACCCGATATAATTATTACTATTATTATTACTATTACTATTATTATTATTATTATTCAATATTTTCACCATTAACTTTTCTCCTATTATTATTTCTATTATTATCACCTCCTTTCTCGCGTCAAATTGACAGTTTACAGTGGCAAGCGGAGAAGTGAGAAGTACCTCGGCGTCCACCGTGCAGAAATTAGGTAACAGTTAGGCAGCAGCTCTGAATGGAGTAGCAGTAGCTATGACCTTGTCCTATGTAGTAGCTAGAAGGTAGTTAACTAGTTCATGGTAGTGTTTGTTTTGCTCGGTAAGTATTACCGGATCCCCAACCTCTTCTCGTCTCCAGCTCAGCCATCTCCAGCCTCCATCTCCATCTTGGCTCCATCTTGTCGTTCCAAGGTCCTGTTTCGGGAGGCTGGTCCACTCGCCGCTGTTGAAAATTACTAGCATAGTACTGACCTGGTAGTAGGTACTTACCTAGATTAGTACTAGGTACCTACCTAATGTACCTTAGGTACCTGGTACTCTGTAAGGTACTCCGTACTCTGTACTCGGTAAATAATACCTATAGAGTACCTAAGAGTGGACAATCGATAGATCCTCTTCAGCTCTGCGCGACGCACCCTCCAACCAAACCCACAATCGGTCTAGACACGGTCCATCTGCGTGAGACACGATTGGCGATCGCCAGATCAAATCAGAAGCTCGGAACTTGCGCAATTCGATACAAATGTACATGGCTGGGAGGGTTTTTTTTAGCCGCTGGGAGCCGTGGGCCTCCGTTCTTCTCCGTATACAGGGTGGATCGACGCGCTGAGACCTGAGCTGGCTGAGCTGAGCTGAGCTGAGAAGCCGATGTGTCCACGTAGCTAGTAGCTAGTTAGTAGGTATGAATATTACAGTCGCCGTATCATTCTCATTCATACTCTTAGAGTGAGTTGGATTGAGTATGAGTATGATTTTACCAAGAACAATTCAACAATTGATTGATAATAAATAGTAAAATGTTATAATATTCTATGCAGTATACTCATGTATGTGTTAGTAGTAGTTAGTAGTAGTAGTAGTAGTAGTAGTAAGTGCCTCGGCTGCGTTGCCATGGTAATCTGTATTGTATTGCGCTAGCAAACTACCCCGTAAATGATAAACACCGCATGTGAATTGGGAATACGTGGACAGACGGAATACAAACGATTGTCAATTACGAGTCGACGTGTACGGAGTAGACCAGTCTCGGATGCCAATGCTCCACGGAGTTGAATGAGTAGGGAGAGAATGGGAAGGAGAAGAAGAAGAACACGCCGAAGAAGAATCAATCTTGAATGCTCCATACTACATACTACTACAAACTTGTAGAAGAAGAAGAAGAAGAAGAAGAAGATATTGTATATGGTAAGTATACAGTAACTGTAGATTCCAAATCTGGCAAGGCGTTGTTTACAAACACGCGGTGGGCGCAGGACATAAACCAGCCCCTCCTCCTCCAAAAGCTGGCTCTCATTCCTTCCTCCCTCTTCCATTCCACATCTCTCATTCTCCCCATCTTCCATTCTTCATCTCATCCTCGTGAGAAGCTTAGCAGCCCTTGGAGCAGCTTAAGCTTAATCGTACGTTAACGTACCTCTTTTTCGGTCTCCCCCGCGAGAAAGAAGCCCCCCGTCGGTCTTTTCTTGTCTCGCCTTTCGCCTTGCTCCGCAACGGTTCGAAAGGCATTCGAGAAAGGACTCCCAAAGGACAGTCAATCTGGACTTTGACGCCCGCGTCCCCATCCCATTCAGTGTCTTCCCGTCGTCGTACCGGAGTGACGCTGTCTCTGAAACTACTCTGACACGAGTAGAGGGAGAGGTCAATCTTGATACCACTTCGCGCGTCGAACGGGAAGATACTCGAATCCACACTTCCACTCTCCCGGACCCCCGCGTCTACGGAAAGGAAGAAGTCGATCTTCGCATTCGTGACGATCGTCGTGTGCAGCAGCAGTATCCCGCTCAGCAGCAGCAGCAGCAGCAGCAGCAGCAGAGCTACTCCTCTTACTCCTCTTCTGAAGAGCGTATAGTCGATACCCGCTATCAGGGAGATTACCAGGCTCAAGGAGGCTATCAGGCTCAGACTGGTTATCAGACTCAGGCAGAAACCCGCTATCCTCAGGTCGACCTTGCCCGTGAAAGGTATGTTTTTTTCATTTCATTGGCTTTGTTTTGTTTTGTTTTATTTCCAATCGTATTGTTTTTCATTTTCAATACCTGTCCACCGCCACTTTACACGAGAGGGTGGGCCGCCTACGCAGTCTATATGCAATAGGGCGTATCTAGTCTTGTTTACTTTTCCCCCCCGCCCCCCCCCCCCCCCCCCTGCCCCCATCGTTACGTGTCATATATAGACCACCCAATCGGGGGTCAACATCTCTTTTCTTTTTGTTTACATCTTGTGACAATATCTTACTGACGCGGCCTGCCTTCCCCCTTCTTCCCAACCTCCAGCTACCGTCAACCTTCTGCTCAGTTCGAAGAACGTCAGACTTCTTCTTCCACTACCTACGAGCAGAACGTCGACTCTCAGTTAGATATCACTGAGCGTGAATATCGTCGTCGTACCTCTCCTGAATACGAAGTCGACGTCTCTTATAACCGTCGCTACTCTCCCCAAGCCGACGCGTTCGAGTCCGCCTACGCAGGTCAGCCCGCCGACTTCTCCTACGAGAGGTCTAGCTCCCAGTCCCAGCGTTTCGAGTCGGCCCAAGACACCCCGGTCGCCGCTGCTTACACTTCGTCCTCCCGTCGCGAGCTCGAAGTCTCCACCCTGCCTCGTCGTTCTTCCGAAGAGGTAGACTACACCCAGACCACCACCACCACCACCGTTACCGAAGACTCAACTCCTCGCAAGATGGGTTACTACGACGACGAGGGTCAGTACCACTCCTTCCGCCGCGGTGTCGAGCGTGCCGCCGACCGCCTCCTCCACCCCTTCCAGCAGGACCGTGAGGAGGTCGTCGTCCCCGACGAGCGTGGTCCCACCCGTATCCGTGACGGCGTCCGTGAGGATGTCCGCATCGTCGAGCCCCGTGGCGGTGCCAACGGCGAGAACGTTGCCATCCCCTGCCACTTCATCCGCATTGGCGACATCCTCATCCTCCAGGGTCGCCCTTGCCAGGTCATCCGCATCTCGGTCTCGCCCCTGACCGGCCAGCACCGCTACCTGGGTGTTGACCTCTTCACCCGCCAGCTCCAGGAGGAGTCCAGCTTCGTCTCCAACCCCTCCTCCTCGGTCGTTGTCCAGACCATGCTTGGCCCCGTCTACAAGACCTACCGCATCCTTGACCTCCGCGAGGATGGCCGCATCGTCGCCATGACCGAGTCTGGTGATGTCAAGCAGGGTCTCCCCGTCATCAACCAGGGCCAGCTCTTCCAGAAGATCCGCCAGGCCTTCTCTGATGGCCGTGGCAGCGTCCGTGCCCTGGTTATCAACGATGGTGGCCGTGAGCTTGTTGTTGACTACAAGGTCATCCACGGTTCTCGTCTGTAAATGTACGTTCTCCATTGTTTTACCTTATCTATCTCTTACCTTCCTTGCCTTGCTAACTGTCCCAGGGATGATTCATGACAATGTTTGTATCTCGGGTAGGATGGATAGGAATGACCATTGCAACCTTCTTGTATCTCCATAGCTGTAACTAGTCTAATCCATTCCAGTTATGATCTACTTAATGCCTTATCTTCATGTAACTTTGTAACATAAGCATCCCTTTCATACTTTCCCTATATTATAGAATCTAGTCAATTCATTTGATGATCCATGCATGTACAAAGAACTTGTTCAAATGTCATTATATCACAGGAAGCAAATGAAGATAGATGGTAGTCATCTAAACCGAGGCAAGTCCAAACCCATATGCTGGTGTGTGTAGTATTGATGATGAAGCAGGGAACAAAAACAAAAAAAAATAGGGTGAGAGAGAAGATGAATAGCAATTCAAGCAATTGACCCCGACCCGACCGAACGCCATGGTTTTCCCTCCTTAGTTATACATCGTGAAGAACAGGGTATCATGCAGATGGAAGAGAGTTGGAAGCAGGAGAGGGAGATGGGAGGATAGGATAGGATATATAAGGCGTGAAAAGTTCGGAACATAGTGAAGTTAAGGCGTTTTATGAGGAGGTTTTTCTTCTTCTTTTTTTCCCCTCACTTTTCACCATATTTCCCATACTCCTGCTGCCATTTGAGGAGATGACGAGTGAGTACATCCATCATCTCTAAACTGGTCAGGTCTGTGAACGGCTTCTCCGCGTTGTTTTCGCTGCTGTCTCTCTCGCCGCTCCCGCCAGGTAGGGACGAGGTGTCTGCCTCGCTGCCCGTTAGGATCCCGTCCATCTGTTCCGCTAGATGTTTGATGAAACCACTGTTGCGGTTGCTGTCGCTGTTGCTGTTGCCGTTGGGTTGTTGTTGTTGTTGTTGTTCACCGCCGCTCGCGCCGGGAGGGGAGCTGCCCCCCGCTGCGGCCATCTCTACCTGCATACGCGAGATGAACTCCAGGATCCCTGCCACCCGGCGCTTCATGTCGTTCATCGTTGTCCGCTGCGGGTTCATGTACCGCGGCCGGCTGGGCTTGCCGGACTCGCCGCCATTCACGTACGTTCCATTCGCACCTGGCAACCGCGGCGAGTCTGCCCCCGTATCGAGTGACTGGCCTCGCCGCGGTGAGTTCGCCATGTAGCTGTCAGTCCCGTTGGTATCGCGATCACGCGTGTACTGGTTGCGCCCAACACGCCCGCCTCGACGTGCGGCAGGGCGGCCGGACTTGCGTGTTGACGGCCGGGACGGCGCGGATTCTTGGGTCAGCACGGGGGTTTCGGGGCTTGGCTGGGGCGGCTCAGGCTCTATGGTGAGGGTTTTGGCTGGCGAGGCGGTTTCGTGATCCGATTCTGTATCTGTAAGCCTGACTGACATTCACTCAATTGAAACCAAACAGAAAAAAAGGAGAAGAATTGATATCCGTACCATCGCCTTTTCGTCGCTCTGTTCGGACCTTCCGACGGTTACTCTCTGCATGTTCCAACTCGGCCTCTTCGATATCTTTGCTTTCCTTGTCACGCTGAGTGCGAGGGATAGGCCTGGGTTTCTTCGCTCCGTTGGTGACCAGCTTCGTTTTTGATTCGTCCTCGGAGACAGGCTGGGATGCTGGGTTGCTTTGTTTGGAAGCTGCTGTCGGAGATGGGGAGCTTGTACGTGGTCGTTTACTGGCCTGCCGGTTTCTGTGAAGAAGGGGGAAAGCATGTCAGCGATGATTCGCGGCCTATTGGGTTTAGCGGGTGAACGAACGCTTCACTGTCACTTCTGCTCCGTTTCGCTCGCCTGGAAGCCAGGTCTTCCGTGGTAATCTTGGTGTCCTCTTTGCTCTCTTCAATTGCACGGCGAAGCTGTTCCTCTTCGTCGTAGGCAGCCTCCCTGCTATTCATTGTAGATCGACGTTTCGGAGGAACTCCCGTGTCATTGTTCCGGGTCTTCGGCTCTCGTGCAGCTCTAGAATTGTCGCGGGAGGAGGCTCGAGAGGAGACGGCTGGGGAGGGAGGAGCGACAGGTAGGTACTGCGAGAAGAGTCTCCTGGATGAGGAAAAGAATATATTGTCAGCGACAGTTTTTTAAGGGGTGAGGGGTAGCGTCAAAGGGAGGTAGTTGATGGCAATTGAGCTGATCGGCTTTGGGATAAAACTTTTCTGGGACCGAGAAAGAGACAAAGTAATAAAGAAAAAAAACTGGATGGCTAAAAAAGGAAGAATATTGAGTGTAGGTAATAAAAGACAAAAGACTCACCCATCTGCTTCATGTTTAATCCTGTGAAGGTCCTTGCGACACTCCTCGCAAAAATATTCATCGGGGCTCATGGCCTCATCCATGATGCCCACGCAGCCACCATGCTGCCACACCTTGCACCTGTCGCACTGGATGAACATGCTGCCGATATCATCGGACAGAGGGTCCAAGGGATCGCCAGCCGTGTTGGCAGCCGTCTCGTCCTTGATGCCAGACGCGGCGCCCCGGCGACCGAGCAGCCCCTCATACCTCGAGGGCGGCAAGCCAGGGTAGTCCTGCTGCTTGCACAGACATCTAGTAATCTCTTCTTCCTCTTCTGCATCTTCATCCTCATCGTCCTCGCCCTCGGCGAGCAACGGGTTCTGCTCGTCGCTCCGGGTGCGCTGGCGCTGGCGGGTGTGTGGGAAGTCCATTTTCGAGTTTCCCTCGACACCGTCGATGGACTGCGAGCGTTGGACCGAGGGTCTTTGAGGAGAAGGGTTTTTATGATTTGATCGCGTGTTCCTCTCGCGAGTCAGAGATCCCGAGGAGCTGGAGGAGTTGGTGTGCTGGAGAATGGCCGGCGAGGGCTGAGTACGAGCACGGGAGGAGCGACGAGGGGTCATGGCTGCAAACCCAGGATCCTCTGCTAGAGAAGCCACGGCAGGCGTGTCAATAGTCTCTGAGAGACAAGAAAACCAGATTCTGGATCAAACAGGGGCCCAGATGGGAGAGTAGAAGCTGCCTCTCTCAGATGGCGAGCTGTCGCACGCGATGGGAAGAGCTAGCAAAAGCCCGTGGAAAAGCCCACAAATGACAGGGGGGAGGGAGGCAATTGCAAGGCAGATTCTGACTGTTCACAGGCTAAACAGCATCCTCTGTAACCTGGGGCCAGGGCCAGAAGGCTACATAGTATGGCGAGGGGAGGACTGGAGGGAGCGGGGAGCAGGAGAGAGAAAGGCGGGCGAGCAGGACCGGAACGGGATGATCGTTTCTTCTGCCTCGCTGGGCCCTGGATTCTGCGCCCTCCAGCCAGCACTGGTTGGCACCCCTTCCCACCAAGAGGGAGGAAATGGGACTCACAGGAAAAGGAGATGGAAAAGAAATGAAAAACACAGAAATATTTATTCGATGCGTGCAGAAAGCCCCCTCCCCATCCCCCTCTGCTCTCACTCTTCGCAACGAGGCCTTTGCGCGTCCTCGAGTCTGCTGCTTACCTGATCCAAGGGCGATCTGCCATTCATTCCGCATCAAACCCCGCTCGCAACCGCTTTCGAACGAAGCGCTCGTTCCTGCGCAGAGCCCAGACATGCCCTCCTTACCTCTTCTTCTTCTCTTACATCGAGAGGTCTTATTTTTCAGACAATACTTCGTACGGATGGTGTGTTTGGGACTCTGTGGCTGCTAAATATCACCTCTGCGTGAGCTTCCGCTGGCTGCCCGAGGCACACCACGAATTGTCTCTGCCTTCCCTCCGTTTCTTTCAGCACATGCACGCTCTATGGTGATACCCGTTTTGTGTTACCTTGTATTGGACTGAGGGGATTATCCTGTCTCTAGACTTGGTGTTGCGTGTCAGAGAGAGAAACCCGGTGTCTTGGGATCACGGAGATTTGAGGAACTCGCTTTGTACTATGTGGGATTCTGACCATTCAACCAGAAAAGAAAAATCTCGAGATTTTTCCTTTCAAGCCTCTGGCCTTTGTTTGGCATGAATTAAGTTCGGTTTGACTCCTATCACCCCAGGTGGATCGAGAACTCTTGTCTTGGGCAGACAGCTCGTAGACCACGTGGATGCAAGCTATGCAGGCATATTCGGGTACTCTATATACCACCAGGCAGGTTCTTTCGTTGCTCTACATGCGTCCTGGCTTTCCTTGAATGGTGAAACCAGCATTGACATGGCTTGCTCTCTTGAGTGCAGGGGCTCTCATTTAACGGATCGTCGACATGGTTGAAAAACCAGTTTAACAACGTTACTCTCCGGGTCACCACTTCGAGCACATCGCCAGGCGCCATGAGATCTCTTCCTGCATACCATGTCTTTGAAACCCTCATACACTGGAGTGGACGTGCCTCGGGACTTATCTAAGATAGCGAAACGTCGAAGGGAATGTCCCATGCAAAAGAGGCCTGGTGGAATGTTTTCGGCGGTTCTTTCCCGCTATCCCTTCCTATAACGGTGTTCTATGCCCAGCTCCGCGAGGCCTGACGAGTCATCGATCATGCTTGATCGAATCGAAGAGATAGAAGTACGGTGTTATTCCTTGGCTGAATTGCTTTAACCGTAGCATGAATATAGATCTTACATCATATATATGGCAATATAGTAAATAGCAAAGAAGACATTCAGAAGTGGTTGATCCCTGCCTTCCTAGAGGTACAGAGTACAGAGTAATATGCTTGCCCTGGCTCCCTGTCCCTGACTCCCTGAGTCAGTGAGTCACGTGGAAGAGCTCATAAATTTAAAGCGGCAGCAGAGACCGCTTGAAAAAGGGAAACCATTTGAATCTACCAAATTTCTACTCCATAATCCCTAGATATTATCTATCTCCGTCCATAATCCCTAACACCCAGAGCCGCCTCCAGACCACACAATAGGATTCTCGCTGTAGGTAATCCAAAAGCCGTGGATAGGACAGGAGGGATCCCTGGGGACAGTCCCAAACAGGAATAGTAGCCCACCAGCATAGAGCGGCAGCCACACCCCGTCCGACTTTCTGCTCAGTCAAGCTCAACGCCAGCACTTCTAGACGCACCCCTCCCTCATCGCCCTGTCGCGCCCTCCTTGTCCTCCGGCAGCCGCCCTCTCTCTTTGAATTCCCTTCTCCCCCCTTTTTTTTCTTCTAATCTCTTCTCTTGGGCTGTGTTCGGCTAGCCGACTGCATTCTCCGCTTGTCTGTCCTTTCGTTGTTCTCGCATTGCCCGCGGTTCCTAAAAGTCTGCATTGCCGGTGCTGAATAATTGTCGGTCTGTGTGTGAGTCTACCCTCCGGCTGGCAGCGACGCTGTACCTTGGTCAATCTCCCGACGTTGGAGGCCGCTGCAGGTTATTGGACCCATAGAGCGAGTGTCTCGCTGGGTCTGGTTGCCTGTGTCGATGTTGTTCGTCATGCTCGTTCATCGCGGTCGTGCTAATTGGGGACCATGTGCAGATTAGGTGTTGAACCGGTTTTGCTGGACCAGAAAAAATTATAATAAAACACTTCAGACTGTTTCTACCACGTATCTCTCAGTGAGATAGGGGGGTCAGAGAAAGACAATAATCGGGGTTGGAACTGTGGACCGATACGTGGACTGTATCCTCTGGATATACGACTGGCTGTGGTGGAGGGCAACCGCTGTGCTACTGGGCATAATGACTGCTACGTTGAGTATGTCTTCTCACCAAAGGATGCCGCTTCATTCGGGGGACAGTGTCGGTGGTTTTCATTACGAAAGAGGGGGATGGGAAAGGTCTGCCGGTCGCTTCGGTTGCTGATACTGTTGTCCACCTGCAGATGGGACGTACAACCCGGCCCCTGATACACCCTCCCCCGTCTATCCGGATCGGTTGATTCGTCCGCTTCCTAAACGCACTCTTCGTTCCCGTCTATCATTAGACGCTGCAGATTCGATCCTATATCCTCCGGCACCCCCGGCACCCCCGGCAGCCCAGCTCTTCTACGGATCCTGTGCAGATCATGCCGACGTGGTGAACGACTCAAAGGTGTACGTGCAGCAGAACGGAGATGTCGACGGTGATGACGCCTCCGAGCGGGAGCAGCAACAACAACATCACCACCATCATCATCATAATCACCCCTACGAAAACGGGGTAGATTTTGAGAGCGGTGAGGAGGATGGTCCTGTCGTGGTCCGTCGTAGTGTATGTTTCCGGGGAGCGTCGCTGTCACCGTCAGCCTCGGGCACCCACCCCGCGGGTTATCAGAGTGATGCCGACGGTGCACAGATGAAGTCACCGTCAGGGCCGGACGGCTACGATGCCTTTGAGAACACTAACAACAAGAAGAAACGCAAGATTCCCATGCCAGGCAACCTCGGCAGCCACCACTCGAACCTCTCTCCGGAGTTCGCTACCATGGGTCTTAGCGGTTCCGCTCCTGCACCTACACCACAAAAGAATAATGCCAACAATGATGGGAACAACACTACAGGGACGTATTATGGTACTGGAAACCCAGCTTCTCCAGTGGGAATCGGCATGTCCGGACCCGGTCGAGGACGACTGGGAGGCCGCAATCCCACTCGCAACGGTAGTGTCCGAAACCCACTGTCGGTACATACGGCAAACACGTGGATCACTTCTCGTGCGCAGACCCGGCGTGACCTTTTCCTCTCATCGCCCGGGTCATCCTGTAAGTTCCCTTTCCCCCCCCCCATTTTTCTTTTCTTAGGAGGAGAGAGCTTGGGGTGAAGAAGGCTCCGTTGCTGACGCTAGAGCTGTAGGCGATTCCTCCGGAAAGACTGACCAAGGTATCATCTCCGCCGCCATCGCCAATGCCGCGGCTTTCTCGTCACCTCTCAAAGGCCCGGGAAACATCAGTCTCCTAGACCAACAAACTAAAACCCCCACGAAAACCCAATTTACCTTCACCTGCGAGTCCGACTCCTCCAAGGGTATGGCTATGCAACCACAACACCCACCATTTCCTCTTTCACAGCAACATCGCTCCCCAACATCTCCCTCGGCCGCCGCTCACGCTCAGCGTGGGTTCGCCACCCAGGGGACCCAAACAAGCCCTAGCATCGCCCACATGAACCAACAAATGCATCAACAAGGTGCTCCATCAGCCCCTCCACAGGCCCCCTCACAGGCCAACGAGTCTGGCACTGCCGAAAAGAAGAAGAAAAAGAAGCGCTCACCCCGCAGCATTTATGCGTTGGCTGCTCGTCAGCGGAAGATTCAACAACAGTATGCCAATCTACACCACCCGCCGAGCATGGAAGACATATGGATCTGCGAATTCTGCGAATATGAAAGCATCTTCGGTCATCCGCCCGAAGCCTTGATCCGGCAGTATGAGATCAAGGACCGCAAGGAGCGGAAGCGATTGGCCGAGAAGAGAAGGCTGCTCGAGAAAGCGAAGATGAAAGGGCGCAAGGGAAAGAAGACCTCCAAGAACGCGACCAAGAATGCTACTCCCCAGCAGGCCTCTCACCAGCATGGCTATGATCGAGCCTCGGTAGACCATTCCTCGATGGACCCCCACAGCTTGCATGACGACGATTATCTTGCCCACGACTATGATGATGAACCTCATTCTGCTCCCGCTCCGCCTCATCCTCCTGCTGCTGCTGCTGCTGCTGCTGCTGCTGCTTCATTCACGCTTCCTCTGCCACCTGGTATGCCTTCCCACGGGGAACATCCCAGCCGCAGCATGAAAGGGGTGATGGATGGAGGAACCACTCGACCGGCTTGACAGGCAGTTGTGCTCAATGCAGATGATATAAACTATGAGCAATCTCGCATATCTCGAGATCTTCTGCTCGACGCCGACGCCATGTCTTTCAAGCGGTGACCTGTCCTCTTTCTCTTCAGCCTTTGTCTTCTAGTTCATTAGTCGTCTTGCATTCTCACTTCCCTTAGCTATTGCATCCTCTATTCTTTTCTGGATATTCTTCTTTAACTTTATGAAATCCCCGCTCTCCAATACGATAATCTGGACAGATACTCGTGTTTATCTCTCACATCACACTGCATCATCCCTATCCTGGCGAATCTATGGCATCCTCCGAGGCTGTTTTCATGACTTCTTCGGTGTTGGTCACTACTGTTGAGCGGCTCTTGGTTTGCATATATGACGGAGTAAATATTCATGAAAACAAAACGTTGGGACCAGCTTCGGGTTAATATGATTGACCTACGAACGAAAAGATGCAACACACAGGAATGCCTGCGTTATGGCTGCTTCCCGTGTCTACTATGGCAGATTTTATGCATAAATATCACAACATCAAGCCCTGGAATGTAGTTGTCTAAATGTCGTATGGAGCTATATATCTAGTAAGCAGTGCCAGCTTCAGCGCTGCAGATAAGAATAAATGAGTAATATATGCCATCAACAAGGCTCCAGTGTCCTCTTATTGCTTCTTTCTATTATGTTATCTTCGAAAATGAGGAAATCTCTGAATAGTGATAATGAAGTTAATGGACAGTCACCAGAGAGCCAGAAGGGTATAAAAAAGACTCTCTCTTTCTTATTATACTAAGTTACTTATTATTCTTTAGTATTCTAATGCATTTTTCTTCTCTTTTCTAGGCTGGTGCCTTTATTTTCTCTACACCTTTTTTTCACTCATCACTTTTTATATCGAGCCTACACGTCAAGATGCAGATTTTCTTAACAGGTTTATTTTTTTTTCTAGAAAAAAGAGTTCTTCTTTTCACTTCACCTTACCTGACCTTCCCTGAATCCTCAGCTTCATTCTTGTCTCAAATTGAATTGAAAGAAGACGCTCTCTTGTACTCGTTTCTACCGGCGTGTTTGCATATTCCTTCCTCATTCACTTCCAAATCGGGAAATATCCATACTTTTCAAATCTATCTCAAAACCACGAAGGGGGGAAAAAATAGGCCTACTTTCAATCATGGACGAAGAATCCGTCACTTACACCATCCACGTCTCTCTCGAGTCCTTCCTCCGCCTGTTCGAAGTTGCCGGCGGCGTCGCAGTCATAGTCCTCTACGGCACCCAGCTGAGCCACCACGCCGACGACACGGCCTTTTACCGCGGATGCGTGTACGCCATCCTGACGGGGATTGTAGCCACCTTGGCCAGTCTGCTGGTGAGCCTGACCCCCTTCGAACTGATCAGCTTGTCGATATATTTCCGCCCAATCTGGTACCATAATCTGCGCCTGCTCCTGCTCGAGCTCGGCATGCTCTTCCTGTGGATCGTTCTCTTCGTCTACTTTGGTATCGCCTATCTCTGGAATCCTGAGTTTGGGATTGTCTCCGAATACGACCCCGAGTACATGGCGTTCATCACTTTGATGAAACGCGCGGCGTGGCTTGATCTCGCGAATGTGGTCCTCTGGTCTACTACGGGGGTGTTTGCCTTGCTCCGTCTCATCCTTAACGAGCCGTATGTCGTCGAAGAGGAGGAGATTTCCTTGGAGGATAATATGCCTGTCGACCCTGTTGTTGTCTGAATGCGTCTTGATACTGTTTGATGGAGAAGAAGAGTCTGGTTCTTTTCTTTTCGGTTCGGGGTTTCTCTTCGGTTCAAACGGTGGTTCTTATTCAAAGCCCTGGTGGCTGTTGTACATGTACCTAGGAAATATCTGGGGCACATAAGTTGAGATACCATCAGAACTAGTATCATGAATTGTCTAGGACAAGTGCAGATCAACATCAACTACTTTCTTCACAACTAAATCGAAGACGCTACAGTGGTAGACTTGAATACTTTATTCTCGAGTGGCGGTTTCATTACTCCAGCTACTACAGATGTTGGAGACCTCACCCAGATATACCATTTGGACCAAGCTAGCCAACGTTGGTCCTGTCTTCAACGCGAGAACTCAGTCGGCGAGAAATAAAAGTCTGTGGTAAACGTATCTCCCATCCCTTCACTTATTTATGATACGGCTTCCGTCGTGACAAAGGGGGCACTGGGAGAAACTGGTCACCCATCGGGTCGCAGGGGATCATGGGCTTTTCAGGAGGTGAAGAGCTTTCGACGTCATCATCCTGGAACAATGCACTGAGGGAGCTCCGTGGCTGGGGCAAGATCTGGGCCGGGGTTCGGAAAGCGGGAGCATCGTTGATCACATCAGGTTCATGAGTGGAGTGATGGCTCGTGGAAAACGACGGGACCGTCAGGTTCGTGTGTGTAGAACTGGTTGCCGGCAGGCTGAATCCTATCCCCCTCGAGGTGGCCTCGGAGAGACCCTCCGAAAGTGAGCTGGACGTCTTCAGCGAGCAGGCAGCAACCTCCTCGCGTTGTTTTTCGACGTAGCGGGTTCGGAAATTGCGCTGGACGAGGGGGATATGCGAGGGCTGTGTATCTTCGTCTCGAAGGCTCTCCGTGAACATATCGCTATTGCTGTAGAGGAAGCTGTAGGGGAAGCATCTGGCGACAGTGGCTGGATCCTGGGGCTCGCGAGATTTTCTTGGTTTGCTAGCCATCCGCCCTACATCGAGCCATGTGAGAGGCTTCTTAGGAGAAGTTGACATGAATGGTTCAGGCGCTTCGCTAGATTCGTCCGGAGATTGGCGGTCCACTATGCACTGGCGGTTATTACCCGAGACTTGAGAGGCTACTTCAGACGGAGCTTACCTGGATTATCGCCCAGATCAGGCTCCTCTTCAAATGCATTCCGCGGCGAAGGGGACGTAGGAGCGGTGCTCAGCTCCAGCCTGGGCGTTTGAGGGGTCTGAAGCGTCTGACGCGACTTTTGGGTGGATAAAGTATCAGTTGAAGCCTGCGAGGACTTACGCCGAATCATCACAGGCCTGCGCCTTCCATTGGATGCTTTGATGGCTACGATGTGAGTCCGGCGCTGGCCTTGCTTTGACGACGTATCGCTCAGAGTGGGAGCAGTGGGAGGATTAAGGGAAGCTTTCGGTGGCTTATTCACATTATATTCTCCAATTTGTGGTGGAAGAAGAAGACGTGTTGTCTTTTGTGACTCGCTTTGCGATCCATTTTTCTTCAAAATGGGAAGTAGGGGTTGCTGAGCCGGTCCTGGGACAGACTGACTAGTTGGCTTATTCCCATCCTTCGGTGGTGCCTGCTCGATGGTCTTGGATCCCTATATGCAGTCATTAAGACGGTGATCCAAATTGTCTAATACTGCTGTACATACCTCCTCGGCACATCCACCTTGTCCTCTAAGATGGACCAAGGGAGATGGCTCTTCGGATATATGGGAGAATATCTTCGCGAGAGTGGCTCCCTGGATCGACCCTCGAACATGATCGCTACTCAATATTCTCCAGAAAAGATTCTCCAATCTGTGGCCCTCATCACCGTTCATCACACGGGGATTAGTAGCATACACTGCGACGGTGACTTGTCAACTCAACGTCGACCAGTATATTTAGAGATAAAAAGACAAGGGCAGTAGTACCTCTCCATAGACGTATGATATCCTCCACCTCAACCGCATCAGGATCATCGAACTTGGACGGCAACTGGCTGGTGGTGGCCATCAAACCCTTCGGAAGGCTGTCCGTCATGGTGTCTAGAAAGAAGCTGGCAAATGTAGACGAGTCTAGGAAATATTTGTCTCCTTTTGACCCAGTATCGGAGGCTCTACATGACCAGGATGCACTTCGTTATGCGAGGGGAAACCGGCGGGCTTCAAAGGACTGCGTCAGCTTCGACACCAAGTCATCTTGCAGGGCAATCTCTCTCACTGGGTACCCTTCTAGAAGGGAGCTTAGATGGTCACACAGCAGTAAAATAGAGCTCAAAGGTCACATAAGCCCCCTGGAGGGGTGTGTTAAAACTGCTAGATAAGATAATTAAAGAAAGTAGTATGTATAACTATGATCACGTCAAAATAAAAGAATCAATCGATTCAAGAGGATGCGAAGAGAGGAAAAGAACCAGGATATTAAAATTCCCTAAAGAATTAAAGATAGAGGTGTTAGAGGGGTGATACTAAAAAGTAAATAGCCACCCTATCTCTCTCTCTCTCTCTCTTACTCTAGGTTTTATCTCTCACTTTGCTTAAAAAATATAGATTGATCCACCAGGTACTCATTCACTTATAGAAGCTAATCTGATATAATAATAGTGACTTATCTAGATACCAAACAACCTGCAGTTTTAGTGGGGTAGGCTCTTGAAGATGAGGGTGTCTAATTAACATATAACAGGGAAATATATCATAGGACTGGAAATTAAGGAAAGGTGGGGATGGGAGGGAGGGGGGAAGGACACACTCTCTACTCCCTTTCTCTCACTTGACTATATTATTATTGGATTGTTTCCCCCCCCTCCTGTGGGTTTTCTTTTTCCTCTTCTTTTACAACACAGCAGCAAACAGAGAGCGGCGTTTGACAGATAGTCTCAGGTCCGGCCGTTATCATCAGCAGCAGCCGCAGCAGCAGGTTTGGTGTCAATCCTCGGGGCGGCCCGACAAGTCTATCTTTCCTGGAGACAATTGGGCAGAGGGCAGTGACAGGGGGGAAGAGGATGATACCCTATGTACCTGGTTATTTGGCTAGCTAACGAGTCTGACGTAGGTGAGTCTGGTCGAATAGCCATACATCATAAATGCACCAACTAAACCTGGGGACCGGAGGCGAAAAAACGGCCGATCCTGGACCCTGAACTACGGAGCAAGCCATGCCCATGGCTATGCTTACAGCAAGAAAACCACACCGCCATCTCTTTCAAAACCCTGAGCTTGATCAAGGAAACCTACATGTGTCAGGGAGGTGATCAAGAGCGGTAAAGGATGTGGGAGACAGACTGCCGCGTCTTCTCCGAGTGGAGCAAAAAACGAGATTTGACTCTCTTTGAGATCAGTCAATCGTATCCCCCCCCCTTACGAGGATTGAATCTTGGACTACGGGGGTATGACGGGTAAGACCCCGTTGGATTGGGAAGAATGCCACCTCACAGAACCGCCTGCCTACCGAGATAAAACACCGGAATGCAAGTCCCATGACACACACACACCAACGAGGGGAGGGGGGAGGGGGGAGGGGGAAAGGGTCTGCTGATGGCTGGTATCGATATTTATTGGTCTTGCCGCAGTACCAGCCAGAAAAACAAAAAAACAACACCAAAACAAAAAAAAAGCAATCCTATGGTGACCTATGGCTCAGGGCTATTGCCTGTTAGCAGGTAGCTACGCGCGGCCCAAGGAGGAAATAGACTTGGATGAGTTGAAGAATTGGGGCAGCAAAGTGGTATCCATCTACTGCAGACGGAGTTCTCCGCTCGCCCGTTGGGCCCTGTCGAAAAAAAAAAAAAAATGAGGCAGGAGATTTCCGTCATCGCCAGGGATTCTCCTCGGGCCATGTGGCGACGGTGAAGCACTCTGTACTACTTTGTATGTAGAGTGAGTGGTTCGTAAGTGTCGTTGTACGGAGGACGGAGGCGCTACTTGGCAATCTGCAGTCCGGGGTTGCAAGGGGGCGAGTAGTACAAGCCATCCATCCTAGTTGACTAGTTGACTACCTAGGTATGGAGTACGGAGAGTAGGTACGGAGTATACTACATAGTACTACATCGTATCCACTTATTAATCATGGAGGATTCACAGATAACTAAGGCTAGGCGTACTGACCAAGGAGTACTTTTTCCTCGGGGTTTGCTTCGCGGGTATCTCCAAGACAAGGATCATGAGCGCCCATTCCAGCCACGTAAGGCTTCCCAACACCGTGGACTTGGAAAGTTCAGGCTCTAACTAGTCTAAAGATTAAATAAACTACTAGATATGGAGTATTCTTAACTACAGCTAGCTATATATACGGCTTATATCACTGATACTGTGTATAGTAGTATGTATACTAGAACCATAGTTACTTCTACATTCAGACGCTAATATAGCACCTCTCAGACCAGAAAAAAAAAAGAAAGAAATAGGTATTAGAGCATTTTCTGTGACTTGTGACTGACCAGCATGAGTCACCGACCTATGATATGTGAAATACAGCGCTGCAGCAAGAAGAGCGAAACCATGCCGAGTTACATGACAAATAAGAGGTACAATACAGGTATAGCATGGTTTAGGTGACGGTGTAGCCGCCGTCGACACGGAGATCCGCGCCGGTGATGTACTTGGAAGCGTCGCTGAGGAGGAAGGTGACAGCGCCCATGAGGTCTTCAGGGGTGCCCATCTTGCCGACGGGGATGAGCGAGGTCCACTTGTTCTTCAGGTCGGGATTCTCGTCGAGGATCTTGCGGGTTCTAAAAAAAGAAAAGTAGGGTTAATCACTGATATATAGATATATATATATATGAACAGATTTGAAAATATCATTTGAAGTGCTTACAGAGCAGTCAGCATGTATCCCGGACTGATACAGTTGACACGGATGTCATTGGCCGCCCACTCGACGGCAAGCGAGGCGGCGAGATGGCGGACGGCTGCTTTGGCGGCGTTGTAAGGAGCCTGGGGCTGGGGGACGTTGACGATGGCGCCAGACATGCTACCGATCATGACGATGCTCCCGGGAGCCTTGCGCTCCATGAGGTGCTTGGCGACCGCGGTCGCAAAGAGGTATGTGCCGTCAACGTTGACTCCCCAGAGCTTCTTCATGCGGTCGTACGGGTACGAGATGGCGTCGAAGTTCTCGGTGAAGCCGGCCGAGGTGACCAGGTTGTCGATCTTGCCGTGCTTTTCCAGGATTTCAGCAATCGCCTCATTGACCGAGTCCGGGTTGGAGACATCGGCGTAGTGTGCGGTGACATTGGGCATACTAAGTAAATTTTAGCAAAAGATTCGCGAGTAGACATATATATATAATCATAATGCATACGTACTCTTCCAGACCAGGGTTTTCTTTTTTAAACTGATCCACCAACTTCTTTGCCTGGTCCTGTGCTTCTTCCTCTATTGGAAGTTAGAGGTGTTTCTCCCCAGTTACTCTATCAAACTCACTGTTCAGATCGACGATCGCAATATCTGACCCCGATGCCACCAACGCCTGGGCCATGACTAGTCCCAGCCCACGAGCACCGCCGGTGACCAGACTGACCTTGTTTTCCAGCGAGAATTGGGCCAGCGTGCGCTTGAAGTGCATGCCGCCGCGGCCCTGGACGACCGGCGTCCGGGGCATCTCATGGTCAGGCGGGTACTCGATAATGACGCTCTCATCGGTACGAGCGAATTGACCTTCGTGTTCAGGAGAGTTAGGATGAGGACTTAGCGAGCTCTTGTTGTTGTTGTTGTTGTTGTTGTTGTTGGAGTCATCCTTGCTGGAGCGGGCGGCAGTCACGGAGATCAAGCGACGGCTGGAGGTGGCCAGCACCGCCGGGCGGCTGACGGGGTTGATCACCCTGAAAGCGCTGCGAGCGAGGGAAGGCTTGAACATGTTGAATCTCAACGATCTTGCTAGAAAAAAAAAGATGAGATCCAAACTTATGGGTATCGATAAAACAGAGAGAGTGGGAGACAGAACGAGTGCTACAAGGCTTATAATTTGGGGGAAACAACTCTCTCTCTCTCTCAGAGATCTCGAGGAATGCTACTCCGTACTAGGGATCCAACAAAACGAACAAACAATTACAGTGAAAAAAAAAACCTGCCAAGGATTCGTCCCGACAAGTCAACCAGTTCAATTGACAACCGTGCTCTGTTCTGCTCTCTACACTCGCCCTTTTATGTATGGCAGACGAGGGGGGGGAAGACTGGAAGACAGTGATGTCAGGCAGAGCGTCTGGACCCAGTTGGCCGAGCTGTGGACTCCAAGTGGAGATGATGTTCGAGGGATCCATCTGGACCATTTGCCTTTGCCTTATGGGAGGGGAATATCCCTGAGTTTACTTTTATTTGCTGGTGTTTTGCTGGTGGTTTGCCTCCGCGTGACTGAGCTGTACAGAGTATGGAGTAATACAGTAAATAACTAGGTACGGAGTAGGTACCTAGTAGTAGTATATGCTTAAGTACGAGTATAGGAAGTACCTTCAATAAGCAATCATCTAGTCAATAGTAGTATGCAATTGATTCAACAATTCATTCTACTGACCTTATATACTCTGCAGTACTTCTTACACAAGATACTCTTGTATAATAATATAATAATAATAATAATATTGCCACTGAATACGTCGACGATCTTTCAACATTTCCAGACTCCACCTTGATGGCAAGTGGAGCATCCCTGGACGCCGTACCGCTGCCATGGGCTGAGTAGGTTAATAGTATAGTACGGAGTAAATAGTAAATAGTAAATACCACAGTCAATGAACAGCCAGGACTCAATGGTGTCCATCGTGTACTCTGAGATTATCCCGCTTGAAATGAAGAAAAAAAAATAGAAAAGTACTGTCTTATGCCTCACAGCTGTCTACGAATTCAACAAGTGGTGTCCCGCTCTTGCACTGGTCCTGTAAGGTATAAATGTTAGCGATCAATCCACAATTGCAAGAATAATAGAGAATAACTAGTGCTCTGTATGGACTCCGCATTCTTGAGGCTTGGACTCCAGACTTCAGAGCAACGGTGGAAGACAAGGAGTTCCCAAAGCCACTCCGCTGCGGTACTCCCAAAGGGGCGCTTCCGGACTGCAGGGACCAGGGACCAGCCCAGAACAGCCATGGCCCACAGCATCTTACTCCGTACACACAAGGCTTGATTCGGATTTTCAGGGGGAAGTTGAAAAAAAAAAGAAAAGAAAAGCGTGACCTACTCCTTTTCCATGGACGACTTTGGCAATTACCCCTCGCTGGGGACTGCGGATGACGGTCTCCATCTTCATGCTCTCGATCACCACCAGCGGCTGGTCCTTGTCGACATGGTCTCCTGCCGCCACCTCAAAACGCAGAATCTTGCACGGCATCGGCGCCAGAACGCTGTTGGCGACATCCTTAACTCCTAACGCCTTGTCCATCCAGCCCGCCCGCGGGATGCGCAGCCGGTACTGGGCGCCCCGTTGGAACGCCACCACCGTGTCCTCGTCACGGACCACTGTCGTATCAAGACGGGTGTGGGGGAAGTACGAGGTGATAATGCGCGAGTCGGGCTGCAGGCGGCGGCTGGTCACTTGCCCAAAGGTGCGCCCACCAACCACCTCCACATTGAATGTGTCCTCGCCCACCTGTTGGATGTGAACCTCGAATCGCGCGCCATCCGCCGCGGTGGCGGCGCCCGGCACAGTGGCCTCGGAAAAGCCGAAATGGCGCGACTGGTAGCTGGAGCTGAAGCCGAGCGAAGACCGACCGCCGAAGGCGTGTCTGGCTGTCGGCGGTGGGGAGTTCTCGTGCAGACACGCCAAAGCGACCTGTGCCAGAACCTCATCGGGAATGGGCTCTTTGTGGAAAAGGGCTTCGCGGTGCTTGTCAATATACCCGGTCTCGACCTCACCGGCGATGAAGTCAGGGCTCCGGCAGACGGCCTTGATGAATTCGATGTTGGTGCTCGGACCGGCGACCTCATACTCATCTAGCGCCGCAGCCAGTTTACGGATCGCTTCCTCTCGGTCGGCGCCGCGCACAATCAGCTTCGAGATCATCGGGTCGTAGTGCGCAGAGACGTCATCGCCAGCGATGAATCCGGCGTCAATTCGAACATCATCGTTGGTAGCCGGTGTCCGGACGTGGATCAATCGCCCTGAATCTGGGATAAAGCCCTGGTCAGGGTTTTCCGCATAGATTCTGGCCTCAATGGCATGGCCGCTGCTGGCAATCTGGGTTTCGATTTCGTCTTGAGTCAACGGCAGCGGTGCACCCTCTGCGACCAGAATCTGCCAATAGACCAGGTCTTGACCTGTGACCATCTCAGTAACGGGGTGCTCTACCTGCAAACGCGTGTTCATTTCCATGAAGAAGAATTCTCCCGTGTCGTTGTCGAAGATGAACTCGACTGTTCCCGCGCCCTCGTAGCCCACTGCCAGCGCTGCGGATCGGGCTTTGGCCCATAGATCCTTTCTTTTCTCGTCAGGTAAGTTTGGTGCTGGTGATTCTTCTAGGATCTTCTGGTGCCGCCGTTGTATGCTGCAATCCCGTTCTCCGAGAGCAACACAGTTCCCGTGCTTGTCCGCGAAGACCTGGACCTCGATGTGTCGCGGTGTTGTGATGTATTTCTCAACGAGAACGTGGTCGTCGCCGAACGAGTTCATGGACTCGGATTTTGCCGATAGCAGTTGGTCTTGAAATTCAGACTTTGACCGGGAAATGCGCATTCCCTTACCACCACCGCCTTTGACAGCCTTGATGAGAACCGGGTAACCGATCTTGTCCGCTTCTTGCTCCAGAAATTTGGCATCTTGATTCGTACCGTGGTATCCAGGCACGCAGGGAACGCCGGCAGCGGTCATAATCTCTTTCGATCGGCTATTCCAATCTTATAAGCATCGGTCTAAAGCCACTGGAGGTAACGGGCCCGTACCTCTTATCCCCCATATCCTCTATAGCTTTCCACGGAGGGCCGATAAACACTAGACCTGCTTCGGTACACTTTTGGGCAAACGCGGAGTTCTCACTCAACTAGAAAAACGAAATCCTTGATTAGATGATTCTAGCCAAGGACAGGGCTTGGGTATTGCTCACAAAGCCATAACCTGGATGTACTGCTCGGCAGCCCTGGCTTTTGGCGATCTCGATGATCCGGTCGCCATCGAGATACGCAGACACCGCCCCAAGATTATACGCAAATGGTGAGCTCAAGGCATGTTGAGCCTGGCGATCTGGATCTGTGTACAATGTAGTCACGCGAATTCCATGTTGAGCAGCAGTCCGTCCTACTCGTCTGTAGACACCATAGTCAGCACGTAAACCTCCCCCTCCATTGATATAGAATAGTAGGCAAACGTACAAGGCAATCTCTCCTCTGTTAGCAATCAAAATCGAGTCCAGCGCCAGCTGACCTTGTCTGGAGGTCGAGCTCGACAGAGACGAAGCACCTCGCTTCCACCGTGAAACCGCCGTCGGGGCCAAGCGAGGGGGCGTGCGGAGAAACGCAGAGAGTGGCATTGTGAGCAACGACGACAGCACTGAGCTGGATCAACTGATAACTCGCCGGCGAAGGTGGCCAGAGCTAACACTGGCATACATCCAAGCGGAAAATTTTGAAGAAAATCCAGCCAGGGAGAGACTGGAGACCACGACTTCCTGTGCCATCATCGTCCTCCTCCTGCTTTACATACCTTCCCTTCTGCCTTCCACCGCCGCCCGCCAACGCCGACGCAAAGCGAACTGCGGGGGAAGCCGCACACTCACGTGACCTGCAGACTTCCTTTGAACCTGCGTTTCTTTTCCTCTGCCGGGGCAACTGCAGGCCTCGAGCAGAACGCAGCGGCGGACTCCACAGGACGCGATAGACGCTTCCAGTGCGTATAATTCGTGCTTCTCGGTGATCTCATCTGTTCTTATTTTCCTTTTCTTTATTGTTACATCCGTTCCTTGTGCTCGCACCTCGAATGGCAGCTTAGTTTGCCCTCTCGCATCAAGGCAGGCTGTGATTGGAGATCTCTCGTTTGATCCTTGGTCTGGTGGTATACGCGCATAATTGGAGGAAGTAATTGCTTTCTTACTGTGCTCCGATATGTCTGATGACGAGGATTTTTATGATGACGAGTTTGACGAGATTTGGATTGAAGATGTCGAACCGGGGATTGCAGTAAGTACTATCTATATCGGTGTTTCTTGAATAGTCTAGTTGATTGAACAACGTCCAGGACGATCTCGCGCTCACTTCACACTTCGAAGCCGGATACGTGGACGACCCTGCATTGGAGGTAGAGGATTATTTTAGTGATTGGGACGAACAATCGGACGATTACTTTGATGACGACCCGACAGCGGCGCGGAAAAAGAAGTACTCGCTGTCTTCTGGATCGGCAACTGGCAACGATGCCCGCCAGGTACATGCGCCGAAAACCGATACGGGATCTTTCCAGAGTGTTGTCTGGAAGACCTCGGCCCATGAGGATGCTGGAATGCAGGTTCACGAGCCGGGCCACGGTGACAAAGTTGCATTGCTGAAGAATTGGCGGGAGGTGTTTAAAAACTCCCAGCCGTCTTTCAACCGCTCATGGAGAAGGAAGAAGAAGGTCATGGACTATCTCCAGTCCGACACTGTCTCGCTCGACGACGCAATGGACGAATCTCCGGTGCCTGGAATGGACTTGAAGGGGGACCGCGACCTTGATTCGTCCAACAGTCTGCAGCATGAGACACCGGAATTAATCCCAGATAGGAATCCCACTCCCCCGTCGGTATTCACCAGCAGGATCGCGCCGTCGCTTCAGGACCTGCCGTTCCAGCCCAAGCCAGACGACGTCGGACTCTCCGATGACGCCTCAGAGACGGCGGCGACCTCTTCGTCCGACCAACAGCAACAGCCGTCAACCACTTCCATCGATACCGAGCCTAGCCCTTCTACCAAGAACCGCTCACCCTTGACTTCTGTCTCCGCCTCACCCAATCGTAGGAAGAGAAAGGCGTCTGTCTCGGTCGATGACGGCTATGACCATACCGTCGAGGATAAGTTGCAACCGAGACCAAAGAGGGCTGCAGCCAGGAGGTCGGGCGAGGCTACAGACCAGACTAAGCCATCCTCCACAGGACCAACACGGCGATCTACGCGCAACAAAAAGGCCTAGGTTGATTGAGTACTTATTTATGGTCACGAGAGACGGACCCGACGACCAAATTGATGATGGATGTGAATTCTTCAATATATATATATATATATAGCCATAAATTTCTACCAGCACGTTTATAGTAATAAAAGCGTTATAAACGAGTGTAGAATATCCTAGGCAAACTCTTTATTGAAAGCGCGTCCGATAACCATGCGTCTGATCTCGCTCGTCCCTGCGCCGATCTCATACAATTTCGCATCCCGCAGCAGTCTCCCCGCCGGAATCTCGTTGATGTAGCCGTTCCCCCCCATCAGTTGGATGGCGTCGAGAGCGCATTCGGTCGCCCGCTCCGCAGCATACAAAATACTCCCTGCACAGTCCTGGGTGCGGATTACAAGCTGGGTCGCCGGGTCGGCGGCGGAGGTGTCGATCTGGCGGGCGGTCGCGTACGTGTAGGCGCGCGACGCAGACAGCTTGGTGTACATGTCTGCCAGCTTGCCCTGGATGAGCTGGTTGTGGGCGATGGGGGTACCGAATTGTTTGCGCATATGTGTATACGGTAGGACGAGGTCGAGGCAGGCCTGCATAATACTATTATACTTGGATTAGCCCGAGAGTAAAAAAAGAAAAGAGAAAAAAATTATTATAAGGTGGTCTCATCTCACCCTAGTGGTCCGGCGCTGAGGACTAGACGTTCGAGGTCCAACCCTTCCATCAGTACCTTGACTCCTCTGTTCAACTCGCCTAGACGGTTCTCCCGGGGAACGAAGACATCCTCGAAGACCAGCTCGCCCGTGTTGGAACCACGCATGCCGAGCTTGTCCAGCTTGCGGGCGCATGAGAAGCCGCTGGTGCCCTTCTCTACCACAAACGCAGTGATGCCTTTGGGGCCTTTCTCGGGTTCTGTCTTTGCATACACAACGATATAATCTGCATCAGGACCCTGGAGAAGGATAAAAGCATATTAGTCCGAGCCTTGAAGCGACAAGATTTCCTGGGATATGTGCGTGAACATACGTTTGTGATCCACATCTTTGTCCCGTTCAGCAGCCATCCTCCATCGACAGCCTTGGCTGTGGTCTTCATGCTGACAACATCCGAGCCAGCAGAGTGCTCTGACATTGCCAATGCGCCGACCTTCTCTCCGGACAAGAGACCTGGTAGGAACTTGGCCTTCTGCTGTTCCGTCCCATTCAAGGAGAGTTGGTTGACGCAGAGTTGTGAGTGGGCAGCGTAGGATAACCCGATGCTTCCTGATACCCATCATTAGCTTGTCCGGGAACATGGATGGAGAACAGAGTTGTTTGAAAATACCAGATGCTCTGCTGATTTCCTCCATGACAATACAGTGAGCCTGATAGCCCATCCCTAGACCGCCGTATTCTTCATTGGCCGTCACACCAAGCAACCTGATAGAAACGTTAGCATGGAAAACCCATACAAGCCCCTTCACAGAAGAATAGTAAATACCCAGCATCCCCTAGTTTCTTCCACATATCTGCTGGGAACTCATTCTGTTCGTCCGTCCGGGCAGCGACCTCCTCGGGGATCTCACGTCCTGTCTATCCTTAGCTCCGAGGATATCGAATACGATGCACACTCTCTGATACTCACTTGTAAATTCCTGAACTCGTTCACGCAGCTCAACCAAGTCATCCTCCGACGGTGGAACGAATCCCTTCGGGTGTTTTGTCGACAGTGCCCGTAATGCGGGGATCTGAACGAACGGCCTCGGTGCCCTCCACAGAGCCCGATAAGAACCTCGAATGAAAGGAGACGCTATGGTTGAAGCCATGATGGATCGATAAATCTAATTACCCTTTGAAACGAGAGGCCAGAGCGGAAATCTGCGAGCCAAATAAAGCCTCAGTAGACAGGTATCAGTGCGTGTAACTGCGCAGGGAAGGGCTGCAGGCGGCTAGACACGGAGCTGGCATCATCGTCACTGCTTCTCTCCGCATCTTCTTCTCCCTTGACAGCAGCAACACAGCACTACTATTTCTTCCAGTTATTTCTACCATTGTCTTCTCTGTCATGCTATATTTCCTACATGAATAGCACATTGTGAAGGTTTATTCTTGTTCCAGAAGGCACAAGCCCCTTGAACTCTCGGAGACCCTCTCCCCAGATTCGTCCCCCCGCAATGCGCGCCCCATCACCACTTCTGCGGCGCTTGGCTCAACAAGCTGGCACACACCACCAACTCCAACCGGCAGTCTCGAGGTTACAGACGAGATGGATCTCGCGATATACACATCCTCACCATGCGTCAGCGATATCTGTGCTCCCTACTGCAGTCGATACGGCCTCGGCAGAGTACGTGGAAAATTCGAGGCAGATGAAGGAGCTCCTGGACAAGATGACTGGGTTACATACAAAGATCGCGGAGGGGGGGCCACAAAAAGCGAGGGAAAAGCACATCGCCCGGAACAAGATGCTACCGCGTGACCGTGTGACGGCGCTGATCGATCCAGGGACGTCTTTCATGGAGCTCTCCACGCTCGCGGGCCACGAAGTCTACCCTGGAGAAGATGTCCCCGCCGGTGGGATAATCACAGGGATTGGCACCGTGGAAGGGGTCACTTGTATGATTGTTGCCAACGATAGTACCGTCAAGGGAGGAACATACTACCCTATCACGGTGAAGAAGCATCTCCGTGCGCAGGCGATCGCCCAGGAGAATAGCTTGCCGTGCATCTACCTCGTGGACTCGGGCGGCGCAAACCTGCCGCACCAGGCGGATGTGTTTCCGGACAAGGAGCATTTCGGACGGATTTTCTTCAACCAGGCCCGCATGAGCTCGATGGGGATCCCGCAGATCTCCGTCGTGATGGGGCCCTGCACTGCTGGAGGGGCATACGTGCCCGCCATGAGCGACGAAACTATCATCGTCGAGAACCAGGGGACTATCTTCCTCGCCGGTCCGCCGCTCGTCAAGGCGGCCACGGGCGAGGTGGTCTCGGCTGAAGACCTCGGCGGTGGCCATCTCCACAGTACCATCTCCGGTGTGACAGACTACCTGGCTGTGGACGACGCCCACGCACTAATCCTGGCGCGCCGGTCAATCGCGAACCTCAACTACCCGCAGACACCGGCACCTATCCAGCTGACCTCTAGGCAGGCCGAAAGGACAATCCAGGAGCCCCTGTATGACCCGGAGGAGCTCAACGGGATCGTGGGCACGAACCTGCGGCGACAGATCCCCGCGCACGAGGTGATTGCACGCATCGTCGATGGAAGCGAGTTTGCCGAGTTCAAGCGTGATTACGGAAGCACGCTGGTCACAGGCTTTGCACGCATCTACGGCACGCAAGTGGGCATCGTGGCCAACAACGGCATTCTCTTCTCCGAGTCCTCGCTCAAGGGTGCCCATTTCATCGAACTCTGCTGCCAGCGCAACATCCCCCTCGTCTTCCTGCAAAATATCTCGGGGTTCATGGTCGGCGCCGACGCTGAAAAGGGCGGCATCGCGAAGAACGGCGCCAAACTGGTCACTGCCGTCGCCTGTGCGAACGTCCCCAAGTTTACCGTCGTTTTCGGCTCCAGTGCGGGTGCTGGCAACTACGGCATGTGGTAAGTCATTCTCCCTCCCTCCCTCCCTCCCTCCCTCCCTCTCCCTCTCTATATCTAGATACTAATGATAATCCAGTGGGCGTGCGTATTCACCCCGGCTGCTCTTCATGTGGCCCAACGCCAAGATTGGAGTGATGGGATCCGAGCAGCTCTCCGCCGTGATGGAAGCCGTCGGGCGCAGCGCAGACCCAGAGCTGAAATCCCGCATCGAGCGCGAATCCGAAGCGGTGTTCTCGTCGGCGCGCCTGTGGGATGATGGGGTGATTCCGCCCGCGCAGACGAGACAGGTGCTCGGCTTGAGTTTGGCAGCTGCCTTGGGCGGGAAGGGGGAGAGCGTCCCTACTCGGTTTGGGGTGTTCAGAATGTAAGGTAGGTTAGGTACCTAGGGTAGGTAGGTTTTATGAAAGCAATGAATTGAAAGCTTCGTTTTGATAGGTACAGATAACTGCCATACAAGAAACAATCGTAAGTAATGCCACTCATCAAACCAGCTTTTAGCAGTTTCTTTCCTACCCAGTAAACCCAAACCTTGCAACTTTTTCTTTTTGTTTCCATCAGTTTCCAATTCACCAGTCCCATTTCCTGAAAAATCATTGCTTCGATGCCTTGACGCGATGATCGTTGTCAAGATCGCAGAACCCATTTCGACCAACTTTTCCCTGTCTCCCACTCCATACAAGAAGCACCAACTCAACGCTGAGGAAGAGAATGACAAACAGGTAGAGAAATGGAAGTTATAAAAAGAAGGAACTGGAAAGAAAAGAAGAAAAAAGAAAAAAAAAAATCCAGGAACCGATAAGTCTCTATCATGTCAAAAGCTAAGCTGCGTCGCCGGTAGAGGTACAAGGGGGGAACGAAGAGAGAGCATCAGGGGATGTGATGGAACACCACGGTGGAGATAGTCATGAGAGGTAAGTCGTAAAGGCGTGGAGCACGGAGATGCCGTTTCGTATGTGTTTTTTTTTTCCTTTTTTTCCTTTTTTTCTCTTTTTCGTTTGCCTATATGTTTTCTGTTTTCTGGGTTCTCTTTGGCGTAACGGCATCATAGAATTACACATGGACTCCTGCGCTTTCCTGCTCGTCGTTTGTCGCGCTTGCGGTCGGAACGGTTCGGCGCTTCTCGTTTCCAATTCGAACTGTCGGAGTCTTTAGGATCACTTCCTTGTAGGTCTTTACGGATGATCTGTCTGCATAGATCGACAAAGACTTCGTTGACGTTGGCGCGTCGTCGGGCCGAGGTCTCGTAATACGGCGCGTTGCCCCAGGTCTGGGACAGGGCGAACGCGCGGGCACGGGGCACGGCGCGATCATCTTCAAGGTCGGACTTGTTGCCCACGATGACGATGGGAACTTTCTCATCATCTTTGATACGGATTATTTGTTCCCGAAGTTCTGAGAGCTCGTTGAGAGACGACATGCTGGTGATAGAGAACACCAGGAGGAAACCCTGGCCTTGTTTCATGTACAGCTCTCTGAATCTGGTGTTAGTGAATTCAATGGCAATATCGATGAGCGATGTACCTCATGGCCGCTAGACTTTATGTCAGTTTGTCATTCTGCAAAAAAAAGGGCATCCCCTGACTTACTGAATTGTTCTGTCCCCGCCGTGTCCAGGCTATTCAGCATTCAAGTTAGCTTATTGTCCTTTCTCGAATCTTGCGCCTTGCGGCTGAACATACATTTCGAGAATGCATTGTCGACCCTGGGAATTATCAGCGTTGGTTCGATGAGAAAGGGGGGTTGGTGATAATTAGGAACCACCGACTTACATCTACTTCGATCTGTTTCCGATATGAATCTTCGATTGTCGGATCGTAGCTCTCAATCCAGACATTTTGAACGAATTGTGCTGCAACGAGACAGTGGGCATTTAGTATGTGTTAAGGGAACTGCAGAACGTAGGATCACAAGGGCTCGCAAGCAGGGAGGTCATATGTACCGGTAAGGCAACTTTTCCCGACACCACCTAAGGACAGACGAAGCATTAGCAGGGAGTCTCGCAGAAAGGATTGCCAGGGAGATCGGGTATTATTTACCAGCGCCCAGAACGACAATATGGTATTCGCGTCTGGTCGTGCAGACAGTGACGATTAGCAGAGTCGAGGATATAGGGTAGTGACCAGGGGAGGGCTTACTGCGGCCGCATTGGTGCAGATTTATTATCACTTGGTCGCGAACAACAGTCAATTCCCGACAAAATAGCTTTTATTTCTTCCCAAGTCGCTCGAAAACACAATCCAACGGGCCAAGCCGACGAAATTCCGATCGTGACAGGCGCAATTGGGTCGGGTGGTTGATTGCGGAGGATTTCGCAGCGATAGCACGAGACCCTGGTGCTCCCCTGTGTGTATGTTTTTCCCGCTCTGCAATTGCCCCTTCGATTGTTTCCTCCTTTATTTGTCTGATATCTAGTTAGATAAAAAGTTCCAAGTGAGGACGACGCGCAATGCGTGACATCGGTTTGAGAGGGACAGGGGGGGGGAAGGGTCGACGTGGAGGTATCTGTCAATTCCTCAAAAAAGCCGTTCGAGAGCTGTCCTGGGCGAGTCTTGCCGGGCAAAGAGGGGCGAAAGATGGAGGGCAGAGCGACTGGGAGGAGGCAGAAGCGTTCGACGGTTCCAGATCAGAGACCAAACTTTTAGTGTAGAACTAAGTCCCCGACTAGCCCAGGCACGACCCAAAAAAAACTGAAGCCCGAAGAGAAGGATCCGGAGCGAGCACGAGGACGCAGCAACGTTGGGAACCGCCCGACCGACAAGGGTCTAGGATTTAGGGCGACCGACGGAGACAGAGCTGGACAACCCTTTCGATAGTCGATAGCGAGCGACAATGCAACGGCTGGGCGGAGTGACTTGCCCAGATGGAGATTCACAACTGATCGACGGTTAAGTTCTTGCTAAGCTACTAAGTTAGTTGGCGTTGGTGGTTAGGCGTGGGCGGCGGTGAGGAGCGGTTGTGCGTAGGACACCCGTTGGGATAAGCTGGTTGACAACGCCAGAGATATGAGCTAGTAGTTAACAGACTGACAAAGGCGCCGGAGATTTAGCTACTACACTGATGAATCAGTCTGGTCAGCAATGACGAACTAGTTGGTGCTTCGCTGCTTTGACAGGATGACGGGACAGGGGAGAGACACCAGGGCAGCCGAGACAGGGCTTGGGGAATCCCACGAAACTCTACCGATCACTCTGGCACGCAAAATGACAGGTCCGACAGCGTGTCGGCAGCGACCCTTGGAACATCATTTCCTGAGCAGATATGAGGGCGCCGCCCCCCCCCCTCCCGCCCCCCCCAAAAGCAAAAAAGAAGCATGGTGGTGGTTGACGCCCGAGGAATTTGACTGGCACTACCAGACACTCTGCACGGCCGCTGGCTTCAGCGTCCCATCCCCGCTACCATTCAGCCATGAACGAAGATGGCTTCGTGCCTTGGGAGATAAGGGCTTCTCGAAAGAGTTTCTCCTCGGAAGAATAATTGGTGATTGTCATGATGGTGGTGGAGTGAAAACAAAACGAGACTGCTTACCTACGCTGATAGAATGTTCAGTCTAGGTAGCTAACCAATATTACCCTGTGGAACCACTTCAATTCTTCCACTCCTCCACTTTTCCAAAAAGAAGAAAAAATACACACAAAATGGATGTCTGGGACGAAAATGCCGGTGAGAACAAGCGACGGGTGGTCGATATGTAGGGGAGAAACAGACACACAGGATAACTCGGGACGCAAGGTCTGACAGAGAGGGAAAAAAAGAACCACGTCGGGCCTCAACATGATACAACCTATGCCGGCAGCTTCTCTGCCCGCCCCCATGGACAGTCAGTCCTTCATTCGCAGATTGAGTCAACCTGGTGCTGATTTACATGCAGCGACGCAGGTACGCTGTGGTCGATGCTTGTCTGGCCCCAGCCCCGGGTACAGAGTGCTCCTGTCTAGCCCTCTTCAGATGTTTCTGAAGAACAGCATACAATCCCAACACTAATACGAAGACCTACTGAAACAACTCCAAATGAGCATGTCCACATCCTCAAGGGATGAGAGTCAGGGAAGTGACGGCCATTTCTGTAATTCGAACGCTCCGTTCCTCGAGTCTGCCGTACCAGGAATGCAAACGCGTTTTTAGGCATCTACACATTAGAGAAAAAGAAAAGGGGGGAAAGGACCCCTCTAGGCGGAATACGAAGTAAAACGCCAAAAGGGCAAACAGGGTCGAGGTGAGTTGTCCTGAGTTGGGCTGTTCAAGTATACAAAATACGGAGTAGTTCCTGGCCATGCTATGGATGATAGAGAAGATTGCCATTCCGACCAAGCCTCACTTTTTTCTCCCACCAACTCGTCAGGCCCAGACATGGGTCCCGGAAGAATCCCCACGGTGTCGGAAATGCCAGGGTACGTCATCTCGCATGAAACCAGAAAACAGAAAAGAAAAGAAACGCGGGAGTTGTCGATGTCAAAGCCAGCAGTCAGTTAAACCTCTAAAAAACAACCCAGCTAGTTCCCAAATATCTATACCCTGTCAAAGAATGGCTTATCAGTAGACTAGTCGGCATATAGAGTAGTACTTGGCCTAATTTTCATGCATAGCTAACTAGTTCTGGCAGTTATAACAGGGATCCTAGGTATGACCGGATAAGACCGAGCATATTCGATAAATCGCTTTCTCCTGCTATTCTAGATCATATCGCTATTGGTACAGAATAATATACCAGAAACATCAAAAAGGCAAAAAGAGAGGCAACTTGAAGGTAAAGAATGTCGTCAGATCCCCATACTAGGTAGAGTAGATGGGCACGATGTGCATAGTCTCCATAGGTATCGCCCGCCATATATTAGTAGTATCGTGGATCTATCGCCCTTCTGGGTCATCCATCATGGTTGAATGACCTATTGCGGCCCCCGGTAAAACCCTACGGGCCATAGATTTCATCGAAAAGACGAAGGCCCTCTATCGAGTCAAAAAGCGATCCGTTGGGAGGAGAGAGGCCTTAATTACTGCAGGAAGACGATTCGGGGGGTATACACTACCTCAAGGATGTTTGGTTCCATCATATCATTAAAGCTGGGGGGAAGTGCCTACTCCAGAGAACAGTTAGTGACGCTCATGATCCAAGCAAGTGTTTCAACTTTTTCCCTTGCCGTTGGAGATGTAGGCCGGGATGCTTGTACACCAGTATCCTTGGGGATTTTGGTAGGCTAGCGAGAGGTAGAAAGAGGGGAGACTTGAAACACATGGAATATTGAGTCTTAGAAAGGCTGCATATTCCCAGAATCAAGGTACCACTGGCCTGTAATCCTCTCCGTGTCCTATTGCAGTTGCGACTTTCATCTTCCCACGAGTGCTCTAGGTTGTTGAAACTCGAAAAGTAGCCATTCGTAACACCTCAATGCAACGAAGTACAAGCAATACAGTCATCGTGGTGAATGGTGAAAAGTCTATATCGGTCCCATACGGTATGCTGTAGGGTGACACTTAGATAACAGTGGTCGATGTTGAATCAGGTCTCAGTTAATTACTGTTTATGGAGCAAAAAGGGCCAGTACTTACCTGGGAATTGTCCTGGGATCCGACAACTGTTTTAACGCGTACCCAAGACCCCAGGCTCCGACGTAGGCTCCCCAAAGGTCTACCTATCATCGAACCTTATAGGAATACCATCAAAATGGACCTTTCTCATTTAACTATCGTATTTTGTATTTCAACCTGGGAAATATGTTCTGGTAGCTCGCTTCTCCCAGCTACGAGCTGTCCGATCAGTAATGACTTTGGAGCTGGCATAGAACGAGATTGTAGGACATTTTTCATCATTCTCATGCTCAATGGCACCTTTGGAGGGGTAGGCTAGAAGACAGTATGTCATAGGTGTTAGTTATAGCATCAGGGTCTTTTAACAACAAGCCCAACAAGCACCAGTCCCATCGATGGATAACTAGTAAGAAAGTGGGATATGTAGTAAGGGGGTAGGAGATCAAGTGAGGTCACTCTAGCTTGTGACCTTATTATATAATCGGATCACCTGATATTGTTATGCTAACCAGCCTAGCCTACAGCTGACGCCTGAGGCATAGATGAAATCATTTTGCCTCGGGCTTTTCTACCGGTCTAGAGAGGCCCCATGCTTCAACGACTGCTGAGATGGAGGCATATGCGTTTCTCTCCAGCCTTGGATATGCTTATAAGCTTTAGTTACCCTCCACAGATGGATGTCTTGCAGCTCTCCAGCATGTTCGTACCAGTATCACTGATTCTATATCGGGCCGAATACGGGAATACGCGTACCCGTAGAGTCTCAATCCCGAGCCTACAATTGGCTGCTGGGAACACTTCTCGGCCCGTCATCCCGGCTCTGCCGGACAAGCGGCGATCCTGGATGTTGAAGTAACCACCTGCTTCTAGTAGGGTGGACATATCTTTCTTAATACAGCTACTAGTGTACCAGACTTATATGGAGATGTAAATTATAGTATTCTATAATATCTGCGGTGTTTTGGGGGCTTTTTTTATATTAATTCTATCCTACGCATACACCAGTGCCCTCTACCAAGCTGATGATATATTATATCCATCGCTATTTCAGGTAGTTTACTCTAAGTTTTGAATAGAACTATAGAGCCATATTAGATTTTCTCACCAAGAAATATAAGAATACCCATCGCAGTCATCCACGCTATCCTTGTCATTATTATCATTTGCACTATAAGTATTCATATCTCGGGCCTGATCAGAAGTCTTATATGCTATATATAAACAATAAACCGAACCATTATCAAGAAGATTCTCAATAGGAACCTAGGGAAATTGATTAGTATTTCTCTTCTGATAGTGTTCATCAGGAGGGAATAGTAACATCCTCCACTCACTAGGTCCTATATCCTTGTTTGCCTTGCGAATCACTGGTGGCGATGCCTTGGCAGTAGCATTGGTGGTTGTGGTTGCAGTCGCCTTGGTAGTCACAACTAGCGGTATTTTTGTCTCCTTTCAATCCTTCCCCAATGCTACTACTAATATCTCTCCTGTCCTTGGTGTATCCGTTAATCTTGTTTGATTTGCCCTTGTCAGCATCGTGTTTTGTGACAATTTTCTCGTTGGAAGTATTCGTATCCCCCTTTTTGTGTTCTGTCTTTGAGGGACCCCCGAGTGCCTTTTTGATGGTGGAGAGCATCTTGCTAAAACAGCCTTAGATGGTCTTCCTCCCCTCCTTCTCCTTCTTCGCCTCGTTGTCTTTTTCTTTCTTCGACCTTACGACAACTCGGTCATCCTTGTGGGCTTTCTCTTTCTCAGTCACTTTACTCTGAGACTCTCTCTCCTGTGTTGCTCTCTGATGCTGGTGCGACCCCGACTCGTTGACTGTAAACTCTTGGATTAGATCTTGACTCGTTTCCGTCATAATTGCAAGAACGTATGCAGACGTCTCTTGTCGTCGAAATGTCTGCTGCGACGATATTACAAGAGGGTTGAAAGAATGACTGAAAGATTTAAAAAAAAATGATCAAAAAGAAAAGGTGCTGTCGTGGAGAAACCCCCCTCCTTGGACTGTCAAAGAGCACAAGCAACGCCTCATTCTGCACTCCGCCTGGTCACAAGAGGTTCTCCAAGCTATGGCAGGCATCCAAGATAAGTCTCACTCATTTTTCGTTCTTGATCTACAGTTTCAGTCTACCTCTGCAACGCGTTCGTCTAACAGGTAGTCATTGGAGGGCCGGAGAAGCCGAAAAAACGAGGCTGAGCAGGGAGGCTGATGGAATCATGCATCACCTTGCGCTCTACGCAGCTACTTTGTATACAAAGCAGTCGCTTTGAAGTGAGCTATACAGTTCATACATGAGGCTTTTTCGCTATGTTTTGTTCTTATTCTGTAGTTTAGACAACCGTGGAACAGACAAATACGTCGAGACCGGAGATGGACTGAAAAAATAGCCATGAAAAAATACTTTTCCGTCTCAGTCACTTGGGATAGACAGTCTACTCATTTTTCAGAGCTCTGCATCATCCAAGTCGTTACTATTTCGTTGCCCTCTGCTACCTTGGCCTTGCGCGTCTTCACCCTGTGCCTGGGCTAATTTCTCACCCTATGGCATTACCCCATCCCTAGAGAAGGATCAGTACAGTCGCATAGAACAGAGCAAGACAAAAAGAGAGGTTTGCTACTTATGGGAGCTAACTTCGAGTAGACTCGAATCTGGTGTTTTTTCCCTGCTCTTATTCGGCCTCTTCGGCCTAGACGCTTCCAACTCCTTGGTCAAGCGCTACGGTTCCGGCAAAAAAGTCAAGGCAGATACGAGAAGAATTAAGCCCACCAGAGCTACGAGAGCAGTCATTAAGATCCTGACAGATAGTGACATAATGCTAGAGCTTGAAATCACGAACTCCGCCGCGCCAGGTAGCATGCTGAGGTCCCCCGGAAGGATTTTATAAGAGAGGCCTCGCCGTCTTTCCATGAAACTTCTAGTCATATACTCCCAGGACGAGAGACCAGGACGGCCCGTCGGCATGAACGGGTAATTATTGATCGGAAAGACTCTCCGTCCAATACCAAGGGTCCCTTCCAGGGTGGTACTATATCCTCCTAGCGAGGAAACCAAAATCCTGTAGGTGAAGTGTCTCGCGAGTCCATGTTCTGCACCAGTGAACTGCCTGGAACCTAGTGATTATCTCACGTCCCTGAATGCCGATGATCTTGGGGGAAAGAGTTATGCTAGGTTAGGTTAATTTGGGTTTCTGGTAATATTTCCAAACAAGCCAGATATATATATATATATATAAACCCCTGTAAAATGGGCAGGAATAAGACTGTTATTTACAGACCACAAGGTCAGCCGGGAAACATGGCTAGTATACAAACAGCTGCACACCGATACAAGAGAAAAACTGATATCATGAGCCACACGGAAGGACTCCCTGGAAATGACGATAGGCGTGAGGATCAAACATGAGACAGAGAAGATGGCTTAGACTGTGGGCTGTGACCAGAATGTCTTTCAGAAGCCTTGATTTCAATGGCTGGCCTGTGAGATGTGGAATCGCCATTGGTATCAACAATTAATCCATTGACCTGTCCACGACTCTGAAACCCTGTGCTGTAGCTCTCAAGGGCTTCGAAGACATGGCCGAATACTTTCTTATCCACATCCTTGGCCCACAGAAAATCCAAATGCTCATACTTCGGGATGGGCTTTGCGATAGTTTCGCGAGGAAGGCTCTGCAGCATCACGTCGATATCAACGAGGCTATCATTCTCACCATACAGCATCACAATTGGAGTCTTGATGTTCCTGGTTGGGTATTTGACAGGCTTGTAAAAACGCTCGCTCACCCCGAGGCTGAACGGCGCGTAGACTTCATCATCAAAGAACTGGAAGTTTTTATTGCGAATGATTTGGAACCAGTGGACCACGGACTTGGTACTCGTGAATGAATACAGGTGAAGGTACCCTGCCAGTTTCTGGTAGGAGCTGATGTTCTGGCACTTCCAGTTAAAAAGAATCGATAGGGAGATGTCGATTATGCGAACATAGATCGGAGGATAGAGGATCGTCTGCCACATGGTTGTCGAGCTGAGGATGCTGCGCCGGCCGAAAAGTAGAAACAAAAAGTCGGGCGAGGCTTTCATTAAAGACGTGACAATGCGGTTTGCAAGCCCAGATGGAGCCATGGCAGGCGCAAGCGCCACGAAGACATCGACTTTCTGATTTAATAGTGGATGAATCGACAGGGTTGCAAATGCCTGGGCTGTCCCCTGTGAAAAACCAATATATGATAGTGAGGGCTGTCCCGTGACATCGAGGATATACTGTATGCTGTCCGGAATATCATGGAAGGCGAACTGATCAATTGAAAAGGTCCAGAACTCGTTCGATGCCGGCGAGTACTTGGTTGACTTCTTCGAGTACTTGTTGCCGCGGTTGTTCCCGAGCCATACATCGTATCCTCGTTCAACTAGCTGGAACGGAAGACAACGCTGTTCATGTGTCAAAGCAATCCAGACCTCACTACACATCAGAAGGCCATGATGCAAGTACACGACCTTTTTCCTAATGCTACCAGGACCATGGTTGACTCGTATGCCGGTCTCGCCCTTCCGGTATGGTAATCGGTGGAGCCCAAGAAGATAGCCATCGCCGGTCTGCACGATGTGTTCTTCCGGCTCGTATCCAAACAACGCACAGATATCAGCGAAGTCGGACGCCTTTGCAATGGATGTAGCCAATGCAGCCTGGCTATCAGGTTTGTAAGGTCTCTCGGAAGGTATGAAAAGATAGAAAATGATTTTGGACTGATTGTAGCAGAAGTTGATGATCGGTTCCGCTACAGCGTAGTCAGCCCCAACTCCGACTGTTTATCGCGAGATGATATCCCGACTATACTTACGCAAACAGACAGTGATAACGTGAACAATTCCTTCCAGCAAAACTAGAATGAGCGATCCAAAAAGCGCAATGTACTCAAACCTATAGGCAGAGAATTAGATGCAACATTTCGAAATTTAATCAGCTAACGCCTCTCAACTAACCAAAGTAGTCTCCCGATGAACGGTACCCGTGCCATAATGGAGTTAAGCAGCTCGGCCAATGCTGTCTAATGTGTCTATTGTGCATCTAGAAGGCCTAGAGGGCATATTCTGTGTCTGATAGTTGCAAGAATGGTTGTCGTGGAAAGAGGTTCTTGCCAAAACCGCTTCGACGTCATGCAACCTTGCATGTGACGCTTATGTCATCCGGTGATGGCCAACATCGCCGGACCGAAAAAGTTCATGACTGACAAACGACAATCGGTTGATTTGCAATCTTCGGGGAGTCAAGATGCCTAGCTCCTGCCATCAAATAAGTGAGTCAAGGCAGAGTTCATCGGTTGCTGAAATCCCCCAATTGGCAATATATTCAATCCGTGTGGTTTGTGTGGGTGTTGACTTGGCAATTAGGAGACGCGCTTGCAGAATGTCTACAGCAATCCGACTGTATCATGGTCCAGCGGCACACTCCGCGAGAGTGTCTCAGTGCTCCATATGTCGATGAATTGCCTGTGAAATGCCAGCAACTCCGAAAAGGGTTCAGCGAGTGCAAGTAGGTCTTGCGTGCGAAATGATCGAGTAGGAGAGCTCCGCACGGCTAACATTTTTACCCCTCTAGACGCGGACTGATCGATATGCGCAAACGATTCCGAGGAAATCAGCCTCTCGGTTCTTCCAAGATAGAGGGCGGGCCTGGCTCTGAGCAGAAGCAACAGCTATATGCGGGAAAGCCGGCCTTCACTACCGTCAAGGAGATTAGCGGCGACGAGGTCCAGATGGACCCTGAGAAGACGAGGGGTCTGTGATGTGTTTTTCATGATCGCTTAGCTGGAGGCTGGTATATAGGGACTGGTGACGACGGAAACCAAGGACCTCACGTGTATCGATGTGCTGAAGCCTGACAGTCATCAAGCACGCCGTTTTACTCTTCTCCACTTAGCATGGATCTGGTGTTATTCTGGGTATCTGCAATGTACGATAATGGGTCTTAGCTCAAACATGAAATGTATATAGATCATCTTTTTGCCTGATGGCTAATTGATATTGCCTCAATGTCTCATATAATATGCTATTCTGGTTGCCTTCGGTTTTCGGAGGATATGATAGGATCTAAGGATTTTCTAGCGTGCAAACGTAGAATACAGCATTATTGGAAGAAATATAGAACAAATGTCAAGACACCCGACGTGAATGCCATCTTTGAGACAAGAGAAGAAGAGGAAATGCTTCGTTTTTACTGGGTCTTCTTGGTTTTGGCAGAAGGGGGCTCTGAGTAAAGCCAGACCAGTACGAAAGCAATGAAACCGCCAATGACGGCCCACAGACCAGCAATCCACACCCAACCACCGCTGATCTCCCAGCTTCGGGGATACTCGTCGTGAGCGAAATGGCGGACAGTCACCTCATGCTTCTCCTCAACGTTGGTGAGGAAGGGGCGCTTATAGTCGACACGGAAGGAGAAGATGCCATGCTGATCCGGAGTGGTAAACGCCGCGCTGTACACAGTGCTGTTATCGGTCTTGCGAGTGGGCTGGAGGGCGAGGCGATGGAAGGGGGAGAGCATGCTGAATTCGAGCTGAAGGGCGTCCTCCGAAGGAAGCTCGAATGGGACATAGCCGTCGTATTCATACTCGGAAACTTCCATGTTAAAAACCTGTAAAATGCCACATCAGCATCCTTACCATAGCTAGACAGGATTGAAGGGTACTTACGATGTCATTTTTGATGCGGTAGATCTGCGGGTTCAAGTCCGCAGGGTCTTCTGCGAGATAGTGCTCAATCTTTCCAACCTTCAAAACACCAGTCTCCTTGAAGGTCCAGGCAGTCAACTGCTTGGCAAACTCCCGGTTGACCGTCTGGGTCTGTTCCTCGTCGCTGGGGGTCTTGACAGTGGCGGAGAACCATTTGTCTTCCAAGCTCTCGACGGAGCCGAGAACAGTGAAACGAGCCGAATTCCTCGACTGCATGGTCGAGACTAACGCCAGCTGTGAGCCTGTGGCATAAACCTCCTCCATGCTTCCGGAATCGTCCTTGGGGTTGTAGCTATACGCAGTCACCGGCGCGCGGAGCACAGGGGCGACAAGGGGGCTATCACTTCCCAGAGTTTGAGGAACTGCTCTAGGCATGGCCAGAACGCCCTCTCCGGAGAAATAGGCCTTGGTGTCGGGGCGGAGGGGACCAGGACGAGGCACAACGAGGACATCGTGCTTCTCGGACGCGGACACGGTGTCATAGTTGAAATGGTCGACAACAAAGGCCGAGCGGTCGCTTGACAAGTGCAGGTCCAACTCAATGAGGAGCGAGCTAATCGCACTCGGTGTGCTCGACTTTCCGGATAGGGCGAGGAGAACGTTGCCCTCCTTATTCATGAAGTCGAGGACCGCCTTGGGAGTCAACGAGGGGCCGAAGCCTATTGAGACAGGTGTTAATTTCACACCGGTCTATTACGGAAAGTATCTGTCCCAGTGTAAACGCCGAACCTTTTGATTTAGGAGGGAAAACGAGCAGGTGGTCATAAGCTCTGGCTCCATGCTGAAACAGAGAGAGCTGCTCGCTCTTCGGCGATTCGAATGAGAGAGTATATCCCCGACCTGCAACGCCAGTCAGCTTTTCTCCAGCGTCCATCGCCATCCAAGTAGGTCAACCCACCCTCCAGATCACTCCAGAATGTCGAATACAGGCTCTTTTCGGTTTCATCCTCCAAGATAACCAGCAGACGATTGCCCGTACTACTCAATGCATGTACCACCGCCAAGAAGCTCAAGAACAGAAAAGAGAGGAACCACCGCATCGTGAAAGTTCCGCACAGCGGAGCGGAAGATGGGCAATGGATGGCAATTATCAGAAACGAAGAAGAAAAAAGGACACGAGGCTGGAATTGACGTTGCGCGAGCCGCCTCGTTGTAGTAGTTAATGGGGGAAAGGCGACGTGTTTGGTCCGCATGCCAAGACTTTGTTTCGCTCGCATCGGCATTCGTCACTTTCAACCTCCATCGAGAACCTCCACCCCCTCCTGTCGCATTGAGGCAGCATCGCCGTTGTCCACCCACACAACCCGTCTCTGTTCAGAGTCCAAAAAGTCTGCACTACGTCTGAGTGCGTCTGCAATTGAATTGCATTCCTGTCGGCTGAAATCAGACCGCTATTCCCCCGGATTCGATCCACCGCAAAACTTTTGAGCTCTCCGCATCTTCGATTCCAATCTCACCGACCACCATGTCGAACCCTCAATTCTGGTCGACTCCTCTCCGCTACCTCCGCTGGGCCTCCCACGAGAAGCCGGCTATCTTCTATTCTCTCTGTGTCGGCTCCATGGGCCCTGTTCTTCTAGTCGCCCTGCCTCCCATCCGCCGGTATTTCGGCGACATTGACCCGGCTCCGGTTCCCATGTCATACCCGGGTAAGAGCTTCTGCTGCCAAAGCTGAAATATGTTTGATATACATTCTGGTTGTAGAGGAGATTGCTAACAATGATGCTGCTACAGTTCCCACGGGACCCCGGGTGATCCCCCAAGGCTACGACGACGAGTAGACTCGAAAAAGGAAAAAGAAAGAAAAAGAAAGAATATTCAACCCTCCGAGGTTGACATGTGCAATTACATCGTTCTATCGAATTAGTTTCGTGGGTGTTCCGGTGCAGCAGAGTGGGAAATTTACACAGCACACACAGCTCTTGAATCCGATCGGATCCGTCTCCGTGTTCTTATAGCACCAAATCAACTGCGCAACCAACGCCATTGTCTCCGTGCAGCTTGTTTGTTGACTGTCTCTATCTTGTTTTGTTTTTTCCCTGCAACTGGGGTCAAGGTGCTACAACGTACTGTACATGAAATGATATACAATCCAGATGAATATGTTCCTTCATTCGCAACTCCAATCTGGCTCAGATCCAATGGCTAGATGGAATACGGGTATCTGCTGACGCCAGACAGGTGTAAATCCAATATCACGAAGTCAAGAAGCATAGTACAACCAATAGCAAATGGGTAATCTGGGTCGAAGTGACACAAGTACAACAAATACAACAAAGTTGAAAATTAAGGAGACTTGGGCAAGAAGAGGTGCTCAAACTTCTGCGATATTAAGGCCCTGCTACGACTCCTCATCCTGCTGTGGGCCATATAAAAAATAGCGGTACAAAATAGGCCGTTATAGAGGCCGTTCGAGTACACAGGGAATATAATACCCTTTTGCAGAGGGGAGTATTTCCTGATGAGTAGGCCTTTGGTCTGTTTCTTCTGGTCGAGAAGCTCTACACTTGGGGATTTGGGTTCTAGAGAAGATCTTGTAGGAACTAAGAGAATAGATAGTTTTCTCCTGAGTAAGATTAGATTTGGTATTTCATCCAAACACATGAATCCACAGCATTGTACATTGTAGAAGAGGTTGGCGAGATGGAGTCAAAGATAAGCGATTACAAGCTGCTAACTCCTTGGCTGTCATATAGTTCATACTCGGCGTTGTTGATCGGGTTCGAAGAGGCGATTCGTTCAAAGATGACAGTCGAGGGATAACAACACCGTTCTGGGTCCAAATGAAATGCCTGCTATCAAGATGACAGAGACCTAGAGCTGAGTATACACCGAGGAAAATCTCCGGATTCTATAAGTGTCGGTACAAGACTGAAAGACACCAGTGGCTTGCATCTTCAGACAGAGTCAGTCTCATGCCGGAGAATCCGAGCTGAGGTTAGGTGATTTTTTTGGTAATTCAGGAAAGATGTCAGATTCGGATGGAGATTCATGAATCACAATAACACAAAAGACCAGATAGTTTGCAAAGGCCACATCAAAAGCAACAACGCCATAAATGCTCATATCTACATGTAGTTCATGATCCGCATCGCTATACCGGATATCTCCAGAGTTGATGCAGTCGAAAATGTCAACTTGGCACTCCCAAAAACATCCATCATTTCTGCAAGACAATGATCCAAAGCACCCCCCTCAACCAAGATGTTAGCGTCCTGTACATCAAGAAAGGTCCCAGAGCAAAACAAAAGATTTAGCGGAAAAGAAGACGGCAGAGAGTCATTAGAGCAGGAGAAATCCAAAAAACCGCCGTAATTTTTTTGCGCGACCTATCACCCCAGAGCACCTGATCTGTCGACTTCATAAAAGACAAAACGTAGTAGAAACCAAAGCATCGTCGACGGCAAGAACAAGGCACCAATGGGACTCCCTCTTGTTTCAGGCATCATTACAGACCCGTCGCAGAACCACATAACGGCAGTGTGGGCGGCATTCCCTGGAGAGAGGGTGTATGTCGAAACCATTAACATGCCTTGATGGGCTGGAAAACATATCATAACATAATAAAGAAAAAGGTCCATGGTGGTATCCTTGAGAGGCAAAACATATTGACGTAAAAAAAAAAAAAGAAAAAGAGAAAAGAAAGAAGCGACGGAAACAGAGTCCCGAAGGGTTTTTTACCCCTCCGCTTTAGACTTTCGTAGAAGAGGAAAGGCAGGTCTGCTGTCTTCCCATGGCATTCAAAGGGACTCCTCCAAGTCGATAGATGATAAGAGTGATGATGATGATGATGATGATGATGATGATGATGATGATGAAGACGGCGGAAGAACTTCTTTTAACGCCGGCGATGAGGTTCCCTTTCACGTGCAGGCTGCGGCCTATTACGTTCCGAGTATGTAGAGTCCGGAGTATATCTGGGGTCCATTCCTATCCGGGGGTCTGGGGCAGTTGTAGGTGGATAGGCCATTCCTGAGGTGACGGGTGAGAATTCGGATTCATTTTCATAGCCTGGTCCTGGGTATCTGGGAGCATTGTTCCTCCCGGCCTCGTACCCATAACCAGTGTTGCTAGTGTATGTGTAGGTTGGGTGCATGTCCGTGGTCGTCACCGCGGGCTGGCTGGGGCCAGAGTACTGTTGCGGCGGCTGGTAAGGAGGCTGTCCAGATCCATAGGGAGAATGACTGGAAGAATATGTGGTAGCCGGAGGGTACTGGGGATTGGGTGTTGTCCCATACCCCTGAGCATAAGGATCCATGTATGGCTGTGCAGGGGCAGCACTATATGTGGGCGGAGAAGGCCCTTGTTGCTGCCGCAACTCATGAATTGGAGAGGCTGCATAATTTGCTGGATGCACGTTAGGTGCCTGAGACTTGCCCAAATCTTGAATGTAACTACCTCGTGGATAGCCAAGATCAGCCCTACGCGAAACATCTGCCTCCCAGCGGGCCGAATCGGCCTTGAGATCAGCAATCATTTCCTGTCACAACAAGCATCAAGTCAGTTAAACTTCCCCTAAGTTGTTTATGTGTGTGTGTGTGTGTGTGTGTCCGTTTGTTTGACTCACCGAAGTCAGATTCCGGTAGGCACGGATGAAAAAGCCCTGGCGACCCTATTCGGAATGTTAGTCAACAACACCTCAAGCACTGGGACAGAGATCCCCTCTGTGGGTTACAGCGAGACAGACATTATGGTTTCCAGGCCTTACGAGGGCATCATTCCCCAGGTAGCGGCAAATGTCCGCTTGGATGACTTCCCGACTGATTCCATCGCCGGGGACAAAGTATTCGTTCTGACGCTCCGGGCGCCCTTCAAAATGGCGACCAGTCATGATGTCCGGGGGAAAAGAAGCAACCAGGATTATGGATTTAAGTAGAGAAACGGGTCCAGGTGGCCAAAATCGCAACGACAGGCGAGATCCAGGAGTAGCAGACGGCGATCTGAGAACAAAAAAAAACACGAGTCCGGGGTCTCTTTATTAGATGGCGTCCAGGAACAATCCGAGGTGGGTTAATCCGACTTGTGTCTCATACACATCAGATGAAGACTCAAGTATCCAGGGTCTTGGTCCAAAGGCAAGAGGTTGGGAGAGATCCAGTGCAAAAAAGGCTCCAGGGAAGGTTGTGGCCGTTGGGTGTGTTTGTTTTGTGTTTGTTTTTGTTTTTGTTTTTGTTTCCCCTCTTTCTTCCTCGGGCGAACAATATATTCCTGGCGAGATGAGCGAGGGTCGCAACGACGGGTGCTCGAGAGATTGAGTGACGAGAAGGAGAAGACAAGAAACAGGCAAGAGGCTGTTGGGAGGAGGGAGACAGGAGAGAACGAGAGAGAAATCCGCCTCTTCCAGTGGGTTTTGTCCGGTGCACGCGTTTCTAACTGTCACTCACACTTTGCACTTTCAGTCACACACAGGCGGGTATAAATGTCGACGACCTGGCCGAAAATGCCAGAATGTAGTTTCTCAGAGAGCAGCGAGACCAGGGGGGAGGGGAAAGGAGATAAGAGAGTGTCGCCAAGGGGGGGGGAGCGCGAGGGTTGTGCGTTGCGGTTGGTTGTTTGGGATGTTGGGCCGGTTTCCTTTGGGCTGCCTGGCCGTGTCTGGTGCCACGACTCCACTAGCTGGAGGCGATTCGGATTTGCACAGTCCACTTCCCCCCAAGCCAGGTGCTCCTCCAACAGAAAGGAAGGGTCTGCATGAGCCATCCGATTCTAAAATTTTTAAAAGCATGCACGGACTAATAAGGCTTAGCGAGGTGGTGGTCGCGTCCGGATGGCCGGTCCTGGATGGCTGATGCGTCCAGATGGAAGGCGAAAGAAGGCCTGCCTTCTGGGGGGGAAGAATCGATTGTCAAGAGGAAAGAAAGGGTGGCAATACAGCCTGGATACTATTCCCTGCTGCCTCTCCACCGCTTGTCTACCACGGAGGTACGAGGGCACTGTACTTTTGCACGGAGAAGGATTGTTATTGCCAGTGAAACTACTACGACAACCTACCGGGTGGGACCCCTCCGATCTTTTGCACAATAATACTCCGTACATGTCTTCCAATGCCAGGCCGACGGAGATCGCCCACATCCAGATGGGTTACATTCCTGTTGTGATCGACTCCGCCGTCATCGTTGTGAGGCTGCTGAACGGCAACCCGCACACCAAGCAGTACGTGTTCCGTGAGCGTTGAGGGAGGAGAGAAAGCAGTCTTGTCAGGCGTTGAGCTATCCATCAGGGGGTCTCATGACCGACAGGAGGATGCAAGCGCTTGTTATTGTTGTGAACCACCAGATGAGTCCTGTACGGCAGGTTCTCCGTAGAACGAGCGCCGGCTGCTCGGAGTGACCCAAAACCGACACAAGGCTGCGAGACAGGCTGAGAGGCTGGGAATCTTTTTGGCTCTCGATAGGGCGCGTACCTTGATCTGACCTGCAAATGCTCTTATGTGCAAAATCTGTTCGGTCTCGTTGCTCTGGCCTCGATGAGTCAAGATGCAACGGATTCGCGGTGAGCGAGCAACGTGCCGCAGAGGGCCTTCTGCGTCACCGTTCACCGCAGGACAGTTGGTCTGACCTCTGCTAGACCAAGAGTTGTGCAGCTTGCGAGGCAGAAATTGCCACAGAAGCGTGTGGTCCAGACGCGCTCTCCATTCGTGTGCCCGCCTTGGATGGCAGTTGGGCAGTCATGCGTGTGGTTTGGGCACCACGCCCTCCGACCAGGCTCCAGCCGCCGTTTCCGACAAAGCAATCCAGGTGCAGGGTAACACGACGGCAAGTTTAAAATGGCCCAAATTGGGTTTTTGATTGATGACTGGCTGTCATAGTGGCCATGATTATAGAGAACACTCTGTACATATTAACATTGTGATCTGGTTTGGGGTCCTCGCCGTCGCGTCTCGCCTGCCCACCCTAATGAGACTGTGTTTATATCTGAACCAGCCACTCTCTACCTATACATTCTGCTCCAACCAAACAGTGTTTTTCTTCCTTCATCTTTTTCTTCTGACTGCAAAAGGTGCATAAACCGGGGCCACTAAGTAGCAGGAGGCCGGGCTTTCTGGCCTCGATAGGTCATGGAATCTCATCTGCACGCAGCCAACACCCGGACTTCTAGAGCTCAACCCAGCAATAGAAACAGGACAGGTGTCTTCTGTCTGTCTGCATGGCTCCTTTGGTGAGCTGCACTGCTGCACCTTCTTGTCGACCATCTGATGTCGATATCATAACATAGATCCCCCTGGTCGACTGATCACAAATTGTGCATGAAGCCTGGCAAGCTCAGCTGACACCAGGCTGGGAGAACCGAGTTCTCAAACGACAGCCTCAAACGAAACTCTTCGTTGCATGTTGTGTTTACGGGGTAAAGGGGACTCTTCATTTCAGGCAACGGTTGCCCCGTATTCCCTCCGATCACCAATAGCTGGCCAGGCGTTTAATGCGGATTCTATCAATGTGATATGACGAATAGCTCTGTAGATCAATGTAGCCTCTGGACCTCTGTAAATGTTGACAGTCATCTCGATGACAACAATCGGCAACAGGTAGTTTACAGTTGACCCTTAGGTAGCCATCTGTTGTCTCGTGTTTATCAAATAAACCATAATACCGTAAATTGGCAAACTCATATCCATGAGAAGGAGCTATATTGTAGCGCCCTTGACTGTATATATATAGATATCCGATAGTTAACTGGTCGTCAGGTACTGTTGAGGTAGTTCTGAGGTTCAAGGCTATAGCACAGTGAGATGTACAGCAATTGTTTCGGTCAACTGCCTGCAACCGGGCTTCCTATATTAGATAAAATAGTATATTAGGTAACAACCAAGTGTTGCTCTTCAATAAATGCATCGAGAAGAATTCACCATACTCTAGATGTCATGTCGCCAGTCCAGTAAGTATGTTAAGTACCTCCGTAACCTGATAGTCAGAGGGGAATAACATCGCTAACCCGAAAAAGGTTAGCTCACAATTCCTGGGATCTGGCTCATTTCCCAAGTCATGATTATTATTATTGTCCACTACGGTCATTCATAACGATTATCAACCTGTGTGGATACTCATTGAAAGCCTGCGCCATGATGACTCCGAGTCCATCATGTCACCATCTTCCCCAGAACCGTTCTTCGCGCCGTCATCGCCGATATCTTCCGTGAAGCGATCCCAGTTCACCCACCGCAACCTGCAGCAGCTTCGCACAGCGTCGGCATCGAGTCCTCTACGGGTGATCGCACACATCGACCTCGATGGATTCTATGCACAATGTGAAATGGTCCGACTGGGCACGTCGCGCGACACCCCGCTCGCGGTCCAGCAGTGGGACTCTCTCATCGCGGTCAACTATGCGGCACGCCCGTTCGGCGTCTCCCGCATGATCTCCGCGGCCGAGGCGAGGAATCTCTGTCCTAGTATCATCCTGCAGCACGTGGCGACCTTCCGAGAAGGCGAGGGTGGGAAATGGGCTTACCGTGACGATGCGTTCAAGCGCGTCAGCACCGACAAGGTCTCCTTGGATCCGTATCGAGCCGAGTCGCGCAAGATCATCTCTGTGATCGAGGAAGAGCTGTCGAGATGGTACAAAGTCCTGGCTAATCCGGGGAGAAATGTCCAGCCTGCGATTCTGCAGAAGGCAGGCATTGATGAGGTGTTTATAGATCTTTCACCTCTGGTGTTTGGTTTACTTCTCCAGAGATACCCCGAGTTACAGGTGACAACAGATGAGGACAGCAAACTTTCTGTCCTTCCGCCCCCTCCTACTACCGCGCTCGAGTGGCACCCGGAAGATTGCCTTGTGGACCTGGACACGAAGGAGATGGAGATTGATGACCCTGACTGGGATGATATTGCGATCCTTCTGGGGTCTGAGATTGTTCGCGCGGTTCGCAAGGCTGTTTGGGATGCGTTGAGTTATTCTTGTTCTGGAGGGGTTGCGAAGAACAAGATGATTGCTAAGTTGGGGAGCGCCTGCAACAAGCCGAACAAACAGACCGTGGTTCGCAACCGCGCCATTCAAAATTTCCTGGGTGGCTACAAGTTCACAAAGATTAGAATGCTGGGAGGCAAACTGGGAGACCAAGTCAGCGCCGAGTTTGGGACGGAGCAGGTCATTGATCTGCTTAAAGTGTCTTTGGAGCAGTTCAAGGCCAAGTTCGATGATGATACTGCCACGTGGTTATATGGCATCATCCGTGGAGAGGATCTCAGCGAAGTCAACACCAGAACGCAGATCAAGTCCATGCTGTCCGCCAAATCCTTCCGACCGAGTGTCAATTCAACTGAGCAAGCCGAGAAATGGCTGCATATCTTTGCGGCTGACATCTACAACCGCCTTGTAGAGGAGGGCGTGCTTGAAAACAGACGACGTCCAAAAACGATTACCTTGTACCATCGCCAGGGAGGACAGGTACGGTCCCGACAAATCCCCATACCGGCGTCCAAATCGATTGACGAAATCCAACTTTACGAGCTTGCAAGGACGCTTCTCCGTCAGGTCGTGGGTGATGGTCGCGCATGGCCCTGTGCCAACCTGTCGCTCAGCGTCGGTGGGTTTGAAGAAGGCGTCACGAATAATCGCGCAATCGACGGCTTCTTGCTTAGAGGCGAAGAGGCGAAGTCTATAGCTCAGCTAGCAAAACAACCAGAAAATGGTCACGGCCATGATTGGGAACCACAGGCAAATGAAAAGAGGCGGAAGCTTGACAATAGTGGGATCAGACGATTCTTCAACCAGCAGCCAGATATCAACAACGGACAAGAATTATTTGGCGAGTCTGATGCTATCACAGAAACACCCGATGTACACGAGCAACTCACCAAAAAGACAGAAGATCAAGATCCGACGAACCCAGACCAATTGTCTTCGAATCTATACACTTGTCCCCGATGCAGCAAATCTCTTGATGAGTGGGAGAGGGATGAACACAACGACTGGCACTTTGCTAAAGACCTGGAGTCTCAAGACAGGCAAGTCGCCGAGACACCACAGCAACAAGCGCGTCAGACACGAGGTCCGACTCCGCGTGGGAGAGGCCGAGGAGCTCGAGGGAGGTCAGAGAAGGGGCAAACCCGACTTGCTTTTAGTTAAACCATCCACTCAGTCACCAGGCATGCCTCGCTCCTCACCTTCCCTATCTCGGATCATGCCCATATCGACACTCCTAGCGCCGAGTCCAATCTCTGGTTCCGTCACATAATTATCCGTGGATCGAACGGTAAACAAATCCAGATCCACGGTTCCGCACGGGTAATCTTCATAGCATATACAAGAGGCATATCTGGGTCAGGAACGTAGACCAGACATGATATCATAAAGCCTTTGTGCCGTAGAAAAGTACTCAACAGAAAAAAGTCATGTTGGGCTTGGAAAAGAGTCGATCATGTTTCATGCAGGGTGACATCAGCGTCAGCCGCGGGGTCGACGTCGAATCACCCCCAAGGCAGCGCTCGGGTGAAAGTCAACAGTGCAATTGCTTCAAATCACCCAGATTATTTCCCGCTACGTTTTAGAATTCAGTGGCACTTTGAATGGAATAGGATTGTTCGATAGTTTGAACCCGAAGGCCAAGTACTCGCTTTGATTTTCTCTCTCTAGTCCACCTGAAAGGCTGCAATACTGCAAATTGTCGCGAACGTCATATCTTTCCAAGCTATGTCTCGGCGGACATCACGACGCGAATATCGCGAAGACGAGTTCTACGAGTCTGAACAAGACCGGTACCCAAGCGGGCCTAGGCGCGAGCGTGTTTTCAAAGAGAAGAGAGAGACGGAAACAGATCGTCAACGACGAACTTCAGGCCCGCCCGTTCGGGAGCTTGAGCGTCTGCATGTACGCGAGCACTCAGCTCCAGATTTCATGCGAGAGAGCTTTGGGCCGAGACGCGAAAGTGAGCAGTTGGTGTTGCGACGGGACGAGGACAACGAAGAGGAAGAATTCGAAGAAGAAAAGGAGGAAGATTACCACCGTCGACCGTCAAGAAGATGGGAACGAGAAGCGGGTCGGCGGGCTTCGCTGCAGGAAAACAGGGCTCCAATCCGAGAAGTAGAGCGCGAAGAGTTCGTTGTGAAAGAAGACAACAAAGGTAGAAGAAGAAAGTCAGTCGAGTGGGACATGGAGCGAGAGGAGGTCTTTTCTGAACGTGAACGACGACCTCGGGACGAGGAGGAAGTATCTCGTCGGGAGAGGAAAGACGATCGAAGATCCAAACGTCGACCACCCTCACCGCCGGAATACGAAGGAGATGACAAGTTCCACCGGTACTATTCTGATCGGGAGAGCTATGCGAGAGGGAGCGATGGGCACCGAAAGCCTACAGGCTTTCAGTCTCGCTCTCGGCATCGTCGAAGTGACGAAGAGTTTCTTCTCCGAAGAAAGCGGCGAGAAATCATTCGCGGACCGCACGAGATGGAAGAGGAGGAAGAGGAAGAGGAAGAGTTCATTGAAGAAGATCAATCTCCTTCGCCTGAGCTCCCGCCTCTAAGAGAACCGCCAGTTGTTCGTGCTCCATCCATCCATCAAGAGATAGTCACACATCACCGGCATATAGATCATGGTAAGGCACCGAAGTAGGGAGGAAGATGGTATTCTCTGACTCGTGTCCAGGATACGAAATTGATCACCCCCCTCTTCGAGATCCCAGTCTAGGCCCTCGGTCTCGGAAGAACAGCTTTGAGGAATTGGAGATCCGCGAAACTCGGTACGTCGGTTCTCCTCAATGGAGTCGATTATATGTTCTACCAATTAACGCTATATCAGGAGTGGGAGAAGAGGGAGGTCGTCACGGGAAGATGTCGTTGTCGTGCGTCCGCGAGAGGAGGAATCCAAATCGCCCTCACCTGTGCGTCGTCGATCTCAGGAATCACTGGACGAGACAAAGAGAAAGGAGATTATGATCTCGGAAATCAGGCCACGATCCCTCGACCGTGACGTATGGCAAGCTCATGGCAGCCTTCGCAGAAGGGAAGAAACCTCGCTCCGGCGAGGAGAAGTATACGAAAAGGAAATCAAAGAATTGGAGATCGTCGACGTGCCCCCCGGAATCCGACGTTCTCAGTTCGACGAAAAGAGGGAGGAGTCCACCGACGACGAGATCGAGGCAGACCGTGGACGCATTGCACGCCGGTACACCGGTATCAAGGATAAACGAGACCGGCTGTGGACCGAGATCACAAAGGACCTCGTCGTCAAGGAGGCGATCGAGCGCTCCGGGTATGAGTTCGAAGAGACAGAACTCTTCTACTATGTCTTTTCCTACCTACGATACGTGAGTGAAACCAAGAAATCCAGTTAACCCTCAATCATTATTTCCCTCTCTCTAACAGTCGTACTCTGTAGGAGGACATTGCCGCGCTGGTCGAACTATCCGACAAAATCCGCCGAGCACGTCGCAGGAGAATCCACGAGATCCACCGTGAACGTCTGTCTATGCCTCCTGCTCCTATTCTTGCTCTCGCTCCTCCGCCACCGCCTCCGCCTCCACTTCTAGAAATGGCCAGACCACCTCCCCTTCCTGCGATCTCGGACCGGAAGCGTCTGCCTGCCCCGCGCCGCTCATGGGACGAGATCAGGTACAAGGAAGAGGAGCTCGTCGTTGATGATGGTCGGCGGTCTTCTCGTCGGGCACGTTCGAGACGGTAAGCGTAGGTACGGGGCACCCTAGTACGGGAGTTGTTATGCCACTGTACAGGGGATAGTTAACTAGCTGGTGGAACATATCACGTCTGACAGCGATGAGCGACGTACGGAGTACAGAATACTAGGTAGGTAAGGTAATTCGTCATGCAGGGCCCCTGATGTCAATTAAGCATACCCACTAAGCTAGTTGCTAGTGAACTAGTTATAGAGCATTGAGCACGGAGACGAGAGATACCTTCGTACTCCGTCCTATAATAACTTCGGGTTACTGATAAATAGTTATCTAGTATCTACTCTGTAACTATCCAAGTCATGTATACGCTGCGTAGGATATACGTACATCTAACTTGGCACCGAAATGAGAATACTAATGTGGAGCCGACTCGCATTGTAGGACAAGGTTTGACGACTATCCGATTGTTTCAGCATTATGCAACCGGTAGTTCATATGAAGGTTGTATAGAGTATAAAGTGAAAACACATGATCATATCTTGTATGTCAGTACTAATGAAGTTAGTTGATAATAATATCAAAATAATATGTGCTGCCTTAACCGCTGTAATATCATAACCATAACTAATAGTCACAGATACTTCGAGAATATGGATGGCAGATCAAATTTTGATTTTGGCATTGATCAACAGGAGGTAATTTGCCACAAAGCCACAGATGACCCAGTAGTGGTACGAACAGCGTGTATATACGGAGTATATGGGTCTGCAAAGGTTTTAATAAAAGCTTTCCATTGCTCCATAGTCGTACTCCGTAGTATGGATCAGTTACACGATTATTATTGAGCGCAGGAGCCCACCTAATTCTGAAACAAAATTAACCTTGTTGTTCATGTAGTGATCATCGTGATGGCAGTGGCTTGGTGGGTTTTGAATATGGAGTAGAGCCATCGGGCCAGAGATGCGAATGATCTCATCGACTCGGTCCGGTTGTGTATTCGACCGAAAAAAACATGACTGTCATCACGCTGGTTTGGATGGTGTATCATCGAATAATATCCACTTATTGATGCTCTGTCGGCAGCATTTAAGACAATTGAAAGGGAATTGCGACCATTGGAAACTTGGTGTCTGACTATATAGAGATAATATCCTGTACTTCTATATTAGCTGATAGTGTAAGTACTCTGCACGTGTGACCAAAATGGCCACACTATAATAGATAAAAAGGCAACTTCAGATCCCTTCGGTCCTCGGTCGGAGGGAGATATCGCTATGATGACATATAGTTACATTATGCGCATATGACCATCTTGCTAATTAAGCATGAAAGCTTATCAAGAGAGGAGGGGCTCAAGGATGGCAGGTGGCAGTTTGTATTCATCGAAAAGTCGTTATCACCGAGTGTTTGGTTGGTGGTTTAAAGGTGCTAAGACATGCATATCACAGGCGGGGTTCGATTGGGCCATAGCCCATTGGCCATCCGGAGTAGCCTTGGCTGGGAACTTTGTACCACTGTAGACGGGGTACGCTCTGGTGAGTCGTGACCTCTGATGCTGCATGGGACCAAAGTCCTTGTTCTTCACTGGACCCGAGGCTTCGACTTGGATGGCGGGGAGCAAGTGGGAAGAATCCGAAGCGATCACACAAACCTGCACATGCAAGTCAACCATTAGCTATGTTCCAATCATGGGTACCTGGTGTACACAGAGAGAAGTATTCTGTGCCAGCGGGAACATAGAACGCGGGATATAGACGGAATATCATCGCGCTCGATGATTTAACTCCGTCGCGATACTGAAAGCGTCCACCTCGGTGAAACAAGAAACAAAGAAGGTGGTCATATGAGCGCGCCGCCGACAGCTCATCATTCTTCGACCTTCCACTTCCATTTGTCCCTCTGCCACTCAAGCGTCAAAGAAAATTAGGTAGAAGGTAGCCTCAAACTCGAGTAGTACTTGTATTTGTTATTCGTATGAAGAAAGTGGGCGGTATTATTGTTCATGTATGACGATGTTCCATTGGGTGGTTATGGCAAATGGTGCCGATGGAGAATTCTAGACGCAGAATCGCGAACGGATCCATATTATAATAGCATTCGACTTTGAGGTGAGTGAGTTCTGGAGTCGGGTTGATTGCCGCCTAATGCTGTAAGCCGGGCTGGTGAATCAATTTAGTTGTAGTTATACAGAGTACAACCGTCAAGCCTTGTTATATGCTATTCGACCGCGTCTCGTCCATGGGTCTGGAAATCGCCCAACCTTGGGTTGTCGAGCGGGCTCCCCGAGATCCACAACCTGTTGTTGTCAATTGCTAATAATAATAATAACGAGACTCCGGAGTCGGGAGTCTGTCGTCGTTCTAGATGATCACAAATCAGCCCCTGTATCGAGAAGCTCAAGCGGTCGCGTCTTCTTTCATCTTGGTCTGCGTGCACTAGTTAATCGACTACCTACTAATTCGGCTGATGCCTACGTAACGGCTCCGGCGAACAGAAGGTTCGCCGCGCCACAGCGATCTGCAGTCGTGGCCTTGTCTCAGACAGTGAGTGGCTGGCTGGTGACTGGTCGATGGTCGATCAAGTCGAGCAAGTGCCGCGTGTCAAGAGAGTCAGAACTCAATAATAATCGTTGATCCAGGCTCCACCGAGGGCACCAGCGGACTCGTCTCGCGTAGGGGGGACAACCAGCAAACCAGAGCACAACAAACACCAGACAAAAGAGAATAGTGACAGAAGAGGAGGGCGGGGGAAAGACGAAAGTGAAAGGAGGAGAAACCAAAGCGATTTGAATTGAAAGAACTGCCACAGAGAAGGCATAACCAGTCAGTTCAGGTTCCTTTGACCTTGGGAAGAGTCCTGAGTTATTCTTATCAGCTTCGAGTGATCGGCCTGTCCCTAGCTGTTTTGTTACAGTAATAATACAGTGGCCCCATATCAACAGCATTTAGGTAGCAGGAGCAGGTACGGAGTACTAAGGTACCTACCTCACTGAGTAAGTTATTTGTCGTACGGAGTATCTAGTAGTTACCTAGTAGTACCAGGTAGTACCTAGTTACTCCGTACCTTCTACACAGGGACCTAACGGGGTAACTAGCATTACATGGGAGTTACTGGCGGGGAGGACCGTATTTAATAATTTTATAACTATCCACACCGGAATTTTTCCAACAGAGTCGAGCGCTGGAGTCTGTCTACTACAGTGAAATAGTCATCTCTCAGATATGATAGCTGCCAGATGATTACCATTTTATTTGATTCTTGACAATCAAATGTATACAGTACTCTAGTACACTACCTAAGCTACCTACCTACCTAACCTAACCTTACCTATCTGCTGTGACGTACGGACGGACGTACCTAGTAGTAACTAACTAATTTTGGATTACGTCTCCTTCACTAGGCCAATGCACGCCTCCTCCTCCTATTATCTCACCACTCGTCCAGCGTTACCCACTCTGCTGCGGGTGTTCCGGATCTTTTCCAGAGCAATTTCCTAGGCAGAGTCGTACATTCAAGCCATTTCTTGCTCTGGGCTCCCGGCCGGCCTCTCTGCGCCTGGAATCTGCACACAACATCGTCCGTTCTCTAACTAACCGTGTCCGTTCCTTCATCGCCTGCCCGCCCCCCCTCTCTATCCCATCCTTCCTTTCCCTGTCTTGCCTACTGCGTCCTTTCGTTTCTGCCGTGGATCGCTTCTTAGCTCCCCGAATCCGTCACTCGCTCATACCACCGCCTTTTCTCTCCTCCCCGTCGAAACCAATGTCCGTCCTCTGTTACTGAGTGCCTGAGTCGCCTCGTTTCTGTCCTTCCTCACCCACGCTCGTCAATGCTGCCGGTTCCTGCATTTGGTCTGCAGGTGAAGGAAAGGTGCGTTGGTATTTCTTCAGAGTCTTGGAAGGAGATCGTGCTTCGCTGGGCTCCAAAAAGCACACCGTGGATTCCCCGCTCTCCCAGACCTTGACTTGCTTTGTTTCTCTTGTCGTCTTTGGCGAGAGTATACTGATCATCGTGGTGTGATAGATCGGTCAAGCAGAACCCATTTGACTCTGTCGTTTGACGCCTCCTCTCATCTCGTCACATTCATTCATTATACATCAACCTAGATCTTGGCTACAGGACGGATAGCACGTTCAACATCAATAACGCCATCTCGCCCATAAAATACCTCCCATCAATCGGCAGGAAGAGGATACAGAGAACTTTTCTCAGAAGGCTCAGGACCAACGTCAAGACGCTCCTCGGAGCGCGAGGTGCCAATAAATGTCTTCTTCCATCTCGATTTTGGCTCTGGCGTCGCTGCTTGCCCTTGTGACATGGCCAATCACCACGACGTCTCTGGCCATTGAATACTGTTCTTCGCAGAATACGGGTTCCTCGTTCACAGCGAGTACGTGGTGTTTCTGTTTCCGAGGTCAAGACTTGACATACTGACTGATGGTGTGGGAAGACTACAGTATCTACCAGTCCAACGGTCTCTGTGAAACCACTTGTGATCCCGACTACGCCTTTGGCATCCTTCTCGATAAGAACTGCTGGTGCTCAAATTACGCACCGGCCTCCAGTACTACTACAAATGTCTCCAAATGCGACGACGAATGCCCCGGTTATCCGTCCGACCATTGCGGCAATGCAGCCAAAACCTTATACGCATACATTGCGATGTCTTCCCATGAACCTTCCGGCACCGCAACAGTTTCAGTAAGTGTCTTTTTTTGGTTCTTTAATACATTTTTCCTCGTCATTTCCTTCCTAGCTGTTTTCAGTCAATCGGGTGCGATCCTTTCGTGATTCCCTGGTTTAACATCAGCACAGGGGAGCACTACCACTAGTGCGGAGCCTGAGGTCGAGACTGTGACCGTAACTGATACGACTTCCGATTCGGAGTCGAGCGTTACGTCTCAGAGCACATCTGTATGGCTTCCAGCTGTATATGAAGGCAATGCTGTGTTTTGTTTCTTTTTGTTTTTCCTTTGTCTCTTTTTAAGATTGGATATGATGGTCGGATGATACTTGACTTGCTAACGTTGCATCTTCCTCTAGGCTACGAGCACGTCCACGACCTCCTCTACTTCTGAAACCTCAAAAACTACTACTTCTGAAACCACTACTAGTACAGAGTCCCAGACGATTGCAGTCGAGACTGTTGCGGGTGAAGTGAAAACCGTCACAATCGACAATTCTTCCCCAACCTCCACTTCTTCTTCTTCTTCTTCTTCTTCCAAGTCTTCATCAAACAACAGTGGCTTGAGCGGTGGAGATATTGCCGGTATCGTTGTGGGAGGCCTCGGCGGAATTGCACTCTTCGCCGCTATTTTCTTCTGGTTTTTCTTTGCCAAACGTCGTTCACGAGGTACGCATGGATCCGATTATGACCCCAGCGGCACAGTCATGTTTGGTGGACGACGTCATAGCAAAGGCTCACAGATGAGCTTCATGAAAGCCACGTACGGAGACAACCACAGTCACAGCCTGTCGGCAGGGTCGTCCATTGGACCTGGCCGTCCGGGCATTTTCACCGATAATCGCATGAAGACGGATACCGTCCTTTACCCGAATGGTCGCCGGGACAGCAGTGTATCTCTTCAAGACAATGAGGACTACTCGAGACCAGTGTTACGGGTGAGTCAACTACTATTAATCAAGGCCACAATTGTCTCGTTACTGACCTTGTTCTCCCTGCTTTAGTTGACAAATCCGGATTGAGCGAAACTCGAAACTTGATTTCTCCTGAAGTTTTCTTTTAAGTCTCTTTGAAAACAGTTGTCTTCCGCTCTTGATTTTGCACGGCACGGCGAAAACCATGGTGTCATGATACCCATTGTCACAAATTTATCCTCGGTCATTTTTTATCGTCATCCTATTCTAGCCTCCTCATTATCCACTGCAAACCGAACACCGACTACTTCCGGTCCTTCATTGTTCCCCTCGCCAGATCCAGAATCATTCTACCGGCTCGTTCATTCTCAAAGTTGCACGGAGGATATGGATGAAACATTGGCAGGAAAGCAGTGGGTCCAAACCTCTGAACCACTCTGGCGTTGTGCCTTTCAATAGACGGATACGCCGATATGACTCACGATTTGCATTGCTGTGTTTTCCATGGCATCTCTGGAAACAGTTGGTCACCCATGGATCAACGTCTCTGTTCTCTCCCTCTCTCTATCCCCCCTCTCTCTCTCCACCTTGACTCGATCTCCCCCATTTTCAGTCCTCCCTGTACATGTACATTGAAGCTTTCTAGCTGATATGTTCAGGACCTGCCGCGTAAATACATCAAAGTTTCCTTTCCTTTCCCCAATTCCTACTCCTTTAGCGGATTTGCCAGATTGTCTGTTTACCATCATTATCATTCCTCCAATTATGTACTGTACCTTTCTTTTTCTCCTATCTTGTTCAGAGTTTTTCAGCACATAAAGTTTCAGCATAGCTAGATAGATACATTAATAATGAATCAAATGAGGTTCTTCCGCCTTATTACTGATTCTTGGAGACTACCATCAGATCTCATAAACTTGTCCAATAGACCTTGGAGAACTTTGTGGCATGTTCTTACTAATATATCCATTTAGTCATGTTCATTATGTTCATTATATAGCTAGAAGTAGTTAATGAAGGTGATTGATCTACTCTCATGATAATCTAACTCGATGGGAATCCGTGAACTGGTTATATTGTAACCAAACTCGCCTGCTCAATATACATAGGAAACCCAGGAGCTCAGGAACAATATCAAGGATGATATGATGTGATAGACTGCTTCTCTAGTTAGCAAAAAGGGAACAACGTGGGAAGAAAACTTAGCAGGGCTTTTTTTTCATCAATAATAACAACTCAGATGCGGTAGATGGGCCGCCCGTCTGGGTGATCTCTATACAGGGAGGGGTCGATATTTGGCCACTGCTCGATGATGGAGGCGGTGCCATGATACTTCAAACGGCGGGCCAGGTCCGAGGGGCACAGACCGTTGGCGGAATTAGTGATATTGGGGGAGCCGAATCGAAGGAGGAACCTAACCATGGCGGTGTTGCGGTGCTGCACGGCGAGATGCAATGGGAGAAGACCCTGGGTGTTGTAGCCTGAGATTTTTGCGCCGTTGCGGAAGAGGAACTCGAGGATTTCCATCTTGTTGCACTCGACGGCGAGGTGGATGGGGGTCTGGTTGAGCGCGCCTTTGTCGATGACAACGGCCGGGTCAGCCTTCACAAGCATCTTGACCATTTCCATGCTGCCGGCTAGGATTGCCTTGTGGATGGGATAGTTGCCATCGCGCGAGTGCAGACGGAGACCGGCTGCATCGCGATGTTTGGCCGAGATCAAGAGTTTCACCACGCTTAGATTACAAGAATCAATAGCCACCATGAGAGCTGTTTCGCCTTGGTCATTCCGGTGGTCAAGCGAATACTCGTCGCTATCAAGATCAGCAACAATATGATGAAAGATTTCAGAGTGTTTGGTGTTTTCTGCAGCACGCTGCAGCATGGTGTTGCCGAAGACGTCTCCGCGTTTCACAGAGAATTGGTACTTGATCTGCTTATAAGTGTCCAGATCACAGTACGAGAGGATGAAAAGCGCGGCCTCGTAAGACATCGTTGCTCCGTTATCCAGGAGGAGAGTCACCATTGACAGATCCCGCTCCAAAACTGCGAGTGCGAGAGGAGCTGGGTACTCATCCAAGGGCTTTGCACCTCGCTCTATGAGCAGCTTGGCTACCTCAATCTGGTTGCAGCTAGCTGCCATAGCAAGTAAGCTAACTTTGTACGAATCCACTGCATCCACCGAGATGCCCAGGTCGAGAAAGCTGCGGACAGCAGCAATGTTGCCCATTTCGATTGCATTCTGGAATCCACGGTCAGTGTCCGACAGTGCATATTCACACCCAGCAGCTGGTAGCTGGTCGGAAAACAGATTGTAAAGACCCGAATTTGCCTGTGCCAAATGAGCCATTGACGGTGCATCGAGATTCTTCACGATCTCGAGGACCAATTCACGAGGGAGAGAGTTGAATGACGTACCAGGGGCTTTGCTGGAAGACATTGTAGGAAGTAGAGACGAATTCAAAATTGCAGGTCACTCGTCGTCAGCGTGCTCGCAAAAGGATTTTTTCAAAGTATCCGATTAAGAGATTGTTGAGCTTGATGGTATTGTCATCTTGACGGAGTATTTTTGCAGTTTATATAGTTTTCCTCCGTGGGGATTTCTGCAAATGAAACAATAGACTGTATACTACTACAATCCTTATTGTTTTCTCAATCAAGATATCAAAGCATCTACATCCCAAGGACGGAACCAAAGCATGCTCCGTGAAGTATCTGCCTTTGATTGAGAGGTGAACAATGAACAATGAGGTCAGGATGTGTGGGTTACCTTTGACCTATCTCCTGTAACAATCAGTCATTGATAAACCTATACATCAGAAACAATCACCTGCTACTTACTATCCATATTAGACTCATGATTGTTTGTCACTTCAACAAAGGGCTTTGACTGCGTGAGTTGCCTTTGACCCGGGGAGTCACTCAGTCTTAGTCAGATCAGCACAGCCTGACAGCTATTACTCTATAAAAGAAACTTCTTTGATTCTGATTCTTATCAGTATTCAGATTGATGATGGTTATCAATACTAAATCTTTGGTGGATGGATGTCCTGACGTTGTCAATGAGGTGGAGCTGACAGCAGTCCGGGACAATTTTGCCGTTTTCGGAACGCGACTCCCTCCTGGCTTCTTTGCCCGTTCGATATCGCCAGTCCTCTCAACACAGACAGAACTGGAATGAATCGACACCCTGTTTCGGCCATGGGATTTCGAGAAGATTGTACCTCTAATGGAAGGAGACTGGTAAAGCGAAGTATCGCTAGTCAAAGAATGGTGGTTCTATGATATCAACACTTGCTATTCGGCCGCCTGGATTGGGCCTTTGGCACTTCATAAAGGGGATTATGGTCTCATCCTTATCAGCATCTGGAGGAGTCCTGGGGTATACCGGTACGACAATTGCCTTATCTATCTAATGATCTGTTGTCTGCATATTCTGACCAAAGACGGTAAAAGAAAAACAGGCTAATCCCCAGTCTTTCAAGTTCCCAAGTTCCTCCCGAAGAATATAGATATGAGCGGAGTGACTCGGTTTTCTACTATAAATTTCCATGGGGTTTTCTTTTGAGCAAGCCTTGCATATCGGTTCATGTCAGCCTAGGGATCATCTTGACCAGCCGTGACCGTTGAAAGGAGGGACTTATCCACAAAAACCATTCTAGATGCCCTTTGTATAACCCTCAGCAGTATCATGGAGAACTTCTGGCTGGCAGTGCTGGCAGTAATTGCATTGACTGGAGTCGGTCTTACTTTGGAACGTGTCTACGGCAAGGCCATCTTGACCAGCGTGCGCCTCCGAGGACGCAGGGTCGCCACTGCTGGAACACCGCCGCGATCTATCTCGCCAGACAAAAAGGCCACTGCGAGGCCTTCTCCCCCCGCAAGCTATGCCCAAGCTCTCCCCCCTCAACGACGACAGTTCTTGTCAACTACTCGAGGAGTCTCGCAGCGGGATGTCGATGAAGACGAGATCAAGAAATTCGTGCTCCCTATGACAGCAGATTACCGAACAAGTCCTGGACGAAGATATACCCCAACAGGAATTTCGGTGGAAGAGATCAAAGCATTGGGTGACTTTCCAAATTACGCAGAGCTGAGTGGTGTGCCTTTGCCTCAGCCTTATTTGGAGTTCAACATAGACAAGGCGTTACCAAGACCCTACCGCCCATTTAGATGGGCCTACCATCAAACTATGTGTGCGTACTATCAATCTGAGGAAAATGAATTCAAAATGGCATCGCTAATTTTATTTTCTTTTCGGCAGCGCTCACCAAGATGGAAACAGATTGGTGGATTGAGCTCGAGAATACATATAGAGAGCGGATCGCCCAACGCAAGGAAATCTACGCCAAATATGGAACAGACGTGATGAGATATCTGCCTGGCTCTGAACTGGCGTGCAAGGAGCTCATGGAGATGGTTCTGCAATTCATATGCGCTCGATATCCCCAATACTTTTCCATCGTGGACAACAGGATCCTCCAAAACCGCATTCTCGGTACCGAGCAGAATATCAGGGCCAAACATCCTTTGGAGATTCTCATCGACAATGTTCCGGAAGACTTTGCGATAATGCTGCGGGATGATGAGACTGGCTACTACTTCTTCCGGGCTGGAGTGATCTGCTCTGCTTTGGGATGGAACGTGGCCTCAAAGATTGGCCTCCAGCTCCACCAAATCCATGAGACCATTCCGGACTATAAAGAGAAGATGCAATTCTCTATGGACCGGTCAGTAATGCCTAGGCTGTCCCTGAGTCCTTCCGAGAATATCCAACTTACATGACCTTCATTTCTTTGCAGTTTTTTTACCAAGATGCCGTGTGACAAGCCGATCCAGCGCGCCTCTTGGGGCCTAGAGATCGGCAAGCCACTCTATGTGCCTAAAGGCGATCCGCACGAGCTTCATCGGCTATCGCAGAATCCGGACCTCCGTCTTGATGACTGCCACCTGCGCGTTGACTGGCAGACTCTGCGCCGGCTCCCGCTGTCAGCTGGGGTGGTCTTCAACTTCAAAGCACTCTTTACCCCTGTCTCGGAATTCCGCGACGAGCCGTGCGTGCCTGCCTTGATCACCAAGCTCCTGAAAGAGGGAAAGAAGAATTTGATGGATTACAAGAGTACATGGCACGTCGAGCATGTTGTGCTCCCCAAGCTTGAGGAATGGGCAAAGGAGCAAGAAGACAAGGGATTAGTTGTGAAGAACTGGGAAGTCTCAACGCTAGAGGAAAGCCCGTGGTTCAAGGGCTGGGAACAGAAATGGCATCGTCAGCAGGGATTCTAATCTTCACAGGTTCTTTGGGATTTCCCTTTGTTTTCTTTTTTACTTTTTTCATTTTTACAATCTGCAGTGCGGTTTCCGTATCTGATTTTCTACTTATAAATACATTCAAGGCTCTTAAACGTCTAAGCCTCATGATATGATACTTCCAAAGGGGGCCATTGGACCCTAAGATATCTGATGCATTATTTATTCTTGACTTGTTGCAACTAGCGCAAGCGAGTCAACGTCTGTATATTGAAGGTAAATATTCATATGTAGAGGCCGTTTCTCGTCATTCTTTCTCCTGCTAGAGAGCGCTGCGTATAGTAGGCAGACAGCCCGTGTCTTCTATCGACTGGTGTTTTGGATAATTCTCTCGTAGACAGCTGACTATGGAAGCAAGCCGTGGCTTTCCGCAAGGGCCGGGTCTGTGGCAAGAAACTGGTTTGGATCTTGGTGGATGATGACCCTGCAAGTCGGATATGAGACGGGGTATCTCGTAGGTTAAATAGGTTTATCTGCAGTATGATAAGGCAGGCGTCTGCAGTAAGCGGTTCAATCATCGCTCGCTTCTCCCTGAGATCTGGGCTCGCTCGCACGGTCATCTTCATTATCTTCGTCCAAATCATCTATCTCGGCCGCTAATGGACTGATTCGCTCTTCCAGGAGGTCCAAGTCTTCTAGCTGCTGCCGCGGGGGCAGTTTCCACAAACTGGTTCCGCACACTCGGTCCTTGGTCAGGAGATCGTCGACAAATTGATCCACGTGCGTGAGGACGAACGAGTCACGTACTCGACGCTTCAGTTTTCGATAATCAAGAAGCAGGGGCTCCAGTGTCTTGTACACATCCACCGCATCGAAGGTTAGCCGCACGTAGAAGGCAGCCAGAGCCCGCAGGTATTTGAAGTCACCCTCAGTCTTCACCACCCCGTTCGCGGGGTCATTCCCATTATCCATATCCGAGTCGCTCCCGGGGTCTGTGAAATTCAGATACTCAAGGATGATATCGCGGTCGGGTCCGAGCTGGAGCAGCTTGAAGGCGAGGCAGAGAAAGGGAGTTGGCTTTTCGGAAACGCCATATGTGCCTCCCAGGCAGGTCAGCTCGACGGCACGATCGCACAAAGTCGCGGCGTTCAGACCAAAGCACTGCTCCTTCCAATAGTAAGAGTCCGTAATGCGATCTCGCACGGCTTTCTCGAACAGTGTCGCTGGGTTCACGCCACGGACCAGAGGGCCAGTGTAGCCGCGGTTGTCGAGGAGAGTGCTAGCGTCAGCACGGTGGGAAGCCATGGCAGTAAGTCACCGAGAAGGATATCAATCAAGCTGACGCACAGGATAATTTCCCTGCTACGAACGTTGGGGAAAAGCGTCTGGCGGGTTATCACAATTTCTTGCGTAAGTAGTAAGAACGGACGACCGAAATGCCAAGGCCAGTCTTTCCTCCCCTTATCGATAATCACACCGACAACGCAGGCGACGTAAACAACAAACGTCGACGAGCCGAAACAGGTTCAGACGCGCAAGAGATGACGAGTCTGAGGTTTGGGAGGCCTGTAATTCCATTTTCCAGCTGCCGTGTATGAATTCTATGTCTCTTATACCATCTTGCTGCTGGAATCCGGCGTCTTGCGGTGATTGAGCAACCAAACGTTTGTTTCGAAGCAAATTGTTACCCCTTCGTCTCGATACCGAGTCTTTGAGCATGCGAACATTCCTACCCCGCTATGGTGCTACTAACCTCCTCGACCGTCTCTGCAATTCTGACATCTGGAATCATATGCATTTCCACCATCCTCCTTTTTCTCACGGGTTATGCGCTGCAACAGCAGTCAGTACGGAATATCCAGCATGCTCTTCGCCCGCCGAGCACAACCCCCATTGCTCATCAAGAGCACTCGAATTTGGCACGCAATGTACATAGTGGGCAGGAGGTGTTGCCCGAGCTGAGTCTTGACCGTGATAAGGCTAGCTATCCTGGAGCCCGCGGCAACTATGCCTATCTACAGCTTCTTTCGGACCCAGATCCTTCCAACATCTGCTCGGCCATCGCCTTCTTCAAGACGCTCGCCACCAATAGCACCATCGCCCAAGACCGACTTTTCATGTACCCACAAGATTGGGACCTAGCTCCCCCGTCGAGTATCTCCACACCTGTCTCGACTGCCCTTTCCCTCCTCCGCGCAGCATCGACCAAATACGGGATTTGGTTGCTTCCCATCGATATGACCAAAGCCACCTCCGCCGGCTACACCGTGACGGACACCAAGGTCTTGCGTCTGGGTCAGATACAGTTCATGCAGTATGACGGCGTTCTCTACGTGCAAACGCCGGGTCTTTTGCTCGATACCGAAAAGCTAGACTCTATGCTGTTCTCACACTCGCTGCCTTTGAGACACGACAAGAGTCGGCCAGACTCTTACAATAACGAAGCATGGATTCCGATGCCGCTGCGTCCAGATCGAGACGCTACCTTGCCTCCTGTCTATCTCGTCACAGTCAACAACGTGGGTAGTCAAATTGAAGCCCGCGGACACATTCCCAATGTTTCTTTGCCTGGGTTCGGGGATCTTGTTACTGGACCTTGGGGCGTCCATGAAAAGAAAGGCCACAAAAGTAGCCCAGGGTACGTATATTTTGAGAAGGATAAAGACGGATACGTCCAGTGGGCTGGGAATCCGCTCTTTGGTGCTTGGAGAGCAAAACAGTATGACGTGTGTGATGGCCTGGATCTTGATGATACATATGAATGATGCTCTTTTCTGCCCTGGGATTCGGATCGGCAATATGCTTGTGTTTTAGATTGGCCTGGTGCCGGCGTTGGGGGTGGGATTTAATTTGCTGGATTTGATATCATGACCTGGCACTTTACACTGTATATAGTTATAACTTTACCTCCATGTGAAGCCATAAGGGATTTTTTGGAATAAAAACAATGCAGTCCTTGCAGTATCACAATAACCCCCCCCCTTCATCAGGCCACTAAACTTTTATATCCAACAATAAGCAGTTCTTACATCACTGCTAGGTATATCACTATGATACAAGGGTCTTGAATGCATAAATAAGCAAGCTATAAATTGGTAGCCTTATATATTAAACTACTGCGGAACGCCAATCTCATAGCCGAGTAGCACCTCTGTGGTGTTTCCCTCCCAGCCTCGATTGCCGCTCGTCGAAACCATGAATCGGCAAGCCTGGTCGATGTACAGCTGCGAGATAGTTCCAGTGCGGTGTCCCGGGATGATGAGGAAGGGGACCGTCGAGTGCCGCGAGGTCTGCTCATGGCGTAGGTCGTAGAGACGGAGAATATCGTGTGAGGCACTGGAGCAACCATTATTTAGCCATCTAGATCAAAGAAGAAGAAGAGCGGCGAGTGATTTTCTCTTACCAGACAATATGCCGTCCGTTTGGCATCGCTTTGAGAGCTGTGACCGGTCCGCTACCCTGCGGAAATTTGAACGTGCGCACCGGTTCGCGCAACCCCTTGTGAAGACTGTATTCTTCGACGGCGCCGTTACGGCGACCTGCGTAGATGAAGTTTCCGTCTGGGGACCAGCAGGCATTCATACACCACGGAGGGACATTGCGGGGGATGATACGGGCTACAGGATCCGGTTGCCGGCGGTCCCATACTCGGATCGTGCCATCGATCGATGCAGCGAGGAATGTGCTGTCGGAAACGATGTTGGATTCTTCCTGTACGGACTGTGTGAGAGGCTGGGTCTGAGAGGTAGCTGGCTCGACTTCTTCGGCGTGGGGGAGGCCGTTCAACGCCGGTTCTGACGTCCCGTTTGGCAGCTGCGGTTCGGTTTTGATCGGTTTTTCAGTGAACCCATTCAGATTTGTTGTTGTGCTGGAGGTGTTTGTGGTCGATTCAGCCATCCCATGGTTTTGGCCCATCAGATCAGATGCTTCATTCTGGGACGGTGGCTCGGGAAGTATGTTCCCATTTGCGAGAGCTTTGCCGAATTCGTCATCTTCGTCCACGCCAAATGCATCTCCCAGTCCTCCGCTTGCGGCGCCATTATTACCTTCGTCCTCTCCAAACAGAGAGTCATCATTGCCCCCAAAGAGCGAATCTGTAGGTGATCCCTGTTGCTGGGCGCCGAAAACGTTCTCCTTTTCATCCTGCACAAAACTGAAGTCATCATGGGAAGCAGTATGATTGTTGGACGAGTAAGTCCCGTTTTTCTGCACAGGCTCCAGGCTATCTGCAGGTACAGGCAAAGCGGACTCGGGCCGGGTCTCAATTGCAGAAATTTGGCGCGCACTGGATCCAAATAGCCGCCGGGATTGTCCTGTATTCAAGTCCCAGTCATAGATCCTTTTGTCCCAGCTCCCGGAGAGTAGCGATTTCTCGTCTGATGAGAGGGTCAGGACTGATACTGCCGATGTATGTTTTTGCAACAAAGCGATCTCTTTCCCTTCATCATGGCGAACCGACTGCAGGCGGATACTCCCGGACTCCAACCCCGAGAGCAACCACAAGCCTTCGCTATGCGAGGCCAGAGAGTAGACAGGAGATATCGTGTTACCATCCATGTTCTCCCAGTATGTCATAACAACGCCCGCTTTCATGACACTATCGACGAAAGGATGCCGTTGCGCCACGGTCAGCATCAATTTGCTGTTGATAGATTCCACCCAGTTGAATTTTCGAACATAGCCATCCGTTCCACCACTGAACACCCATCTCATATCTGCTGTCGCCGTAATTGCGTTGATAGAAGTACTGTGAGGGGCAGCGGTTGTCGGAACAATATCGTAGCTCGCAGCCGTGAGGCACTCGGGGCGCACTTTCGGATGAAAGGCCGATAAGAAGTCAGACGCGTTGTTCAACGCGCTAGGAGAGGCCATAGTGACATCTTCATTCTGTTGAGAAGAAGCGCCCCCTGCACCTTCCGAGATCTGGCTGGAGTTCGATGGGCTGTCCGCGTCTCCCTCGCCGTCGGCGTCCACGTCTGGCTCATTGTCCCCGTCTCCATCCTCCGCATCTCTCATTGTATCGTCCATTTCGTTATCAGAGCTGCCATCCTGCGATCCTATAAATCGTAGTTGAGTGTTAGCCACTTTCACCGTCATGTCAAAAAGGGCCTCCTGCGCAACTCACCCGCAAGATCGCGGTCATCGTCCTCCTCCCCAATCGATGGCCCAATCGACGTCATCTTCGATTTCAAGCCAGCCCAGGCCACAGAGAGAATATAGTCTATACGAGTCTCAAATAGTATGGATGATAAATAATAATTCCTTTCTCTTCTGAGACCAAGCTGAGCGCTTCTGCAAGGCGCATGCCGTCGAAAATCACGCAGCCATTGGTATGGAGACCGTCCTACTGAGTGAAAGACGGCAACCGAGGTTGGCAGGCGACACAGATAAACCCAATGGCCAGTCTCTCTTCTCGACCACGACGCAACGAGGCAGCTGCTGTGCTATCGCAGTTGTGCTGGACCGGGGCGCAAGTTATTAATTATCCCGACGTCACGCTGTGCCCGCATTAAACGCCTTAATCCTAAGGCATAAAGTTTATTCCTATAAAGGTTAGTTCATATTCTTGCCACATGAAGCCTGAAAGATCAGGCATAAATTAATTATACCTCAAACTCTCCTCCAGCTTGAACTGTTTTCATACTTATCATCGAGTTTATTCTGACCAGCCGAAGCACTCGAGTGCTTTTTGAATAGAATGGACATCCATCTCTATAGCAATTGCCTAATAATAGTATAAAAACTGGTAGCAAATGCCTAACTCCCCCTAACTAACTACATACAAACGGTATTCCATGAGACCACAATCAGACTATGGAGGGAGCGTCTATGACCGACAATGGGGAGAGCTGGGCTCATAGATGTTTTATTCCTGACTGTCTTTCATTCAATAATATGGAAGGTCTCAATTCACTGTTTGCAGTTACCCACTTTCCTACAAGGCTACTTGCAGCTCTGTCTAAATACGGCAGTTTGCATTACTTGGAGACCCTCCTTCTCATTAAGGATCCAGACTTTTCTGCTTTACTTACTCCTGTTGTCAATCACCACACCTTTTCTTTCACGGTATCCTCTTAGCAACCATGGCACGACTGGAACAATTAGACGAGCTCGACCGCCCGGATCTCTCTGAGGATCCAGGAAGCCTTCCAGGTGCCCCTGTTGCTCTAGCTAATCGAGATATCAGAGACTATTTTGCTGCGGCTGAGTCCGCATCTCTCGCTGGAGATGAATCCTGGTTGTTGAAACCGGAGATTCCGTCGCCCGAGGAAATCATGGACACTGATGACCAGGATAACGATTGCGTGGAATTGCTTCCAAACAAAATTGTTGGCCCGTGGCCTTCCAAGCAGTTCTATCTCAAGGCCCATTACGACCTACTTCGAGAAGACGCGGTTGCACCCCTCAGAGACGCGATTGCATATGTTCAGGCTGATCCTGGTATGATGGACTCGCAGACAGTTTCCATCTATGAGAAGGTAATGCGCGTACTCTCTAGATATTGATTAAGGCTGTTCTATCTGATGGCTGACTACCACTTTCAAAGGTGCACATCGTCGGAATGACCTTTGCTCAGCGTGGTCTGGCGGTTCGGGTTCAGTTTTCAGCTCAACGTGCGGGAAAGAATATCGTCTGGGAATACTCCAAGCGCCTGATCAGTGGCTCCATTGTTGCCCTCTCGCCGGCCGAGGACTGTTTCCAGAAGACCTGTCTTGTCGCGGTTGTAGCAGCTAGGCCGTTAGAAGGTATCAAACAACAGCCTCCCGAGATTGATATCTTTTTCTCTCGGCCACAAGACATCCACTTCGATCCTCAGCAGGAATGGATCATGGTCGAAGCCAGAACTGGTTACTTCGAAGCGTCCAGGTACACGATGGCTGCACTTCAGAAGATGACAGTGGAAAGGTCAGTCCTTGCTCTGATACAGCGAAATCAAGCAAATTTATCTAATCCAGTAAACAGTTTCCCTCTTTCAGAACACATCTGTGAATTGAACTCGGAAATCGGGGCTCCTGAATACGTCAAGGAGAGCCCAGTCATTACTATACCGTCTGTCTTGGGAGGCATGGAAGATGCTGCCAAGGTTGATCTACTGGAAAACCCTCAAATACCAGCAGATCAATTAGATCCTTCCCAGCTAAGGGCCTTGGAGCAGATGTTGACGAAGAAATTGGCCATTGTGCAGGGACCCCCTGGGACTGGGAAGACCCATGTTTCTGTGGAGGCGTTGAAGATCATCCTTGCCAACATGAAGCGAGATGATCCCCCCGTAATTATCTCGGCCCAGACGAACCACGCTTTGGATCAGCTTCTGACTCATGTCTCTCGCTTTGAAAAGAACTATGTACGGCTTGGCGGAAGAAGCACTGATGTCGAGATCAAGAAACGTACCCTCTACAATGTCCGACAAAAGCAGTCGGTACCGATTATCAAAGGAGGTCTTCTAGGCCCCTGCAGAAAGAAACTGAAAACCATTGCGTTGGGAATCGCAGAGCTCCTACAAATTTTCAACCCGGAGAACTCGCGTTCCATCCTTCCTTCATCATTCTTCATGGAACATGGAATACTATCCCAAGTCCAATACAAATCGCTTGAAACAGGGAGTAAAGGCTGGGTCCAGTCCACTGACAAGGATGATTCCGACCCTCTTGAGATCTGGCTTGGGGATGCTGTGACAAGGTTTGAGGTCAAGTATTCACGGGATCACTTTGGCTTCTCGGAAGACGAAATCGACCTCGAATACGAACAACTGAAGGAGCTAGAAGCCGAACAAGGAGTCGAGGGCGATGACTATGAAACTCTCCGCGGCCAATATATCGGGTTGAAGGAAGGGTTTATTGGTTACTCTACATCCCAACGGGGGGACAGAAATACCGCCAGGTATCTGAGCTGTAACGATATGTGGCAGATCCCTCCCAAATCACGCGGCACTGTCTACAACATCCTCTGTCGCCGTGCAAAAGAACAGGTCCAGAGAGAGTTTCGCAGACTTGCAAAACTTTATGAGGAAGCTTGCCAGCAGACTCTAATTGGCAGGTGGGAAAGAGACTACCTTGTGCTCCAAGATACCAAAGTGATCGGAGTCACCGCAACCGGGCTGAGCAAGTATCGCGCCCTGATCTCAAGCGTTAAGCCCAGGATTGTTATGATCGAGGAAGCCGCGGAAGCAATCGAGGCTCCCATTGCAGTTTTCTGTCTAGATACTCTTCAGCACCTCATCCTCGTGGGAGACCATAAACAGCTCAAGGGCCACTGCTCAGTTCAAGAACTGGAAGGAGACCCGTTCTTTTTGGACGTTTCCATGTTCGAAAGACTGATTCATAATGGGATCCGATATGCCACCCTCAACAGACAAAGGCGAATGGCGCCGGAGATCCGTCGTCTGCTTGCTCCCATTTACGGCGAACTCCAGGACCATCCCTCTGTGAAAGAACGGCCTGCAATCCCTGGGATGGGCAACGTTGCGTCGTTCTTTTTCAGCCACGACTGGGTCGAAGAAAGTGATAGTCTGATGTCCAAGTTCAATGAAAAAGAAGCCCAGATGGTGACGGAGTTCTTTGTCTATCTCGTTTACAACGGCGTTGCGGTCAAGGACATCACTATCCTCACCTTCTACAATGGTCAGCGGAAGAGACTGCTCAGACTCCTCAAGAATCATCCCTATCTTCAAGGCCAATACGTCAAGGTGGTGACTGTCGACTCCTACCAAGGCGAAGAGAACGAAGTCGTTCTTCTCTCACTGGTCCGAGGCAGTGACACCGGACGCAGCATAGGGTTTCTATCCGTCGAGAACCGAGTCTGCGTCGCCATCTCGCGTGCCAAGCGTGGCTTCTACATGTTTGGCAACGCCAAAGCGATTGCGGCTGCTGATCCGCTGTGGTGGGAGATCATCAATATCATGGGCAATGGCAACAATCCGAACGACCGCCGACTGGGATTCAATCTCCCGCTAACCTGCACGAAACATGGACGCAAAACCTTCGTGAAAGGTGAGCAGAGCAATGATATTTGGAAGGCCCAGACCTGCCGCTAACCCTAACTCTGTCTCAACCCCAGACCCTTCCAAATTTAATTTCCTCAACGGTGGCTGTGAAACACCATGTAATGAGAGACTTGCCTGCGGGCACCAATGCGCTCTAAGATGTCACAGGTAGAGACACCAAGAAAAGGGAACAAGACCATGAACGAGGCTAACGTATCCAGTTTCTCTCATGATCAAGTCAGCTGCAACCAAGAATGCAAAGAAGATCTTCCCTGCGGCCACTCATGCACGCAGACCTGTTCAGACGGACACACCTGTGCGTGCAAGTGCGATGCGTTTGCCCGGTTCTTGCTCGTCTCCAAGTTCGACGACGAAGTAGGCACCGAGCTCAGCTATGTCGCGTCCCAGGCCCACCAAGTCCAGACCGGCTCCTCCGCCTTTGCTGCACTTTCTAATGTCGAGAATGAACGTCAAGCCCGGCTTCAGGAGTACCGCGATTTCGCGAACGGGGGCGTCAAGGAGCACGACGCGATGCTGCGCGCCCGGGCCGAGAGCGCTAATCTTGAGTACCTGCAGAAACAGATAGACACGATGGCTCTGAAGGATCTGTTCGGAGAGAAGCAGGGTATCCCTAGGACGAGCGAGCAGCTCATCCCCGATGGGAAGGGCGGATACCGCAAGCAGTTTGTGGAGATTTACCAGGCAGAGCATCCTAGTGCCTCCAAGGTGAAGGAAGGCAATCTACTTGATCTAGACTAGGAGTGGTTTTGAAGAATCTCATGAAAAACTAGAGAATGGACTAGCATAAGGATGGGAAAGGAGATATCATACTGGATTTGTTGATCAATTTATTATTTCCAAGTCTACCCGAGCCGTATCGACATGTCCAACTAACTATAAGAGAACGACAAAAACGAATCAAGTATGCCTCAACGCCAAACAGAGAGAACCGAGACTATAGCCGCCCCAGAGAAACAAAATTTTCGCCAGACGAGCGAGTTGCTCGCTTTTGCATAATTAATGCAAAGGTGATGCCCCGAAAAAGAAAAAAAAAAAAGAAGAAGAAGAAGAAGAGAGAGAGATCACGAGTCATCATCCACCAGCCTGTTCTGCTCCCAGGCCTTCCTTGCACCATCGAAAAGAACGTCCATATGGCCACTATTCTCGCACATGCTCTGGAAGACGCCGTCGTCCTTACGGATCAGGGCCCAGGGGTGATCGAATTCGACGACGCGGCCGTGATCGAGGACGAGGACCTTGTCGTAGTCGATGATGGTTTGTAAGCGGTGGGCAATGGTGATGATGGTGTTGGACTTGAGTTCGCGAAGGGTCTCCTGGATCTTGGCGTCGGTGGCGTAGTCGATCGACGCGGTCGCCTCGTCCATCATCAGGACGCGCGGGTTCTTGAGCAGGGCCCGCGCAAGGCAGAGTAATTGCCGCTGGCCCTGCGACAGGTTCGACCCGGACTCGGAGACGGGGCTCTCCAGGTTCTTGAAGATGTTCTTGTTCTCGGCGATGACGACGGGAACGGCCGCGCTACCCTCCGTGGCGGCGACTGCGTCCGGCGAGGAGGAGGGAGAAGAAGAAGAAGAAGAAGAGGCTGCCGCAGTCTCCGCGGCAGACAGGTTGCTGTCTGTGACGGGGGTGGTTGTGCCCGAAAGCTCGGAGCCGATCAGATGGACCCGGCGGAGGGCCGTGAAGATCTGCTCATCGGTGAACACGTCGAAGGGGTCAAGGTTGCTGCGGATGGTGCCGGTGAAGAGCGTGGGATCCTGCGGGACGATTGTGATGGACTCACGGAGATCGCGCAGGCCAATACGGCCAATGTCCACTCCGTCGATGAGGATCTGGCCTTGCTCCGCCTCGAGGCCGCGGAACAGGGCCAGCGCCAACGAACTCTTGCCTGCACCCGTGCGGCCGACGATGCCGACCTTCTCGCCCGGCTGCACGGCAAACGAGACCCCCTTGAGCACGGGGTCCAGGTCCGATCGGTACCGGGTGGTATAGTTGACGAACTGGACGGCGCCCTGTGTCGGCCACTGCGGGGGCGGTCTCGACTCCGGGATGATGGCGGCGGCTTCCTGCTCCACTTCAAGGTATTCGTTGACCCGCTCCACCGAGTTCATGCTCTGCTGGACCTCGGCGTACAGGCGCACCAGCCACAGGACGTTCTCCGTGAAGGTGACGGCGTAGGTGAGAGCGAGACCGGCGGCCCCGGCGTCGATGCTGCCGATGTTCAGCAAGATGAAAGCCGCGGAGAAGAAGGAAACCATGGCGCCCGTGATGTCGACCCGGAACGCCAGCCACCGATGACTCGCCCAGAGATACATGTGCGGCCGGTTGTATGAGTTGATGCGGCGGTGGTTGTCCACGATAAACCGGGGTCCGTCACCATAGGCACGGATGGTCACGATGCCGTTCAAGGTCTCGCCAAACTGCTGGTACAGAGGGCTGCGCTGGACGGACTCGAGACGTTTCAGATCCCGCGACGAGCTGAGATAGACGATCCCGAGGGCAGTGTAGACCATGGTGATGAAGACACCGGCCACCAGGAAGCCCGGGGTGATCACGGAGATGAGTACCACGATCATGATGACCGAGGCGAGACTGTGCATCATCCCGATGGTCACGGGGGCGATTTCCTGATCGACCGCCTCGACGTCCTTGGAGAACCGGTTCATCAACTGTCCGAGTGGGGTGGAGTCGAAGAATTTGAATTTGGCCTGCATGACCGCCTTGAGCAACCGTTCATGGATCTTCCACGATGCGTGCAGTGATCCCCAGAACAGGACCGCCTCACGGCACAACGAAACCATGACATAGAGGATTCCCAACAGAGCGTAGACGCCGAGGTAGTAGGACACGCGAACCTCGTCATTGTCGTCTGCCGGGACATCGCCGGTGCTAGCCATGGTGGCAGGCGCATTGAGTTGGAGGGCACTCCAGGTGGCCATACGGGGGATCCTTCCGACGTTGAAGGAAGGAGATTTGAGATGCGCCATGGTAGCCATGCTGCCAACATCATGATCCACGCCCACCTGCTGGGTGCTGTACGCGTTCGCCCACTGTCGGATCCAGACGTTGGTCGAGACCGAACCCAATTGCTGTAGGGAGAAAGCCAACACGGCGAAAACCCAATAGTACCAGGGACCCATTGCGCGCAGGTACATGATGATGGTGGTCCATTTGACGCTGCCAACCGCCTTGGACTCGGTGAGTGTGTTGGTTTTGTCTTTGCCATCTTTAGCCTTATTCTTGTTCTTCTTCGCAGCAGCAGCAGCAGCAGTCGGGTTGGCGGCAGTGTTCGCTTCGTCTGCACTGTATTCGCCTTGATGGTCTTCCAGGTCGGACTGTGTACGGGAAAGGTTCTGCGAGCCGGCACGCGAGACGGGGTGGGATTTGGCCAACTCCTCGCCCAAGGCGCCGGATCGGATCACCTCGTCTGGCGCGCCCTGTGCGACAATCTTGCCATTGTCGAGGACCACGACGTAATGGGCGTCCGGGACGGCCAGGGCCACGTTGTGGGTGACGAGGATACAGGTGCGGTTCATCATGAGGGGACCAGACAGGGCCTCCTGAAAGATGTGCTTGGCGGTGTGCGAGTCGACGGCACTCAGGCAATCGTCCAGCAGGAGGTGACGAGCCTGGCTGTACATGGCACGGGCGAGGGAGATGCGTTGCTTCTGTCCACCGGACAACGAGATGCCCTTTTCGCCCACCAGGGTCTGGTCACCGGCGTCGAGGATGGCGAGATCGCGCTCCAACGCGCAGGCCTGGATGACGGCGTCGTAGCGGCGCTGGTCGAAGCGGGAGGCAAAGACGATGTTTTCCTTGACCGTCGCGTTGACGAGCCAAGCCTCCTGTGCACAATAGGCCACACTCTCCATCAAGCCGGTCTCCGGATCCACTGGCAGCTCGGTGCGGTCGCCCAGACCACCGGGGAGGTGGACCTGTCCACTGAGCAGGCGCATCTCGCCCAGCAGGGCCATGAGGAGGGAGGTCTTGCCGGATCCCGTGGGACCCGCCACGATGTTGAGTCGGCCGATACGGAAGTTGACATCAACGTTGATGAGACGGAAGGCGTCGGCGGTAGCGTCGCTGGCCGTGGGATCGTCGCGGTAGGGCGACTTGGAGGCCCCCCATGTGAGGGTGGCTTGTTCCAAGGCGATCTTGGGGGCTTCTCCGGTCACGTTGCTGTCGCGCAGCTGATTGTACTTGTCCGTCTCCTCTTCATTGAGATACTTGTCGACACGGTCGAGGGAGACCTTGGATTCCTGGACGTGAGCCATCATGTCGGCCAGCTGGTCCAGGGGCACACGCAACAGGGAGAACATCGACAGCGCCGGGAAGGCGATGGACGGGGTCAGACGCTTCTTCTCGACGACGGTATAGAGGAAGAAGGAGGTGAAGGTGATGAGGATCGGCAGGCCGTACCACAAGGTTGCCGCAATGGACCAGACGATGTAGCGGACACGCAGCGACCGCAGCTCCGCCCGGCGCTTGTCGTTGACGATGTCCTGGAATCGCTGTTCCCAGGCGAAGTACTTGATGATGCGGATGTTCTGAAGCACTTCATCGGTGGCGTGGATACGGGCGTCGGTGCCCTTGAGAATCTCGTTCTGCACGGTGCGGAACTTGCGTGCGATGGAGATGTTGACGGGGAGCATCAGGACCATCAGGCCGATGCCGGCGAAGGAGCTGAATCCCAGGATGCGATAGAGAAGGGTCACCGCCATGATGATCTGCACCGGCACACTGGCCCACAGGAAGTGCAGATAGGCCCCGACTTCACTAACCTTGAATGAATCAATGGCCATCAGGTTGATGATGGTGCCGACGTTGGCTTGAGCAGCCTCGGCTTCCGATTCATCCTTGGTATTATTATCATTATTATTATTATTATTATTCATGTCGTTGCGATTATTATCGTTGTTGTTATGATGATCGGCGGGGTCCGTCTCCCCCGAGGAGGGTTTCTTCTTGCGGCCAAAGGAAAGAATCTTCTGCTTCAGCTTCTGCGGCTCCTCGTCGGTGGCCTTCTGCTCCTCCTGTTCTTTCTTGGAGGGATCCACAAAGGCGCCTGCCTTGCGACGGAGGGCCTTGGCGTAGATTTCGCCGATGATAATGGCTCGAAGCTTGACACCCAGTCGACGGCCAATCCAGAGGGCCTGGCCATCCGCTAGACCTTGCACGGCGCCTGCCGCGAACAGGAGGATGGCGTACAGCCATGCGGCATTGGGGGTGGTGGATCGAGGGTCCTCGACATACTCGAGGATGGCCTTGAGAAGCAGGGTGGGGAGGAAGGTGAAGAGGTTGGAGAAGATGGTCCAGATGCCTTGGTGCAGCAGGGTGCCGGAGAAGTATCTGAGCAGCTTCCAGACGAGCGGGCCCTTCATCTGCTGTTGGCGAAAGGCTTCGACAGCGACGCCGGCATGCTCTGACGGGACCAGATTCCACACATCCTCCAGCTCGAGGGGTTTCTTGTAGCCTTTCCAGATCAGGGCGTCGAGCCAGGAGAAGCTGGCGAGGGAGAGCAGGCTGGCGGTGGCGTAGCGGGCGGGCTCCAACCCATCCTCCTGTTGCACGAGGACGGCCCTGTTGCCCCGACGGGTGGTGAGCGCGATGAGCAGCAACAGGGTGCACAGGGAGAACTCGACGATGCTGTAGTTGCGGGCAGGGGTGGACAAGGGGTGAATGAGGGCGGAGCGGAAGACGAGGATGGACAACAGCCATTGGACACCGTAGAGGAGGGCGGTATGATTCCAGAGTCCCGGAAAAGAGCGCAGATGGAACATGGACAGGGCCCATCGGATCAAGACCAAGAAGAAAACATAACCCCAGGAGACCAGACCAGCGACGGCGGGCAGGGTACCGTGACGACCCCAGCCATGGGTAGCGAGGACAGCGATGTGCAAGGCGACGAGTCCCGCCAGAGCCGCCAATTCCACCGTAACCCAGGTGCGTTCCCCTCGCGGACGGTCGAGTTCGAAGCAGGGCTGTTCCGTCTGGGTAGCCTTGTATAACATCCGATCGGGCTCAGCAGTGGCGTCATCGGCCCGGCCGTTCGGCAGTAGTTTGTAGGCGAGGGGGTTCCGCGACACGACCTGGCGATAGGCTGCCCGGAGGAGAATGAAGAGGAGGGAGAGACCGCATGCTGTCAGAGGGAAGATGAGCTGTAAATAACTATTATTTGTTAGCGTGATGCGAATCAATCCCATTGTTCTTCTTTTCTTTTTTTTTTTCCTCCTTCCGTTACACAAGAACAAGGAACACTTACTTGCGCTGGAAACACCGCGAAAAGTCATCGATGGCCCAGATCGGGCCATAACATTCAGGACTCATGATGGGAGGGAAACAAAGGAGAAAAAAAAAAAAAAAAAAAAAAAGAGTAGACAGTGAGAAAAGATGGCAAAAAAAAAACTCCCAACACGGAGGGAGCCTATTCAGATGGCATATAGAAACTGGAGAAGGGAGATCGATCCACTCGGGTTATTCGGAGGCTTCCACCAGCAACCAACAGGACAAGCCTCGCATTGCCGGGTAGTTGTTACAGACGAAGACGAAGAGGAAAGGGAAGGAGGGGAAAGAAGTGACAAGCAAAGAGAAGAAGAGAAAAGGATAAAGGATTAAGAACCTGGCCCTTGGGAGAGAAACTGCTAGTCAGGGGGGGCGAAAGGAAGGGTGTTCGGGAACGCTGGCCAGAGGCGGCGAAAGCAAGCAAGATGAGGTAGCAGCAGCAGCAGCAGCAGCAGCAGGAGCCGGCGTAAGTGGAGGAAGGGAGGCGAGACCACTAACTACCTAGTACCTAGTAGTAACTAGCGATTAGTTAGAGGCTGGCGAACAGCAAGTGGAGGAGGACGCGAAGGAGGGGAGGATTCGAGAATGAGGAAAAAAGGCGTTTTTCGGGACGTGAAATATGGAGCTGCCCTGGAAACGCTGGAAACGCTGGACACGCTCCCTGCGAACCGATTGGGCCGACCCACACAGTATTAATAGTATTAATAGTCTGTAGGTAGTTTCTAGTCGACAGTCTGTATTATTATTTATTCATGGTCTTCGGGTATTCGTAGTCGTAGTCGTAGTCGTAGGCTGAGTCAAGCGTAAGACTCTTAACGACGATCGGTGGAGAAGCACGGCCCACTAACACGTTGGATTGTTATCAGATGAAGCAGAACAAGCGTACAGACGTACAGACGTACAGACGTACAGACGTACCTAGACTATCTCCACGGGGTTATAAGTAAGACAATCGAGAGTCGGGTTGATGATGACGCTGGAGTGGCTGTCGAGAGGAACTTGACGTGATACGAGGGAGGTTTTTGGCGTCAAACTGTCGGTGAGGCATGTGACTAGCAAACAGTATGACTGACTGTATGAGTACAGTGTATGACCTGTAGCAGTAGGTCCCTACCTATGTAGGAGTATACCTGATTAGGTACAACTCCCTAGTAAAACTAGGGACAATACTACCTTCCTGGGTAGTTTCCACCATAGGGCTATGGAGACTGGATGAAATGGCGGTATATGATAATACTGATAGCCTGGTCTAGATCTGATGCTATCACTCACTTGTATCTAGATAGCTTGCCTCCACACTCCGCACAGAGCCCTATAAGAGGTCTATTATACCTATTACTATTGGTATATTCTAATCTGGGGTAGATACTAGATGTTAGTATAACTATATACTATAGTTATATACTAGGTAGTTACCACCTAGTATGTAGTATGCTATATATACTAGGCGGTTACTATCTAGGTCTACCTTATTCCTCCATGTACTCCTTATAGTACATACTAAAAACAACCATTATACAGTTCTATACTATTTCATAATTAATATACCAGGAATATAATCTCACTATCTACACAGCTACCTGTTTGTACATTCCATGACTAATAAAATCCTTATCAGATCGATGTGCGTCTTTAGACTCTTATATCCTGGTCTTGGGCATCCAAGCCAATCGGGAATTTGTCTACTACATGTACCTACTAAGGGTAGTTACTAGGTAAGGTACCTTAGTAAGTATGGAGTAATACTAGAAGGCAGTGATACCCAATGGTACACCATACAACACATACTATTCTGAGATGAAGTAAGTATACCTAGGTATATATAAAGTATATGGGGAGTATACAGAATAGTGTCTACTAATATATACTACAATACCTACAGTACCTATTTAATAAGATGATATCATACTACAGCAGAATCAAGATGCTCTATATATTAATTAATAATAAATCCTTCGATCACCTGACCTCACTACTCTTACAAAATACCACTCAGTTACTAGGTAACTACCTAGGTAATTTAGCAGTAACTAACTAGAGACCAGCTACTACATACACTGCAGACTGCAGACTGTACACCATCATGTCCACCGCAATCGCCAACTGGGTCGTCTCTCTGACTTCCACCTCTCTCCCTGCAACCGTCTCCCAGGCCGCCCTCCGGAGCTTCTACAACTGGGCCGGCTGCACCGTCGGCGGCGCTGCCCACCCCGCCACAACCATCGCCTCGCGCACTCTCTCCCGCTTCTTCGGCCCTCCCACTTCCACCTTGCTGGGCTGTCGTCTCGACACCAAGGTGATTGACGCCCAGCACGCCGCCCTGATCAACGGGATTGCCTCGCACGTCCACGACTACGACGACACACACCTCGACACCATCATCCACCCGACTGGTCCGGTGGCTGCCGCGTTGCTGAGCGTTTGCGAGACCCTCCACAGACCAATCCCCGGAAACGACTTTCTCCTTGCCCTCATCGCAGGGATCGAAGTTGAATGTAAACTCGGCTTAGCCGTTTGGCCGTCCCATTACGATGTAGGGTGGTAAGCACAAATATATATAACTCTGCAATTGTTGTTGTTGTTGTTGTTGTTGTTGTGATACTAATAGGCCAGGCACATCACTAGCACGACAGGCTCTATTGGAGCCGCCGTCGCCGTCTCCAAAATCCTCGGTCTAACAAGCGAACAAACAGCTCATGCAATCGGACTGGCAGCAACGCAGGTAACGGGTCTGCGGGAGATGTTCGGCTCGCACACGAAATCGTTTCATCCAGGTCGGGCGGCGCAGAACGGACTGTTGGCCGCTCTGTTGGCCGAAGAGGGATACACGAGTTCGCTGCAGGCACTGGAGGCGAAACGGGGCTGGGTGAATGTTTCTTCGGAAGAAGCGTTAGCCAACCTGCACATCCAAGTCGACAGTCTAGGCAAGACGTGGGAGACGGAGAAGAATTCCTTCAAGCCGTTTCCATGTGGGATTGTCATCCACCCGGTCATAGACGGGTGTATTTCTCTCCACAGAAAACATCTGACCAGTAGTGAAGAAATCGTCTCCGTCATGCTTACCGTCCACCCCCTCGTCCTCGAGTTGACAGGGAAGAAATATCCCCGCGACGGCCTCGAAGCAAAGTTCTCCGTCTACCACGGCGCCGCCGTCGGCTTGCTCCTCGGCAAAGCCACCCCGGCCCAGTACGAAGATGCCGTCGTGCTCGACCCCCACCTCGTCCAGCTTAGAGACCGCATCGCCGCCGTCGCGGATCCCTCCCTCCGTCCAGATGAATGCCACATCACCCTCACCTTCGAGAATGGCGCCCGGCTCGAAAAACACGTCGACCATGCCGTCGGCAGCGTCCATCGGCCCATGACGGATGCACAGCTGCAGGCCAAATTCCTCGACCAGTGTGTTCCTGTCCTCGGCGTCGACCGCGCAAACAGGGCAAGTGATTGGTGCTGGGGTTTGGAAGCTCGGGATGACATCCGATCTATTCATGAAGTTTTGTAACACTTGTACTAGTTCTACACTTATTGTATGCAAAAGATACTTCATCTATTGTATGCTCATACTACGTATGTCAGATTGCAACGTATAAAGATACTATAACCATGCAGCCAAAGCAACAAAACGGAATCCAAGAGTCCAAGAAAAAAAAAAGATAAAACAAACGATCAACCAGCGCCGGATGCGGATATACCAGTCCTAGGTACTCTGTAACCCCTGTTCTCTTCGCCAGGCAATTACTGGACAAAGGCGTCCTTGAGCTCGCTGTAGATGGCGCCCAGCTCCTCGTGCATCACCTTCTCCGCCTTGTGGAAGATGCTCTCGAGGCGGTCTTCCATCTGAGCGACCTGGTAGCCACCCTGGGACACAATGTCCGAGTAGTTGGACGAGCCACCACCGTTCCAGGCGAGATACTAAAAGAAAATGTTAGTATATAGGTCATTCGGCTAGGGTGAGTTTCGGACTTACGTTGGGAGTGTCACTGGGAATGTCGGTAAGAGCACCCTTGGTGGAGATGGCAATGAGAGACTCCTTGAGCTTCTTGGGAGTGATATCGGCCACCGCAAATGCAGAATCCTTGGCGGGCTGCAGGGAGACCAGGTAGGCAAGAAGACCGGCAATGTGGGGAGAGGCCATCGAGGTGCCCGAGATGGTGTTGACGGCATACTTGCTGCCAATCCAGGTCGACAGGATGTTGAGACCCGGGGCAAAGATGTCCGTGCAAGTACCGTAGTTCGAGAAGTAGGCCCGCTCGTCCGCGAGGGTAGAGGCACCGACAGTGACGGCCTTCTCGGCCGAGGCGGGCGAGTAGTTGCAGGCGTCGGCGTTGTCGTTGCCGGCAGCGACCGCAAAGTGGATGCCAGCATCAACCGCGGCGTTGACGGCCAGGTCAAGGGTGCGGGACTTGCCACCGCCCAGCGACATGTTGGCAACGCTGCCCTTGAAGCCCTTGGCCTTGCCCTTCTTGGCAGACTCGACCTTCTCGGAGTGAGCAATGGCAGCCCATTCAACGCCCTTGACCACGTCAGACATGGTGCCGGAGCCGTTGGATCTCAGGACCTTGACGGCGCGGACATTGGCCTTCTTGGCCACACCGTACTTCTTGCCGGCAATGGTTCCGGAGCAGTGGGTTCCGTGTCCATTGCCATCCTCGTCCTCATCGCCTTCGGGGATGGTCTGCCCCCACTGGGCACGACCCTCAAAGTCGACGTGGTCAACATTGGTACCGGTGTCGATGACATAGACATCAACACCCTCACCGCCCTCGGAGGCGTACAGGTACTTGTTGAAGGTACCAAACGACAGGCTGTCCCGGTGCGAGATACGTGCCAGACCCCAGGGGGCACCGTTCTCGACGGTATTGTCTTCCATCACATGGACTTCAGAGTCCTTCTCGATGTACTCAACCTATAAACCAGATTGATTAGCTTTTCTCTAGGCAGATAGATAGATAGATATATAGATAGATAGATAGATAGATAGATAATAAGGGTTACTCACATCAGGATGCCGGCGGACCTGCTCGATGACATCCTCATCAAAGTGACCAGCATAGCCCACGAGGGAGCCAGCCACATCAAAGGTGTGCTTCAGGCCACGGAAAACATCATTCTCGGAGCCAAAGAGAGACCGCTTCTTCAGCTCGGTGCGAGTGTTCTGGGACTGCAGGTGGATGTCCTGCACCCAGCTGTGATGGGCAGCAGCCGAATCCGAGTCGACATGCTTCTTAAAAACGACAATGTACGAGTCGGGCACCTCCTGGGCGTTGGCCGACGAGAGAATGGGAGCTGCCCCGTTGTGGATGGAGTCCACGAGCACGGGTGACGCAACCGTAAGGAGCGGAAGCAGGGACAGGCTCAAGATGCCCTTCATGATGGCGAAGAGACAGGAAGATAGCGAGCCACAGAGGAAAAGAAGGAAAGATGTATTTGATAGGTGTGTGATGGACAAAAGGGTGACGATTTCAGAGATGGAAACAGGGAAGAATGATGGGAGGGAGGAGGGAGGTTGAAGAAGGGAAGTAGGAGGGAGCAAGTTGGAGAGGGTGAGGAGGTGGAGAGAGGTCGGGCAAGGGAAGCGGAGGATGATGCAACCGGGTTACGGTAATTTACGACGTTACAACTTACCAGGCTGCTGGCTGGGGCGATGGCTGCTGATGATTGGCAGTGGCGTCGATCCTGATAGCGCTGTGGGGAAGCACTGGTTAAGTGTGACCTGGGGTACGGTATTAATACGGTACTGCCACTATACCTTACTGTTACCTAGGTACCTAGTACCTCCCGAGTCTCTTCAGGTAGGTACTACCCTACCTAGGTACGGAGTACCCTGGTACCTACTAGGAGGCAGTGAGGCACTCTCCTGCGAGGCTGCGGTGTACTTTCGACACCGCTTAGTTGGTGGTATAGGTATGCATCAAATCATTTATTGTATCTACTAGATATTCCGTATCCTTTGTAGATTTCTGGTTTACCATCTATTACCAGTGCAACTCTAGTACCTACTACCCAGGTAAGTCCCTAGTAGTTAGTAGGTATCTACCTAGGTAACCAACTCAGTGAGTCAGTATCAGCTGCAGGCAGCACCAGTCGCGTGCTTAGCCTTGCTCGGCTGACGTGCTGCTGAGCGGGTAATGCCCAGGTAATCCGTAATACGTACGGTACTGTCACCGGTATTGTCACAGGCTTATCGCCTTATCTTCGTCACAGGCCACCAATCAACGGCCGGCAGGTGACTTGTGTCACCTGATCGGCGGCCTCAGGCTTTGGGCTGGTCCCGCTCAACCAGCCATTGAGCACTAATAGTAACTAGCAGTAAGCAAGACCAAGGCAGACCTGGTGCCTATCAGGATAGATATACACGGTGAGGCGGCAGTCAACGAAGAGCGGGTTCTGCTTCGTCGAGAGATGCTGGGAGGACCTGCATAGTACTGCAGAGCAGCAATTGAGCGTGTGCTTACTCCCTTGACTCGTTGAAGTGATGGGGTGCTGACGACTGGCCCTGGCGGACTCACTAGCAGGCGTGCGTGCCCCCTCCATTCCGACGTCGAGATTCGTTAGCAGCACAACCACATACCAATGCAGACCGCCTCGATCTTCACGCAACACGCCGGTACCTGGTTTCTGATGGGCAGTGGCCAGCAGAGGTAGTAGTCGGTGGTTAAAATTCAGCGGCGCGATGATCCACGCCAATTCACTCCTCCGCTCCCCCCCGCTTTCCTCGTCGGCCGAGCGACTTGCTGCTGATTTAACACCCATTCTCCGAGAGCTGAAAGCTATCTGTGGCCACAAGGGTGCCGATTTGGAGGATGTCCTCACCGCGACCGAGTCGTTGCTCCGCCTGCGTCATACCTTCATCGACAATGACCACCCCCGGGCGGCCAAAGACGCGTTTCGTCACCTGTTGGGTTTCCAGACCCTGTTAGACCTGATTTCCAAGGTCTCCGGGATATATGATGCCGAGGGACTGTCGAGGGATGAGCGGAGGTCTTTACTGACGCTGTGCAAGGATGCGTTGGGAGTGCTGGCCGAGAGTCTGAAAGAACACTTTGGAAATAAGCGGTATTTTGCAAAACGCATCGCAGGAGGAGGGTCCCTTGTCCTGGAAAATGCTCTAGCACATCTAGCCCGGGAGACGCATAGCGTTGATGGTGACCGGGAACACTTCTACGGCAGCATCCTGGCTGCCGCCCTCTGTCAAGAGACGATTGCAGATGTCTTCTCCACCCTAAGCACCAAGATGCAGCACAGGGGCGACGACAATGTCTCCCCCACTGATGTCCGATCAGCCTTGGACCGATCTCTGGGAGCTGCAGAAATCGTAGAAGTTCCGGAACTTCTCGGTCTCTTTCTTCGGCTTTGGCTGGCTCAACCGTCGTTGCTGCCGAGGGGTTGTCCCCTAACTCTAGCTATTCCCGCATGTCTGTGTCAACTGGCCTCCCAGTCTCAGCGAAATGTGGCGGCTTTGAATGCGACCGGCATGTTATCCTCGATCTTGCCGCTCCTCTTTAGTGGCGATCGCCCGGAACCAGAGCGAGCCTTGTATCAGGAACTTGCGCGGGTCCTTTGCACCCAGGGAATGAGTAATGTGGACGATGCCGTCACCCTGTACCGAGAGGCCCATGATCGCCCTGAGGTCCTAAGGTTTCTTCTCGATGCCTTCAAGTGCTCGAAAGAGCCTCCCTTCATCCATTTCGATATGTCATTACATGGATATTCTTCTGTAGAATTCTCGACTCTCGGGCGCTCGTTCCCACCCGTTTCTTCATCCGGCTACACTCTGGCAGTGTGGGCGCGTTTTGATCAGTTTGACCCAGACACTCACTCAACCATTTTTGGAGCATTCGACGCCAGTCAGACTTGCTTCCTCCTTGCATATCTCGAGAAAGAAACTCGCCATTTCATCCTCCAGACTTCAATCAGAGGCTCTCGCCCCAGTGTTCGGTTCAAATCGATGGCGTTCGAACCGAATCGATGGTATCATATCTGTGTGATTCACAAACGACCAAAATCTACCGGTTCCTCCCGTGCCTCTCTCTTCATAGACGGAGAATTTGTCGAACAGCTCAAAATCGATTATCCAGCGGCGCCCTTGGCAAATCCTCAGAACCGAACACCACGCGTTCAAGCCTTTTTCGGAACGCCTCAAGACTTGGCGATGAGACTAGGCAAGGGGGTCTCATCCTCTCGTTGGTCATTGGGGAGTGGGATCCTTTTTGAGGAGACATACAGCGACGACATGGTCTCCGTCTTTTATAATCTTGGTCCGCGTTACTTTGGCAACTTTCAAGATTGCTTGGGGTCCTTTCAAACCTATAAAGCGTCCGCGGCCTTGAATCTACGAAACGAACATCTTCACCCCGATAAAGAGGAAGACACTGATATCATTACTGCCATCCGACGGAAAGCGAGTGTCCTTATTCATGAGAGTTCTATTCTGATCAACATCTGCCCTGCGGGCGTTCTTGACGATGACGACAATAACAATGTTGACGAGTCTCAATTGGTTAAATCTTTGTCTAAACAGGCGGCAAAGAATCTGAATCAGTTGACCAAGTCTGGTGGCAACGCAGTCGCAGTCAACGGCGCGACACCTGCAATCAATGGTGCTCTAACACAGGCCCACGGTGTTGGGATCCTAACCGGTGATCCCGTAGTTGCAGTTCCCCAGTCTTTGGATGACGCGAGCTGGCGCATTGGCGGCTGCGCAGCGGTCCAGCTGAGCTTGATTCAAGCCGCAAGCACGGCAGAAAGCTTGCTTTTGTCTGTTGAAATATTGTACGAGGCAGTGCAGGATAGCTGGAGAAATAGCGAAGCCATGGAAAGGGAAAATGGATACGGGATTTTGGCAGCGCTACTCCGAGAAAAGCTTGGGTTTCCACATGAGAAACCCACGGCTTCCTCCAAAACACCAGTTGTGGTCTCCAATGGCCAGGAGAGATCTGACCTGGCCGTTCAGCTCCTCCGTCTTACTCTCAAGTTCGTTGGCTATGATTTTGAGAACCCTCGCCGCTCCATCATCACCAACCCCCTGGCATATAGAGTGCTGTTGGTGGATCTTGATATCTGGCGAGTCGGAGAACTTCCTCTACTACAGCTCTACTATTCGCAATTTGCCGTCTTTGCTGCTGAGAGCCAATTCCGTCGTTTCAATTCAAAACGCCTCTCTCGCATGCGTAAGTTTTCAACTGAGAATTTTGCCCCTGGAAGCTTCTACTTACTATAACTAGGAGTGAACAAGAAACTTCTGGAATGTTTAAAGGGAGAGGAATTCACTCAAGAAGCTTTGCAGCTTCTGATCAATGCATTTAGATCTCTGATGGACAGTTGTTTGTCCACAGAGCTACTTCGGTCCTTGGCTCTTTTCATCACATATTCTCTTCATAAGCAGAAGCCATCCCCTGCATTGCAGAAGAAGAAAAGTATCCGATTTCTCAAAGGCCCGCAACAGCCACTCGACTCCGGTGCCAATCCAGGAAAACATGTACCAAGTTCCACAGTAGCAATAGCCATGCTCCGCATGTATTGCTCGTACCTTCTGCAGGCCCATGATCTTACTCCAATCAAAAAATTTGCTAGAGCGGTCACGAATAAAGTATGTTTGCGAAGCTCAACAGATACGTTCCACCCCTGTACGGCAAACCTTTCCTGACATTTCTACAGTGGCTTTTGTACCTTATGTGCGAGGATGAGCCGGAGGTTGTTGTACTCGCAGCCAAGATACTGGCTCGTCTGATTGTCATCCACGGCAGTATATACAGCAAGAAGTTTGGTGACAAGAATGGGGGATATGTGATCATGCAACGCCGTCTCAAACGCTGGACACACGTCCCGGTGTTATGGCCGATCTGCCTCTCCATCCTCTTTGGTCTAGATGTTGGGCTCCTCAATTTTCACGGACCATTTGATCCTTCTGTGCTTTTTGAGGTCATGTCGTCCAGGAGCAAGGTCACAGTAGTCTTCCCCGAGGTGCTACCAGTCATCACAGCGATGATGCAGAGTGGCTTGAAGAAAGCGGTTTTGGAAACCGACGGGCTGGGCTCAGAGGAGAACAGCCGTCAATTGTTGCAAAATCTTCTTTACCAAGTAACCCGACCATCCATGTCTTCATCTTCTCCCGTTGGTAAGAAATATCCCAAAGCGCAAATATCTTGAGAAGCCCCAGCGACTAAGGATGCGAAACAGGAAAACCAATCGAAGGCGCTGCAATCCTCATTACCGTTGTTGATTTCTTTACCATGATGCACGCAAAGTCATCTGGGTTTCGGGATTTCGCCACGCAGTCAATTTACGTTCAGGAATTACTCTCAGTTCTATTCCCCGTGGCTGTTGGGTCGGACATTGTCAGCCCCGATGCGGAATTGAACTTTCGCGATGGTACATTGAGTCTTGATGATAAAAACTTGGTCATTCGCCCGCGTTCGAGTCCAGCAACAGTGTTGCGAACAACCACCGTTGAAGGATCCGGTATCCCAGATGAACGCGGCGGCTCACTCCGTCGTGGATCATCGTTCATTCTGGTTTCATCTGACAAGGCGAAATATTTGCCATCGCCTGCTTGTATACGCCATTCTATTCATACCGACCCTAGCGGGAATGGGACCATGACTGAGAATCCTATTGTCAAATCTGTGCTGGAACTGATTCTCATCGTCTTCTCCGATCAGCTTCTGCAAAGGAAAGACTTCTCCGGTCTGGGTCTCTACTTGAAAACACCCCCTAGTTTCCCTGAACACCAAACATTCTTCGAATCTTGGGTTTTCAGAAGCTTCCTGGCCAAGCTACGAGGCATCTCGAGCTCGGATAAACAACTACTCTTGGAATCACGGGTCCTCACGAATCTGGGACGCTTTGCCACCCACATAGGTGAAGCATTATACGAAGGGTGGTTCGTTGACGGGGCTATCCCAACTCTTGATTTCTTGGGAACCATTTTGGAATTCCTTCAGCAGCCAGAGATATCCTCTCTGAAGATCATTCGGCTGTGTAGCCAGTCGATCGTCACCATCCAGACAACAATTTTCCGAGTCGCCTTGCTGAGGTTATCGGAAATCGATGATACGGAGGCATTGCTCTTCTTGAAACGCCTGACATACTGGCAGGCGGTGCTCCTTTCGACCAGCGAAGCACACTCTGAATACTTGCAGCTCTTGTGCTACCTGCTTTATACCCGGTTAATCAGTGACCACGAAGCTGTCCGCCCTGCCGCTGCCAGCCTCTGGCGCGTCATCCTCGTCCAGAAGCCTGCTGAGATGTCTGCGATCCTGGCACACGCATCGACATCGCTTCAACAACGATTGTCGGGGTCCTTCGAAATGCTTGTGGGGATGGATGATGCTGCTTTCCTTGAATGGGTTGATGACCAGCGTGACGATCTTGATGCCTTGTTCTTCGGATCACTGTCTAAAGTCTGGGAATCTTTTGTGCAAGGCGAGAACTCCAAAACTGAAGATTCAGCACGGGTGAGAGGGACAAAACGCAAAGAGAAGTTGAAGGTGTGGAACCAGAGTGAAATGTTTGAAGAGGAGGTGATGCGGAAGCACGACGTCACCTTTCAGCGCTGGGTCGCCAATATCTCGGCTTCGGAATTCTTGAAACATCAGAGAGCTTTACAGGACCAGCAGGATAATGCGGCCTTTATGTGGTCTGCTTTCTCAAACCTGTCGATGGATCTTCGCCGCTTTGGTGGTGTTCTGGCGGATAAGAAAGAACGCAAATGGCGCCTCGACCAAACCGAGGGACGGAGTCGGATGAGGCGCCGGATAGTCCCCGATGAGTCTGGGGAGCAACAGGACTACCAACCCAAGAGAAAGGCATCGGAGCCCCCAGCCATCAAAATCGACACGCAACTGCAACCCTTGCCGAGTAGCGAGACTGCGTCCATCACCCCTGTAGCCATGACAGCGGAGCCGGGCGAGCAAAATCCCCAGGGTGGTGTCGTCGACGCAGACACGAAGAGTGTCCTCGACGAGAGTTTTGAGATGGTGGATGATCCCAAAGCGGATTTTGAAGACTATGAGGATAAGAACCGCAAGGTGATGAGGAGCCTCCACCGTGGAGACCAGGTCCAAAGCGTCTGCAATGTCTCTCGCATCATAGGGCTGGAGGCAAACGAAGGGCTTCTTATCCTTGGCAAAGACAGTATCTACATTCTGGATAACTTCTTTCAACGGGCAGACGGCGAGATTGTAAACGTCTGGCAAGCTCCTTCTGAAGAGAGAGACCCCTACGTTCGCATGATCGCTGGCAGAGAGGCCAACGTCCGCAGATCCCATGAGCACGAGACGAGAAGCTGGAAATGGTTGGACTTGGTCAGCGTCTCGAAACGGCGGTTTCTTTTCCGTGATGTTGCCCTGGAGGTGTTCTTCACCGATGGAACGAGTTACCTGCTGACCCTTATATCCTCAAGGGTCCGAGACGACCTCTGCAATCAATTAGCCTCCAAGGCTCCACAAGTCACCGGGAGCACGATCCATTCTCGCCCGGAGGATATTTGGAGATTCGAGATGCTGAGAAGCCAGGATGACGCGCCACAATCTCTTGGCTCGAAATTTGCGAGTGTCTTTGGACACTCGCCTGCAAACCCAGCCACCCGGAAATGGGTCAGGGGGGAAATGTCGAATTTCCATTATCTGATGCTAGTGAACACGCTTGCAGGAAGAACGTTCAACGACTTAACCCAGTACCCGGTCTTCCCCTGGGTCCTGGCGGACTACACAAGCGAGGAGCTGGACCTGACAAATCCAAAGACATTCCGCGATCTCTCCAAGCCCATGGGCTGCCAGACACCTGAACGTGAAGCCGAACTGAGAGAGCGATACAATTCGTTTGCGGAGATGGGGGACGACAATTTCCCTCCATTCCATTACGGGACTCACTATTCCTCCGCGATGATTGTGTGCTCGTACCTGATCCGCCTCCAGCCTTTTGTCAAGTCGTATCTACTCCTCCAAGGCGGGACTTTTGACCACGCAGATCGACTCTTCTACTCTGTGGCTAATGCCTGGGAGTCTGCTTCTCGCGGGAACATGACCGACGTGAGAGAGCTGATCCCGGAATTTTTCTACCTCCCCGAGTTCCTCGTCAATTCGAACCGGTATGATTTTGGGTTGCTCCAGAACATGACCAAGGTCATCGATTCGGTCGAGCTGCCTCCATGGGCCAAGGGCGATCCGAAGATCTTCATCACCAAACACCGGGAAGCGCTGGAAAGCCCCTATGTGACGCAGAACCTACACCATTGGATCGACCTGGTGTTTGGCTGTAAGCAAAAGGGCGAGGCAGCGGTCGAGGCCGTCAACGTCTTCCACCACCTCTCCTACCAGGGGGCCAAGGATGTGGATAACATTGACGACCCCATGGAGCGAATGGCGACTATTGGCATCATCCATAACTTTGGACAAACTCCCTATCAGATCTTCAACCGCTCTCACCCTTCGAGGGAAGAGCAGCAGTATAAGACCCCACGGCTTGACTACCTTGCTGAGTCGCTCACCCAGGTTCCCATTTCACTTCTAGGTAAGTTTTTTTTTTTTTTTTTTCAATTTTCCAAATGTGTCTTCTGATACAGCTCGATTGATTTCTCCTCCCCTCTTTCCTCGATAGATACCAAAGAGAAAGTCTCGTCGTTATCCATGAAACAAGACCGTCTTCTCTGCGCCGCTGCCTTGAGACTGAATATCCCCCCAAACTATGACAGGTACATGGAATGGGGATTCTCGGATGGAAGTGTTCGGTTCTACTCGGCAGACAGCCGTAAGGTACGTTCAACTCAATCTCTCTCTTTGAAGTAAAGGTAACTCACCGTTGTACTATAGCTTCTTGGTCACTTCGAGCACTTGCATATCGGCCAACTGTCCTGTGCGATCTTTGCAGACTCGAGAACCCTGATCACGACCGGCACGGATTGCACCATCTCGACCTGGACATATACGTTTACGTCCAAGTTCGTTGATCTCCAGCCCACGGGGTCACTGTTCGGGCATCGGACGCCCGTCACGGTGCTAGCCGTGTCGCGAGCGTTCAGCACTCTTCTTTCCGCCTCGACGGATGGACAGATCCTGCTGTGGGATCTGAACCGCCAGAGTTTCGTGAGGGAACTTCCTGCTGAGGGACCGGTGGAGGTAATTTTCTCTTGTTCTTTTTTTTTTTCTATTTTCTTTTTACCAGAATTTGTTGTTATTTCATTCTAACTCGCTGGAACTCACTAGTGCGCCCGAATCAACGAGGTGACCGGCGACGTGATGGTATGCAGGGGTAACCGGCTCACCATGTATACGCTCAACGGGGATGTGTTACTGGACCAAGTGGTCTGCGAGGCGGCCGACGACCACGTCCTGTGCTGTATCTTCTACGAGGGGAGTGGCGACGAGTGGCTGGAACGCGAGCTGGTCTTGACGGGCCATCGCCGGGGTCTCGTCAACATCTGGAGCAAGACGGTCCGCCAGGGCCGGTTCGAGCTGGACCTGATCCGGCAACTCCACCATGTCGACCACCAGCGCGACAACGGCGCCAACATCGCCGTCGGGATCAGCTGTATCCTCGCTCTGCCCACTGTGGTCTACACGGGAGACGAAGCCGGGCGGGTGTACGAATGGAACTGTGTCCAGCGGCATTAACGAGGGAGTTAATATATGCATTCAGGCTGCTGGCGGTCCCCAATGACCATGTCCATGACCTCTTTTCCGCCTATTGATCCCCGCGTGGGGCTGGACTGGGTGCCTTTCTTTCTCCATCAATAACAACAATAGCCAACGACTTCCGGTGAAGAAAGCGGCAATTGAATCCAACGGCCGGAGCACACTGCGCCGAGCCTTAGTCAGCTCCTGACTGTACTTGTAGTACGGAGTATACTCGGTACAGATACCAATAATTACGATGGGAGAGAGGGAGGTGTTATAGAAGAGGGGTGTTATAGCTCAGACAACTATCAATAAGTCTTGGTATAAATTGACCTGGATAGATCTATACTTATCCTTCATACTCCATCCTAACAATAGTTATAACAATAATACTTAGTTATAGCTCCCAACAGGCGTCATACCGCCCCACCATCCCACCCTTTCCGCCAGCTTCGGTCCAGTCGCCACGCCTTGTCTTTTAACCTGGGCTTCTTCTCCTTTCTACTCTCCCCCTCCTTCTCTGCTTCGTGTCAGATCCCTTACCTTTCTCCCCCCGGTTTATTTCTCCATCGATTCTTTTCTTCAATCCGTTCACCATGTCTTCCTCTCTCGAGCAGCTCAAGGCGACCGGCACCGTAAGTACCCCGCAATCCCCTCCCCCTGCGATATCGGTGGGACAAATCGCTGAATAAGATTTCTGTTCTTTGCGACGAGTAGGTTGTCGTCTGTGACTCTGGTAAGTTTGAATGAACATGAACAGTCCGTTGATGTGATGATTGCGAGTGCTGACTCTTCTAGGTGACTTTGCCAGTATGTGAAATC